TCCCATGCTCCGTTAACTGTCGCAGAGGTTAGGGGGTGGGGCAGGAGGGCAGCTGGGAAGGGGAGGGGGCATGTCGGTGGATGCTGTACCTCAACGTTATTAAAAAAAATGACGAAAATATTGTAAAAAAAAAAAAACTTTATTGCAAGCAAAACAAACCACCTTGTCTTCCATCTCATGCGGCCCGTCGAGGGCCACACCCATCGCAGGGGCGTCGTGCCAATCCCGTGGAGGTGGGATTCGAACCCGCCTCCGGCAAAAGGGGCTCGAATCCACCTCCGAGAGGGGTGGGCTTTGCGGCCAAATTCCTGATTCCTTGGGTTATTTTTTTAATTTATTTATTATTTTTTGCCAAATCCATGAGGAAAAGAGAAAAAAAAATGACGAATTAAAGTACTAAAAAAATAAATCTTTCTTTTTCCAATAAAATCAAATAAAACCATGAAAGAGAGTTGTGTGTTCGTATGTCCAAAAAAACATGAGCAACGTTGGGAAGAGGGGCTGAGTAAAGCGGGTGATGCTGACGAGTTTCGGAGCTGGTTTGATGGCACCATATATGCTTCCCGTCTCATACAAAGAGGAAATGTAACTAACATTTTTGCATGGCATCTCTCTTGCAAGCTCCAGCATTTCCCCACCCCCACCCCCACCCCCCCTACCCCTTCCTTAGCTGGTCCAAGAAATCCCTGGTTGCCTTGCCTCCTTTTTCTTCCAGCCAGGCCCGGGAAGCCTGCCTTTGTGCCATACAGAGATGAAGAGGTGCCCATCAATGTGTATATTAGTGAAACTGACATACGGAAACCTGTTACGTTAAGGAAAATTGCTTTGCAAAAATGTTTACATTAGGAGACATCTGCACCAAAATGCTAATGAATTTTCATGAGGAGTTAACTTCGCTGATGTTGGGACCTTGTGCCTTACATACTGACCCGTGTCTCACTCCAGCCCTGACACAGTGGTGCATGGGAAGTCTTCAAAATATCCAAACACACACACACACTGCCATTAAAGATTCCCAGCCATTCCTAACTTGGCTCCATGCCTGATCTAAGTTCAGGAATGGGGAAAACCTGTGGCCATGTAGATGCCAATTCCCATCGGGACAAAGCCAGCACGGCCAGTTACATCCAAGGAAGCTGACTGTTGGAAGAGTCATGGCAGGTAAAAGAAAGTGCTTCTGTTCAGACAGCACATAGTTAAACTATGGAACTCACTGCCACAAGAGGAAGTGATTTGCTCAACCAACTTGGATGGCTTTAAAAGAGGTTCAGACAAATTCATGAAGGAGAAGGCTTTCAGTGGCTGCTAGCCATGATGGCTATGCTTTGACTCCACAGTCAGAGGCAAAAATTCTCCAAAATACCAGTTGCTGGAAGCCACAGGATGGGGGAGTGTTCTTGCAGTCGGGTCCTGCTAGCAGGGATGTTCAGTTAATGGGCATGGTGGGAGTTGGGGTCCAACAACACCAATAAAGCAGGCAGGAGAGAAGAACTACACAAGATGACACAGCTCCTAAGGTAACTTAGATTGGACCATTATTTCTCTCCTCAAACTGCTATGAATCTCTTCAAGCCAGGGATGGATGGATGAATTTCATTTTAAGCTTCTGCCAAGACCCGCATAATTGCACGATGATGGAATGGTATCACTTATCATGTGCAGAAAGGATCATTGCATTTTACACCAAAGAAGGAAATTACACACAGGAGAGGGGGCCTTTTTTTAAAAAAAGTGTACCATTATACCTAACGCTGATGAGAGGGCCACCCTGGGAGTAACCAATAATTCAGATCCATTTGGCAAGTGGGTCGTTCTTGCACCTTCCAGGGAATCTAGGAGGAAGTGGTGTGAGAAACTTATTTCACACAGGCAGAAAAGTATATAGCAAATACAAGACCTGATTGTCTGGAGGGGCCTAGTAACCCTTTATCCAGAACTGTCTTTGGGCAGGTGGACAAAGGATGGCCTCCTTTCTGGCAGGTATGAATGCATGGAGGCAGCAAGTAGTAAATGTGGGAGCCTTTAAAGCACCTTAGAGGTGGGTGTGTCACACACAGAGATTAAATAGGTGGATAGATGGATAACCTGAGGACTACAAATCCAAAGGAAAGCACTTTCTGGCCTCTGCCAACAGCTACTGAGAGAACATCAAGGGGGAGACAAACTTGGCGTCTGATCAGCTGGAGAAGGAGCAGCTGATCCATCACTTCCTTTCCTTTCCTTTCCTTTCCCCTCCTCATTCCTTTTTCCTTTTGTGCTGTGTCTATTAGATTGTGAGCCAGCAGTCAAGGATTGTCTTATCTTTTAAGATTATGTATAGTGCTTAGAAAGTTTTAGGTGATGGGTGGATGGATGGATAGATGATAGATAGATAGAAAAAGGTAAAGGGACCCCTTACCATTAGGTCCAGTCCTGGCCGACTCTGGGGTTGCGGCGTTCATCTCGCTTTATTGGCCAGGGGAGCCGGCGTACAGCTGGTCATGTGGCCAGCATGACTGAGCCGCTTCTGGCAAACCAGAGCAGCGCACGGAAACACCATTTACCTTCCTGCCAGAGCGGTACCTATTTATCTACTTGCACTTTGACGTGCTTTCGAACTGCTAGGTTGGCAGGAGCAGGGACCGAGCAACGGAAGCTCACCCAGTCGCGGGGATTTGAACCGCCGACCTTCTGATTGGCAAGTCCTAGGTTCTGTGGTTTAATCCACAGCACCACCCACGTCCCTTAGATAGATAGATGTTATGAAATAACATTTCACTGTACTCATCAAGTGAAAGAGAGGGTGGTAGTTACTCTGGATATATTAGTCTGCAGTGTGATGTTTGCATGTTGCATTGGAATGACAGCTATCCTGTCCCATATATATATATATAGAGAGAGAGAGAGAGAGAGAGAGAGAGAGAGAAGCTTTCAAGGCTGTTATTGTAACTTCAGCATGGTACATAAAGAGTTGGAGAGGGAGGAAGAACCACCTTAGGGAGGGGGAGGAAAAGAGAGGAAATGCTGGCCTGAAGCAACATCAAAAGAACCACAAGATGATTTCTGTCTTCTCTCCATCAGCTCAGCTTGTCCCCTGTCAGTTTTGCTCAACAGCTGGTGCTTTCCTTTGCATGCCCGGGGCTGATGCTCTGGGGAGGGCACAGCAGTCAGGCAGAAGGGGAGGGTGTGAATGGGATGGCAGGGTGTGGACAAGGAGGCAAGGGAAGCAACGGCAGGAAGATGCTGTCGGATCCCATCCTGTCAAGTCTGCCTGGCTCTTGGCCTTCTTGCTTTGGCTGTCAGGACCCTGGACAGCTCCCTCCTGCCTGAAGTTGTGCATCAAGCACAGCAGCTGCCTCTGGACCAGGGACACAGCTGGCTTTGAGGCTTCCAGGCTGGCTCTGTGGATGGGATTCATTCAGGGCTTCAGGAATGCTAGCCATTGCATCCGGAATGGGAGAAGTCAGGGTTGGGCTATTGTTGCCCTAAGTACCCAATTATTTAGGGTGCCAGTGTTGTGCTGATTTCCTGGGGCAGGAGGGATGGATCCACCAGGACTTTAGAAGTTGCACGTGCTGTGAGAAAGGCTGGAGGATATCTAAAGGTGGTCACACACACAAAGACATGGACACAGGGCAGCAAAGGGTGGAAGAGATGGTGTGAGGGAGGGAGCTGTCTTAAACTGAATTAGACATCTAGCACAGTATATCTGCACCAGCCTCCTTCAGCCTTGAGCCACTGGGGCAGGAGAGGCTTAACAGGGTCCAGCACCAACTGAACAAAAGCTGGAGCAGCAGGGTGCAGTCTTGTCACATAGGACCTTTACAGATGGGAGAAGACCCACCTGCCCCAAGGGATCACACAATGCCAATATCCCCACAAGGTGAGAGAGTCTCGCAAGCACCGTGCCTCACCTTCACAGATTCAGCAAGGGGGTGAGGAAATATCTTGGGACATCTCCATTGCTTTCATCCAGTTCTGAACTTCTTGCCTGAACGCCTGCATTGCGACTCCCGTGTCTGTTGCTAAGTCTGGATCATTACTTGCCTGAATTACGATCTCTTTCTAACTTCCAAGTAAAGACCTCTGTCTGTGTGGGTTGGGTGGGTGTCAGGACAGGCCCTTCCCCAAGGTGTTAACTTGAGCTATGCAGTACAAGAAATTAATGTTGGTATATAATTTATCATCAGATCTTCTTAGATTAGTAGATGAGTATCAGCCTCCCTCCCACTACTCACCCACCACCACCACCAAAGAAAGAAAGAAGAATTGCTCAAAGATAATATATTTGCATTAACTGACAATTTGCATTGGGCAAAATAATTCCCAAAAACTGATTTCTCATGGCGGTGCGATCGTTACAAGATTGATCCTCACCTGCAAAGTTATTTAAGAAAAATCTTTCCCCACATTAGGTTTCCAAACGATGCCTTCAGCATTCTTACACAGAAATTATGGGAAAGCTTCACAAAGTGAACATCTTTTGCATTTCTGGACAAAATGAAGTAGAAGACTTGCTGCATTATTTATGTCACTGCCCGCGATATAGACAGCTGAGAGAGAGATTTATTTATGATCTTACAACCCAATTATCAGACTTTGCAGAGACCCAGAGGATTTGCTCTCTTCCTGTGGGCACAGCCTTCTCTGTAGCAGAACCAGCTCGCGCTCCGGGACCAAGCAGGATTGAACTCCAGGTACATCAGCTGATGTGCAGAGACTTCACTTCTGCTTCCCAGTTGCAGGATCCAGCTGTGTAGGGCGAGTGGGAGTGGTTTGAACGAAATGTCCCTTTGAGGCCAGGTGGGCCAAATTTGGGGTTCCTCACCCCATCAGAGATGTGTGAGTGCATTTCAAATGCCATTTGGGGGACTGAAAAGCATCTGGGGGGGGCACACACACAAATTAACTCTTCCCCCTATACTAAGTGTGGGAACCTTAGGGAGCCATTGTGGCATAATGGTCAGAATGCTGGACTAGGATCTAGAAGACCAGGGTTCAAATCCTCACTCAGCCATGGAGCTCACTGCTTGGGTCAGCCACTGTTTCTCAACTCGGAAGGTGGTTGTGGGGATTTAATGAGGAGGGGGAGAACCATGAGCTCCTTGGCGGGGAAAGGGTGGAATATGAATTCAGTAGATGATAGATGATAGATAGATAGATAGCCTTTGACCCTCCAGGCTGAACTACAACTCTCATCAGTCCCAGAAAGCATGGTCAATGGTCAGGGATGGTGGGAGTTGCAGTTTAGCAATATCTGGAGCACCAAAGTTTCCCCAGTGCCAAGTCTCCCCCTCTAGGCTGTTAACCTCATATATGAAAACATTTTAGGACTATATGGTGCCTTTATATGTTCCCCTTTGCAGCTAATAGCAGCTGGTGGAATGCAGCAGGGAAGGGTGGGGGACAAATTTAATTTGGTTCACATTTACATTTTTTTTTCTGTTGTGAACCAGCCTAGGATCTTTGGATGAAGGGTTGTATATAAACTTAATAAATAATAATAAATAAACAATTTACAGGCAAGCCTGCTTAATTTGCGCCAGCCAAAAGAATTCAGAAACCAAAACAGAAGCCATTTTTCAAAATATTGCACTTCTCCAAATTTTGGAAGGCAGTTCTCCGGACAAGCCACATGTCCAAAAATGCATGCCCTGGATTGAAATGTGTATTAAAAGACATCTGTTAGTAAAAACAGCACACAAAATGTGTTAGGATAAGGAAAATCACTCTGAAAAAATGTGGATATTCGGAGAAATTCACACTAAGGTGCTTCATGGAACGTTTAAAAACAACCCCATATATTCAGAAAGTGATTGAAAATGTGGATAAATGAGGAACTGAAAGGAAACAAGGTGACAGATCTGCCCATCGCTAGCAGGGAGACATTTGGATCAGGGCTGCAGAGAGGGAAGGAAGGCTTGAGCCACAAATACTCTGTGGTCCTGATACCTGGATGTGTGGGAATGTGGGCTGGGGTTGATGGCAGCTGGAGTCCAAGGAGAGCAATAGCTTCCTCAAGGCCTGTTCTGTCATGCCGGTAATTCATAGGTATGTATGTACAAGGATGGGGAACCTGAGGACCTTCCATCAGATGTTGGCCACCACCACCATTTGCCTCAGCCCAGATGGCAAAAGGTCAAGGATGATGGGAGTTGTAGTCTAGCAACACCTGGAGATCCACAGGGTCTCCTAGCCTGGTTGTAGACTGACCATCGCTGGAAGGTAAGAAGTTCTCCATCTGCACAGAATAGGCACTAGCATAGGGTACATGTACCCAGATCTCATTTTGCAGAGAGTTCCTATTTTTTGTGTGCTGGAAGTAAATTACTGTGACTTGGCTGCGGTTGTGAAAACGTCCCACTTGCAGGTCTGTCCCCCCAGAAACACAAAGGTGCCTATCAGTCTCCTTGCAGCACCTTCCTCATCGCCAAGCTGACTGATTTTCCCTCTTCTTCTTCTTCTTCTTCTTCTTCTTCTTCTTCTTCTTCTTCTTCTTCTTCCCCTTGCCGCCCTCCCTTGGGCAGCCTCCAATCAGAGCAATTGCCCATCACGGCGCTGCTATTCATTTAGCTTTCATCACGGCTCCCATTTAAAAGCAACAAAAATGATTGACGAGCCAGGAGGGAGTCAGCCATCAAGACAGATTAGCAGGGCTAAATACCAAAAGCTCATCTCTGGGAGGCTGAGGAGAGGCAAGGGAAGGAAGTCAAACTATATAGGTGAATATTGGTGGGGAGAGCGAACGGGGGACGTATGGTGTTGCCCAGCCATGTGTTATTATGCCGGTGGGTTCAACACACCCTCTGCTACCTGTCACTGCTGAAGAAAGAGAATCCTTGCAAAAGAGAGCTAAGGAACAAAGGGGAACCTGCAGACTGGGGTGTGTGTGTGTTTGTTTGGCAGCTGTCATTGATGCAACACAAGTGCAACCATGGTTGATTTATACTGGACCACTAGCACATCATTTCACTTTGTTAGTTGTTTTGTGATGCTTCTCCAGGTTATCCCATTATTGCCATCTGGAGCAGCACCCTTGAGCTTTGTTACCTTGCGTTAATAATAAAACTAATAAATTTTATTTATATCCCGCCCTCCCCAGCCAAGACCGGGCTCAGGGCGGCTGACACCAGGTATAAAACAATTGATTAAAATACAACTTAAAAACAAGATTAAAATACAACATTAAAATGCAGCCTGATTTCAGTAGAAACTCAAATCAAAAACTTTTTGGGGATGAAAACGTCAAATCTTCACCATGGCCAACTATCCATGGTCCTACATGGGCCAGAAAAAAGCCAAGGAAGTCCCCATACAGTGGTACCTTGGGTTAAGTACTTAATTCGTTCCGGAGGTCCGTACTTAACCTGAAACTGTTCTTAACCTGAAGCACCACTTTAGCTAATGGGGCCTCCTGCTGCTACCGCGCCGCCGGAGCACGATTTCTATTCTCATCCTGAAGCAAAGTTCTTAACCTGAAGCACTATTTCTGGGTTAGCGGAGTCTGTAACCTGAAGCATATGTAACCTGAAGCGTATGTAACCCGAGGTACCACTGTATAGGAGTTCCATCACAGAAGGAGAAAGAAAAAAGGATAGAGGGGAAGGGGATCAAGTTGATTCCAAGCCAAAGGCCAGGCGCAACAACTCTGAGGAAAGGTCCTGAGGAAAGAAATCAGATCCCGCAAAAGCAGTTACAAAAGCAAGACCTCAGAAAACCAAATCCTGGAGCATAAGCTGTGATTCTTGCATTACAGGGGGGTTGGACTAGATGATGATTGGGGTTCCTTCCAGCCCTGCAACAGTATGATCTGTGGGTCACATCAGTCCATGGTGAGATTTGCAGAGGTTGAGTTCCTCAAGCATTCTGACTTCTCAGGCCTGTTGGTTGGGGCCAGACTGGCTTCCCCCTTGCATCCTAAGAGGGATGGCTCCATGACAACCCCATGGCCCTTCATCTTATGGGTGATGGATGGTGCTCAGCGCGCACTCCCCTTCAATTCTCATTGCCAGTTCTCACTGTGCAGAAGCAAAAAATATCCAGTGGACCTGCTGCTGGATCTCTTGTTTCCTCCTTCCTCACCTGTAAACTTGTTTCATGTGCTCTGTTGCAGGCATGAAGCCAGCTGCACCAAGTCAACAAAACTTCACAGCAAAAAAAATGCCACCATCTGGCCTTCAGAGTACCATCCTCAAAAACAAACTTAATTAGCCCATAAGTGGAAATGCTATATCTGTCCCTTTAATACCTGTTTGGGGGGCTGTCTCCTTTCCCTATCCAGATTGTGTCTCCGTCACCCTACCTTAGTAACCCTTCTGTAGAGGAAAAACTCATTAAAATCATTCCGTTTTGCTGTTCAGAAACAAATAAGAATTCTCTCTAATGCCGGCACAAAGGGGGTTGCATTACTAAGAAAATTAAAACTGTGTTAATATATAACGCAGTTTTAATTTTCTTACTAATGCAGCCCCCTTTGTTCTGGCCATAAGGGGAATTCTTGCTTGTTTATGGAGAGCAACAATATGAAACCTCATCAGCAAGCTTATTTGATCTGCCACTTTGGTATTACACAATGAGCTGGAGGGTTGTGGGTTTGTATTTTATGTTCTCTTATTGTGTCTGAAGTTTTTTGGTTTTTTTAACAATGCCAATTTTCTTCCTAAACAGAATAATTCATATGAATTATTCCGTTTAGGAAGAAATTAGCATTGTTAACAATTGCAGGCCAGAAAGGGGGAGAACCTCCAAGCTCATTGTGCAAAATGAAAGTGAAGCATATGAAAAAATCCCTCCACACCCTTCTCCTCTGCCATTATTATTATTATTATTATTATTATTATTATTATTAACATGCCACCCATTTGACTGGGTTGCCCCAGACACTCTGGGTGGCTCCCAACAAAATATTAAAAACACAGTAAAACATCAACCATTAAAAGCTTCCCCATACAGATGACTTCTAAAAGTCAATAGTTGCTTATTTCCTTGACATCTGATGGGAGGTCTGGTTCCCTGTAACCTCACTTCTCGCAGTGAGGGAACCGCCAGAAGGCCCTCAGAGCTGGACCTCAGTGTCCTGACTGATCAATGGGGTGAAGACACTCCTTCTCCAACCCTTAATGTTTATTCAACATTCTGTGCTCAAAGAGCAGGCTCAGCCCCATTGAGTTGTGTCGAGTGCGCGGTAAAATCAGTAATGATTCAATGGGCCAGGGATTTTGGGTATAATATACAATTTGATGAGTGGAATAAATTATGGAATGAAAGGATAAAATTTACAGCCTGTACTGCACTGAAAGAAAATGTGATGAAGATGGTTTATAGATGGTATATCACTCCAGTAAAACTAGCAAAAATGTATAAAGTAAGTAATAAATGTTGGAAATGTAAAGAAAAAGAAGGAATATTTTTCCATATGTGGTGGGAGTGTAATAAGGTTAAAGTATTCTGGGAACAGATATATAATGAGTTGAAAAAGATGTTGAAATATACATTTGCTAAAAAACTAGAAGCTTTTTTGTTAGGAATGGTTGGAAATGAAATAAATAGAAAAGATCAGAAATTATTTCGATATGCAGTGACGGCAGCAAGGATACTACTGGCCCAAAAATGGAAACAGGAGGAACTACCATCTATAGAAGAGTGGAGGATGAAATTAACAGACTACGCAGAACTAGATAAATTAACAGGGAAAGTCCGAAACCAACAAGATCACAAGTTCACTGAGGACTGGAGTAAATTTGTGGATTATATGAAAAGCATATGTGATGAACAAATAACGTTTGTGGGTTTACAGGAAGCTTTGTGAAGAAATATGTATAGAAACATTGTAAAAAAGGAAGAGGGGGAGTAGGTAGATTTTAAGATAAAAGACAATGACAAATTTTGAACTTGCAGTATAAAGACGAGAACACGGAGGATTCACGGATGAACTGATGGAAGTCAAAAATATGTATTTGTGATTGTATTGAAAATGTATGACTAAAATTTTTTTTTATTGGAAATTAATAAAAAATAATTTAAAAAAGAGTTGTGTCGAGTGTGCACCCCATTTAGGAGGGAGGGAGCCACTACTAAGAAGGCCCTCTGCCTGCTTCACTGTAACGTCACTTAACCTCGCAGTGAGGAAACTGCCAGAAGGCCCTCGGAGCTCGAACAGGGCTGCCTTCAGATGTCTTCTAAAAGTCACATAGCTGAATTGCTCACACAGATATCAATGAGTGAGCATGGGGAGTTATCATTGGCATAAATGGAACACAAAAGAATGGGAGAGGTCCATTAGACAGGAGGATGGAGATGGGAAAGAATAAAATGCCGCCCCCGCTCCCCATTTCCATGCTGGGAGTACAGTACACTCGTAACACAACAGAGACCAGCACGGCCAGCACATCCCACCTTCAGATCTTCAGAAAGGCCTTGTTGAATCAGGCCAAAGGCCCACCCAGCCCAGCACCCTCATCTCATGGTGGCCAACCCAACACCTATGCGAAGTCCGCAAGCAGCACTTGAGTGCAAATGCAACTCTCCCCACTTGTGATTCCCAGCAGCTGTTTTTCAAAGGCATATCCTGCTTCCAACAGCGAAGAACGTCGCCACCGTCGCTGGCAGCTATTTAAGGAAGGTGTTTCAGAACATATATAATTATTCCTTTAGGGAGATCCGTATTTCTGGCCAACTTACCGATTCTGCATACAGAACGGTGATCCTTATAACCAATTAAATGTACTAAGAATGCATGCAGAGAAATACCAGTTCCTTCAGAAAAAAGGAAGGAAGGAAGAGGGATAACCCACTTCAGTTGATTACCCTACTGTAGTTATTTATGAGATGCGGAAAAAAGGAAACACACAACAGATGCTTCTTGGAAAATACTGTATTCTGTAAAGTAGGACAAAAGGCCCCGCTAGGAAACCTGCTGAAATAAAACACCATAAGAAGAGCCCTGCTGGATCAGGCCAAAGGCTCATCTAGTCTGGGATACTCTTCTTGAAGTGGCCAACCACAGATGCCTTTTGGGAAGCCTGTAAGCAGGACCTAAGCACAGGAGCAATCTCTCCCATCCCCATAATGCCCAGAAACTGGTTTTCAAAGGCACATCCAGCTTCCGATGGTGGAGGGAGAATGTAGCCATTGCTGCCAGTAGCTATTTTTATAGTTATTCATTTAGAGACATCTGCTTTTCTGGCCAGCTTATTCGTGCCACATACAGAATGGGGATAGTTATCATTCATCATTCTTTTAAAATCATCCAGGTTGGTGGTCATCTTATGGGAGCAGCTTCCGAGGTTCACTTTTCCAAAATAGTTCAGAATCAGAAATCCCTCTCCATACCACCCCTAGAGAAGACCAGGGCATCCCATTATCTCCCACCAGTCAAGATCGGGAAGCACTTCTTCCGGTTTCTCAGAAGTCCCGATCAAATCAGACAGCTGCACCTTCTTCCTAAGCTTAAAAGCATCACTTTTTTCTTTTTTCAAATCAGGACTTCTAAACTCAAGTATGAAACTCCACCAGTTTCAAATACGTTCAAAACAGAAGGTCCGGGGAAGATTCCTGAAATCAGTATCAGGTGTGGCTCCAGTCATTTAATAACACAAAGAAGAACTTTGGCAAAGGCTACATTGCAGTGTGAAGATAAAAAAAGTATATGCACTGGTGTGGTTTTGTAAAAGGCACATTTTTACTCTGGCAACCAAGACCTTTTCTCTCCAAAGAGACAGCCCTCCCTCCATCCAATTCACACACTTCTTGTACAGCATCAGTGCTCAGTGGTAGAGCATCTTCTTTGCATGCAGAAAGTCCCAAGTTCAGTCTCCAGGTAGGGCTGGGAGAGAACCCTGCCTGAAATCCTGGACAGCTGCTGTCAATCCGTGCAGAAAATAATGGACCGATGGTTTGACTCAATATAAGGCAGTATCCCATATCGCTGTCCTTCACACTATCCTCTGCTGCAAGGTTGAGCTTAGAGCTCTTGGTAATGTATCATCCCTCCAGCACCTAACCCTCTGGATAGCCTTTGGATTCTTCCCAGCACCTCAAGCTGTTCTGTAACCAGCTCCATTCCAAGAGATCCCTTCTGTGGCCACAATGAAAGACTCAGAATCCCATATTTCATCAGAATTCATCTACACACAATGTATCCTTCTGGGTTCTGGGCTCCCCTTAACTGGGTTGGCTACGTTGCTGCCTGAGACCCCTAGATCCCGCATGGCAATGTTCACCTCTCATCATTATGCCAGGAAACCAAAGCTCCAATTCGAAAACCTTGGATTCCATACACCCCACGGTCAAGCCCCACAGGAAGATAGCATGGCTCCATTTTCGGTGACCTGGGTCCCATACTGAAGACTGTGCTTGGTCTGAAGCTTCCTCTTCAGCCCAAGATAGAGCTTCAGAATGTCAGACTTGAGTAGCGCTGCGCACATTCCTGGTGCGAGGTTGTATAGGTTGGAAGGAGGAGCTGCTGTCCGTGGTGCTGATGGGCTGGAGAGAAATGGGAGAGAGAAGAGGTCAGAAAACTGTTTGGCCTAAAGCAGGCATGTCCAAAGTCCATTTCGGGGGCCTAATCCAGCCCGCTGGTCAATTTTTTAATCTGGCCTGGGGTAAAATCCTAAAAAAAGCTCAGCAACTTTTTTTTTTTAATAAGATATTTATTAAGATTTTCAGAATATTACAAGATAAAAAAAGAAAAAAAAATGCAAAATCAAAATGGTTAAAAACAATTCATTCTTTCCATTACTTATCCTTCATTTGCTTATTTCCCGGACCTCCTCACGCCTCCCTTTTTTGTATTCCAGTTCAGTTTGTTAGTTCAGCAAATCCCTCCCCTCTTTGTATATCCTAGTCGTTAATCATAAAGTATTGTAATTTTAAATTTTTACCTATTAATAATCCATTTTTTCATATTCCCTTATAACATTTCAGCTAAAGACCACTTAGTTTCTATCCAACATCATTCTAGCATTCATTAATTTTGCAATATTTCTGTAAATAGTCTTTAAACTTTTCCCAGTCTTCTTCCATCGACTCTTCTCCCTGGTCTCGGATTCTGCCAGTCATTTCCGCCAATTCCATATAGTCCATCACCTTCATCTGCTATTCTTCCAAGGTGGGTAGATCTTGTGTCTTCCAATACTTTGCGATGAGTATTCTTGCTGCTGTTGTGGCATACATAAAAAAAGTTCTATCCTTCTTTGGCACCAATTGGCCGACTATGCCTAGGAGAAAGGCCTCTGGTTTCTTCAAGAAGGTATATTTAAATACCTTTTTCAATTCATTATAGATCATCTCCCAGAAAGCCTTAATCCTTGGGCACGTCCACCAAAGGTGAAAGAATGTACCTTCGGTTTCTTTACATTTTCAACATTTATTATCGGGCAAATGATAGATTTTTGCAAGCTTGACTGGTGTCATGTACCACCTGTATATCATTTTCATAATATTCTCTCTTAGGGCATTACATGCCGTAAATTTCATACCTGTGGTCCACAGCTGTTCCCAGTCAGCAAACGTAATATTATGTCCAACATCTTGTGCCCTTTTAATCATAGCAGATTTCACCGTTTCATCCTGAGTATTCCATTTCAACAGCAAGTTATACATCTTTGACAAAATCTTAGTTTTGGGTTCTAACAGTTCTGTTTCTAGTTTTGATTTTCCACCTGGAAGCCAATTTTCTTATCCAAATTGTATGCCTCCATTATCTGATAATAATGAAGCCAGTATCGCACTTTGTCTTTTAATTTCTCAAAACTCTGCAATTTCAATTTGTCTCCTTCTTGTTCCAAAATTTCCCAATATTTCGGCCATTTGGCCTCCATATTGAGCCTTTTCTGAGCCTTTGCTTCCATCGGTGACAACCACCTTGGGGTTTTATTTTCAAGTAAGTCCTTATATCTTATCCAGACATTTAACAATGCTTTCCTAACAATATGGTTTTAAATGCTTTATGTGCTTTAACCTTGTCATACCACAAATATGCATGCCACCCAAAAACATTATTGAAACCTTCTAAATCCAAAATGTCTGTGTTCTCAAGAAGCAGCCATTCTTTCAACCAGCAGAATGCTGCTGATTCATAGTAAAGTTTGAGGTCTGGCAGGGCAAATCCACCTCTGTCCTTTGCATCAGTTAATATTTTGAATTTTATTCTGGGCTTCTTGCCCTGCCAGACAAGCATTTAGGGCAAATTTCCACTTTTCGAATCTTAGGTGCCAGTCCTCTAGTAGTCCAGATTTGGTCAATTCTTGTCCATGTCATTTTGGCTTCAGAGAAGAAGGTTCCCTCTCTGGCCAAGGGATTCTTTATTCTCCAAATGTCAATCAAATCCATATTGTCAGTCATCTCAAAAAGGTTTTGGTAGTCTGCCATCTTTGGTAACTACCTGTCTCTGCGACTTGTCCATGTTTGTGGATACCACTCCATTCATATCTCCCATCATGATAATGTTGTAATCCATATAGTCTAACAATGTCTCATGCAACTTCTTAAAAAATTCAGATTTCCCCTCATTTGGTGCATATACTCCTACTATCAGAAATTTTTCTCCTTGTGTTTGGATTTCAATTGCCACATATCTTCCTTGGTCATCTTTAAAGATAAATTTCGGTGATGGGCTCTCTTTCGCGTACATTACAACTCCTCTCTTTTTAACCTTGTCCGATGAAATAAACTCTTGACCCAATCTTTTATTAATTAATACTTTCCTATGGAGCCTTATCACATGTGTTTCCTGCAAACAAATCAAGTCCAATTGTTCCTTTTTCAATAAATGAAAGACTTTTTCCTTTTCTCCAGAATTAAACCCATGAATATTCCAACTTAATAGTTGCAGGGACATGGTGTATTTATTTTACTTTTCATCCAACTGCACCAAGTAATTGTTCTTGTTCTGTTGGTGGTATCACCTTCTCTAACTTGTCCAATCCCAAAGGTAGTGGTACTATGTCCTGTATTCCTGGTTTTAAAGCTCTTGGCTCTTTTTCAGCTTCTTTTTGCAGGTCTTCTCCGTGATCTTTCAGAAATTTTTCTTTATCTTCCACTGATCTTATTTTAAACTTTTTCCCTTTAAAAGTAAAAGATAGGCCTTGAGGGAATTCCCACCTAAATATGGTTCTGTTTCCTCTTAACAGGGCCACCAAATCTCCGTAGTTAGACCTAAGATCCAAAAGATGTTTAGGAATGTCCTTAAATATCTCCACTCTTGATTCCTTTATTTCCAAGGTCTTCTGGAAGTGCAGACTCAATATTCTGTCTCTCTCCTCTCTTGATCGGAGGGTAATCAAACAGTCTCTCACTCTGTTCTTTCTCCCCCCCTCTTCCAAGTCTGAAAGCACTTACTATCTTGAAATCCAACTTGTCTAAGTCTAAGTTCCAAAAGTCTGCAAATTCCTGCATAAGAAAGTCACTCAAATTGTCTTTCTCAAGTTCAGGTACAGCCCTGATCCTTAGATTTATCTGTTTTTCTTTTAATTTGATCATAGACAGCAATGACTTGTGATCCTCCAGCTGCCTACATATCGGTTGTATCTTTTCCTCTATCTTTTCCTCTACAGCCAATGCTTTTTCCTTGGCTTCTTCAGCTGTTTTCGATTGAGTAGATTCCTGCAGCAGTTTCTCAATAGATTCTCTATTTGAGTTCACCTTCTGCCCCAAGTTATTGATGCTTGAAGTATTTTGATCAATTTTAGTTGTCGCTTCAACAACTTGTTTGCTCAACTTTTCCAAAGATTCAAAAATTTTATCTAGAGCTGAAGCTAAGCCCCCTTCAGCTGCCATTCCTTTAGACGCCACCTGGGCTAAATCTTCCCCTGGTGGGGCAGGGAGGCCGGGTGCTGACGGTCTATGCTGCTGCAGTCTAATTTTACCAGATCTTGTTTTTTCCTGAGTCAAGTCTGCCATAACACTTTATCTAAGGATCAAGGTCAGTCCCACGATTACTTGTTTGTAGTGGAAAATTCCCCTTTAGTGTGGCCAGTTTAGAGTGGAAAATTCCCTGGCCAATTGTAGCAATTTCAAAGTTCCTCTAGGGGGACACAGTAACAGTTCCAACTTGTAACGATAAAATAACTTTTCCAACTTTCAGAAATGCCCCCTTTAGCCAAAAAGAGCAACAGTTTCAAGTCAGGAGAGACTCTTCAGAATCAAAGTATCCCTCTTACAGAGCTAGCTGTCAAAGAGTTGCATTATCCTTTAACAGTGCATTTCACAATACGGCAGTTCCATTGTCCCTTGACAGTCCGTTCCCAGGCATTAAGTGATGGTCTTTGTTCCCTTTCTCTCTTCTTTTGCGGGCAAAAGATACTTCCCCTTCTCCCTCCCCTCTCCCACACCACAGGGAGGGAGTTCTCTTTTTGTTGATGTAAGATTTGAGTCTTTTTCAACGCGATTTTCAGGGTCTTAGCTTAGACAGTCTTTGCTTTGATCTATTTACAGAAAAGGAAGGCAGACTTCCTGTTTACACCTTCCCGCTTCAGTGCCGAATTAGTCCTCCCCCCCCCTTAAATTCCCCATCTTCAAACTTAACCTACTCTCGGGTAGTTGTTTGTAGCTTGAATTGTCACAGGAAAAAGGTCAGCGCTCTCCGGCAACAGCTGCACGGCTTTACTCCACGGAAGAAGCAGTTGACTCTCAGCACCGCACCAGACTCCCCGTTTCGCTCCGGAACTCTTTTCAGGGTTCCCTCGCAGATTGGGGGGGCGCTATGGGTGCCCGCCGAGTCCCACGGTCACAGGCTTCACCCGCCTGTGGTTTTTGAAGGGGTTCCCGCTTCGCCGTAGCGGCAAGACCCGATTTCCGCGGAGCTACTCCCTCAAGACTAGAGGGAATCCGCCATTGCCAATGGCGCCGCCTCCGGAAGTCCAAAAGCTCAGCAACTTTGGTCAGCCCTCATGCATGTTCACTTCATCAACTCTGGCCCTCTTTGAAAAAAGTTTGGGCACCACTGGCCTAAAGCATTGTTCACAGCACATTTGGGTGGGGTGGGTCCACCTTCCTTCCGAGCCACTGGGCCATTTTGAAGGGAAGCTCAAAGAGTTTTTGCGAGGCTGGCAACATTTCTCAGGGAGCTTTGGAAAATCCATAGCCAGGGTGCTCCATGACACGCAGGGTTGGAACTCTGCAATGCATTATATGTGGGGCTGCCCTTGAAAATGGCTTGGAAACTAGCACTGAAACATGCTACCACAATACCTGCTGTTTGACTGTGATGGAACCATGTTTATATCAGTTCTAAAAGAATGACATTGGCTCTCTTTTTGCTACTGAGCCCAACTGGAAATGCCAGTCCCTAAATGGCTTGGGGTGTGCATGTTTCCCATGCACCTGAAGGAGTGCTTTCTCCCATACCAACATACTTGTGCTCTGATACACTCCTAGAAGAAGGGCTGTAGCTCAGAGCACCTGCTTTGCATGCAGAAGGACCTGAGATCAATCCCCAGCATCTCCAAGTAAGGCTAGAAAATCCTCTGCCTCAATTCTGGAGAGCCACTGCCAGTCAGTCTAGACAGCACTGAGCTAGAGAGATCATTGGTGTGATTCAGTAAAAGGCAACTTCCTGTGTTCTTATGATGAAGGGAGCTGGGAGTTCTTCCCTGGCTCGGATTTTTATGCAACCCAGAGAATAATTGGGGTTGTGGGTTGAAAAGCATTAGGATCCCCTGGAGTTATTTTCCAAGGCAGTTTCCCAAGCTCCTATGCCAGTAGAGGTCCTTTCCCCATGAACCTTCTTAGACAAAGATGTATATTATGGATGCCTCCTAAGAGAGGCCCTTCTCTGTGGTGGCACCCTGCCTGTGGAATGCCTTGTTGAGAGAGGAACAGTATGCCTGATGCCAACCCTGTAATTCCAAGGGCTGCCAACCAGGTACATATGGCCCCACAGAGCCATTTCTTGGCAGCTATAGGGCCCCATCTCCCCTTTCTGAAATTAGGCTGGAGAAAAACCTCCTTTAGCCATTATTCCAAGCCTAACTGTGTTGCAGAGAGCGGGGAATTGGGGGCAGGTGATATCCTGGGAGGGAAGAGTTGTGGTGCACACATGATGCCCACAACAGTTTCCCCAATTTTCAAATCTCCCCATGGGCCCAAAAAGGTTGGAGGCACCCCTGCTCTCTCTCCACCCCCTGCTGCTGTGGTCTTTTCAGTGTCAAGTTAAAACCCTTTTTATTTGACCAAGCAATTTAAGATTTGTAGCATTTCCTAAAGCTGGTTGAATAGCTGTATTCCTCTTAATTTTATTGCATTGCTGATTTTTGTTTTCATAATATGTTTTGTAATTTTAAAATCTCTTCGCATGCAGTCCTTAAATCCATTTTTGGACAAAGGGCAGCTTATAAACATTTTAATAAATGCATGAATAAATAAATAAAGTTGGCAGGGAGAATAATCGATACAGTTTAGGACTCTTTCCCCCTTGCTGGAATCCTGATCCAGATCTGGATCCTCATTCCTGCAATTGCCACAAAGGGAGGGGGGATACTCCAATCAGAGTAAACGGGAACTTTTCCACACCTTTCAAATGGCAAGCTTGAGGCCCCACGATGTGGTTTGGGACTGCAACACAGAACAAAGGGCTAACCCCTGGCACAGATCACAGCACACATGCAGACATTTCTGGAAGAAAAACTGTGCTGGAGGGCAAATACCACACGATTCACATCACATGTTGTCCGGCCTTATCCTGCTTGCCAAAATGTTACTTTGCATCACCACCACACCTAGGCAAGTTGTCGCCCACACCCAGGTGAGCACAGCCACCCCAGCTGTGTATTGATTGTATGCCGCTATTGCTTCCATAAACATCCTGTTTCTGCTCCCTGGCTGAGACTGCAAAGAAGAGGCCACAATGCAATCTGTATTTGACCTGGAGTTTCACAACTTGTGACTCAGCCCAGCCTATGTGGAGTTTGCAAACCATGGTTCTCTGACCCTTTAAACCTCCCCGGGAGCCCAGGCTGGGCTAAACATGTGCACTCAGCTTTTGCCCTGAAGCAGCAGTACTTTGGGTGGTAGCTACTTATGCCAGTTAATCAAAAATCCATGCCATGAGAGGGCATCTTTGTGCAGAGAATAGGTAATAAGTAGGGGGTTGAGACTGGAAGGAGCTCTGTAGGCGAAAGCACTAGCGAATGGTTAATGCTGGTCTGATGCCCCAGTAGCACACCAGGTGGCGATGCAGAAGCAGTAGAACAGGGATGGCCTTGTTATGGTTGGCCCCATCTGCCACAGCTTAACAGTGTGTTTCCCACAGCACTTACCAAAGTTCCAGGGCCACCATATTTGCGTAAGTGTTCCTCATAGGTAATGGCATAGATGTCAGAGTCTCCTGATGACCAGCGAGGGTTGCCCCAAGAGGGGGCGTTTGACTCCCGTTTGTTGCCATTTGGGAACTAGAAAGATGGAGAGATATTGAATAGGGACACACACACAGAGAAATATCCGATGATTTGTTTCAGGATTAGCCAACATGGTAACCTCTGGATGTTGCTGACTTATCATCCCTGACGACTGGCTATGCTAGCTGGGACTGGTGGGAGTTATAGCATGGCGTTGTCTGGAGGGCATCCGGTTGGTTTATTTCTTTGCGATTTTTATTAGTCACTTGCCTACCCAGGTACAGTGTGACACATGTAAATTGCCATAACATTAAAGAATCAAAAACACTAACAACAGACAAAAAGAAACCGGTAGCAAAAATCATTTTAAACAGCACCGATTCACCACTCCAAAATGCTGGAGTGTATCCATGGACACAGCGTATCCATAAAACAGAAAATCAACAAACATTCAAAACCTGTGCTCAGACGATAAGTTTTAAGCTGTCACCTAAATGTCGTTGGATCTGTTTGGGGAGGCTGTTTCAAATAAGAGGTGCCACCACTAAGAAGACCCTTTCTCTACCTTGCCTCACCAAGTTCCTCCCCCTCCAAGAAGCTCCCCTCACCCGAGGTGGATCTCAAAAGTCGGACAGCTACAAGTGAGAGGAAGTGGTCCTTTAGACAGTGATGCCATCAAAGTAGAACCTAAAAGCAGATGTTGGCGTCCCACACAGCAGAATGAGCAAGAGGAAGGCCCCCCAACAGCATCAGGGATGCCTTATAACATTCCGAAGTAATACACATCAGCATCTAAAGATAATTAATTGTTCTTAGCTATAAAACACCTGTGCACATTAATGAGACCGCTTGGTTAGAGGTGAGTTTCGCAACTGTTCAACACAACACAACACACAATGGCCTCTCTCTCTCTCTCTCACACACACACACACACATCCCTATTATAGTTGCATCTCATTTTTTCTTACCTGACGTGACAGGTAGTGTTGTCGGTTCTCAGGTGGCGTTGGGGGGATTTTCTTCTCCTTTGCTGCAAGGAGTGAAAGGCCGATGTCACTACAGCTTTGCACTGACGGTGAGATTGGCTGTCTCTCAGTTCCCAAAGAAATATCCCTTGGAATGCTGAACCAAAACTGAACCCTTCTGGCTAGTTGTGATCACAGCCAGCTCCTGATTGGCCTATCCACTTCAACTGTGACCAGCTCAGCACAAGGGCTAGAGGATTATTTTCCCCTCCTGACTTATTAGTATCAGTACAAGTGGGATCTGCAACAAAATGTTGCAGCGTAGAGTCTTCCTGATTGCTGTTACAGGCAGACAGCTACCTCCTCCTCCAGGACACTCCCATGCAGGGGCAATTAATGTGGCACCTTCCAGATATTGCCGAACTACGACTCTCATAATTCTTGGCCATTGGTCATGCTGGCTGCAGCTGATGACGGCTGGCGTTCAGCAATATCTGGAGGCGCTACTTTGCTCCCCCTGTTCTGTTCCCTTTCTCACCCTCAAGAGACATGTGGCATTCTGTGGCCACTGAACATGCACAATCTTCACCAGGCTGGTTTGGGTTCCCCACCACCGCCACCCAACAAAGATGTGGCTCCTCCAAGTCTCCCTCTAGTGTGTGTAGGATATTCTGCTTTAGCTGTATGAGCAAAAAACAGCCATGCCTGAACACTGGAAATAGTGGGATTGATGAATTAAATATCAGTCAGGTAGTATCAGATACTGATGCCCGCATTTGGGCAAAGAAAAGCCTTTATGCCAAATATATATCTGATGGGCAATATATCTGAAGGGCAAAGTCAGGGGCATCTTACCCATAGAAGCTAGTGGCGCGGGGCGCCAGGGTGCCAAGTCCTGGAGGGCGCCAGGGATGAGGTGGAGGCTGGATGCGGCGCCTCCTGGCATCAGCTCGCCACCCTCGCCCACCTCGACCATGCTGCCACAAAGCAGCACCGCGCCCGGAGCCTCCATCTGCCAATGACCACCACTGCACGAAGCAGCCAGCTGAGCCGGGAGGTGCCACGTCCAGCCTCCGCCTCTTCCCTGCCAGAGGAGCCACCCTCCAACTGCTGCCCATCTCCTCCAGCCCCGCCGGCAGCACCGTCCTCCCTAAAAAGAGGTGGACAACTCTGGGAAACGGGGGTGGGGGCGCTGGAGAGAGTTTTGCACCACAGCACCGGATATGCTTCAGACGGCCCTGGGCAAAGTCATATGCAGAAGCTGGCCCAGTGAACACAGTATTCAGTACCCTGAGAGTCTCCATTTCCATACAAGTTTCTAGTCCTTAAGACTGCATCTGATTTCCAGATTTTCAAAGAGTTGTTTGGAAGGACTAGGGAAATGAAACTGGTGGGTGGAGCATAGGAAGGGTGTGTGTCTATTTCTCTATCCTATATTTACACAATCGACTTCAAAGCAGCCATTATTATTATTATTATTATTAATTGAATTTATATGCCGCCCTATACCCGGAGGTCTCAGGGCAGTTCACAGAATAAAATCCCATCTGACGTCCTCCAAACGTTCTGGATTTTGAGAACTCCCATCATCCCCAAGCCTATAAGAATTGCAGTTCACAACAGCTGAAGGGCACCGGGTTGGGCAACTGTGGTTTAAAACTAACATAGTTATTCTATTTCTTGAGCCTGACTTTCCATGCTTGGTGTTTAACTGGCTGAAGGGAGGTCAGCTGATCACACCCATCTGCCATGTGATGCTTCCCGCCCAATCGGTAAAGATCAGCAATTTGGTTAGTTTGTGTTTCGCTCGTTCGTGGTTCAGCCCACCTTTCCGAAGGCAGATTGGCCAGATCAAGCAGATCAACAAGAACAGGAGAGCGAGGATCAGGAGTGCCCCGATGATGGAGCCAATCACTATTCCAGCAATGGCGCCTGCGCTCAGACTCGAATCTGTGACACAGAGGAAGGAGAGGAAATCAGGATTAGAAACACAGGGGTCCTCAGGCTTGTTCTACCTCAACCACAGTCCACAGAGGAGCTCTTGAGCTTCACATATTTGTCTCGCAAGACTGAGGAATTTCCAAGACTCATAAATTTTGGCCCTCACTTCTTATTTTAGATCCTATCCATCAAGGATTCTAGAGCCAGAAAAGTTTTGAAAGCCAGGGATCTGATCCTCATCAGATGGTTTCCTTGAAACTGTAAGCTCGTGGTGAGAAACCTGAACTCCAGGACCCATCATCTGCAGTCAGCACGGACAATTGTCAGCGATGATGGGAGCTGGAGTTCAACTGCATCTGTATATTTTTGTGTTGTGTGTTTATTACATACATAAACACCACCTTTTCTCCCAAGAAGCTCAAGGCAAAAGTACATGGTTCTTTTCCTCCCCATTTCATCCTTGCAACAACGCTGTGAGGTAGGTTAGACTGAGAGGCGGTGACTTAGCCCAAGGTCACCCAGTGAGTTTCATGGCTGAGTGGGGATTCAAATCCTGGTCTCCCAGTTCCTAGTCCAACACTCCAACCATTACACCACTTGAGGGCTACAGGTTGCCCTTCCCTGTTGTGGACCATCAGAACACTCTGCTGGACATTAAAGGGAGGATAGGCACATATTACTGTAAGTGGCACGAATAGGAAACTGTTGCACCAAGAGCCACAAAGGCCACAAGACCCAGGAAATGTTCTGTTGTCCAAGGAGGCAAAACTCTTCTATCAGAGGCAAAAGCATGGCGGGGCCGCTGGACCCGCAAAGGGGTCGCTGTGAAGGATCAGTGCATTCGCTTAACAAGTTTTTGTACTGCTACGCACAGAGTGGAATTTAACATTCAGGAAAGAGTAGCTTTCTTTTGAAAAAAAGAAAGAAGAAACAAGTTTCTAGACCTCACGGCAGAAGAAGAAAGACTGGAAGTGTCTCTATGACACTTCTTTCATTTGCCCTGGCTTGTTAAACAATCAAACAACAACTAAACCATGTGGAATAACACAAAATGCACAGAACTAAAGAGATTTCTGCAATCAGGCTTAACTCCGAACACAGACTTTGGGTTTTCTAGCACACAGGTGATGAGCTGGGCCCCACTGTTCAGTTCTAACAGCAGCAGCACCATCATAGATATATTGTTAAAAATAGAGATCTGGGATTGCAATATGCATTTTTGGACTAAAGAAGGGCCCCAGATCTGAAAAGGGTTAGGTTCTGAAAAGGACAAGGGGTACTGTAAATGTGATCTAGGTTTACAATAGTGTGACATTTTTAATGAAACCCTTGCATAGAAAAGCATCCCCCAAACACACAACTTTTCAGAGTTTGCTGTGAAATAATTTGAATGGATCTTTTTTGGGGGGAGGCGTCATTGCCCTCACTTGGAACTGGCTTTGTTTGACCTTAGTGACATTGCCACAGAGCCAGATCTGACTGGCTATGTTGTTATGATGTCATATCCTTAATGATCACAATTGCCTGGTTTTGCTCATGCCACTATTCCCAGGGAGCATCCACCTCCCTCTCAAATGGCTTAATTTGCCCTCACTGATGTCAACAAATAATAATAAAATTTATCTATTCACTACAAAATCCCTAGCTGGCTGGGATCACCCATGTGACTATTCACAAGAAGGAGACCAAGTATTACAGAAAAAGTCCAAAATCAGAAGCACATTGGGGAAACAATAGTAGCAAACAGGATTGGAGGAAAGGTCAGTAGTGACCATATAATTTAGGAGCATTGGGGGGAGGGGAATATTCCTGACTCTGAAAGCAGTGCTTTTATAATCCCATGATTAAAGCAGGAGAACATTTGGTGAACCTCTGCTTTATTTTACTTTTCGTTAAAGATTTTCATTTTTAACAATTATGGCAAAGCATTTTAAATGGCTGCAAAGTGCTTTTTTAAAAGCAGTAGGTGTGAACGCTTAGTACTGGCGCTAAAATATTTTAAGCCATTTAAAGCACTCTCGCCGCCTTTTGTGTCAATTCAGTCCCATAAAACCCGACTCTTTTCCTTTCCCCCTTCAAACCAGCCTCATAATGGCCATTGGCTTGGTCGCCTGTGGTGAGTGAAGAATTGCCTTCAGGCGACCAAGCCAAGGAACCTGTGCAAATCAGAAGAGAATGTCCCACTCTTGCGGGTCATGATTTAAAAGCGCATTTACTTTAAACGGAGAATGAAAACTCTCACAAAATGCACATATGCATCAAAAAGCATGACTGTTAGGGCTGCGCAAGGCACCTCTGATTCTGCACCCCTGATTGGGCTCTGATCTGACCCACACCAATCTCAGTCCTGAGACAAAGTGGGAGCCTTGCACTGCCCTTAATTAAAAGCTAAGGTGTTAAACTGGACCTGAATTGGCTCGAATGGGTTCACGATTTCTCCAGACAAGATGCACAGCCCTAATGGATATCATAAGTTAAGGTTCCTGCCTTCACTCTCCAGAAAGAGTGCACAGTCTGACATTTCATGCTCGCTTGCGATGTTGCCACCACGCAGCGACATTTTCCCTTGCCCTTTTAGCCCCAATTCTCTTCCTCCACAGGTTGGGGGCCACATGGGGGTTAGTGCTATACAAATGTTCCATAAAAATGCGGCTATTTGTTGAAATGAATGCCATGGAAGGCCCATTGGGAGGAATGGACATCGTGCAGATTTGGAAATAAATCTTACTGTCACCCTCTTGAAGTCACTGTGAAGGAATACAACCGAGCTGAACGTAAACATCAGCAGCCTGAGAAGTTTGACTAAACTTAGAGGCCCCGTCTGCACGGTACATTTAAAGCAGGATCGTGCCACTTCAAAGAGCCATGGTTTCCCCAAAGAATTCTGGGAACTGTAGTTTGTTGAGGGTGCTGAGACTAGGAGACCCCTGTCCCCTCTACTATTCCCAGAGTGGTTTAACAATCAATCCCTTTCCCCAGGGAACTCTGAGAATTGTAGCTCTGTGAAGGAAATGGAAATCTAGAAGCTGCACCCTTGACAAACTACAGTTCCCAGGATTCCTTGGGAAACCATGTCTGTTTAAAGTACAGTCGTACCTTGCTTTTCGAACAGTTTAGTTCTCGAATGTTTTGGCTCCCGAGCGCCACAAACCCAGAAGTGACTGTTCTGGTTTGCGAAATATTTTTGGAAGCTGAACATCCAACGGGGCTTCCGGTTGGCTGCAGGAGCTTCCTGCAGCCAATCAGAAGCCACGCTTTGGTTTCTGAATGTTTTGGAAGTCGAACGGACTTCTGGAACAGATTCCGTTCGACTTCCAGGGTACGACTGTAGTATAAAGCTGCTTTAGACGCATAGTGCAGATGCAGCCTAAATTTAGTGCAAGTTCTTTTACTTCAATATGAGCAGCTTATATTTGTGTGTGTGAATAATATAGGCTAGCAAATTTTGTTGTGGGCCAGTCATTTTTCTAGACTTATCTGCAATGCTATCCCCATCCTCAAACCACCCTGTTCCACGTGTCTCCTAAAATCAGGAACACACACCTGGTTGAAGGATGTAAACAAGAGAGGCGTTCCCGGCTTGGGATCCCAAACGAGGCACAACCTGGAAGGAGTATGGCGTTTGGGGCTCCAATCCTATAACAGTGGTGGATCGGTTGTTGGCTCCTAAGACTTGCACCGTCTTCCATTCCTCAGCTGAACGGTGCTGCTGAGGACCTTGCATCTGGATCCAGAAGCTAGTCACTGCAGATCCATTTGGAACGGTCCAGGCCAGGTAAGCAGAACCAGGATGAGGTCCGTGAGAGAGAGTCCAGTCGGCGATCGAAGGACCTGCCAAGAGAGGATAACTCATGGAGGGTGCAGTCCAACAGGTACAGTCCTGCTGCTCAGGACCAAAACAGATGTGATACAGAAGATTTGATGCAGAATGTCTGTAACTCAGTGGCTGGGAATCTGCTTTGCAGGCAGAAGGTCTCAGAGAGCTGGGAGAGGCCTCTGTCTGAAAACCTGGACAAGTGTTGACAATATTGAGCTAGAAGGGCCAATGGTCTTACTCAGCATAAGGCAGCTTCTTATGTTCTGAGGACATGGCCTTCCAGATGTTGTTGGACTCCAACTCTCATCAGTCAGCATCACCTACCCAGCATGACGAACAGCTGAGGATGATGGGAGCTGCAGCCCAGAAGTATCTGGAGGGACAAAGGTTCTGCATCCTTGCTATAGTCTTACCGGTGATCAGATTTCCCAGTTTTAAAATTTTATTTTAAAGTTTATTAAGTGGCTAGTGTCTGATAATAACTGGAGAAGAAGTAATGTGAATGTTCAACACATGCACGCACACACACACACACACACACACACACACACACACACAGGGCTTCACTTCCTGGTACATCTCATCAAAATAAGTTCCACTGAGTTTAATGGCTCTTACTCCAGGATACTACGAAACTACATCACCCCCCTCTCCTCACAGCTGCTACTGGATTTAAAAAAATACAGATATTTGTATAATGCCTGAAGTTTCCGCTCCCAGCTCACCCTCAACTTCCAGGCAGGAATGATTTAGATCAGGAAAATAATGTGGTTGGGATTAATTAATTCAGGCAAGACTAGGGTTCACCACTATAGGAGGAGGCCCACCCAGAGGGCACTTTATTTATTACTTCACACTTAGGCCTCCCCTTTCCCCCAAAGTCTGAGAGGTCAAGGAGGTGTACATGGTTCTCTTCCTCCCCATTTTATCGCTCACAACAGACCTGTGAGGTGGGTGAGACTGAGAGGCTGTGACTGGCCCAAGGTCATTCAGTGAGTTTCATGGCTGGGTGGGGATTTGAACCCTGGTCTCCAAGATCCTAGTCCCACACTCTAACCACTACACCACACTGGCTCTACCCAAATCACTCCTCAAGCCAAGAACTGCCCTGCCACCTAATAAAGCCCCTCCCTCAGGCTGGACGTGGATGGTTTAAAAATACATATTGGTTCTTTCTCTCCCACATCTTGCCTTGTCTTGAAAAGTGAGAATCCATGCCCTCATTCAAAATGGTGTCCCCATGCACACATTCCAGCTTCTCACACTTCACTGCCAGGAACCAAAATGGTGGCTACTACACTTGCTCTTTTCCCACCTAATGTAGCTGCCCGGCTGCTATTTGCAGCAGAGAGCAAAAGGCTGGCTGGTGTTAGGAACCCATGAAAAGAAATAGATATAGAAAATAGGACTTCAGTGGTGGTAGAAGGAGCTCTCACCAAGGATGGTGAGGTTCGAGCGTTGGGATCCCAGCGGATTATAGCAGGTGGCACTGTAATCGCCCAGGTCATCTGGGGAAGTGAAGTTCCAGATGGTGAGCTGCGTTCGGGCAGGGTTCAGGTGGTAACGGCCTCCGACAGGAATGAGAGACCCCTTATTCCGAAACCAGTCAATCTCCACAGGATTGAAGGTGCCTTGGCAATGCAGTTCCATGGTAACGGACTCTTCGGTGCTGCTGTATGTCCGGAATGAGAGCAAAACTCCTGAGGGAGCTTCTGTGGTGGGAGATTAGGGGGAGGGGAGGGAAGCCTGTTATGCTGGTAAACAAAACTTTCTGAAAATCAAAGACGAGGCAAAGCTCAGTGGTAGGGCATCTGCTTTGCATGCAGAAGAACCCAGGTCCACTCCTTGGCATCTCCAGGCAGGACTGGGAGATAACCCCTTTCTGAAGAGAGACCCCTGGAGAGCTGCTACTAGTCACCATAGACAACAGTCAGCTTGATGTACCACCACAATGCAGCTCCATATGTTAGTCACATCATCATCAGATTGTGGTGTCTTTAGAGTATTCCCAGACTGTGATGTCTTTAGGATATCTAGCTTTATTTACACATATATGCAACCTGAGGGTAGGATGGAGGTGCTCCAACAGATCTCACTTCTCAATTGGGCTTCCAAGGAGAGCCCCAAGCCACTGTGTCTGAAGATTTCGGCATCAGCCATAAACTCTCTCACACCATTGGCCTATTGTTCTACATCCTAGGATGATAGTTCTACATCCTAGGCTTTTCCATTTGTCTCCATGGTAACAGGGCAACTTTTTTGGACATGGCGATGGAAGTACTTGACTAAGGCCATGATCTTACAAAGAAATTGCTCTGGCTGTTTCAGCAGCTTCATCTACTAGATTCTAAGCCACCTTGATACAGAATCACGTGTCTGGAAGGAACCTGTGGATATCATCCAGACTGATCCCCCAAACCTATAACAAGTTGGATTCGTAATGTCCATTTTGCCTAATATAGTGAGTTTGTTCCTTTCAGTTTCAGTGCCCCTTTTTTGAAATATTCATAACATTTGTATCTTCTTCCTCCAAGGATTTCAAGACAACAGATATTGAGGTTACTCCATTTTATCCTCACAACAACCCCGTGAGGTAGGTTAGGATGAGAGAAAGGGACTGGGACAAAGATCAGCAATCAACTCTTTCTAACCAACTGCAAAACTCTGCCCACTGAATCTCACTGGTTCTAACTAGCTAAGCCCTCTTAATGGGGGCCTACTAAACCCCTAAACCATGCACCAAGCACCCCATCATTTGCTGGTAACAGCTCACTTATTAATTGTTAACATTCACAGCCCACCTTTTCCTCCAAGGAGCTCGAAGCAACATACATGATCCTTCCATCCCCATTTTATCCTCACAGAAACCCTTTGAGGTAGGTCAGGCTGAGAGACCACGATTGTCTCAAGGGCACCCTGTGTGCTCCATGGCCCAATGGAAATTTGAACCCTGGTCTGCCAGGTCCTAGTCCAACACTCTGACTGCTACGCCACAATACTACACCAGAACCAGAACTCATATCTTGCCTTCCGGTTCCTCCATGTGGAGGATTCTGGTAACCAGTTTAGTAGTTTAGATTTGATATCCCGCTTTATCACTACCTGAAGGAGTCTCAAAGCAGCTAACATTCTCCTTTCCCTTCTTCCCCCACAACAAACACTCTGTGAGGTGAGTGGGGCTGAGAGACTTCAGAGAAGTGTGACTGGCCCAAGGTCACCCAGCAGCTGCATGTGGAGGAGCAGAGACGCGAACCCGGTTCCCCAGATTATGAGACTACTGCTCTTAACCACTACACCGCTAGTCTCACCTGGAATCAAGCTGCAATTGCCCTGCCCGGTCATATGGCGTCCAAGACAGATGATTTTGCTGCCACTGAGCTCAGCTGGGAAGGGAGAGACCAGCAAGCGCTGCAAGTTGGAGGTGCTGACCTCCTCCTCATGTCCTGGGAGCCCCCGGAAGGTCAGTTGCGGGGTAGGGGAGCCACCAGGCCAGGAACAAATGAAACGCAAAGCGGTACCATTGTCTGCTGAGGCCACAGAGCAACGGGGGGATCCAAGGGGTCGTTCTAAGCGGGGAGAAAGAAAGAGATAACTCAACCGTACACACAAATCAGATCGGCTGTATTCAGAGAGACAGATTATTTCATAACAAGGAAAAAAATCTTCAGACAATTTAGTTTCAGGCATGCGGCTATCAGAACCAGCTCTTGCTAAGTGGGAGATAGGGCAAGGTGAGGGAAAAGAGGTGCCCTGGTTAGGTAATTTTAGCCAGGGCTTGCCAACCTTGCTGGGCCAGTGGGCACATTTAGAATTTTGAGGAAGTGTGTCGGGCACCAGTCATAAAATGGCTGTCATGGGGCATGTGGCATTTCATAAAATGGCTGCCATGGGGGTGGGGGTTTCTAGGAGAGGCCAAGCCCCTAAATCAAGAAACAGGAGAAACCTTGTCAAAGCAGAATGCGTAACAAAATCAACATAACTTCATAGTAATAATTTTAAAAATCTGAGATAAAAAAACATTAAAGGGAGGAGAAAACATCAAACTGGGTCACATAGCAGAGTAAGTTTGTGTTAATAATAGCTGAGGTTAAAACAAAAACAAAAACCTAAGCATGAAAGATGCCTGCCTAAAAGGCAAAGGCAGTGAATTTAGTTCAACAGAAGACGGATCAAAAGAGAAGGAAGATTTCATGCAGATGTAAAGCAAAGTATAAGCCCTCCAGATGTTTTAGACTTCATTTCCCATCAGCCCCAATATGGGCAATGGTCAGGGATGCTGGAAGTTGCCACGGTAGCTGCTTCTGCTGTAGAGGAAAAGGCATCTCTCTGCACCAGACTTCCACTGGTTTAACAGTCATTCCACTTCTGGTGAAATCTGGGCTCTTTGACAAGGCTGGGGAACTCTACAATGGAAACCTAGCAACTCACCAAATTATAATTCCTAGGGCTTTTTGGGGAAGGCCTTGAGAGGGAAACTGGTATCATTTACTCCTGATGGTAAAGCTCTGAGTGAAGCTCTGAGGTAGTGGCACCCACACACAAGAGCGAAGTATCAACAGGCTTGGGGGGAACCCAAGGTTTGCAGAACAACATTTAAAAAATGAATTCTAAATGGGGTGTGCACCCGACACAACTCAATGGGGATGAGCCTGCTCTGTGGCCACAGAATGTTGAATAACCATTAAGGGTGGGAGAAGGAATGTCTTCACCCCCATTGTTCAGCCCGGACACTGAGGTCCAGCTCCGAGGGCCTTCTGATGGTTCCTTCACTACAAGAAGTGAAGCTATAGGGAACCAGGCAGAGGGCCTTCTTGGTAGTGGTGCCTGCCCTGTGGAACGTCCTTCCATCAGATGTCGAGGAAATAAACAACTATCTGAATTTGAGAAGACACCTGAGGGCAGACCTTCAGACATCTGAAGGCAGTACAAAATTGTAATGAGTATTATATTATTAGTGAATCCTGGAAGAGAAGTGTGGAGAAAGAGTCACACAGATATGAAAGAAATAGAATTGTCTGGATAGGTCATTTCTTGGTTTACAAGAGCACAGCCAATATCCACCCCCCACTCCGCCCTGGAAAACTGGGGGTTGGAACTTGATGGGCTCCTGAAAAGGGGGGGGGGGCATTCCATACTGCAACATTTTGCTGCAGCTCCCCACATATGCTCCTGTGCCTGACTCCCTCCCTGCTGAGATTCATGCCTCTTAGTGTGACAGGAAGACGGACGTCAAATTCAACTCACGGGCAACAGTGAGATGGTGCGTGTTTCGAACCCGGCGCTGCGTGCGCTGATTGATGGCCAAGCAGGAATACGAGCCGGCCTGATTCAGCTGCACCTTGGGGAGCTGCAGGACAGGCAAGGAAGGCACGTAGAGGTCCTGAGCGTCTGCCACATTCCAGTACATCTTGGCCGGGGGCTCGGACGGCGCCAGGCACGTTAGGTTCACGGTACTGTTCACCAGCACAAAACTCCCCGCGTCAGAGTCCCGCTCCGACGAGGAAACTGTAATTGTTGGGGTCTCTGGGCCATCTGAGAGGAATGAAAGCCACACAGCCATGTAATACGGTACCAATGAAATGTCTATTTCCTAGGGTTGTTTTTTTTAAAAAAGACACAACAAATAATCTATCCATCAGGCTTAACTGCCAGGGAACCTGCCTCCTCTCCCCAGCTTTGGTTATCCAGGTTGCGACCTCGCTGACGAATGTGGCCATTCAGATTGATGCAGTGGTCATTTAGCAGCAGAAAGGTGCATTACGGTCAGCTGTATTTGCCCAGCCACCTGGGTAAAAGGCAGCGCAGCCGTCTTAAGTAGTGTCCCTTCCGCTTGCGGCTGGGATGTTTGCCCTTTCTCCCCGAGAAGCGTGGCAAAAGGCTGGCCGAGGTCGCTGGCTGCAAGAACATGCAAGGGAGGGAGGGAGAGGAAGTAAGTGTGCAGAATCAGTGCATGAACTCCAGTGAATGATTCTGACTACGTGGTCTTCGCCAGCAGCCAGGAGGAGGAGGAGGAGGAAGAAGAGGAGAGCAGCTGTCTGGAAGCAAAATGGATGTGTGACTGGTCCTTAAGCCACATCTCCCTTTGAGCAGCCAATCGAACTCTGGTAAATCTTCCTTAAGGACATCTAGCCCAGTATCCTGTTTTCACAGGAGCCAACCAAATGTTAAACATTAAAAAACACCTTCCTATACAGGATTGTCTTCAGACGGCTCGGGGGTTGGATAACTCCATACCCTCCAACTTTTATCCAATGAAAATAGGGAAGTCCTAAAGAAAAGCGGGACATTCCGGGATCAAATGAGAAACTGGGACAGCTTCTTTAAATCAGGGATATCCCTGGAAAAAAGGGACACTTGGGGTGTCTGTAATATTAAGAGACTCAGGCTCTACCGAATGAGCTATGCTTCATTATTTCTTTAGTTATGATGACATCATCAATAATAGGCGACAGGTGACAATATTCCTCTTCCCCCAGGCCTTTGGCTAATTAAACAATGTAAGGCTTTTAAAACTCTGTGTTTGAGGGTCATTGTTTTGCTTGCTATAGTGTTATGTATTTCCGTGTTTTTATACTGTAAACCACTCTATGATCCTTGGATGAAGGGCAGTACAGTGATACCTTGGTTTACAACCATAATCTGTTCTGGGGGTTCGTTTGTAAACCCAAACAGGTTGTAACCCAAGGCGCGCTTTTGCCAATGGGGCCTCTGAAAAAAGTTTGTTCGTAATCCAAAAAAGGGGGTTGTAATCCAAAAAAAGGTTGCAAACCGGGACACGCACTTCCGGGTTTGACGTGTTTGTAATCCAAAACGTATGCAAACCAAGACGTATGCAAACCAAGGTACCACTGTATATAATTATTTTTTTTTAATAAAGTGACTGATTTTTGGCTTGAAAATCAGGTTATAAATACCCAAGGAATGAATAAGCACAGATACCAGGCTAGTCGTCAAGACTTTTAGTACATTGTCAGCCTGCCTCTGTGATTTTTAGGAGCAGGGCTCCCTAGAAGTCTAAAAGTTATTTACTTATGTGGTTTTTTGTGTGTCTTTTGATGCTATAAACCACCCTGTGATCTTTGGGTGAAAGGTGGTATACAAATTCTATAAACACAAAAATAAAGTTATCATTTGCTACATTTTTATCCCACCCTTTGTCTGAGAAACTCAAGAAAGAATACCTGACCTCAGTGAGCTGGACTAGGCTGAGAGCCAGCGACTGGCCCAAGGCCACCCAGGAAGATGAGTGGCTCAGTAGGTATATGTAGCTGGCTGTCCGCAGTTTACGTCTAACCACAATGGTACAATACGTCAGTATATAAAAACGGTAATCTCTAGTGTGTACTCACAATAGACAGTAAGGTTGGTGGTGCCAGTCCCGTTGCCAAAAGGGTTGGTGATAGTACAGCGATAGATGCCCGCATCAGTACGTAGAGGGTTTCTGATTTGCAAGGAACCAGCTGAGAGCAAGAATCGGGGGTTTTCTTCTAGGTTTTTCCCATCCTTGGTCCAGGAGACAGAGCCTCGGACTGGGGTGCAGTTCAGGGCCACCGAGCTGTCTCCTTCTGTCACCTCCGCAAAGGGTGGGGTCACAGAGACATTGCCCACCTCCTCTGGAAAATAAGTAAATACAGGAATGGGAAGGGGAAGATGCTCCCATACCATAGGTCTAGCCCAGAAATAACCAGCATGGACCACCCTACCCCCCAGATATTGTCAGACTCCAGCTCCCACCAGTATGGCCAATGCTCAGGGATGATGGGAGTTGTAGTCCAACAACATCCGCAGCATGCCACACTGGCTACCCCTGCTCTAGCCACTAATTCCCACTCCCTTCCCAGATGGAGCTGTGAATTCAGAAGTGTTTCTTCCCAGCTCCTGTCTTTGTGCATTAGTCTCTTGTTATAGTAACAGATTCCTAAGTTTGCACCTATGAATATACTTCTAAATTTGCAGTCTGGATGCGCTGGTTCATATCAGGCAAGTGCATAATAGAGGTGGCAGCAGAATTCCCCCAAGCTAGGTTTTGAAAAAGCAACTCTGGAGGCTTGTTCAGCTAAGGCTCAAAAGGAGAGGTGAGTTTTACACTTCCTCAGAGGGAGAGGAAAACTTCACGTCCCTGTATTCTTCTCCTCGATGTCCAATGAAAACCTGAGCCTCAGAAGAATCTCTGGCTTCCCTGACTGTGAAAGGTTTTGTGTGGCAAGGAGAGAGAGCTCTCTGAGCTGAGCAAAGCCGTTGTCAGCCAGGAATCATCTAACCAGAGACTCCCTGCAGGGGACAGAAGTCTCTAGGGCTGGGACAGATTGGTAGCTGGAGGTCACCAGCTAGAAGTAACTCGCAAGGTACTGGCTTCCCAGCAAGTAGGTCGCTGTTGGTTACTGAGAGGGAGATGGGGAGGTGGCAGGGAGGTTGGTAGGGTGCAAATGCAGCGGCGAAGCCAATCCAGCCCTCCTGCCAATGCGTTTGCACTGCGCCAACCTCCCATGCCACTTCACCCTCTCCCACTTGCTAAGCCCACCCACTGACTTTGCCACACCCATCACACACACTGACAGATCTGTCAACATACCATGATCCTCAGCTGCCAAACCCAGCTACTCCACCCTCGGGCTGTGGGGGCAATAACAGAGGAAGGCATGGAAAAGCATCCCCTGCAAGACATCTCTGGGACACTGGCTTGCTCCCACTCCCTTGCAACTTACTTAATTGTCCCCTGTGCAGTGAAAGAGGGTGATGCTGCCCCATCTAGGCAGCCTAAGAGGGCAAATGAGGACACACACACACACACCCCCACTCAATACGAAGGTGATTTGCACATGCTACTTTATAGGCACAGCTGCACATTTTGAAATGTCGCTTTACATAGAAAGACAATGCACCTCCGCCACAATGTCAACATCTGCGACCCAGTGACATGTGTGCCCGCACAGTCTAGGAGCTAAGTATTGTTGGGCCACTCCGAGGCCATCTTTGCATTTAGACCAGACTTGGGCAGCTCATCAATACGGGACTTCTTCTAAACAGAGGACTGCTCCATCAATCCCAGTCTGCCCTAGACAGGCTCCCACCTGCCTGCCTTCCTACTTCCAACCAGTCCAAGCAGTGGCCCTGCCTATCAAGCTTTCTCCTCCTTAGTCTCAGTTATGCCCCTTGTAGAAAGCAGCAGGAGGGATGGGGAACCAAACAGGGGTTTAGTTGTCTCTTCCTGTTGTGGGCTCTGGCGCCACCTACTGCTCGGCTCCTGGCCTTCCACTCCACAAGTCCCAAAGGGGAAGCCTCTTTTACATGGACTTGCAGGGCTTCCTCGCGCTTGGCTTTTGTCCCTGCAGCCCAAGGCTGGACTGGCAGCTTTGGCAGCCAAGGACCTTCTATCTTTGGGCCAGTTTTTGTCCTGGGGCCTCTTCACTCTGCTTCGATTTGATATAATAGAGTGAAATTGCTTCATTACATGGAGAAGGAGAAGAATTAAGAAGTAGCCCTGGCCTCACTTGGGAGGGGGGCGGTTAAGTCAGAGTTCGCCTGTTATTTTTGCTTTTGTTTGTGCTTGGCTGATTTCTGAGTTAATCCGAGATGAGCATGGGAGAGCCTGCCTGTCTCTGGTGCAGAAAACATGAAAACAAGTGTGCTGCTGGAAGAGCAGAGTCTTTGGAAAACACACAAGAGCATCTGGGACACTGATCCCTGGTATGGGAAGCGAACCTCTGCAAGCATGCCCCTGTTTTCATACCATGAAACGCCAGAGGGCATGTTGAGGAAAACTCCGCTGCTATGTGCACAGCCCTAGCACACCAGCGCATTGGGTGTCCCCAGTGTGCTGACATTGCAAGAGGAAGCAGGGCAACCTGCTTTCAGTGAGGTGTTGCCTTGTCGCTTGCGACGCTGCAGATGTAAGTGTTTCCATGGTCAGGGTTAAATAAACCTGAAGAGAGGGCAATCTGTGGGCCAGAGCAGTCAGAATCCAGAGCTGCCATGCCATTAGGCAAAGGGAGGCAGCTGCCTCAGGCAGGCGATGGTGCGGGTGGCCAAAACAGCCACAAGCCATTTCTCTTTCTTTTTTATATATCTAATTTTTATTAAATTTCCTGTTTTACAATTTAAAATACTCATTTTGCATCTTTAAGATATCAGTGACTTCCCTTCTTCTCTTTCCATGGTTCATTTTACATATCATAAATCCCAGCATATTTTACAAAAACTATACCATTCAGTATTCCACTATTGCATCCATCAAAACATGTTTACACTGTTGAATTTATCTTAATGCTGCCAGCGTTTTCAGCTGTACACAGTTATTTCCCATATATTCAATAAATGTTTTCCAATCTTCCCTAAACGTATGTTCTTCTTGTTCTCTTATTCTATATGTTAAGTCTGCGAGTTGTGCATATTCTGTCAACTTAAGTTGCCATTCTTCTTTAGTTGAGACCTTGCTCATTTTCCATTTTGGGGCTAACAAAACACGGACCACAGTTGCTGCATACATAAATAACCTTTTTTGACACCTGAGAATTTCAGTCTGAATTATCTCCAACAGAAAGGACTGGGGTTGTTTTTTTTTGGGGGGGGGAATACTTTTAAACATTTTTTTCAATTCATTATGGATCATTTCCCAATACTCTTTTATCTCACAAGCCATTTCTCTTTCTTGCCACACAGCCTGTCTTGAGCTCCCTGATCTGGCCTGGTGCTTCAGGTGCAACGGAAGGTGCAATCCCCTTGCCAGTGTTGAAGAAAAATTATTGTGGGATATCTAAAACAAGGCAGTCAAAACCAACTACTGCTGATTGCCAGAAAAGCACACAGAGAGAGGAAGTTGAATCTCATAGGGTCTACAGAAAGTTCTCCCTGTGAGAGCCATTCCCACTGTGCCCAGCCAGGTAAAGGGGAGCAACTTATATAATCTGGTCACTTCCCCGGCCTGCTCTCTCTCTGCCCTCTGTTATCTGATCTCTTCTCTTCGATGCTTCATCAATGACTAGGGATGTAGGACATGCACTGAGCCCGAGTCACAGCTCAGACCCTAATTCTAATCTAAACTATAATATAAGTATTAGCACTTTTAAAAAAAACTTTATGGAACTGTTTAGAACTTTTACAGCTGTCTGGAACTTCCTAAAACTGTATTGGAGAATCACTGGAAGCAGGAGCCATCCGTACTCCAGATACCAAGAAGTAATCAGTGTGCAGAACACGCAATCAAAGTGATGTGGGAACTTCATGGTGCTTGCAGCAGAAACAAAGGCAAACTGCAGCTTTGATTTATTCTAAGCAATAAGAAGTGTTGTGCATTGTACAATGTACAAAACATTGTACAATTATTAGAAAATTTGCAAGCTTTATTTTTTCCTGTATTGTAATACATGCTGTGCATATTACATATTATACAGTTACATATACAAAAATTGATTTATGGATTTAAGGGTGATGTTCCACCTCCCCCCCCCCCAAAAAAATGGAAATGACTGTTCATTCCTTTGTTTTCAGCCAAAAGTTCATCTAACTAAGCTACAGGAACATGAGTTTGTAAAAAAAAAAAGTTATAACCCTGGTGTCTAATGTGCTGTAAACCGCTTTGAGTGGTACAGAAATGAAATTAATAATAATAATAATAATCAGTGTTTTTTTTCTGGGGGGACACAGGGGTACACATACCCCTAAACATTTTGTGAATCTAAGTTTGGCCTCATTGAGCGGCAGTATTTCAATATGAGTAGGAAAACGAGAGTACCCCTAAACATTTTTTAACGGGGAAAATGCACTGATAATAATTTTAAGCCTGCCTCCTAACAAATCCCATCACTTTTTACAAGCTGTGTTTCCCAGGGTTCTTTGCCAGTCAAAGTGGTAAGGTAAAGGTAAAGGGACCCCCGACCATTAGATCCAGTCGTGGCCAACTCTGGGGTTGCGGCGCTCATCTCGCTTTATTGGCCGAGGGAGCCAGCGTACAGCTTCCGGGTCATGTGGCCAGCATGACTAAGCCACTTCTGACGAACCAGAGCAGTGCATGGAAACGCCGTTTACCTTCCCGCCGGAGTGGTACCTATTTATCTACTTGCACTTTAACATGCTTTCGAACTGCTAGGTTGGCAGGAGCAGGGACCGAGCAACGGGAGCTCACCCCGTCGCGGGGATTCGAACCGCCAACCTTCTGATCAGCAAGTCCTAGGCTCTGTGGTTTAACCCACAGCGCCACCTGCGTCCCATCAAAGTGGTACAGTAGTGCTTTAAATATATGGTGAAGATGTGGCCAGACTTTGCGAGAGGCTAAAGCCAGAGACAGGAAAGGCACTTAAGCTACAGACTCGCCCATCCACAGTGGCAAAACACCGTACTCACCGTACACTGTGACAGCGATGTTGCCTTTCTGTACCGCATTCCCTAGCGGGGAGATCTCCACCGTGTAGATGCCAGAATCAGAGGTCGTCACGGCCGTGATATTGAGGTTCCCACTCCCAGGGAGCACGCTGAACCGAGGATGGAATCTGTCTGCTACCACAACAGTGAAGTTGGGTCTCAAGGTTCCCATTGCTATGTTGGTTGCATTTTTCCTCCAGATAATGGTGGTTTGAGAGTGAGAGGAGGGTAAGGTAAATGGGACCGGGAGAGAAACAGAGTCCCCCACTTGCACAGCCAGAGGAGATGAAGGCAGAGCAGGAAATAAGGGAACTGAAAATGAAGAGAGGGGAGAATGAGATTATTATATTTCTTTGCTAACGCTCGTGTGGTTCAGCGGCAATAATCACTTGAAGCAAGAACTCGTATCCACACACAGAAAAGTTCTTCTACATCAGCCTTTCCCAGGCTGGCCTCCTCTAGATGTTTTGCATTTTAACTCCTATCAGCCTCAGACATGGGAGATAAAAGTCTTTTTCTTCTCTTTTATCCCATTGCTGGAAAAAGACAATGGCCTTTTCGAGAGATGTGAAAGTATGGCAGAGCTATCTGATTTGTTTCTTCTGCAAATGTCAAAGCCCATTGTTGCCTTTGTGAGGACTGATCCTGCTGTGAGGACCAGGGAGAAAACTCAATGTAGTTGGCATTTTAATAAGGGACCACCTAAATTGCACTTCTCAAAGCAATGCAACAACCAAAACACAACTATCCTTCGAAAATTTGCACTTGCCCAGATTTCGTGAACCAAGCAATGTGAACAAAAATGCATGGGGTGGGGGGATAGAAGTGTGCACAAAAATGGATATATAGGTGGAAAGCACATCCAAAAATGTATTGTGTATTATGGGAAATACTTTGCAGAAAGGTGCATGTTGGTTGCAAGTGCATGCAAAATATGTGTTTGTTAGGAGAAATCTGTGCCAAAATATTGATGTCGCATAGACTTTTAAAAAAATCGCAAACTGCTGCAGAAATTAGGAGAACTGCATTTAAGAGCTTATATACACATACGTTTTCTCTGTGCTTTCCAGAAAAGGCTTGCGTTTTCAAGCTCCATGTCCAAGCACTCTTTTCTCTCTTTTTTGCTCTGGAAATTTCCCCACTAAATCCCACTGAAATGGCAATCCACAGAGAACCTAAACAGCCTCGGCCCAGTATACCTGAAGGAGCGTCTCCACCCCCATCGTTCTGCCTGGACACTGAGGTCCAGCACTGAGGTCCTTCTGGTAAAGCTACAGGGAAGCAGACAGAGGGCCTTCTCGGTAGTGGCACCCGCCCTGTGGAACACCCTCCCATCAGATGTCAAAGAGATAAACAACTACCTGACATTTAGAAGACACCTGAAGGCAGCCCTGTTCAGGGAAGTTTTTAATATGTGATATTTTTAATCTTTTTTGGAAGCCGCCCAGAGTGGCTGGGGAAACCCAGCCAGATGGGCGGGGTACAAATAATTATTATTATAACCCAAATTGCCACTTTTTGCGCTTCAGCTGTGAAGAGCAGGTTTTTGCAGGGAAAGCTCTGGTGCAAAAAAAAAAAGAGGAGAGCCCAAAACACAGAGGTTTAAATTGCAGACCTGTGCCTGGAAAGAAGGGTCCAAGCGGTAAGTGTGGATAAGTTTGCAAAAATGAGAAACGGAGAGAAACTGAAACTGATGGATTTTGTCCAGGGCTCTCTTTTTTCAGCAGGAACTCACCGGAAATGAATTCCAGCATCTCTCAAGTGGACGCTATTGCCATTACAGTGGATGCTCAGGTTGTGAACGTGATCTGTCCGGGATGCACGTTCGTAACCCACAGCGTTCACAACCCGCAGCGCTGCGTCTGCGCACACGCGGGTTGCGATTTGGCGCTTCTGCGCATGCGCGACTGCTGAAACCCAGAAGTAACCCCCGTTCCGGTACTTCCAGGTTTCGGCGGTCCGTAACCCGTAAAAACACAACCTGAAGCATGTGTAACCTGAGGTATGACTGTATAAGAGAAAAAGGGAGGCATTCGTGGTGAGTTCCAGCACCTCTTTTTCTAGAAAAACAGCACTGAATTTGTCCATTCCTACTCTGGTGTCAGCCTTTATTTTTCACAGGTTTTGTAGGATTTGCGTTTCAAAAACCTGCCAAACCTTTTTGCATGGAGACAACAACAGGACGAAAGGAACTGATGTGTACACTGTATAGAAAATTATGCTTCTCTCACAGAACCTTCAACTCACTTTCTCCATAAAAACAACTATTGCCTACATTAAGACTCTGTTTCCAATTAGCGCTAATTAATGCTACATAGCCATGAACAACAATACTAAAGCTCAGTCCCAAAGCTTGCCGGCAGCTACTTTAAATTTGTATACATTTAATAAATTCAAAATCCGGTTAAATAATGTAACTTTATAGGGAAGGCCTGTTGTAATGGGCCCCTTCCTGGAACAGGCAGAGACTGTGAGATATCCTGCATGTCATTCACTCAGACTGTAATAGGGACACATTTATTCATTTGTTAAAGGCACTAATACCCTTTAGCCAAAAAGGCTCCAGAGCAGCTTACAAATATAAAAAATAATAGTAGTAAGAAAGACCTTGCCCTCAGGCTTACAATTAAAAAAGAAGAAAAGGTGGCACAGCACATGAGGAAAAGGGAACGGGAGGGAGAAGGAAAAAAAGCAAAATCAAGCCTTAAAGAGACATCTTGACATCTTTTAGAAGGGGAAGAAATGGAGGCAGTGAGAAATTTTACTTTCTTGGGCTCCATGATCACTGCAGATGGTGACAGCAGCCACGAAATTAAAAGACGCCTGCTTCTTGGGAGAAAAGCGATGACAAACCTAGACAGCATCTTAAAAAGCAGAGACATCACCTTGCCAACAAAGGTCCGTATAGTTAAAGCTATGGTTTTCCCAGTAGTGATGTATGGAAGTGAGAGCTGGACCATAATGAAGGCTGATCGCCGAAGAATTGATGCTTTTGAATTATGATGCTGGAGGAGACTCTTGAGAGTCCCATGGACTGCAAGAAGATCAAACGTATCCATTCTGAAGGAAATCAGCCCTGAGTGCTCACTGGAAGGACAGATCCTGAAGCTGAGGCTCCAATACTTTGGCCACCTCATGAGAAAGAGAAGACTCCCTGGAAAAGACCCTGATGTTGGGAAAGATGGAGGGCACAAGGAGAAGGGGACGACAGAGGACGAGATGGTGGGACAGTGTTCTCGAAGCTAGCAGCATGAGTTTGACCAAACTGCGGGAGGCAGTGGAAGACAGATGTGCCTGGCATGCTCTGGTCCACGGGGTCACAAAGAGTCGGACACGACTAAATGACTAAACAACAACAAAAACAACAACCGGTAACTCTTCCTGTGCAAAGATTCTGGCTGTCTTGGATAGCAGCAATCTCCTGGGAGCCCTCTTCACCACCAACCCTGAATAGATCTGGGAGCCGAGCTGTTGACACAGTCTGAACCAGGCAGGCAGGGCTGCTCCTGCCACACAGCTTCTCCCTGCCGGACAGCAGAATGGGAGGCCAGCGAATTCGCCAGCAGCTCACAAGCTCTGGCCTTGGCCTCCATTTTTCCACACAGCTGCCCTGACAGGCATTTATCTGCATCCAGACAAAGAGCCCCGCCTGATGCATTTAGCTTATATCGGTGACCTGCATGCCATGAAACCTGCTCCAGTCCTGCCATTCCCCCAATCTGTTCCGGAGGCCACGCCGAGGAAAGCACAGGGGGTCGGATCCAGAGCAGGAGGGCCTGCCGAGAGCCACCGACGAGTGTCGGAACGAACAGATCAGGCTGCTGCTAAAATCGGAGGACATTTCACAGTTCTGATCCCCAGCGTCGGCTCACAAATACTAGCTTGGCCCTTTTTGCTTTCAAGAAACAACCAGAGGGAGTGTTTCTTGGATGAGACTTAGAGAAGCACTACAAGAGCCACGGGATGTGGGTGGTGCTGTGGGTTAAACCACAGAGCTTAGGGCTTGCTGATCAGAAGGTTGGTGGTTTGAATCCCCACGACGGGGTGAGCTCCCGTTGCTCGGTCCCTGCTCCTGCCAACCTAGCAGTTTGAAAGCACGTCAGAGTGCAAATAGATAAATAGGTACCGCTCCGGCAGGAAGGTAAATGGTGTTTCCGTGTGCTGATCTGGTTCATCAGAAGTGGCTTAGTCATCCTGGCCATATGACCCGGAAGCTGTACGCCGGCTCCCTCGGCCAATAAAGCGAGATGAGCGCCGCAACCCCAGAGTCATGCGCAACTGGACCTAACAGTCAGGGGTCCCTTTACCTTTACAAGAGCCACAGAGCGCATGTTGTCATCATCCGGTTTTGGACTACAACTCCCATCATCCTCGACCACTGGCTGCACTGGCAGAGAACGGTGGGAGTTGAAGTCCAAAACATCTGGTGTATGTGTGTTTGTGTTGGAAGTACAACAGCGGGGATCATCCCATTGGTAACTTACGGGTTAATTCGGTTAAAGCATGGATGATGTTGGCACCTTGACTTTCCCTGCCCTCCCCACCTTAGGCTGATAATGTGGGATATGAGGCAGCAAACAATGCCGCCTCTCGATATTCAAGCCCTTCCTCTTTTCATTTCCTTCCACAAGCCCTTTTATTGTCTGTCAACACTACCGAGATGAGAGAGAGAGAGGCAACGCGCTTGGATTTATTTGCCCAGTCTAATCCGGCCCTTTCCCCTCCATCTCCGGCTCTTTGAAACCATCCATATAACAAACCCCAAGCCGGCGGGGCCTGCAGGTCTGAGCCCTTGTAAATTAAAAGCCGAACAACAGCATCGGCCACATGCCAGGGGCTGCATTAGCGGGAGCTGAGTGAGGAGAGCCGGGAGGCAGCGGGGGACGACGACAGGGGAAGATGGATGAAAATTGGCTCAGTGGGAGCCCAGCAGCCACCACAAGCTGTAATGGATGGGCCGGCTCCCTGTGGGGAAAGAGAGCGGGGCATGGATGGGAGAAGGCCATAAATCTAACAGGAGGGGGTGGGTAGGGTGGGCATCAAGGTTCCTATGTGCTGGGCCGTCCTCTAAGGAGGCAGCGGGGGGCTGATGTGAAGGTAGCCATCTTTCCCCCCTTTCTTTTCCGCTTAACAACACAGAAGGACCCCGGGCTTTTCACAGCGGCATGCCAGGCAGAAACCAACAGGGGAAGCTTGGCCTGGGATGAAGATGCAGCGATAAGATTTCTGCCTGTCAGGCAGTCCCTGAAGGCCCCCGGACGTCTCATTTCCATCACTGGGGGCTGGTTCCTCGAAGCAGGAAGGACTGGCAGTTCCACCGCTACCACTTAATGGGTATTTGACCCCGTGCTTGTATTTCATAACCCAGGGGTAGCCCTCCAGAGGTTTTGAACGACAGTTCTCATCATTCCCAGCCAACATGGCCAAGAGTCACAGAGGATGGGAGTTGCAGGCCATAATATCTAGAGAACGCAACGTTGACGACCTCTGTTACCGCTGTTTTTAAAGGCTAGGCTTTGGCAGAGGAGATATGACAGTCTTCAAATATCTAAAGGGCTGTCACAAGGAGGACGGAGCAAACTTGTTTTCTCCAGCTCCGGAGGGTAGAACTTGAACCAAGGGCTGCAGTTTACAAGAAACGAGATTCTGGCTAAATATCAGAAAGAACTTTCTGGCAGTAAGAGCTGTTTGACAGTGGGAAGGTGTCCCTTGGAAGGTGGCAGACTCGGAAGGTTTTTAAGCAGAGGTTGGATGGTCATTTGTCATGGATGCTCTAGCTGAGATTCCTGTATTGCAGGGGGTTGGACTAGATGACCCTTAGGGTCCCTTCCAAACTTTATAATTCTAGGAGTCCCATCAGCCCAGAAAGCACAGCTGTCAGAAACATCTGGAGGGCACTGAATCAAAGCAGGCTGATGTACGTATGGATAGAGAAGTCCAGTGCCAACTTATTAATACCAGTGGTGTGTGTATGTGTGTTTTGATAAAAAGGGATGAGTGCCAGCACAAAATGGCTTCCATGGACAGCAAAAAGAGGCTATGGTGTCATCACAAAAAAGGGTGTGTGTGACAAAGATTATATTTGTTAGTTGCTTTCTCAGTGACTTACAAAGCAACATACATTAAAGTCAACTAACAACAAAAATTGAAAAGCACAAATATAAAGATAATAGGGCCAGAGCCTAGGTAGAGGAAAAGAAAGCTGGTACCAAGTATGCTTCCTGGGGAGAGTATTCAACAAGTGTGGGGCCACCGTTGAAAAGGCCTTCCTTGTGTTGCCGCCCTCCGAAGCTCCCATGGAGGGGGTACATGAAGAAGGGACTTAGATGATGATTGCAGGGTCCAGGTCGGTTCATATGAGGAAAGACAGTCCTTGAGGTTTTGAGGTCCTGAACCACACAAGGCTTTATAGGTCAAAACAATCACTCTGAATTGAGCCCAGAAGTAAGTTTGTTTTGCCGTTGTGGTCATGGTGACGGCCATGTTGCCAAAACAGGACTGGCACCAAATGAGAGGGAGGCATGAGTATGCTTGGGGGAAGCCCAAGGTTTGCAAAAGTCTGGGAGGGGAATCTGTTATGTACTGAAGTTCTCACCCTGGGCCAGCAGAAGAATACTGTAGATAGTTTTCACTCAGGTCCACATATGCAAATAAAGGATTGAAAGTGATGTTCAGTGATTGGATAGTTACAGAAAGTGGTTACTGTTGCGTTCTAGTGGAGCTCTATATAAGCAGGCTGGCTGAACCCTTCAGTTCAGTTCTGTTCTGACCTCTGAATAAACAAGAGCTGTTTGAAGAATCGCTGTGTCATCTGGTATGTTCACCCACAACTTAACAGAATCTATGGGGCGGGGCACCTAAGGGGGTTCAAATTAACAGTGCCACGAAAACCACAAAGCAGTCCACTGAGAATGGAGCAGCTTCTCCAAGTGTCCCTATTTTTCAGGGACAGTCCCGGATTCACAGAAGTCATCCTGATTTCTGAATTGATCCCAGAATGTCCTTGTTTTCCTTAGGACGTCCCTATTTTCATCGGAGAAATGTTGGAGGGTATGAGTCGGTAGCCATGGAATGGTGAGTATCCGAGGTTTTGGGTGGGGGGGGGGCGGTGTTCTTTGCTGGGTAGGGGAGACATGGAGTACAATGGTACCTCGGGTTACATACACTTCAGGTTACAGACTCCGCTAACCCAGAAATAGTACCTCGGGTTAAGAACTTTGCTTCAGGATGAGAACAGAAATCATGCTCCGGCGGTGCGGCGGCAGCAGGAGGCCCCATTAGCTAAAGTGGTGCTTCAGGTTAAGAACAGTTTCAGGTTAAGAACAGACCTCCGGAACGAATTAAGTACTTAACCTGAGGTACCACTGTATTATGAAAAAGGCATGGCAGGCTATCCGGAACACTGAACAGGAATAGACTTTTCAAGGCCCTTCGCTTGCATTAGCTCAGTAATCTTGGCTCCCGTAGGGTTGGTCAGTACAATTATGCCCCACACAACAGACAAGGTCTCTGAGTGGCAAAGACTGAGACCAGCAAGTGGTTCGAGGTCACTTCACGGCTGAGGTAGATCCTGAGTAAGCAAGACACATTCCCCAGCTCACCCCTCTTGCAGCTTGATCCTCCGCATTATTCGGATGTAATATATCGATGGGTCCACAATGCGACTTACTCCCAAAGAAGGGGGATTGCATCCTTTGCCGCTTTTCTCTAAAGACAGCTTTGCTGTCTTATCCCCAAGGACAACAAAAGGTGGATCACAAAGACGTTCTTTGGGTTGCATTAGGGCATTATTCATCGGCAATTGTGCCGGAGGCTCAGGGCCGCGAACCCGGCTTCACAGCACAGAATGGGAAGGTCTGAAGGGGGCTCGTAAGTGTGATCTAGCGAGCATGCTTACAAGCCCTCTCCAACCTCGCCACCGAAAGCAGCAAGGTTAAGTGGGAACAGGGCAGGCTCAGCACACCCAGCCTTGCACTTTCAGCATGATTACAGATTAATAACGCTCACATGGGGGGGGGGGAATGGAAGCAACCTTGACATACTCCTGCAAATGTTGCCCAGGAAAGTACGAGTCATGGCCTACCGCAGGGCTAAGGAACCTGCATTCTGCAACACTCTGTGGTCCTCCAGTGCTTTCGGACCCCTAACACCCATCAGCCCCACGGAGTACAGTGGTACCTCGGGTTAAGTACTTAATTCGTTCCGGAGGTCCGTTCCTAAGCTGAAACTGTTCTTAACCTGAAGCACCACTTTAGCTAATGGGGCCTCCTGCTGCCGCCGCACCGCCGGAGCATGATTTCTATTCTCATCCTGAAGCAAAGTTCTTAACCCGAGGTACTATTTCTGGGTTAGCGGAGTCTGTAACCTGAAGCGTATGTAACCTGAGGTACCACTGTATGGCCAATCCTGAGAGAATGAGAAGAGTTGTGTTCCAGCAGGATCTCAAGGGAGGAAGTTTTCTACTCTGAAAGGCCTTCTGCCCTAGCATTCCCTCAGATCACTTTGCAGGAACGTCAAGGAAGGTGTGCTGTTGTCGTTTTGAAAGTACAGTGGACGCTTGGGTTGCGAATGTGATCTGTGCAGGATGCACGTTAGCAACCCGCAGCATTCGCAACCCGCGTCTGCACACGCGCGGATTGCGATTCGGCACTTTGCGCATGCGCACAGCGTGATTTAGCACTTCTGCGCATGAGTGACGGGAAGTAACCCCTTCCGGTACTTCCAGGTTTCGGTGGTCCACAATCCAAAAAAATGCAACCTGAAGCGTCTATAACCTGAGGTATGACTGCATTTCCACTGAATGTTATCCATATGGCCCAAATAACCAAACAGAACTTCATGAGGCAAACGCAAAGAAATGGAACTGAACTGAACCAAGGTTAGCATGGGATGTTACCAGTGCTTTTTTTCTTTAAAAAAATGTTTAGGGGTACTCTCATTTTCCTACTCATATTGAAATACTGCCGCTCAATGAGGCCAAACTTAGATTCACAAAACATTTAGGGGTATGCATCGTCGTCGTCGCCCCCCCCCCCCCCGAAAAAAGCACTGGATGTTACAGTCACAAAGAAAAAACGAGAAGGCTGGTTATCCAGATATTTGCAGTAAAATAGAAGAGGTGTTTCGCACGACTCACAAGATACGCAGAAATATCTGAAACCATCAGAGACGCAAGGAGTGCCAAAAATATAGAGGTCCTACATTACATCAAGAATTTTGTTTGTTTTGGTTTGGGTTTTTTTAAAAAATGATTAGAGGTTAACTTACCCCAAATTTATTGAGGGACTTGTGGAAGGGACAAATGTAACTTTTCTTTTCTTTTAATGCATTCTATAAAATCCCACTAAACGGAGACAAAAGTAGTTAACTTTGCTTTTGCTTGCCAAGAACGGGTGTGTGTCTTTCTCAGCAAGGGAGTCATAAGCAGCGCAAAGCGGTTTCTGGAGAGGCCTGAGACCTTTTCAGCCCAATTTCAAACACAGTGACCTTTTCTCAACAAGAGCAGACACCCCAAACCTGGTCTAAATGATCCGAGTTCTGCCAGCAACTCTAAAGCTTCTTTCCACCCCCCACCCCCCACAAAAAATACACTATAACTGTGGCCTAGAGATGTGAGAGGGTAGGAAGAAAAAAAGATAGGGTGTGTGTGTTGGCATTGTTTGGAGCCCAATGGAAAAACACGGATGAACACTACTCAATGGCATTTGTTGGTGACATCTGCAGCTTAAATGTGAAGCAGGAATATACCTAGTTGGGTTTTTTTGGGTTAAACAAAACAAAACAAAACCCTGAGGTGCCGGTATTCATATATTGATGAGTGTTGTGAGTGCCAGCAGAAAGAAAGAAAGAAAGAAAGAAAGAAAGAAAGAAAGAAAGAAAGAAAGAAAGAAGAGGTGCTGTAACTCCAATGAGCAGCCTTGCAAAAAAAAAAGCTCATAGTATACCACCAAAAAGCATCTTGGGAACTGTAGTTCGTTAAGGATGCTAAGACTTGTTATGAGACCTCACTGAGCTGAAGCTCCCAGAGTTCCTTGGGAAGAGGGATTGTGACACCACTCTTAGAATAGGGCTCTTCTAACAGCCCCCAGCAAACTTCCCACACTACAGTTCCCATGATTCTTTGGTGCAAACAGGGTCTTAGCCAGGGCCAAGTGTGATGCAATAGCTTGGAGGTGGACTAGGGAGACCTGGGATCAAAGGCCTCCCATTAAGTTCACCGGCTGGGCCATGAGGCAATTCGCTCCTGCTCTCTGCCACCAACTCCATCAGTTGGTTGCTGGCAGGATAAAATTGGCGCACCCCTCAAAGAGGAAGAATGGGAGGCAAACGTGATATGCACAATTATTTGTCCACCCAGTTTCGCATAGAGTGACCGCAGGGGGCAGCCCGCTATTTGAAGGACTGTCCTCTGTTTTCTGAGGGAGCGCCCATTACAAGAACAGTTTATAAAAGCAAAAGAAGCTGAAGAAACAAGTTGCCCACCTACTTTTTAATGTTTGACATTTTATTATGTCTTTTTTAATGGGAAGCCACCCAGAGTGGTTGGGGTAATAATAATAATAATAATAATAATAATAATAATAATAAATACTGAGCACCTGGACCCAGTAAGTGCACAGGTTATCTGTTCACAGAATCCCCCACCATGGCAAGATCTATTTCGATTCAAATCCTAGTAATTATTTGCTGATTGGCATATCTCCAAACATATTCACATATGCAAATCGGTGTCCTATTTAGTCTTTGTTCTCTCTCTCTCTCTTTTGGCAACACGTTTCCTCTTTCCTGGCAATGTACGAAGCGGGCCTCCCCATTTGAGACGGCAGCTAAAGGGTTCGGATGGCCGTCGCATGAACAGTTGCAAGCAGAAATCTTTTAAACTCCGGCATTTCTTAATTAGGGGAAAACATTAGAGATACAATTACGAATCCTGAAAAGTCAGCAAGGTTTTTCATTTTCCCTAAACTCGCTTTCTTCCTCAAGGCAGGTTATTATTAGGCTGCGTGTTCAAGGCTGCTGGCAAGAGAGCTTGGGGGCAGCCATCTCCCTTTCTGATTGCAACTGTTAATACTGTACAGGCCCGGAAGCATCGCCTGTAATAGGAGGGACTACAACCGAGGGGCAGGGGAAGGGAGGGGGCAGACAAGGCCTTTTTTTTCATTACCGCAGGCCTGCATGGCCCATCAAGTTCAATGCAGCCCACCAGGACATGCTAAGGCCCTGGTTTTCGCTGTTTAACAGAGACTGCAAAAGAAGGTTGGGATGGGAGGCTAATATCAGGTCCAAGTTTGGGCTGATGTCCATTGCAGCTGGTAGGGCAGAAAGCAGGGGGTGGGGGATGGGGGATGGGGGGGTAGAGGCTAGGCAGAACCAGAGCCAAGGACAGGAAGAGTCAGTTAATTCTAGCATTGCCCCCAACTCCTTCCTTGACTAATACCACAAAGGCAACACGGAGACTAAGGCTGCATTCACAGTACACATTTAAAGAACTGTAACGCCACTTTGAAAATAGTTCTGGGAGTTGTAGTTTGTTCAGGGTGCTGAGAGATGCCTATTTCCTTCTCAGAGCTACAGTTCCCAGAATGGTTTAACAATTAATTCCGTTTTTCGGAGGGAACTCTGGGAATTGTAGCTCCAGGAGGGGGACAGAGGGTCACTTGACAACTCCCAGCTCCTTAAACAAACTGCAGCTCCCATGTTTCTTTGGGGGGGCGGCGGAATCCACTAATGTTTAAAGTGGTATCGTCATGTTTTAAATGTACAGTGGTACCTCGGGTTACAGACGCTTCAGGTTACAGACTCCGCTAACCCAGAAATAGTACCTCGGGTTAAGAACTTTGCTTCAGTATGAGCACAGAAATTGCGTGGCGGTGGCATGGCGGCAGCAGGAGGCCCCATTAGCTAAAGTGGTACCTCAGGTTAAGAACAGTTTCAGGTTAAGAATGGACCTCCAGAACGAATTAAGTTCTTAACCTGAGGTACCACTGTATGGTACAAATGCAGCCTTGGGAATTAAGTTTAAGATATTAACTGATGCAAAACAAAGAGGGGGCTTTGCCCTGCCAGACTTAAAGTTGTATTATGAAGCCGCAGCGTTCTGCTGGCTAAAAGATTGGCTACTTCTTGAAGACACTGATGTGTTGGACCTGGAAGGGTTTAATAATGTTTTTGGATGGCATGCATATTTATGGTATGACAAGGTTAAAGCAAATAAGGCCTTTAAGAACCATATTGTCAGAAAATCACTGTTTAATGTCTGGACAAAATATAAAGACTTGCTGGAAAATAGAACTCCCAGGTGGCTTTCACCACTAGAAGCTAAGGCCCGAAAAGACCCAATATGGAGGCTAAATGGCCAAAATACTGGGAAATACTAGAAAGGATGGAGACAATTGGAAATTGCAGAGTTTGGAGAAAATGAAAGACAAAGTGCGAGATTGGTTACATTACGCTCAGATTAAAGAAGTTTTTAAAAATGATAAGAAATTATGTTTCCAGGTGGAGAAATAGAACTAGAAACAGAATTGTTAGAACCAAAGATTAAGGTACTATCAAGGATGTATAACTTGCTGTTAGAATGGAATACACAAGATGAAACGGTTAAATCGGCTATGATAAGGTGGGCACAGGACATTGGGTATAATATTATGTTTGAGGACTGGGAAAGGTTGTGGAGTAATGGATTGAAATTTACCGCATGTAACGCTTTGAAAGAGAATGTAATGAAAATGATCTATAGATGGTATATGACCCCAGTCAAACTTGCAAAAATTTACCACCTGTCTGACAATAAGTGTTGGAAATGCAAAGAGTGTGAGGGAACGTTTTCCACCTCTGGTGGACTTGCCCTAAAGTGAAGGCGTTCTGGGAAATGATTTATAATGAATTGAAAAAGGTATTTAAATATACCTTCACTAAGAAACCAGAGGCCTTCCTTTTGGGTATTGTCGGCCAAGGGGTGGCAAAGAGGGACCAGACATTTTTATGTATGCAACAACAGCAGCAAGGATACTTCTCGCAAAATACTGGAAAACTCAAGATCTACCCACACTGGAAGAATGGCAGATGCAACTGATAGACTACATGGAACTGGCTGAAATGACCGGCAGAATTCGTGACCTGGGAGAAGAGAGGATAGAGGAGGATTGGAAGAAATTTAAGAATTATCTACAAAAACATTGTAATTTGAGTGAATGCTAAATAAGATGCTAGACTAAAACAACTGAGCACCACTAAATTTAGAATTTTTTCAAGAAAATAAGTAAGATTGTGAAAATTTAACTCCTTTCGAGAATTACAAGATTATGAAATATAGAAGGGATATAAGAATTTAAATAAGATGATAAATTGCTGACAAAATGTCATAACGATGAAAGTGGGAGCGGGAGATGTGAGGAAGTCCAAAGAAAATGTGAAACTATGTTAAGACAAATGTTATATTGTTTATCATGTTTATTTTTATTGTAAAACCCAATAAATTGCTTTAAAAAAAAACAAATGCAGCCTTGGGGGGCAGGGAAGATGCCACAGCCTGCAGGTGGCACGTGGGGGGGCTTGCCGAAGGGAGAAACTGTGTGCCCCTGCTTGCCCTTGGCTACAATCTGAAAGGCCACATTTGGCTTGGTGGACCCAGCGAAAGGTGCACAGGGCAGGTTTAATGGACACACAGCACGGAAGCCTTTCAAGCCAATTCTCCTCCTGCAGTGCTGCCACAAGAGAACAGAAGTCGGGCTTGGGAGAATGCTTCCTTTCCCTGCAAACATTCAAAAGAGCAACAACGGCAGAGGCTCGCTGTGAGTGGAACGTGTCAGCATTCTCTTTTATGATGTGGACTGCGAGGAAGGAGGAACTACACCTTTTGATATTCAGCCAGCTTCTCTACACAGACATGCTCCCCAACCTCTTCCCTAATACAGCTCAAATTCTCCCAGGTATCGATAAGATCAAACTTGGAAGGAGTAAATAAACCCCGGAGCAAATTGACTCACCCAGCAGCAAGAGAAGCCAGCCGGTCAAAGAAGGAGAGAGACAGGTGCCATGCCAGGGAGCCATGCCAGGCTGGCTCAACAGGGCAAGGCGGAGGCGCAAGGTGGGACACTCCGATCTACAAAAGACTCTCTCTCCCCCCTGAGAGCCAGAGGCAAGGGGAGGGCCTTATGGCGTTGGCCGGAAGGCAGGTGTCACCAGGTAGAGCGGAAGGAGGCGGCAAGGCCCAGGAAGAGACCTGATCCTCCCCTGCCCTCAGGGGAGGGATGACAAAAGCATCTCAGATATTCAGGGAAACCTGTTGAGCTGTCGCAGGTGGGGAGAAGCGCTGCGTGCCAAAGAATCGCACAGCCAAGTTGCCAGGGGTTTCGCAACCGAGGTTTGGAGTGGTTTGGAGCAGGCACAGGCTGGGGGAGTTATGCGGGGAATGTCTCTGCCAAGGAGCAAACTCCTTGCTCTCCAAATCATGCGATACTCTTGCCAAATTAAAACTGAAGGAACATTGCAGAATGCAAAAAAAAAACCCCAACCCTGAACCCCCCCGGGGGGGAAGAATACAAGAGGAGCCCGCCCTCAGCATTTCTGCAAGGGTTGTTTTCGGATGTGCAGGAACGGCGATCGAACGATCTCTCATCACATCCGACCCAGGAGTGCAAGAGAATTATCCATGCTGGGCAATAGCTTGAGGGGAACAGAGACAGGGCAGAGCAGGGACTCGTTCAGAGACACAGCAGCCAGGTTGAATGCAGGGCCTAAAATGTAAGGTGCAACTACAACAGCTCTTGCAGGTGACCTTCCAGCGTCTGCTTAAAGACCTCCGGCAAAGGAAAGAGCAAGGCAGACTCTTCTGCTGTCAAACAGCTCTTACTGTTAAAATGTTAACCAAAATCTACACCCCTCAAATTCCTGCTTCATCTTCTGTGCAAAAAGACCTCCAAATATTTAAAGATGGCCATCACGTCTCCACTGAGTTTCCTCTTTGCCATTTGAGCTTTTCCTTTGACCAGGATTTCAGCTTTAAAGCACACCTGTAGTAGCTTCAAGCCAAGAGCCCTCCCTCCAAAACACAAGCTTGGACCCCCCCACTGACGCCATGCATCGCCTGCAGAACCAGTTATTCACATCGTGCTCCACCCAACTATTAGCGTCCGGCATGTATATTAAACAGGGTTACACACAACTCCATGGCCCAGTTCTGCAAAACAGGCCTGAAATGGGGTAGGAGGAGTTTGGAGACTGGGCTGCAGAGAAGGGAACAACACAGAACCGCATTGACTGTGGCAGAACCCAACACAAAAGGCCAGGGATGCCGTTTGATTCTTGGAGGCACCAGGGTCAAGTCATCTTCCAAAGCAGAGAAGCTGTTTGGGTCCGTAGTTCATGTAGGAATTGATGTTCACTAGCAAGTCTGAAAGGAAAAGTTCTTGCATCAAACTGTCCGTGCCCAAATTTTCTTGCAAAATTTCTCAGAGCAGCTGCTAAGACAGACTTACTAAAACTAGGGAGGGACATAGCCTGCTCCCACCCCCAAAAGCACACACATGCACACACAAACACACGGCTGGTCTTCTGTTTGGTGCTCTCGTTCCTAAAAAGAAGAAACTGGTTCTTCAAGATAGCCATCCTAGAATAGCCAGGGCTGAACTGTTCATCAGGTGCTGGGAAGAGAAAAACGGTGCTGGGTTGGGTGGGGGGTGGAGAGAGGGAGAGGGAGAAGAAAAGGAGCATAGCTGATGGAAAAGAAAAAGTGGAGGCACAATATACTACGATTCTGTGGGAGCACAGAAAAACTGAAAATGTGGTACTGTGGCCCAAAAATCCTGGAGCAGTGTCTTTTGGACGGCTGCCCATTCTGTGGAATAGCATTCCAGCTGATGACAGGCACTCCCTATCTGCACTTACCGGAAAAGGTTAAATATTTTTGTTTGGAAAGGCTTTCCCAGCTATATAAATGGGACTTTACAACAAGTGTCTGCTTGTTAAGAGTTTTAGTCTTGTCTTAAATATATTTATCTTTTTGGTGTCTTTCACTGTTTTCGATCCTCTTATGTGTAAATCGCCTTGAGGCAGTGGCTTAGAAGGCAACATGAAAACGAACAATAGAATCTACTCTAACATTTTAGGGAAAGAAGAGTTTCTAGTCCATATGACTGTGAATATGTCCTGGAAATCCCATAGGCAATGCCTGCTGAAACCATAGAAGGGGCAACTGGGTGAACTTTCCAGGAGTGGGGCACAGGCCTCCCTGCCTGGCCCTCCCTCTACCCCATGCCTAGCAAATTCAAACTATGCAAAACAGGAAGCATGCCAAATTATCAACTCTTACAAATTTGCATTATTTATATGGGATTAAATAATAATGATAAATAGAAGAGTTTATGTAGTCCTGGCAGTGACCTGCTTCGTGGGGTTATCGGGTGAACCAAAATCTCTCTGTAATTGAACTCGTCTTTTGATCCAAGATGAATCCCACGGCAGCTTATGTTAAATACTATAAATATGGAGGCTCTTTGATCCCCTACAACTAGTAGCATTGGTCTTGGTGCAGCCTCTGTCGCTACTGCTCCCAACCCGTCTCAGTCCCTGGCAACTATTGGCAGATGCCTGGTTGCCTGTTTTAGACTCTGTCCCCAATGCTACACGTCGCCGGAAAGGGAGGCAAGCATAGGGAGGACTGGCTACTGGCTCATTAGAATAAAGGACCGTCATTCACCATCAAGGAGCAATTCTCCTAAGACACACCCTAGTGTGTTCCTTCCAGTGCAAGGCAGATTAACAAGCATGAAAGACGGAGTTTTGCTACCTCTTAAGACTTGCCAAAAATCCTCTGTGAGAAGGGGAATGACTGGCAGGATTCTGGGACCTGGCGGTGCTTGCAGAACAAGGAAAAAAAGACTACTCAAGAGGAAGCCAACCCACATAGCTACGCAGAACATAGTTTTGAGGTTTTTCCTAGAATCAAGCTGCATATCAATTTTATGAAATAAAATAATTATGTAGTTAAACTACGGCGCTCACTCCCACGGGAGGCAATAATGGCTACCAACTTAGATGGCTTAACAAAATAATTAGACAAATTCATGAAGGATAAGGCTATCAGTGGGAACAGTTCTAGCCTAGACTTTTCCAACATGCTTGTTTCATTCGTGCAGGGAATTCATGCCTCGCCCCATGGGAAAACCATGTGCTTCCCTCCCTCCAATCTGAAAAAGTAGGCTCCTGGAACAGTTTTTGAACCCCTTTGGCTGGTAGCGTGAACCAGCCTTCGTCAGAGCAGCAGAAGTGGAAGCAGCTTCCAGACACCAAATGCACTAGGACAGCTATGTCAGTCTCAGGTTATCATTATTTAACAGCCGAGTCGAGTAGCACCTTCGAGACTCGTTTTAGAAGAACATAAAGCTTTGCAGAGGCTGTAACTTCCTTCTTCAGATGCCAGAATTGCTGGAGGCAAACAATGGAGGCAGTTAACAGAGCGTCCTCTGATTCCAGAGGTATCCTCGTGGATAGACTAGGACCCCTCGGTCGGCAGAGCAGAAGACTCTTAATCCGAGCCGTGGGTTTGATCCCCATGTTGGGTGAAAGATTCCTGCATTGCAGGGGGCTGGACTAGATGGCCTGCGTAGTCCCTTCTAACTTGACGATTCTATGAATGCAAATGGAGAGGGAGTCTCTGTGAGCTCCCCCTAAGGGCCAAAAGGAACCAGATGCTGGGGCCCAGCCATATAAATGCCCGTGAATCCTATGGCAATTTAACAGGGCAAAGTTAGCCTCCAGCTACGATGCGCAGGAGGAGAACTATTCAGACACCACTTTGGCAAAGTGTCTGCCACTGGAAGCACAACTATACCACTTCGTGCCCAGGGCAGACCACTTACAGCAAAGTAAGCAACTGGGAACGCAATCCCTCCACCCCACTCCAAAAAAAAATAACCACAGCAGTGACGTGACGCTTGCTCAGAGCACCTCCGAAAATCACAGGACATTTATTATGCAATCTGACCAATCATTAATACAGAAAATAGAATCAAAGTCTCATTCAGCTTTCATCAGTGGCCAGCTGAGCTGGAAGGCAGCATGGTTAGGAAGTCGGAGGGACCCAGTGAGGTGGGAAGATGCGCCCCCTTCCCCAAGGGCCACACCCACCTCGACAGCAGCAGCAGCAGCAGCTCCAGGCAAAGCTGAAAGGGAGAAAGGACGGGTCGATTATGCCTTCTTATCCTAAAAGCAGAAGCCAGAGTTGCATTTCAAATGATTCCCGAGCACTTGCGGCTTTATTTTTAATCTCTGTCAAAGCATCAAGTGATTACAGGCGCTCTGTTAAAAAGTACGCAGGGCTGCATTTCAGGGAGTCAGACCATAAAAAATATGAACTCTGTTCCAATTCGGCTTCAGCAAAAGCTATGCAGCTCTCTTGGTTCCGCTGCACTGTACTAATTCCACCTCACGTCATGACCTTCTAATTTTTTTCTTTTCAAGCATACTATTTGCATGCACTAATACTGCACCCTCCAGAACACTCGTTAAGGTATATTTGACCACAGATCAAATCAAATGAATTTCTGCTTTCATGTGTTCTTGCAGAATTGATTTGTGCAGCTGGGAAGAACCCATAGATTTAGCTTCGCGCGTGTGTGTGTGTGTGTGTGTACACATACAAATATAAACACCCATTTTATATACATACCTATCTCTCTGGCGAAGAACGGCAACTATAAAGGCACATACATATCTATGGTGCAATCACACTTGGAATAGTCTGCAAAGTTCTTGTTACCCAGCAGAAAGACCTTATGGAATGTGGGAGTTAAGTTCCACTAAATACAGTGAGGGACTTCCAAGGGCACATGAATAGTGCTGGGCTACACAATGGCTTGGAGCATTTTCCTGTGAGGAAAACGCACACACCTAAAGGGGGTAAATGACACATGCACCTATGCAATTATGAATGGCGAGAGAGAGACAGAGAGAGTGGGCATTTTGTTCCCTCTCATACAAATACCAGCAGTTGGGTACTGCCAATTGTGGGAGGTAAGTTCGAGAGAGACTATAAATGTTTCCCCGCCAGGAGATCACTTAAAACCACAGGTTGCAATCAATGTTAGTTGTACTCAAAGCAGACCCACTGAAATTAATGGGCATACCTAACCTAAGTCCATCGATTTCAATGGACTGTGCACAACTTTCTCTGTCTGCTAGTGCAACGGCTCTTGGGCCAGCGGATGGGTGGATTTCAGCACTGTGCAACAGCGGGATACAATGCAACGGATGTGCTAGCAGAAATTCAGTGTGTAACAGACCGAGCAATCTATTGCACAACCGAGTCACCAGCAACCTGCTCACGCTACCACTTGCACAAAGGTGTTCCACTGCCGTGAACTCCTTCGCCAGTGCAACAAGTATGATTTACTCAGTGACTTAGCTTATGGAACCACAAGACATGATGACCGCTTGCACCGATGGGGGGAAGAAATGGGGGGAATCAACAGGTATGAATAACAAGGGGTGAGGTGGAACCTTCATGTTCAGAGGCAGTTTAACTCTGAACACTAGATGCAGGGAATAGAAAACAGGGGGCAGCTATTGCCTTCACTCTCTGCTCAAGCACTTCCAAGGGGCAAACTGCCTCGATGCTGCAGGAAACAATGCTAGACATGACGGATGTCAGTCTCCAGCAAGGCAGTTACCACATTCTCTATTTTCACTTTTAAGTGAGATGAGGCTCAGTGATAAAAAAAATCCAAGGAGGGACCAACAAGTGTGTGGGTCTCGCTGCTGAACAAATTGCCTCTTCTTGCTTGGAATTCTCAAAGTCAAAAAGATTATCTTCTGCACTAACTGAACACTTCTCACTGAAAAAAGCAAGCCTCACTTAGTTTAGATAGAAGGCCTTAGACACTTCAAAATGAGTCCACGCTTCCATATAATTAGCTGTACAGGTCCCCATCCAGGAGAAAATGCACCTGGGATGAAGGGAAATGCTAGAAAATAGCTTTCTTGCTCCTCTTTGGGGATGAAGACAGGAGACAATCTTTTTCAACATCACCAGATGGATTCTTCCTGATCTTCTGACAACTGAGCCACTCCTTTTGAAAAGGCTACTCTTTTCTGCAACAGATTTCAGGTTTGGTTTCAGTTCCATCCTTTACTATTGGATATGCTGGGCAGGAGCTGCTGGGAGCTGAACCCCATCAACAACAACTGTAGTTAACATGCATATTCTCCTTACCAGAACCACTTGAAGATTCAGATCCGCCCACTCTCTTTGAGCTTAGCAACCAGATCTTCTACCGTCTCCACCTTGACTCCAGCCTGACGCTGGGGAGGGTCCTCCACGCTGACAATCTTCACCCTTGGGGTAAGTTCTACACCAAGGTCGGACGGCTTCACTACCTCAATCTTCTTCTTTTTGGCTTTCTGGGTTGGGGTGGGAATAAAAACAAGGCGCACTTAAATGACCCACCCTTGTTTGCTCCCCTGCCCAATTTGTCATCCGTTGCTGCTGAAATGCTAAATGTGAAAATCAATTGGGGAAGTCAAGGGCTCTGCACAAATCGTCAATTACCATTTTGTCCTCATGTCCTCCGGACCCAAATGGATACAAAATGGGGAAGGGGTGTGTGTCATTTATCTCCAGAGCAAGGCTCTGCTTAAGGGTTTGCTGTGCCAAGTACGGAATACCCATGAAAAGTTGTCAGGCCCATACCATGATGTTAGGCAGGGTGGCATAGCGCGGCTCGTTCAGCCGCAGGTCAGCAGTCACCACGGCTGGCAACTTCAGACGCACTGTCTCCAGACCCCCGTCAACTTCCCGCTCAACCTTCAGCCAGTCCCCGTCCAGAGTCACTTGTGAAGCAAATGTTCCCTGCAATGGGGAGAGAAGGGCTGCTGGATTAAAGGCAGGGCAAGTAACACATTACATGAATTTCTACAAGTACACATCCTCAGAAGAGTTTTGCCAGTTGCTATACCAACTGCACATGCTTGAAGCACTCACCAGCTTTTTAAAAAACGACAAAAGCTAAGCGAATATTGAAATCATTTAGGGGTTTTTCAGACTTCTTACCCTGCCAATCACCCACATGCCCAGGGTAGCACATTAAACCACAATGGAGAATCGCAACAACCTGCCTCCTTAGGCGACTGAGCCCAGACAAGCCCTCAGGCATACCTCAGAATAAGCCGAGGCTGCCATGACTGGTTGATGCCCTCACAAGCTCAAGCCCAGGGCACGGCGTTTATCTCTATTATGAGCCACTGGCATCCACGGCAGAAGAGGCAGGGATGCACAACCGGAGGGCCTAGGCAGAGAGCCATTAAATCGTTTGAAGACTGCATGCTTAATATATTTTTGGAACCACATCATGAAGGAGCCTGGGATGTGCGTGGCTCTCTGGGGGCACCTTGGCAACTTTGTGTCCAGAAGAGTTCAGTCAGTCATTCGCCTCCCAGCTAGTTCAGCGTTTCACTGGCACGTTAATTAGGTCACTAGCTTAGGGTGGGGTGTTGAATCAAAACAAACAAAAATAGGTGACTGGTGACTGGCCTGGTTGTTATAAACCTATATCGGCAGCCCGTTTACACACGGTCAATACGTGCGCGACCGTGTATATGCACATCGCGCTGAACCTGGAAGTGACCCAGAAACGACATAAATATGTCACTGAAAAATAGAGTGGAACGGGGGCTCATGGGGAGCAAAACAGGCTGTTTGCAGGCTTTTTCAATTATACGTGATTTCACCAAGGAGTGTGGTACCTCAGAACGTAATTCCTGCGTAAAAGGGGGAGGGGCTGCCTGTATGTCGAACGACTCCTTCCTTTTATTTTATTTGTATTTATTATTGCCCTTGTATCACACCTTTTCCTCCAAGGAGTTCAAGGTGGCATACATGGTTCTCTTCCTCCTCAACACAACAACCCTGTGAGGTAGGTTAAGCTGAGAGGCCAGGGCTGGCCCAAGGTCACCCCGTGGGATTCCTGGCTCAGTGAGGGTTTGAACCCTGGTCTCCCACCTCCTAGTCAAGACACTCTCACTGCTACGTCACGCTGGTTCTCAAAGCAGGATGGTCACACAGCTGCCCTCAGGCCAGAAAGGAAAGGAAAAGGGAAAACAGGGGGAAAGAAAATGGCAAACAGGAAGGAAAGAAGGGGTGCCCACCCACTCTTGGCTCTGCCCCAACCACTGCCGGCAAACCCCAGTCCTTCATACCATCACTGTAGCCTATTGGATGGGCTCCCTTCTTCAAGCTGTGCCTCCTCAAGTATGGAAAACAAATGCGTCTTCCTTAATAGGCCACCTGCTCTCTGCCTGCCAGCCCTGCTGCTCACTTCCATCTATTCCACATAACACGCCCCCTCCCCACCGAATAGTACCTGAGGCCAGTCAAGAAAGGCTGCGGTCATCTGCCCTGTCTGGTTGCAGTCATCGTCAATAGCCTGGAAAAACAAGCAAGGGGTGAAAAAGGATTGGAGAGAGGAGGTGTCACACAAAGGACAAGGAAGCGCAGCTGTTTTTCAGGGCAAAGAGCCTTTCCCCTTCAGGGGACAGAGCAACCAAAACGCATTCCTGTGGGCACCTCTCCCAGGACTCTGCAGTGATTGCATCTGGCCCCAAAATGCCAGGGTCTCCATCCATCGTAAGTGGAAAAGTTGTAACATGGGATGTACTGGTTGCACTCTCTTTGGGAGGCTCAAGTCAGGCCAGGTCTCCCAACAGGAATGAGGGTACCTGTGGGCACCTGAGCATTTCAGCAGTGACAAAATGTTCCCCTTGAGCCGGATAAATTACCAGCCGCATGAAATGAGGACCATCCTTCTGACAAGTAACAGCCCCTGCAAAGTGAGACCTTGCATCCTTCGGGGGCAGAACCAGAGGTCTCGGCACAGGGGGTGGGAACTTCAGGCCAAATGTGGTCATCCGGGCCTTGGGACCTGGCCCTCGGGACTCTCCAGCGAGACTCCCTCTTCCCAGGCCACATCTCCGACTTGCGATGCCCAGCAGCCTCAAGTCATGTGCTTTTGCCTGGCTGAAATTCCTTCTTGAAGCATTGTCTCTGGCTTGCCTAGATGGAAGCGTGTTGTGTGTGTTTGTATATATATGTAGGAAGTTCAGGCTCTTGCGTGTCTGGAATGCAGCCAGCTGTACAAAGGTAAGATCCACAACTGCTGCGCTGCCTGCTTTTGACTCTGGCCAGGGAGGCAAAGGTTCCCCATCTGTGAGTTAACAGGTGATGCTGCGGAAGCAGCACCTCCCCTGCTGTTTTCCGCCTCCTTTTCCCAAGTCCCAAGTCTCAGATCTGCTTTCCAGTCATCTCGGAGATCACTTTATAAATCTCCATGGATCAGCTTCAGTCCAGATATACTGTTGGAAACCTGCAACTGGCAACCCAGATGTTTGCTCCTTTCAGCCCTCAGGCCTGTTAGGTTCAGCCTCTCTTAACTCTGCCCCTATGCCTGCCAGTTACTTTTCCCCTTATGTCCACTAGGTAATAAGAAGCCATATTAACGTCCCCATTCTGAAGAAGGGCCATAGCTCAGCAGCAGACCATCTGCCTTGCACACTGGAGGTCCCGGGTTCAAATTCTCGGCATCTCCAGGTAGGGCTGAGAGAGAAATCCACTGGCAAGCAAGGCAGGCAAGATTTCTCTAGGGGAACCAGTAACCTGACTCAGTATAAGGCAGATTCCCATGTTCTTATGGAAATTGTGCCTCGGCCATGATGGCGAGCCCATGCAGAAAGCTGTCTATTGGACTGACTCCTGGCATGAGAAGGCAAGGGATGAGATCAGGCTTTAACAGGCGCCAGCTCGCTGGGTGCACTGGTTCTTCTCCGGAAGCTTGATTACTAGAAACTTGATCCCCGGAGGTTCGTAAGGAGAGCAACATGGTGGGTGCACATTCATTTCCATGCCGCACCATTTACCTGTGCAAGAGCTCATCCCTTCTTTCACACACACACACACACACTTGCATCTCTATTACCTGCTTCCCCAGCAGCAGAAGGTTGATGCCTTCTTTTTTGGCAAGTGCAGCCAGGATTTTCGAAACCTGGAAGGGGCTGAGGCTCTCGTACTCCTTGGCAGGGACCTCCACATGCAGCCCTCGATCGGCCCCCATCGCGAGGGCCGTGCGGATCGTCTCCTGGAGGGAGGCGGCAAAAGGAACAATAAAGATGGAAGCCTTGAACTTGACACACACATCTGCTTTCCTCGGAATTTTAAGGTATTAATTCTTGTCCTAGAAAGTCCCCCGGGAAGGCCTAGAAGAAGAGTGCTCCGGGGAAAAACAATACATTTGTGATGTTAGCTCCCCTCTCAGGCCTATTTGCTTGTTTAGCAATCAAACATACCTTACCCCAGGGGCCTACAGGGGACTACAACTCCCATCACCCCCATAATTGGTTATGCTGTCTAGGGCTGATAGGACTTTGGGAGCCCAACAGCACTGGGAAGCCCCATAAGTCGACCAACACAGCCTCTCACTAAGGAAAGATTGCGTTGCTTAAGAAGAGCACAGGTCGAGAATCAACACAGTCATCTTGAGAAAGAAACCAGTATTGGGTGGCAGTCTTGGAAGATTTATGCTGCCCTGAGCGGGACCGGTAATATAAAGAAAATTGGATGCTGTGCTTTCAAGATACACTGTTCTGGCATGAAGAAATCTGAGTTCTCTCTTCCAGTTTTGTTAATGACAATGATAATAGCCTCTATAGGGAAGGGGGATGCCTGCCCCACTGGGAACAGAGCCAAGGCACTACTCCCCCCCCCCCCCAACAGATGCAGCTGCTGAGTTTGCAATAGTAAACCCATCACTGCGCCAGCCAGCCCTTTACACAACCGCAGGCAGAAATCAGAAGCAGGAGGGCAGAGAGAAGATGGCCTTGGGAGAGAAAGAAAAGCCCTGCATTTGTTCCCAATCTCAGAGACTGAGGAACGTCAGCTTGGCTGCTGCTGCTGCTGCAGGGGGAAGGGAAGGGCTGCTTTAAAAAAAAAAAAATGGGGGGATTGTGAGAGCAGCGCAGCAAGTGAAGGTCACTGGGAAGCGGGGGCAGCAGTGCAGAAAATAGCTGGCGACGGTGGGGCTGTCAGGAAGCCGCAGCTGAGAGAAAAGAGAGCAGAGCCAGGTCTGGGGAGAGGCAGGGGGAGGCAAGAGAGGCATGTCCAAACCGGTTACTTTCACCGGCTGGAGCTGCGCACAGACACACGCCGTGTGGGATCTCAAGAGCAAAGTGGGGAGCGTCTGCCTTCTAGTGCCCCCCTCCCATGGCCTTTCTTGGGAGCTGTCCGAGGGCAGAACAGAACGCTGGGTTTTGGCTGCGGGAGGGCCGTGCTCAAGGCTGTGCAGGTGGCGAGCCTATGCGCTTACCTGGTAGCCAACCCCTCTTGAAGTTAGTGGGATTTACATATGAGTAAATGTGCAGAGGGCTGCACTGTCAGCACCTTTAAGGGAGCCCTGCCGCCTCCTCCTTCCCCCCACCCTCTCTCTAACAGAGGGAATTCCAGCAGGTGATGCAGATTCTCATCTCTTGTGTTATGACTAACTGTGTCCGCTGAAAATTCTGTTGCTGGTTCCCATCCTGCATTTGGGCTCCCCTTAGATGGGCGCGAAGGGAAGGTACATTGGGATTGGTTTGTAGGTTGCTGGATGATTTTCAGTCAGCTGGAAAAGGTTCCCAATTATAGCAACAAAAAAGCTGCTCCCATCACAACCCCTACCCCAATATAGAATTGTCAGAATTCCTGCTTAGATACAAATTAACTCAGATGCTATTTTTTTACTTGCATATATGCAAGTTATCCTGGGTGCAGGAGTCAATTGCTTCTGCTGCTTAAGTCATCATTTGGATCTAGTCTTACTCACAAGTCACTGTTTGGCCCTCAGCTCCAAATGGTGGTTAAAAAAAGAAAAGGAAAAGGAAAAGGAAAAAAAGAAAGAAAGGTAAATTTGGAAAGCTTGAAGTCTGCCCTAGACTCACAGGCCTTGATAGCTCAGGCAGCAGAGCATGAGACTCTTATTCAGGGTTGTGGGTTCACGCCCCAGGTTGAGCAAAAAGATTCCTGCATTGCAGAGGGTTGGACTAGATGAACCATGTGGTCCCTTCCAACTCTTATGATGCTCTCTAAACAGAGCCCCTTTTCTTAACAACCCAGTGAGCTGCTTAGATGATGGTGGTCCTACACCTTTAACAGTGTGCCCTGCTGAAACCCCCTCGTCTACACAACTAGTAAAGCTACGGGAACCTCATTTTCATTTGTCGAACTCCTAATTCTCTCTCTGCTGCTCATCAGACAAGAAAACCACCCTTAATGTTCACACAGGCAATGCTCTAGCCCAGACAACTACACTCCACACACCTCAACAGGCTGCGAAAGGCAGGCTTCTCCATTGCTTCAGGTGTGTTAACTCTGTCAAAGGTTGGTACCCAGTATTTGGAGAAGAAAGGGTTTTGGCTCCAGCATCTTCAACATGCTGCTCTCAGCATATCTACAGAGCTCTCTCTTGTGTGCCGCTGGTACCACCTGGTGGCCACCAGCCTAACTAACACCAGTTAGTCCAGCCCCCATCCCTCATCTCTTTGCACTCAGCCCCCTGAGCTGTAAAAAGCTCTCGATTTAGAATTAATTATGTTGATCACAGGCCACTCAGCAAGTTGGCAGATAGACAGAAAGGAGCCTGAGCACCAATTTCCCAAGAGAAAATTGGAGAAAGGAATTTGGGACAAGCAATTAGGTGCGCCTGAGCACCAATTTCAAATGGAGGATGGAGAAAAGAATTTGGGACAAGAAGTTCTAGTCACCAAACGAGGAGCAAGAAAGCTGTCCCCCAGCGTCACACTGGACCTTCCCTGAGGAGTCCACTCTGTTCCACCCGTCCATGCAACACAGACCAAAGCTGTACAAACAGAGGGTATTTATGAGAGAAAGCTGCTCCCGCAGCAAACAGATTCCTCAAAAGCAGACCACTTGCATAAGAACATACTAAACTATCCCATGTTGAGTCACACTGGGGCCATCTTTGCACACACCATGGGCCCTTGCACCCCTCATTTTTTATTTTTATTATTTAAATTGAAAGGAGAAAGTTGGCGCTCTCTCTCTCTCTCTTTTTTTGGTTGGGCAGAGAGAGTTGCCTGCCGTTTTTCTGTCTGTGATTTAGGGGGCATGCAGGTGTTTTACCTCCTTTTTTTTAAGGGGGGGGGTGTCTGAGCACTGTCCACTTTTCTTCTGTGAAATGGGTGCATTGCGCTGCCTGCAGCAATTTCATAGATAATGTGCCTCTTAGGGGCCCAAAAACATGGGGAACCCCTGATCTACACTGACAGGCAAGGAGTCAGTGCTGCATCCAATGTTCCAAAGTTCGCCACACTCGCAGTACACTCAGTGAAATTAACAAACATAACCAACAGGTCTATCAACTTCATAAGTCTGCTCTGAGCACAACTTAGTTGGGATACAACCCTCCAACAATAGTCTTTTCCAGTCCTACTCAGAGATGCCAGAGATTGCATCCAATACCTTCTGCCTGCAAATCATGGGCTCTATGACTCAGCTAATGACCCTTAATTTGATCGTAGGCTGTCAGCAGGGATTTCGGGGGGTGTTCTTAGAAGAATAGGGTTGTTTTCAACTAACTTTTACTAAAGCATACCCACTGAAATTAACAGCAGTGATGAACTTAGGTTCATCAATTCCAGCGTGCCTACTTTGAGTCATTTAAATATTGCCTTTCTTCCAAGGAATGAAATACTAAATATACATTGCAAAAATATAGTTTACTCAGGCTGGTTAATGGTCCTTTCAAGAGCTAATGGCACAAACTCCCTGGCCTGCTATTAAGAACATATGAATCTGCCCAATACTGAATCAGATCATTGGTGTGTGTAGTATTTTCTCCTTCAGGGATTCAGACATGAGATGCTGGGGATTGAATCTGAGACCTTCTACATGCAAAGCAGATGCTCTACCGTTGAGCTACGGGCCTTCTTCACTTCTGTCCTCCCTCAGGCCACACAAGTCAAGCAGACTTAGGGAAGGTAGGAGAGGAGCTGTGCCCCAACAGGTACGCTGATGCCACCAGTTCCCTGGTCTGCTGACGATCTTTGTTGCTTTAGAACGTACAGGATGCCTACTGCATCTTAAGCCACCCCACAAATAAGAGGAAGGCAGGTTTTTAAAAATCACTTGCCAATATTGGTGGCAGGAAAGATTCCCTCCCGATCCCTAATTAGAGCAGAAAAGTACCATGGGTAGTGGTATTTGTAGTGTTGGTTCTTTTAGGGGTTTTTTTCTTGTCCCCCCCCTTTCTTTCTTGATTTGTATATGTATGTTGAATCTTTATACTTTTAAAATAAAAATTAAAAAGATAAGGAAAAGAAAAGTACCATGGGTAAAATTCACCAAGCAAGCTTCCTACCCAAGGAGAACTGCCGAGGATGAAAACTCTAAACCACAGCTGAGCTAGCCCTTCTCTTGCTACATTGCCCTCCTGCAATGGTGACAACTTGCCGGCTTTCACTCAGAACTAGGCTCGCAAGAAACCAGCAACCTCATTTTAGCTAGGGGTCCAAAGCCAGGGTGTTGGAGGACTTCAACAGAGCTCCCTGCAAAGCATCATCTATGCCAGGCTTTTCTTATTTTACATCTCCAGTTTTACTCAACCCAGTAGGAGCAGTCATGGTAATCTGTAGCCTACTGTACAAAGGTACAAGTCACCTCCTCTGCCTATCCACCACAGGCATGAGGCCCCTGAAGGGTGGCCACCAGGGAATGTGGCCCCTGGTCTGTAAAAGCTCTTCCACTCTTGCTTTAGTCTTAAAGAGTCCCGTGCGATACAAAGGGCAAAGAAATTCATTACAGCATAGGCCTTCATGGACTACAGTCTACTTTAATCAGATGCATCATGTGGTCAGACAAGTACAGTAGAGGAGAGATAGTATACCATCATAAATCTGCAAGGCTTTAAAGTTCCACAAGATTCTTGCTGTTTCTACTCAACCTCAGTACTTAGGATGCCTTCTGGTTACGTCCATCCCCCACCCCAAAAGGACACATCTGGAAAAGATGTATTTTAAAGGTGAAGTAGAGGCACTTCAAGAGATGACTGGACTTAAGAACCATCGCTCTCTCTCTCCAGGGCTGCATTTGCATAATCAAACCATGGCTTCATAAGCCGAGAAGCGCACAAGCTTCATGTACCCGCATGTAACCCCTTTGCTTCTGCTTTGCTCTTCCTCTTCTGCGAATGAGCCAAAAACAAGCCAAGAAGCCACAGTTAATCATAGCTTGCTGTTATGTCCAGACAAGGAACTCGCATGAAGGGGAGAACAAAGTGGCTGCAAGCAGGTCCCTGAAGCTCACACGTATCTCAGCTTCTTAAGCTGAGATATGATTGTGCAACTGCCACCTGTTTGTCAGAGACCACTCTTAAGAATACAAGTACTGCCCTGTTGGCTCAGACCAACAGCCCATCGAGTCCAGCATTCTGTTTGGAGCTACAGCCAGGCAGGTGTTCACATGCAGGGTATGAAGGCTCCAGCTGCCCCCTGCAACAGGCTGACATTAGGTACACCTCTAGGCAGGAACTAGATCATTTGTACACCTGCACAGCGCTTAGCCAGAATTGGCAGCAGCAGAGGGAAGAGGCATGTGTAACCAGGAATTTAAGTCTCCTTGATATGCTCACATTTTCAGCCCATGTATGTTTCTATATGTAGCTCAACTGAATTACAGGTCTAGTTACTTATTGGACCCAAGGTCTTCTAATATGATCACCACCCCCTAAAGTGCAAACTATAAGGTCTTAAATTAAGGACGTACAGTTAATGCACCTTACAAAGGAAGACTTTGCCAAGGTGACTGAGGAACTATCTAGGAGCCTGTTTTATTTCTTCTACTTCCTCTAAAACGCTCCAAGGGACAAAATTGCTGGGTCTTTTTTCTTTCCTCGAAAAAACAACACGCTGGTCATTGCCGAACAAGTTAATGGATTTGTTAAATGACACAGTAAAGCAAAGCAATTTCAAGAGTTGCCCACTTTGTTGTTATAGCAGCTAAACTTAGATAAAACATCATCTGCAGGAATTTAGCAGACCATAGAGGCAATAGTTTGAATCTCCTTCCACCACCACCCAAGTTCTTCTTTTCACTTTTGAGCTAACCTGCCATTTTTGAAAATAATGTATATTCTATTATATTGCGAAGGTTTAATTGCTTACAGTGCGTAAGCAACCAATGCACAGCTTGACAAATATAACAGCTAGACATTAGACTTTCTTAAAGTATTTCCAGGAATTGAATTCTACACCAGATACCAAATGTCACATGAACAAAATTTTGACACGAATTAAAGGCCGAGGAGAGAAGGAGGTAAAAGCAAAAATGAGGAGAAAGTCTGGGGTGAGTGAGAGAATACAGCAGCAGTGTGGGATAAAGCAGAAGAGACCAACTCAACCATCTAGGAATGGAACTCAGGTTTGAGATACCATTGATGGGGTGAGGTCCTATATAGAGGCCAGTGGAGGATGAAAATTAGGGCAGATGGGGCAGGGTTCCAACAACCTCTTATCTGTCCTCATTCAGCTCCCACCTGCCCCAACCAGTCAGGTGGCTCTGCTTGCCATTGGCCCTGGCTCCACCTATTGTTGGTTTCCCTGCCTTCTGCTCAACAGTTTCAATGGACACTATCCACTGCTGTCAAAGCCCACAGCCAGTACTGGATACTCAGCTGTGGGTTCTGGTTACACAATGATTTCCTTCCCTTGCCCTCTATTTGACTTGCCTCCTGCTTTTGGGGAATGCCTCCTCACCTGGCACTGCTGTGGACCACAACTCACAGCTACCACCTCTGAGACGAGCTTCTTTTCCTTGAGGCGCACGGCTTCCTCCACGGCGATCTCGCAGAAGGGGTTCATGGAGTGCTTGACTCCATCTGTCACTACGCCTGTTTTGTCTGGTTTCACCCGCACCTGCAAGAGGAGCAAAGTTGTCATGGAGGCAGCTAAGGAAGATCTGGAACTAGGGGAAGAAGCTCTTGGGGACCTTTCCCACTCCTCTTTGGGGCATGGGGATCCAGAAGCTGAATGCATCAGACAGGGCATCATCAGCCCCAGGTAGGGTAGAAAACATTAGAAAGTTTTCAAATAGTTTAGAATTGCATTAATGCATGCTTGCCGTAAGAGCTTGCTCTCTTTTAATTAAGATAAGAACCCAAGATGAGCCCATCTAGATTAGGCCAAACGTCCATCTAGCTAGTTCAACATCCTGTTCTTACAGTGCCAACCAGATCCATAATGGCTTTCAGAGAGGATTAGACAAATGCAAGAAGGATAAGGCTAAGGTAACTATGCCACAGCAGTACATAGTTATCTACTTGCACTGGTATACTTTCGAACTACAAGGCTGGCAGGAGCTGTGACAGAGCAATGGGAGCTCACCCCATCGCACAGATTCGAACTGCCAACCTTCCAATTGGCAACCCCAAGCAGCTCAGCCATTTAGACCACAGCGCCACCCGCTCCCTTTATAAGGCTCTGCTCTACCTCTACTATGGTGGGCAGTGTGCCTCTGAATGCCAGCTGTTGCACACAGGTCCTGCTCTTGTGCTTCCCATGGGCATCTGTTTGACCACTGTAAGAACATGATGCTGGACTAGATGGGCCCCTGGTCTGACCTGGCCGAGCCCTTCTACTGCTAGTGGGAAGCCAACAAGCAACACCTGAAATCAAACCTCTCAGCCAAGACTATATCTATATCTTTGCCATCCACTAATTTTGCCACAAACATAAGGCTGCAATTTATTCTTTATGCACAGCCTTCTGTGGGGGCTGTTTGCTTGTTTATTTTTAGCCTGCCTTTCAATCATCTTGGATTCCCGAAGCGAGGAACAATTAAAAGATTTTGACAAAACAAATGAAAACAAAGATGACACAAATGGCTGGGGGGTGGCGGTGGCTGCAATCAACCTCATCCCATTCCCTCCAGCCATTCTCTGCTCTCCAATTCATGTGGTCATTTTCAATTATGATTTTTCTCCACTTGATTATCTCTGGTCATGCATGGGAATGAAATTACACAGAGAAAGCTCTGACATGACCCATCGGTACATGGATATGCTCAGCTGCGATTTCAGCAATTGGGGTTTGCTCCAAAAAGGGCTGCCAAGATTGCAGAAGTTGAAGCACATCCACAGACTGTCAGTTTCACAAAATGCTAATCTCTACACTACAACTTTTCTGGGAACAGTCCAGGTGAAGGAAGATGGGGGCAGGGGGTAGAAGACCAAAAAGAGAAAGAACAAAACTATTCACTTAGGAGCCACTCACCCCTCCTCTATGCCTTGGGCTGGTTAATCTTGGGGTGCTCAAGTTGATTGGTTTGGTTCTACTCTTTCCTCATCCTCTCATCCCTAAAGTTTGTGAAGGCAATGAGCTGGTCTGCATGTATTGTTTAAGATAAACTATGGCTTAGTGCAAATGCATGAATGTGCAGCCTGCTGGGGCGCAGATTGCAGCCACTTTGCTCTTCCTCTCTGATTCTGTTGCAAGCTAACGTGTTTTAGCACGTTATTCAAACCGGAGCTCATTATTTTCTCCTCCAGATAAGCCACAAGCCTGCATTCAGATGGCATGTTTAGCCAAACCAGGGCTTGCTCAAAGCAGCCACAATCTCCTCTCTGGGAACTCTCACACTTGTGCATTTGCGTTAAACCATGGTTTGGCTTAGCATAACATGTGAAACAGTTGAATGAAGAAATATCTTTGGTTGAGAGAAGAAATTCTAGTAACACATTCATACACAAATACCGCAACCTTAACCATGTTTACCCAGAAATAGGTTCTACTGAATTCAAAGGGACTTACTCCCAAGGAGAATTGTGTCCACAGTACAATACAAAAGCACACAAGGAATTACAGGAAACACACAGCTGAAGTCCAAGGCACTTTCAAATAAGTTCCCTCAACTCTTTTGAGAGAAAGAAATGGAGCATTAAAACCTAGGAACAACAGGAATACTCATTGTATGCCTCCTCAATGTTTATGGGTTTAAGTGTTTTGGAAGAAGCTTCTGTTTGCGTAAGGAAGGCCCAAGATCAAACAGCCTGCTCCTGCACAGAGATCCAGTAAACATAGACTTAAAATCAGAAAAAGGCGGCGGCTGTTTGCACACACGTCTTTGCGCAATCAGCAACCACACTGGCTGCTTAGGGATTGTGTTCACACACAGCTGCAAGGCACCCATTTGAACCTTCCAGCAGTTAGAACCTTCTGGCATTGTTCTGCAGACTTTCTCCACACATTAGCCAGGCTTCCTCAACTTCGGCCCTCCAGATGTTTTTGGCCTACAACTCCCATGATCCCTAGCTAGCAGGACCAGTGGTCAGGGATGATGGGAACTGTCGTCTTAAAACATCTGGAGGGCCAAGGTTTAAGGAAACCTGCATTAGGCTGATCAGCGCCATGGGTTCTTCAGATGTTAAGACCTTACCTTCTGATACCAAAACTATCACTGAACAGAAGACACGAGACTGCTGCATGTAGATTCTCAGGTGCAAATATCACCTGGGGAAACCCAGGTGGCGAATAAATAATAAAATTATTATTTATTATTATTATTACATATGCATTCACAACTTATCCACGCTGGAGGGCAGTTTCCCAGTATGCATGCATTCAGTAGGAGAGCCACATACGAGTGCCTCACACAAATGTTAACCTGCACACAGCTTCCCTACATGGAAACGCCTTCATATAAGAAAATCAGAAGGTCTGAAGAAGCCCTCAAAGTCTTGATTGGATGGAGAAGTAGATGGGTAACCCAGGTTCAAATCCTGACTAAGATATGAAGCTTACTGGCTAGCCTCAAGCCAGTAATCCCAGGAGAATACAAGCTATTGAGCTCCGTGGAAGAAACACAGGATATAAGCATAAAACCTGACAACAAACAGGTCACTGTTATTCCCATTTACCTGAGAATGAAAGACAGAAGTTGCCCAAAGACACATCCACTGAGTATGGAAATTTAGCCCTGATCTTTCAGGCAGTGTTAGAAACTAAGACAGGAAAGCTAGGCGCTAAATGGCACCTTAAACCCAGGTTATGGGCACAACAACGGAATGTCTAGGCACACTTTTTAAAAAACAAGAATACAAAGCTGAAAATGAATGAATTGCAGCAAAAATATTATGTTCATTTTTCACACCGTCTAGTCCTTCCCCTGCCCACCTCTCCTAATATTCTTAAGAGGGTCTCTTTTCCAGTCTTCAGAGAGTAGCTGGAAGTGGGGAGGCAGAAAAAGGTCCTCCTTTCCTTCCACTCTGCAGTTTTAATCTCAAATTTTAGGGTCAGTATTGTGCCCAAGGCTCAAAAACTGTTCTCGCTTAATAAAATTCCCTTTTGCAAAATGTGTCTAGAAAAATGGGAGTTTTGAACACTGCTCTCAGGTCCAAGGTCCAGCTGAGATTCTTGAATCAGAAACAAATATTAACGAAGTGATTGAGGGATACAAGTACAGAATAAAACCAGGCAGGGTTTAATGCAACATGATGGCAAGAAAGGCTTCCTTCAACAACTCTGCTCTCTCCCAATACACCTCCATGATGTCAACTCTCCTCCCTCCCTCAAATCTCTTCCTTTTAATACAATACTCTATTGCAAAAAAAGTTTGTTTCTTTTCTTTTACAGTACTCTATGGTGAAAAACTTAAGCGTAACTATACCGTCTCTGAAAAAGGAGATTTCGTTTTGCTAACACGGCTGACAGCCACTGGCTGCTTTCTCCTCCACCAAGGCATTTGTCAGCATGAGGTGACCTTGGGCTAGGCACTGTCTCTCAGCCTGACCTACCTCACAGGGCCGTTGTGAAAATAAAATGTGGAGGTGGGGAAGGGGAGAACGATACACGCCACCTTGAATTCTTTGGAGGGAAGGCAGAATACAAACGCAATAAAATAATAAATGAGTAAAACCCACTGCCTGGGTTTCCTTTCCTTTCTCCCTCTCAATCCCCTTTTTTTCTTCCTGTGTCATGCATTTCAGATGCTAAACATGAGCAGGAAGGCCTTCTAGTCATACGGATCGCTGTAAGCTTTTCTCGGCTGAAACTGCTTCAGAAACAAATAACTGAAAAAGTTAGTAACAATCAGCCAAGGACAGAAAAGAAGCCGGCAGCACCAGGCAAATGCCTCCGGGAAACCGTTTTGAGAAGGAAAAAAAAGCTGCCCCCTCCAACATCTAATATTCTGAGGCAGACTGCCCGTGAACACAGGGGTTCAGACACACGTGACAACGTGAACGTGTGAGCGCCACACGCTCAGCGTCGTGTTAACATGCGGGTCTGGGCTAAGGGGGACCTCCAGAGGAGAAGCGCTCCCCCTCTTGGGACCCAGGCGTCCGAGGGACTCCCTCCCCGCGCGCCGCCCTCCCCTGCCTCGCCGCGCGCACCTTCACAGCGTAATCAATGACCCTCTTCACTCCCACCATCGCCCTCAACCCGGCCGCCGCCATCTTGCCCCGTTCCCAGTCGCCCTATCAGCAGCAGCCTAGCTTCCTCCTCACCACGCCCACCGGGTTCTCCCAGCCAATCGGGAAGAGGACCAGGCGGTCCAATCCGTGCGCATGTGGAAGGGGAGGAGGGAATCACGTGAGTGTGTCTTCAAAGCTCCTCAAGAGGGTCAGGTGCGTGGTCGTCCGTGGTGCCCAATCGCGAGTTTCTTTCGGGTTTCCGCAAGCCAATCGAGGAACTCGGTAGGAGGGCATAATGGGAGGGCGAGAGGGGAGGGAACGAAGGCAAAAGCGACTGCTTTTTCAAATTGGATGACTGATGTGACGTTTTCACCAATCACAGCATTGGAATGGGGGGGTGGAGCGCGAGGGTTCCGGGGATTATCTGTCCAGGCCAATCAACCAGCGGCATTTACGTGACGCGCGTCCCACCACACTCCGCCTCCGAAACGAAAGGAGGACCATCAGAGCGGCGTCTGAGTTACTGTTGAAGAGGGAGCGGCTTGCGGAGGGAGGGAGGCTGCGCGCGCGCGCTGGAGGAAACTGGGTGAAAGGTCGTGACGCGTGTCTTTTGTTGTTGACGCAGTTACGGATCCGGCTGTAGCGTGCGAATTGTTGGTCGCAGGACTGGCCTGCTCGCGGGAACAGCGCGCCGTATGTGGTGTCGGATTTAACTGCACCCGGCCGACCTCCGTGTCCTCCTACCTTCGAGTCGGCAGTGTAACGTCTGAAATGGAGAGCCAAAGAAGATCGCAACGACAACTTCCGCGATTAGAAATAATTTCCTCTTCTCGCGGAGGTTCTTTCTGCGATCTCCCGTGGCACGTGTCTCCTCTAAAGGGGAACGAAAGAACAACAACAGGAAAAAAAAACTCAACACCTTGCAATTGCGAAACTGGCATGGTTGCTGCCAGCCAGGAACTGACCCCTGTTTTTCTAGGGGTCGCCCCCCAAAAATATTTTCCATGTTCCTTTTTTCCCAGGCCTCCACTGCTCAAGGCTAGATCTTGCATCCATGGCCTTGGTTTGCATTTCAACACCCTCCATAGGTTGCTATGATACTTGAATCTGCAAATTGCAATTGGCCCTTGCTCTCCAAACTTAACATACTTCATTTAAAGTACTAAGGTAAGAAGAGGGCGAAGAGCTCTTCAGAAGATTTCTGCAAGACACCACAACAGATATATTGTAGGAACATAGGAATCTGACTTCTTGTTGTTTAGTCATTTAGTCGTGTCCGACTCTTTGTGACCCCATGGACCAGAGCACGCCAGGCACTCCTGTCTTCCACTGCCTCCCGCAGTTTGGTCAAACTCATGCTGGTAGCTTCGAGAACACTGTCCAACCATCTCGTCCTCTGTCGTCCCCTTCTCCTTGTGCCCTCCATCTTTCCCAACATCAGGGTCTTTTCCAGGGAGTCTTCTCTTCTCATGAGGTAGCCAAAGTACTGGAGCCTCAGCTTCATGATCTGTCCTTCCAGTGAGCACTCAGGGCTGATTTCCTTCAGAATGGATCGGTTTGATCTTCTTGCAGTCCATGGGACTCTCAAGAGTCTCCTCCAACACCGTAATTCAAAAGCATCAATTCTTCGGCGATCAGCCTTCTTTATGGTCCAGCTCTCACTTCCATACATCACTACTGGGAAAACCATAGCTTTAACTATACGGACCTTTGTTGGCAAGGTGATGTCTCTGCTTTTTAAGATGCTGTCAAGGTTTGTCATTGCTTTTCTCCCAAGAAGCAGGCATCTTTTAATTTCGTGACTGCTGTCTCCATCTGCAGTGATCATGGAGCCCAAGAAAGTAAAATCTCTCACTGCCTCCATTTCTTCCCCCTCTATTTGCCAGGAGGTGATGGGCCCAGTGGCCATGATCTTCGTTTTTTTGATGTTGAGCTTCAGGCCATATTTTGTGCTCTCCTCTTTCACCCTCATTAAAAGGTTCTTTAATTCCTCCTCACTTTCTGCCATCAAGGTTGTGTCATCTGCATATCTGAGGTTGTTGACATTTCTTCTGGCAATCTTAATTCCGGCTAGGGATTCATCCAGCCCAGCCTTTCGCATGATGAATTCTGCATATAAGTTAAATAAGCAGGGAGACAATATACAGCCTTGTACTCCTTTCCCAATTTTGAACCAATCAGTTGTTCCATATCCAGTTCTAACTGTAGCTTCTTGTCCCACATAGAGATTTCTCAGGAGACAGATGAGGTGATCAGGCATCTTTGTCCATGGAGTTTTCTTGGCAGGGATACTGGAGTGGCTTGCTGGTTCCTCCTCCAGGTGGATCGTTTGGTCAAAACTCTCCACTATGACCTGTTCATCTTGGGTGCCCTGCTCGGCATAGTTCATAGCTTCTCTGAGTTATTCAAGCCCCTTTGCCACGGCAAGGCAGTGATCCATGAAGGGGGGAATCTGACTTGGACTGACTCAAACCATTGGCCCATCAGACAGAGTATTCTCAACCAGGGTCTCAGGCAGAGAATACTGTATTTCCATACCTACCTGGAAAGGCCAGGGATCTGAACCTGGTACCTTCTGCATACAAAACATTTGTGATGGCTGTTTCCCATTACAAAAGAATAATTGTATTACGGTGGTACCTTGGGTTAAGAACTTAATTTGTTCCGGAGGTCCGTTCTTAACCTGAAACTGTTCTTAACCTGAAGCACCACTTTCGCTAATGGGGCCTCCTGCTGCCGCTACACTGCCGGAGCATGATTTCTGTTCTCATCATGAAGCAAAGTTCTTAACCCAAGGTACTATTTCTGGGTTAGTGGAGTCTGTAACCTGAAGCATCTGTAACCTGAAGTGTGTGTAACCTGAGGTACCACTGTATTTGTAACCTGCACATCTGCCTGGGTTATCTACTTAAGAGAATTATATAGAGTGGAAGGGGCACCGGTGTTGGCCACCCACCTGCAAGGGAGGAATCACAGCTAAAGCATCCCTGACAGGTGGTTATCTGCTTAGAAACCTCCATTTTTGCTTGATTGGCCACTGCGTTAGACTCTATTGCAGGAATGGGGAACTTAGGACCCTCCAGGGGTTGGATTCTTAACTTGCGTCCACAGCACCAGTGTTGGCCCACAGTCAGGGATGGTGGTGGTTTCAGTCCTGCAACATCTGGAAAGCCAGCAGTTCTCCACTCCTGCTATAGCACCTGTCAAGAGGTGATTCTAGAAGAACAGTCGTAGGATGAAGCATATTAAAGGAGTTTATTCAGGAAGGATGTAAAGCAAAGAAATAGCATTTTAAAAAAAGGTAAGAAGCTTGATGTGAAGTGTCACTGCAGTGCCCCTTGATGCCGACATCCATCATTTGTAGCTTAGAGGCAACTGAATGTGTCATGATGATGTTTGATGCTTGCTGGGAATCTGCTGCAAAAAGTAACCCCTTGCCAAGGTGTCTTCTCACCCTAATTCCCACAGCTCAGATGCCACCGGGTGCATGGTTGCCCTCACACAACCAGGGCACCCTACCTGCCCAAACTTGATGCCACTTGTATATCTCGCAGCGTTGAGTTCACAGAATCGTCACAGATTTTGACGTGCCCCCCCTCGGCCTCCCTCGGAGGGCACCCTGAGAGGCAGGGTTTTCCAACAAGTCCTCTTTCAGCGTCTTTATAGTCATGCCTGTGAAAAGCTCTGTGGTATCTTCATCCTTCTCCCATTTCTTCGCCACCAAGTGACACACACCTGTAAGCCAAAAGGAGCCCATTTCAGTTGCTGGGTGCAAGTTGCCCTCCTTCCTGCGTGTCCACCTAACTTCACGGCTTTTGGCCACTTGACTGTATACTTGTAACATATAGTGTTGGTGGCTTTGCCTGCTCTGTTGCTTTGGCCCCACCCACTTTTGTCATGGGTGGCGCTGTGGCTTAAACCACAGAGCCTAGGACTTGCCGATCAGAAGTTCGGCGGTTCAAGTCCCCGCGACGGGGTGAGCTCCCGTTGCTCAGTCCCTGCTCCTGCCAACCTAGCAGTTCGAAAGCATGTCAAAGTGCAAGTAGAGAAATAGGTACCGCTCCGGTGGGAAGGTAAACGGCATTTCCGTGCGCTGCTCTGGTTCGCCAGAAGCGGCTTAGTCATGCTGGCCACGTGACCCGGAAGCTGTATGCCGGCTCCCTCGGCCAATAAAGCGAGATGAGCGCCACAATGTAGGGATCACATGGGATTACCATGAGGAATTATAAAATATACATCAAGCCATCGTGTCCACGATGAAAGCATTGTGTTGACTGGGTTTGATATATTGACGATAATTTCATGGCCTTTTCATGCCCTTTTTACTCTACTGCCCATTCCTCTCTTCCCCACATGTCACGTACACAGCAGTTGCTTCGCCAGGCAGGCATCCTGTGCCATAAAAAGATAGTGGGCAAGTTCTTTGATGTAGTTTCTTAATCTAGGAGCCAGAGAACAGATCTCACATGAAGGTGATAGTGGTCTGGTCTTTCTGGCCATCCTTCTTATCATGGTTATTTCTCAGCTCTGTGGTTGCCAGATGCACCCCTTTGTAGTTCTCAAGTTATTTACTACCCCTTTGTAGTTCTCAACTTATTTACCCCAAAATATATGCATGCTAATTAGTGTTGTAGTGTAACTTTTTCCCCACGTGGGGTTTGATGAAATGCTCAGAGGAAATATGACTGGTTCTTACAAGCACTGTGTAAAAGATTCTTTTGCTAATAAAATGGCCTGGCGAGGGGTGTGGTGAACACACTTTCTCCGAGAGCCTTGCTGGTCAAAGCCTCGTGTCTTGTTTTTAATCAGGGTCCAGTCCTTCCTTTACTTTGCGAACGCAACACCGCAACCCCAGAGTCGGTCACGACTGGACCTAATGGTCAGGGGTCCCTTTACCTTTACCTTACTTTTGTCAGGCGGCCCCTGGAAAGTTTGCCATGAGGCAATGTGGCCCTTGGGTGTAAGTAAGAAAGCAAGCAGGGTGAGGCTGGGTAAAGGCAGGTTGAAGCTTGTGGGGCAGTGCCCCATTGGACCAGCCACCACTTATTTTTTGCTGCATCCCAGGATGCTAAATCCAGTGTTTCAGAGAGACAGATTTTACAACTGGGGTTGCAATTAATTGCCTAGTGTGCACTGAGCCCTTCTCTGCTTGCATTCAGGAAGTCTTCCCCACCTAAGTCCTGTCATCTTTCCATAACCCCCCAGGGCTTTGAATAGCTCGTACCTGCCATGGTTGCCAGAATGACAGAGAACCACCCTGGTGCCAGGGACCACGAAAGGAAAGTGTTGGTCATCTCGGTGGCAGCCCTCATGTAATTGAAGAGGCCCATCGCTCCATTGAAGCCTGCAAGGTGAGAGGCGAGAGAAGCAAAGAATGGGAAGGTCAAGCACTTGAGTTCTTCAGCACTCCAGTCTTTAAACAGCCATAGCTTCCCCTAAAGAATTCTGGGAACTGTAGTTAAGGATGCTGGGAGTTGTTAGGAGACCCCCTATTCCCCTTCCAGAGCTACAATTTGCAGAGTAGTTTAACAAATGCTTCTTCGTAGGGAACTCTGGGAATTGTAGCTCTAGGAGGGAATAGGGGTTACCGAACAATTCTCAGGACCCTTACAAACTACAGTGTGTGAGTACATAACTATAACTAGTTTGTGAACTGCCTTGGCATTTCTTCTCAAAATAAAAGCTGATATTCTTCTTATTTAGCAATCCAACACAAATAATTTGAAAGGACCACAGTGGAGTAATCATATTGTTTTAGGTCTGTTGTGGGGGGTCGTAAATGCCTGGGTATGTTAACTGGTTAACTGATATGTTAAAACAGGATGTCAGACCGTATGGTTCTGTCTTAAGATAGATCCATGCATATATTAGGTCATGTGTGAAAACAGCTTCAAACCCCCTGGAAGTAGCATGTGCGAAGTGTTAATTAACCTAGGCAAACTTGCTAATTTGTGTACAAGCCACCCCTTTAATGTTACCCAATCAATATGTGTAAAAGCTAATTAGCACAACAAGGCATCAAAAAACTAGGTATGATAATTCAGATGAGTGGGGCGTCTCTCTCTGTGTGATACAGAAGACCAGGGTTTAGGTTAGCAAGATTAGAACAGGTGAGATGTGACAATTTTTGGGAAAAGGCGAACTGCCAGGGCAAGGATGCTGCTGTGCCTATAAGAGGAGCAACCTCTTGCGGCAGGAATGCTGTGGTCTCCTCCATTGTCGGCTTCAGATTATATACATGTGTAAATAAACCATATACCATAAAGACACCACAGTCTCTGCTGTGCCTTATTGTCCCACTAGAAACTCAGACCCTGGGGTTACAGAGCATCTGGCATCCCTGGAACCTCGCACTGCTTAGTGATTGGGGGGGTGGGGGTTTTCATGGAACACTGCTGGATTTCCAGAAACCATCTCACCAGTCTGTTTATATGGCTTCAGCAACCCATTCTTGTGACTGGTCATAAGAACATAAAAAGCGCCTGCTGATTGAGGCCAATGCCTCATATATCCCAGCATCTTGTTCTCAGAGTAGCCAACTAGATGCCTGTGGGGAGCCCTTTCTCCTGTGGTTTCCAGTAACTCCTATTCAGAAGCATTACTCCCTCCAACCATGGAGGCAGAACATCATGGCTGAAAGCTATTGATAACCTTTCCCTCAATGAAATTGCCCAGTCCTCTTTTAAAGCCATCAGATTTTATTATTTTTGCATTTTATTTATTTATACTTTTCAAAGTTTATACATTTCACTAGTTTTATACATTTCACTAATTTTACATTCATTTTGACTTTTCAAAACTCGGCTCCCACCCCCTCTTTCTGTGGTTCCTTAAATTTGTTTTTAATATCTTCTGCATATCCAAATTAACTTAATTTACTCATATGCTCTTATAAAACTGCAGGTTGTTACAATAATCCTGTCACTGTTTTTATCTGTTTATAATTTATCTGTAAATATTCAATAAACCATTTCCATTCTTTTATATACCGGTATATAAAAAATGTTACCTTGATTTTTTATTCTTCCGGTAAGTTTTGCCATTTCTGCTTATTCCATAAGTTTTTTTTATCCCTTCTTCCTTTACTGCAGTGGTGGCCAAACTTGGCCCTCCAGCTGTTTTTGGACTACAGGTCCCATCATCCCTAGCTAACAGGACCAGTGGTCAGGGATGATGGGAAGTGAAGTCCCAAAACAGCTGGAGGGCCAAGTTTGGCCACCACTGCTTTACTGGGACTTCTGCTTCTTTCCATTTTGGGGCAAGTAACATTCTTGCCACTAGTGGCATACATGAATAAGTTTCTATACATTTTAGGTATCTAAATTAGTGGCCATCACTGCCTCCTGTGGGAACAAGTACCATAGTTTAACTATGCGTTGCATGGAGATGTACTTTCTTTTATCTATCCCAAATCTTTCAAATTTGTTGGTTGTTCCCTACTTTTAGTGTTATGAGAGAGGGAGGAGAACTTTCCTCTTTCAGCTTTCCCTATGCCACACATAATTGTACACACTTTTATCAAGTCATCCTTCCTTTCCCTTTAAACTAGTGTTTCCCAAACTTGGGTCTCCAGCTGTTTTTTGGGTTTTTTTGTACTACAGTTCCCATAATTCCTGCTAGCTAGGGATGATGGGGGTTGTAGTCTAAAAACAGTTGGAGACCCAACTTTGGGAAACATGGCTCTAAACAAAAAAGTCCTAAATGCTGCAACCTTTCCTCCATCCCTTTTGATCATTTTGGTTGCTCTTCCCTGCACATTTCCTGGACAGTCGGGTGCTAACCGCACGAAGTCTTTTTGGGGAACGAAAAGGGGAGGTGGCGGGGTAAATAAGAGTCAGAAGATGGCTCCTCTTACCCGAGACAAAACAGAGGCCGATGGTTAGCGTGGGCCACGTTGTCGTCCACCACTTTGGCGGTTGGATGGGTGTGAGGCAAAGTGTCCCAGTGACCACAGACCCATAGGAAGTCGCAACAGAGAGCAGCATAAAAAATCTAGATATGTAAATATAGTCTAGGAGAGAAGAAAGAAAGAAACTTTATCCTAGTGGCCCTCTGTTCGTCGCCCCGCTCCCTAATCTCAGACCTCGGATCCTCCACTACCACCACAGTCCCGTCTCTGAATTGCTCCGCAAGAGGGAGGCTCACAGCCCAAGCGCCATCCTAGCTTGAGGAGCAATTCTCTGTGATCCACGTGACGGTCACCTCCAGACTGGATGATTGTAACTCGCTCTCCGTGGGGCTGCCCTTTAGACAGACCCAGAAACTCCAGCGGGTGCAGAATGCCGCGGCGAGACTCCTTACGGGGTCCTCGCTGTGGGATCACATTCACCCAGTGCTATACCAGCTGCACTGGCTCTTGGTGGAGTACAGGATCAGGTTTTAACCTTTAAAGCCCTATACGGCCTAGGACCCTCGTACCTATGGTACTGCCTCTCCTGGTATGTCCCACAGAGGACCTTACGGTCTTCAAACAAAAACATCTTGGAGGTCCCAGGCCACAGAGAGGTTAGGCTGGCCTCAACCAGAGCCAGGGCTTTTTTGGCTGTGGCTCCAATCTGGTGGAACGCTCTGTCACAAGAGACTAGGGCTCTGCGGGACTTGACATCTTTCCGTAGGGCCTGCAAGACGGAGCTGTTCCACCAGACCTCTGGCCAGGGCACAGCCTGACCCCATCCTTTGGCAATCCTCACAGAACTCTAGCCCAATGGTTGCCATTAATCCGATTTGAACTGATTTTCTAATGAAATGATTTTAGAATGTTGTATCATTTTACTGTTGTTAGCCGCTCTGAGCCCGGCTTCGGCTGGGGAGAGCGGGATATAAATATATTATTATTATTATTATTATTATTATTATTATTATTGAGGTGTGGCCACCTGATGGGCTACCACAGTACTGAAACGCCTCCTGATTGTTCCTGAGGCAGGACAGTCCCACCACAGTCCTTACTGGAACTTCTGGAATGGAAAATAAATCGGTTGGCCGTTTTTAACAGCTGATTCCGTCACTGAAAGAAAGGTGCCTGGGCAGAGTGATGCCATTATAATTTATTCTAAATTTCTTAAACCACATAACGTTTCAAAAATTGTCTTAAGTGGTGCACAGTTGTACAAATCAACATTCAACTGCTGCATCAGTATGTTTAAATAACAGACAGAAGTCCAATGATATATTTATCTGTGGCCATGAAGAGGAATGGCCAAGACTGGCTTAGATACTGTGTGACTCCAGTCTTGTGTTTTCTTTACAGTTGGTCCAGGAGACCAAGTTTTGACCTGTGCCCCAGCCCTGCCTTGCCAGGGGCGAGGAGATGATTGCTTGAACTTCTGCTGCTGTGAATGCCAAGGATGAGGAACCTGTGACCCTCCCAACCAGCCTTGCTCAACCTTGGGTCCCTAGATGTTGTTGGACTCCAACTCCCATCCTTCCGAGCCAGCATGACCTGTGGTCAGGGATGATGGGAGCTGTAGTTATTTATTGAATTTATATACTGCCCTATACCCGGAGGTCTCAGGGCATTTAACAGAATAAACTCAAAATATAAAACCACAAAATACATACCATAGATTCCGGCGTATTAGGCGACTGGGCGTATTAGACGACCCCCCCCAAATTGGCAGCTGCAATTTGGGGGTTCGTCTTACAAGCCCAGTTGCCTAATACGCTGGGCAGCTCCGTGCCGGGAGAAAGGTGGGCTCCGCTAGGGGGCGCATTGGAAGATGGCCAACAATACCATCTCTCCGACCCACACGGGGTAATTAAGAGGCTGTTATGGGAGTAGGCAGCCTCCCTTGTTGCCCCAAGGAAATGGGGAACACTGCCCTTGCCTGCTGTGCCCATAAATCACCTCCTAATTCGAAAGAAGGGGGTGAGGGCCCTAGGCAGAATGCCCCCGTGTGGACATCGGCTCTCCTGGACGCTGTCTCTGATCGCGCACTAGTTGCAGCAATTTGGAATAATTAATTACAAAAGAAGCAAATGCACATATTTCAAGTGAAGAAGGGGAGTGAAGTCTGCTAATTTAAGTGACCTCTGCGAGAAAAGACGACGGGTTGGAGAAACAGGAATATTTTACGATGAAGATACACCAAAGGCGGGGTATGTTGACAACGGGGCTGAATGGGGGGGGGGGACCTTTTTTACTTTCCTTCTATGTGATTTACAAGAACCCCTCCTCATTAGAACCGTCGGTTGAACTGACCCAAGCAGGATGATTAAGGTCTGTGTGGAGATAAACTTTAACCAAAAGTATGCTTTATGGAGACCGAGGAGCAATAAGAGCTTTTGGGAATGGTGCAGCAATTAATTCGGAGTCGCCATCTTGCCAAAGGATTTATAGCCGGGAGGAAGAACAGATTTGTTTTCAGACTGCATTCCTAGTGAATCTCCTCAGAGGTTTTGAGAAAGGAGGCAGATTGGTGAAGATATATGACGCTAAGACTGTTTTGATGTATGGAAGTGATGTTATATGGAAAACGTCTGGATATGGCTACTGGATAAAAAAAATAATATCCACGCAGGATTACAAACTGTTCTAACCAGCTTGCGGAGACTATCAGAGGTCACAAAGAGAAAGGAAAAATATATGAAAATAACAACAAGAGATGTGGAAAAATAATAAGAAAGGACTGGATAGTACTGTGAACATCATAAGGTTAGATTTGTGGACATTAAAACAGCAGTAAGAAGCAAGAAGTTGATTGGATCCCTTCGGAACTTGAAATATGGGTACCCCCAACAAAAATTTAAAATTCGGCTGTGTAATTTGGAATTTATGTAATTTGGTTTGATTTGATGTGATTGGTCGGTTAATAAAAAATTATTCTTTAAAAAAAAGAAAGGTGGGCTCCGCTCTGCGCCGCCCATACCCAGCGTATAAGACGACCCCCGACTTTTTAACCTCTTTTCCGGGGTTAAAAAGTCGTCTTATATGCCAGAATCTACGGTAATCAAAATAAGAACAACAACCCAATATCCCCTCTCCAGGGGTTAGTTGAGAGCAAGCTGAGGTTGGTGGGGCAGTGCCCCATTCATCACAATGGACCAACCTTCACTGGTGCTGGATGGCAGAGGTGGCAACCGACTTGCATTGTTTATTAAAAAATCACGGAGGATCAGGCTATCATTGACTACGAACTCTGATGGCTATGTTCTACCTCTCAGAGGCAGATGCTTCTGAATACCAGTTTCTGGAAACCACAGGAGAGGAGAGTGCAGCTGAGCTTAGGCCCTGCTTTTGGGCTTCCCATAAATAAGCATCTGGCTGGCTGCCGTAAGATCAGTCTGATGGACCAGATGGGCTGCTAGTTTGATCCAGCAGGCTCTTCTTATGTGCTTATGACTAGGATTCCACTCACCTTCCCAATATCCTGTTCCTTTCCTGCCTATTCTCAGCGCCCGTGAGGTCATGGATGGTGTACCATTCACATACTTGGTGTGGGCTCCCCAGAATAATTTGTTCGCCCAGTGTGGGCAATGGGATGCTGGACTAGATAGATGGACCTTTGGTCTAATCCAGCTGGACTCATATTCCTTTTGGCACAACACTAACCAAGTTGCCTCTGTACTTGATTCTGCCTGCTGTTTGTTTTGCATGGCAAAACCCACCGGGAAAGGTGGTACTAGCTCTGATCAAACTAGGGTTGTCTTGTTTGTTTGTTTGTTTTTTAAATTGGGCTTCAAATTCAGGGTATTCCTGGGGACCATGATTTCCCTTTCCCAGAAAGGCGACTAAAGCTGAATTCACAGATATCTGCGTAAGGATGTTGCAGGAACTGATTGGCTAGTGCCTGTACAGTTACTGGAACTGACACATGATCCTCAAATCTCAGAGCATCTTTGCAACTTTTTGAAACATATATGTTTATTGTTTAACGATGCATGCATATGGACATAAATGCATCTCTTGCTCTTTGGGGTAGGGGAATCTTTCCCTTGCAGAAAAGCCATGCCATTTCAGGGTGACATTAACATATGCTGATGCTGGGGGGAAATTTCTTAAGTATACCTGCCCTGGATTCTCTGATCAGTGCCAGACTCATGGGTTAGGGGAACCCCTATTTTAAATCCCCAGTGGAATACCCTACCAGGGCACTGTGGCAAATTTACTGGAGGTTAGAAAGCATGGAGCATGGGTAGGCAAACTAAGCCCCGCGGGCTGGATCTGGCCCAATTTCCTTCTAAATGCGGCCCGCAGATGGTCCAGGAATCAGCATGTTTTTTCATGAGTAGAATGTGCCCTTTTCTTTAAATGCATCTCTGGGTTATTTGTGGGGCATAGGAATTCATTCATCCCCTCCCTCCCCCCATATAGTCTGGCCCCACACAAGGTCTGAGGGACAGTGGACCAGCCCCCTGCTGAAAAAGTTTTCTGACCCCGGCATAGAGCGACACTACACAGGGAGCATTGTGGGAAATCAAAATGGTCGCTCTCTGCAATGATTGCACTTCCGCTTTCCTTCCTTGTTGCCAGGAAGTGCCCCACAATTGTGGGAGAGAGTTTACAAAAAGGCGCTTTTATAAGTGTCCAATCAGAATTGGAGCTGGCCTTGCCAGCAATGCATGACAGCATGGTTGAGGGTGCACTCTCAGTTCACAGTGTTGTTCTGTGTGCAGCCTCTGCATGCGTGGAAATCCCACAAGGCACACAGGTTCTGTGAGTTATGCCCAGGGATTCCTCAGCAGAAAGGTCCATGTGTAAGGGATTCCGCATAGGTAAAAAGGTATAGGTAAAGGTACCCCTGCCCGTACGGGCCAGTCTTGACAGACTCTAGGGTTGTGCGCTCATCTCACTTAAGAGGCCGGGAGCCAGCGCCGTCCGAAGACACTTCCGGGTCACGTGGCCAGTGTGACGAAGCTGCTCTGGCGAGCCAGCACCAGCGCAGCACACGGAAACGCTGTTTACCTTCCTGCTATAAAACGGTACCTATTTATCTACTTGCACTTAAGGGTGCTTTCGAACTGCTAGGTGGGCAGGAGCTGGGACCGAACGATGGGAGTTCACCCCTCTGCGGGGGTTCGAACTGCCGTCCATGCGATCGGCAAGTCCTAGGCGCTGAGGTTTTACCCACAACGCCACCCACATCCCTCAGGTAAAGGTAAAGGTACCCCTGCCCGTACGGGCCAGTCTTGACAGATAGAAACTTTAAAAACCAATTAGACGGGGCCACTGGCAAAAGTGTCTTTTCTGAAGTTTCTTTCCTGAAGTGTTATGAGCTAGACAGCAGATGGAGCAAAAGGCTCATACAATATTGGGTAAGAACTCTTGTGTACTGGAAATGTCCAAAGCCCGATGCTGCTTTTAGAATGAACAGAGACTCTTTAGAGCAATCTTGTGGGGTTTCCATTCCATGATGTGAGCCCTCTTTGCACTTGAATTGCAAATGTACATACCCACCAGCAAGCTGAACAGCCTCTGCCACACACTGTTTTTTATACACAAAGGAGGGCTAAATTGCCTTGTCCTTCCTTTTAAAATAGTTGCAAAACTGTTTCAGGGATCTGCGGGGCAAGGTGTGTTGATAATAACTCAGGCACTAGCCAATAGGTGCTTCCACAGCTGGCTTCTATCCCCATTCAAGTACTTTGAAAACCTGCAGAAGCAAACCCCGCTCCCTCAAGTAGAGGCAATAAGAATTCAGTATTTCCTTTGCTTACAAAGAAGGAGAGAAACTATCAAGTTGCCTGTTCCACTGTTTAAATGCTTCTATCACTGGCAGGAAATATTGAGACCTTCTACAGTGATCTCTAGTTCAAAATTCTGAGCATTATGTCGCCCTTACTTGGTCTGTCGGCCAGATAGACACAGTTCCCCAAAGAGCATTCCTGCCACAATCCCTGGAACACAAAGATTCCCCGAACAAACCGCTTGACCCAGGATACTGTCGAGATCACTACCACAAGCAGAATGGTCTCCAGGCAAGAGATAGCGATGCCACCTATCCGCAGCTTCTCAGTATTTGTTAGCTTCTTGAACCACGTAAGCAAGGGCCATTTGGAAGTGGTAGCAGTACCAGGATCCTCAGCTTGGGGTTGACGGAGGCAATTAAGGCAAGCACCCATCTTCTAGCCTCGGGGCTCATTTCCCTTGGAAAAGAACTGCATTCAGCACCCCCAATTCCCCGACCTTTTGGGTGTCTGAGCTCCAGCCAAAGGTTCTACTGATGAAGGTTGGAAGACCATTGCTCCCATAGTAACTCCAGCATTCTGGAACCTCTCCAGATTCCTGGACGGTTCTTCCACAAGAAGAGAAGGAGGTCCCATCGGTATTTCCTTCTGCCAACTCAGGACGTGAGCAAGCCACCAACAACCCAGCCAGATTTCCCCTATAGTCAGTTTGGATACAGTCAAGATTTGAGTGATTTTGGACAAGGCTTTGCATGCAGTCCAAAGCATACCCCAGTGCATTCACTGATCCAAGTTCGAGACTGCTGTATCGAGTGCTTTTCACCCTGGTTCTTTTAAGAATGGAATGTCTAACAATCAGAAGCAGCATAAGCATTCTTAAGTTCCCATGAACCGAATCAAGAGTTGTTTCTGGGTAAATGGGCCAGTCCGTAAATAGAACAGAAAACCTGATTGTGGAAAAATGAAATTTAAAAAAGCTTAAAATTCAGAAAGTCAGGTTTGAAACCTGAAAACAACCCCTCCCCCTCAGGATTTCTGAGTCTGCACAAAATTTCTTTCTGCTTGAGCCCTAGGAAGAAAGCTTTAGTTAAAGCTATGGTTTTCCCAGTAGTGATGTATGGAAGTGAGATCTGGACCATAAAGAAGGCTGATTGCCGAAGAATTGATGTTTTTGAATTATGGTGCTGGAGGAGACTCTTGAGAGTCCCATGGACTGCAAGAAGATCAAACCGATCCATTCTGAAGGAAATCAGCCCTGGAAGGACAGATCCGGAAGCTGAGGCTCCAATACTTTGGCCACCTCATGAGAAGAGAAGACTCCCTGGGAAAGACCCTGATGTTGGGAAAGATGGAGGGCACAAGGAGAAGGGGACGACAGAGGACGAGATGGTTGGACAGTGTTCTCGAAGCTACCAGCATGAGTCTGACCAAACTGCAGGAGGCAGTGGAAGACAGGAGTGCCTGGTGTGCTCTGGACCATGGGGTCACGAAGAGTCGGACACGACTAAACGACTAAACAACAACAAAAGGCCTCATTCAGACCATGCATTTAAAGTGCCATGGTACCATTTTAAACAGTCATGGCTTCCCCCAAAGAATTCTGAGAGCTGTAATTTGCTTAAGGTGCTGAGAGTTGTCAGGAGATCCCTATTCCCCTCCCATAGCTACCGTTCCCAGGGAACTAAAATCCCCCTTCCCAGGGAACTCCTTTCAAGCCTTTCCCAATGCAAGAGCATAAAAAAATACCCCCAAATAGCCCAGCTGGATCAGACTAGTGGCCCATCTAGTCTAGCATCCTTTTCTGACAGTGGCCCACCAGATGCCTATGGGAAGCCCCCAAAGCAACACTCTTCCCACTAGTGTTCCCAGTAACTTATATCCGGAAGAATACTGCCTCCACCAGTGGAGATACATCATAGTCATTGTGGATAAGAGCTGGAGACCCTTCCTGAACCTCTCTCACCCTCTGTTAAAGCTACCTAGGTTGGTGGCCATCACATGTTTTTGCAGGAGCAAGTTCCATATCTACACTGTGTGAAGAAGTCCTGGTGTGTTTTTTTGGTTTTTTTGCCTGCCCTGAATTTTCTAAGTTTTGCCACGGTTAGAAATTAAAGAGGAGGCAAAGGCAAGGATGACAGAATCTGTTTTATTTTTCCAGCCTTACATTTAGTTCTCCACATTTCCACATTGGTTTGCAGTTTGGTCGGTGGTCAACACCACTCCCTGCGAAACATCTTTTGTTTGCAACCAGTGATTCCATGGCAGACGCTCAACCTGTAGACAAGGAAATGCAGAAAACGCTCCCTGAAAACAAGGCAGCTCGGATGCCCTATAGGGGGTGCTGTGAATGGATTGGGGATGAAAGCACGATTGGGACAGTTGGGAAGGGGATTTCACTGGCATGGGAAGGGGGTGGGACAGGTTTCCTTTGTGTGTTGTGTGTCGACTGCATCGCAAGGTTGCCTTTGCTTCTTAGGAACCAGGTCCTCACACAGTCTCATAGCCAGGCCTCGAAGGGCGCAAGTGAGCAACAAGGCTGAAGATACCTGCAATGACAGAAGGAGAGAACATGAGATGAAGAAGTAAATTCCAAGTGGAACGGCCTCAGGAAGCCAGAGCCAGCCTCACATGGCATTTTCTGTTTATCAACCTTCTGACTCTCACTGGAGGCTGGGTGCCTCTGACCATGTGCAGAGTTCATTTCTGTCCAAGGGAAAGCATTTGTTTTTAAAGAGACCTATGGGCAAAGTGCTAATGAGCATGTGCGAAGCCCTTCCTTTTGTGTGAAGCGAATGTTTCCTTACTTATCCAGAGACTGCCTATAGGCTGGTGGTTGTGCAATGTAGAATCCAGAACCTCAGAGAGCCAGTGTGGTGTAGTGGTTAAGAGCGGTAGTCTCGTAATCTGGGGAACCGGGTTCGCGTCTCCGCTCCTCCACATGCAGCTGCTGGGTGACCTTGGGCCAGTCACACTTCTTTGAAGTCTCTCAGCCCCACTCACCTCACAGAGTGTTTGTTGTGGGGGAGGAAGGGAAAGGAGAATGTTAGCCGCTTTGAGACTCCTTAAAGGGAGTGAAAGGCGGGATATCAAATCCAAACTCTTCTTCGTCTTCTTCTCAGGTAGCTTGCTGAAGGTCCATTGACAGTGCATGTCACACATGTGAGGTGCTGCTATAGAGCTACCTACTTTGCAGAGCTACGCGGTGGCAAAAGGGCATTGGAATGAGCGTTCACATTGCCTACACAATGCTAGGGTGTAGGTGAGTCAATCCATTTTGGTCGCTCATCTTTGCAATCTTAAATTCAGTTATCTCCAGTTCTGAATCAGTTTGTGGGGTTGTTTTTTAAGCTGTCATGAAAATTCACCAGCATTTTAGTGCAAATTTCTCCTTAAAATATACATGCTTGTATGCAGTTTTCACTCACGCACACATCGTTGCAAAGCAATTTCCTTTGACACAATGCATTCTTGCATGTTGTTTTCACTAATACAGTGGACGCTTGGGTTGCGAACGTGATCCGTGCGGGAGGCACGTTCGCAATCTGCAGCGTTCGCAACCTGCAGCGCCATGCCTGCACATGCATGGGTTGCAATTCGGCACTTCTGCGCACGCGCAAAGTGTGATTTAGCGCTTCTGCGCATGCGCGAGCGCCAAAACCCAGAAGTAACCAGTTCCGGTACTTCCGGGTTCAGCGCAGTGCACAGCCTGAAAATGTGCAACCTGAAGCATCTGTAACCCAAGGTATGACTGTACATGCATCTTTATATACATTTCACCTCAGTACACATTTTTGTACACATTGCATTGCTGGAGAAACGCATTGCAAAATTCAGAGGAGTGCAAATGTGAACGGCTGCTTCTGTTTCACCTTGCGTATTGTTTCAGAAAGCACAAATGAGGCAGGTTTGCCTTTAAATGTGAACTGACTCTAACTCCCTTCCCCACTCTCCCTACTCACCAGTCAGGAACAGCATGGGAAATGCTACCCAGGCAAGATAGAAGGACCATTCATAGGTGAGCTGGATTTGAGGGTCCCTGTTCTTCCCCCAGGATTCAGTGGTGAATACGACTACACCAACCAGAGTGAAGACTGCTACAAAAGAGCAGAGGAGTCAGGGCAGCCAACATAGCACTGATTCACACAGGCAATCTCACCACTCAATTATCAAGGGCTGGTTGGTATGTATGTTGCAGATCTAACCCTACTGGCTGGTGCTCATTGATGCTGATAGGGCAGAAGGCAGGGAGACGAACAGTGGGTGGCACCGCCAGAGGCAGTGAGGGAAAATCAACTAATTCTGGTTTTGGCCCCTCCCTCCTCCCTGCTGAATTCTACAGAAGAAACACCAAAGCTGTGAAGGAGGAAGCTAGCAGCTGGGGCCTCCCCCTAGACTGGTCATAAGTCAGAAGGCAGGCAGGTGAGGGCTGCCTGGGGGCAGACAGGTTGGCGGGGCGGTGTGCCCCATTGTACCGCCTCAGTCATACCTCCTCAATCATAACACAATTTTTGGTGTCTCCATGTTCTTGTATCATCATCGTCATCTAAAAAGATCACAGCATGGTTCACACATCCAAGTGCAAACTGTAGGTTATTGCACTAAGGGTACATGGGTCCTACTACATCTGATGGGTTTCCCCTTTGCTTTCATTACAGGCGTAGGGGTGGTTGGTTTAAATCAGGATTGCAATGTGAGGCTTATCTCATCCTTTCCCAACTATGAAGCTGATGCATAGGCTCTGTCTCATAGGGTAGGGTTGCCATATTTCAAGAAGTAAAAATCCAGACACAAAAAGTTGTTGAGCTTTTTTAGCGGAGTTTTCAAAAATCTGGACATTTGGACGATTTCCCCCTAGACCAGTGGTTCTCAACCTGTGGGTCCTCAGATGTTGTTGGACTACAACTCCCATCATCCCTGAACTCTGGCCTTGCTAGCTAGGGGTGATGGGAGTTGTAGTTCAACAACACCTGGGAACCCACAGGTTGAGAAAGGCTGCCCTCGACGCTAAGTACGTCATTGGAATCCCGGAGGTATTCTATTCACCCCTTTCTATGCTCCAGCAGTCCTTTCCCCCTTACAAGATCCTCTTTCTCAATTCTAGAGCCAGGCCTGATCTCTTCGCAGGATAATAATGTAAGAAAAGTCCCACGGCATCAGCTGAAAAGCCTATCTAGTCCAGCGTCCATTTCTCCCAGGGGAAAACCAGGTGCTTATGGGAAGCCCAAAAGTAGGCCCAGAACACAGCCGCCGTCTCCTCACTTGCAATTCCCACCAACTGGTCTTGAGGGGCATACTGTCTCCGATATAGGAGGTAGACCATAGCCATTGTGGCGAGTGGAAGCTGACAGCATGTGGGGCATAACCATGAGGCTATTTAGCACCTGCGACCGTGACCAGGTTCTTCCTCATAATCTTTGGCACACCTACCACCTGTGAAGGCAACGATGGACGTGACGAAGACTCCGCCAAGGAAGCCACAGTCGCAAGGCATGAAGGAGGCAGTAAGAGAAATGACCGAGGCCAAAGCTGCCAGGGAACCCAAGATCAGGAACGCACGTGTGGCAAGGATGTATTCTGTAAATCAAAGCATTAGAAAGTGGAAAGAGTTAGTTGAGCATGCCTTCATTCCTTGTACCCGGAACCTTCCAGAAGCCTAAAAAAGAGAGAAGAGGTTAGTTATGCCCATTGAGTAGACCCATGGAAGGCAATAGACTTATGTTACTTGCCACAATTGATCTTAATGGGCATAACCAAGGTTGGATATCACCCATGATATGTTGAAGGTTTAGTTATTAAAGTGTAACTTTCCAGTTTAAACTGAAAAGGCTTCAATTTCAAAGTGAAAGAGGACCAAGTGTGAGAAAGAGGATATTTGCCTAAGGTTACAAAATGTAACCTTGGCTTGAGGTGAATATAGTTCCCCCATCTGTTGTTGTTGTTGTTGTTATATCAAAAAGTACACACAGGTCTCGCTACCTAAATGTTCATTATACAAAAATTCACTTATCCAAACAGGAAGAGTGAGCACCCAGACCTCTCTATACGCACCACAGATTCAGATATCCAAACTGCCAGACCTGCATGCAGTACTGTAAACAAATAAGCAGCCTTAAACAAACCTCATTTTTGTGTTTTTCTGGTCTGTAGTAGCCATTTGTCAGAAACCATGGTGGGTGGGAGGGAGACTGGACAAATAAGAGAGCTCCCCCCCTTCCTTGTTTGCCTTTGGAAGGTTTCAGATGGTTTTCCTGAGTGTTTTCATCATTACAGGGTCAAAATTCTGTGGTCAGGAATGCATTAGAAAGTTTCCCATAGAAATCAATGGAAATTGTCAACTCATTGTGCAAACACCTAACGAGCGATTTCCTGAGAATGCATTGTGTTCTGATAACTGGTCCTGCGTGTACCACATGCATGGTGGATTTTCTGAGGGGATTTTTTACTGAGACTTTTTGAGAGTGCCACAGCAGGTGCCACCAGGCACACTGGTGCCCCTGAGCACCTTGATGACCCCCCCTCAACCCATAACCTTTGTGAATTGGGAGGGGGTATCCCTTGGCAGTTGCCACCATTCTCCTTACCATTAGCCTTGGTTGGCGTCCAGCAGTTCCCATCCATGCACTCCTGCCAGAGGCCACTGTGGGCGATGCCAGCTGGTCCGTAAGCCACCAGCCAGTAATCGGTGGTCAGGGCGATGAACAAAGCAATGATGCTTATGGAAGCCACCGGTATGCTTAAGATTCTGCAGAGCAGCATCCTTACGATTGTACGGAAGAGCCTTGGCAAAATTAAACCCCGTAGGCTGGTTTCTTGCCTGGAAGGACCCTGAGGGCACAATCAAGAGAATGGGATTTAACGCAGAAGCAGAAAGCATGGAAACAACATTGGGTAACAAGGTGCCAAAGGCAAACAGCCTGCTACCAAGCAAAGAAGCAACCATGGTGGTGTAATTTGGAGCACAAGGTGGGGAGGGATCAGTTCACAGACATTCGTGCCACAGGTGGCGCAGTGAAGGGGCCACTAACCAGGTGGAGTGAACTGTATTTTCCTAACATTTATTTTAGTATTTACTGCCTTGGATGAAAAAAAAAGTGGGGTTGTAGCCAACTAAGTTTTCCTCACTGTATACCCATTGAAATGAATGGACCAAACTTCGGCATGTTCATTTATTTCAATGGGTCTACACTGAGGATGATGCCGTGTGGCTTGAAAGACTTATAATAGCATGAATTTCGCACATCAAACATTAAACTACCCATGCGTAATTAATAAAACTAAAAAAAAACCCTAGTGCTTAATAGTTTTAGTACTCCCTTGTGGTAAGTTTGATTATTGGCAAAACATCTTCAAGTGTATGCAGTTATAATGTTTTTAGCTCATATTTACTGTTGATTGCATTAACGTGATTTTGTGAAATCAGGTTTTTACTAGAGCCTCAGTTTAATTAGATTGAACTATGGATGAAATTCAAAGACTATTTAGTTAAATATGTTAATTTTCCAACTTAATTGGAAAAAAATGCAAATATCAGATAGGCTTAGGATTTATATATGTATTGTTAGAGAATAACATGTTTAAAGTTAAAATGAAAAGAAAGAAAGATGTTAAGTGATTAAGTTAATTTATGAGAAAATTGGTTTTGGAAAACTGTTAACAATGATATACACTGAAATTCAGCCAGGGGGATTTGAGGAAGTCACTTAACAATGTTACTAAGATTGGATTAAGTACAATTAAGATGTATGTTTGTTTGTTTGAAAATTTTGGAAAACTAATTTTTTTAAAAATAATAATAATTAGATTGAACTAACTCGCCTTCATAAAGCCATAGTTGGTATTTGTGACTTTTCTTATTGAATTCTAAATCCAAATCTGTGGTTCTGATTTAAATAAATAGCAATAGCAATAGATAGCAACATGATTCAGGGGAGGGGGAGTGCAATAGATTTCCTGAGATCCAAGTCCTTAGGCCCTTGGAGCCAGTGTGGTGTAGTGGTTAAGAGCAGTAATCTCATAATCTGGGGAACTGGGTTCACGTCTCTGCTCCTCCACATGCAGCTGCTGGGTGACCTTGGGCTAGTCACACTTTTTTGAAGTCTCTCAGCCCCACTCACCTCACAGAGTGTTTATTGTGAGGGAGGAAGGGAAAGGAGAATGTTAGCCGCTTTGAGACTCCTTCAGGTAGTGATAAAGCAGGTTATCAAATCCAAACTCTTCTTCTCTTCTTCTTCTGTGAGTATACACTGGAGGGTGACATTCCTACAGGTATGGTGTCAGTGTGTATCATTCTTGGGCAATACCAGAGTTCGCAGCTTGGGCCACCAATAAAATTTCCCAGGCTGCCTTGGAGAAACCTGCTGCTGTTCCATGCAGCTGGCTGTGGGGCTCTCCAAATAGTGTTTTGCTGCAGGACCCCTCCACCTTGGGGATGGTCCTCCACGGGGTCCCCCAGAACAAAGTTTGAAAGCCACTGGCTGGAGAGGCAAGGTTGAAATGTGCTAAGTAAATAGAACTGTTTCTTTCTGGAGGGACATGATGAGGGGGGTTGAATTCAGTGGTTATGATGACAGCTCACAGAGTCAGATTCATATTTAAACTTAAGCCACTTCCTGGAGCCTTCACACTTTGAGTGTTGATGACATCAAAGGAACCTTGCTTCTGAGTCCTGGTCTCTGCATGCAGCAGGATGGGTGGTAGAATAGACTGCACCCCTTCAGACCTCAGAAGTGTGTGAGTGTGTGTGGGGGGGGTTACATATTTAATATATGTGTTGCAGTCAAAAGTCCCTGCAAGCAGAAACCCAGCATGGCAGGCAAAGGGCTGGCCTCGAACGTTTCCTCTTGAACCTCTTCAGTTTTCAAAGAAATAAGTGTGCGGATGGCACTGTGGGTTAAACCACAGAGCCTAGGACTTGTCGATCAGAAGGTCAGTGGTTCGAATCCCCGCGACAGGGTGAGCTCCCGTTGCTCAGTCCCTGCTCCTGCCAACCTAGCAGTTCGAAAGCACGTCAAAGTGCAAATAGATAAATAGGTACTGCTCTGGCGGGAAGGTAAATGGCATTTCTGTGCACTGCTCTGGTTTGCCAGAAGCAGCTTAGTCATGCTGGCCACATGACCCGGAAGCTGTACACCGGCTCCCTCGGCCAATAAAGCGAGATGAGAGCCACAACCCCAGAGTCGGTCACGACTGGACCTAATGGTCAGGTGTCCCTTTACCTTTACCTAGCATTCAGAAGCGTTATTTTTCAATGGGATGGTATACATATCAATCCAGTAGTTTTCCCCTCCAGAACTACATTTCCCACCAACCTTAACAAAATAGTTCCCAGGATCCTCTGCAGGACATGAAGTCATGTGCGGTAACTGTGGCTTTAAGTGTATGTTGTGCATGCCGCCTCAATCAAATTCAGGGCCAAGAACAGATAATCTCAGATATTCTCAACCTTTCAATGGACCACCAGTGGTCCATGGGTTACATCTGAAGACCTCTGGTCTACAGTGGCTCTCCAGAGTTCCAGTCTGTCTTTCCTAGGCCAACCCTGAGATGAATCTGGCTCAGTATTGTCTACAGTACACAGTTGGAAATGAGGTGTCCAGGGTTTTAGACAGGCCACATTCCCACCCCTGTCTGGAGATCCTGGGGACGAAACCTGGGACTTGCTTCTCTTCCACTGAGCTCAGGGGTGCCAACTTGAATAAAATACTGTGGGGGCCCAGGTAACCCTCCCTTGATGCAGTGCACACACACCATTTGAATGGGAATGCCCATCAGCTTTGTGGGGGCCCGGCCTCTTCAAATATTTTATTGTGGGGGCCAAAGCCCCCATGGCCCTTAGGAGTTGGCTCCTATGACTGAGCTACAATTCTTCCCCTTTAATTCAGCCCTTCTTTATTTATTTATTTATTTATTTATTTATTAACTGTATATAGCCTGCCCTTTCTCTCTGAAGGGTTTCCAATGAAATCCAATCCAATGAAATCCAATAACTGAAATAACAGCTCTATGTGCCTTAAATGTGCCTTGAATGTATCGTGTGAATGCAGCCTTATTCCAACTTTTACTCATGCCATGATCTACAGAAATAATCCATAGAAAAAGTTCAAATCAGCACACACACCATTGCAAAACAGAGCAGTGGGCAATCCTATGGCATTTTTGTCCACAGTGTAAGAAGAACGAATTTTGCAAATGCCAAAATCTCGCCACTGCAGGAGCAAAGGAAGCAATTCCTATCAGAATCTCTATCTCAGCACAACTGTTAGGCATTTCCTCTTCGCCTCTCCTGCCTCCACCTGCAGCAGTAGGGGCTTTTGCACCCCAAGTAGGCTGAAGGAAGGATGGAGCTTTGTGAACTGGGCAGAAATATTTGTCAATAATCACGATGCAGAAAGCATATCACTTGTGCAGGTCAATTCTGTATCCAGGGCAGCTGTCTCCCAGCTTCATCTGGTACGCCAGCTGAGACCCCACCTACCCGTGGACTGTCTTGCCAGAGTAGTGCATGCTCTGGTTATCTCCCGCTTGGACTACTGCTATGCACTCTATGAGAGGCTACCTTTGAAGGTGACTCAGAAACAACAACTAATACAGAATGTAGCAGCTAGACAAGTGACTGGGAATGGCCAGCAAGACCATATAACAATGGTCCTGAAATACCTACATTGGCTCCCAGTATATTTCCGAGCACAATTGAAAGCGTTGGTTCTGATCTTTAAAGTCCTAAATGGCCTCAGCCCAGTGTACCTGAAGGAGCGTCTCCACCCCCATTTTTCAGCCCAGACACTGATGTCCAGCTCTGAGGGCCTTCTGGTGGTTCCCTCACTGCAAGAATTGAAGTTACAGAGAACCAGGGAGAGGGCCTTCTCGGCAGTGGTGCCCTCCCTGTGGAACGTCCTCCCATCAGATGTCAAGGAGATAAAGAACTACAAAGCTTTTAGAAGATATCTAAACACAGCCCTGTATCAGGAAGTTTTTAATGTTTGACGTCTTATTTTGTTTTTATATTTTGCTGGAAGCTGCTCTTGGAATTTCCCTAAACCTTACTCCAGACCATACTGGCTGGGGGCACTGGTGGAAACTGTCTCTTCAAAGCATTTGAAGGGGCACCAGGTTGGGGAAGAGCCTGCCTTATTTTTTTCTAAAAAGGGAGGGTTAGAGAGGAGCAGAACTGTTGCCATCCTTACCTGGCTCTCTTTGCGGAGAGAACAAGTGTTGGTCAGATAGCGATGCTGAGGACTCCAGAGCAGGAAAACGTGTGTCAGGAGCTGCTGGCTTGAGGTTTTTTAGGAGGAAAGGCTGGTCCTTGTCAGCATGGGGTCAGGACAGACCTCTGGTTGCAAGGGAAGGAGCCTTATTGGTCTTCTTCTATAGTCTGTCTCAGCTCTGCTTTCCCCATTTCCCTCCTCCCTGTGTATTTGATCCCCTCCTCCTTTTGCCACGTCATCCCCAAATTCTACTGCAGCTCTCTCTTTCCTTTTTAAGCACTTATCGTCCTCTGTGCCCCCCATCCTGGGGAAGTGGTGCTTGTGGGGGGAGACTAAAGTGTCTGTGGTTTATGTGGGGAGATGCTGCAATGTTCTCAGGGTTGATCTAAGGCTGATTGCTTCCTGAGGCCCCGGGCAGCACCTCTCCCCTGATTCCACAAAGAGGAGCTGACCAGGCTGGCAATTTTCTTCTTCTTTTAATTCAACGTAACAGTCAGATGCAAACATTGTGGAAACTGTCACAGCTCTCATATCCCTCCCCCAACAGCATCCCAAACCAACATCCCAAATCCAAAGGGGATTGTTCGGTGAACACAAGGCCGTGCATGCATGCTAGTGTCTGGGATCTCTCCCACGGGATCTCTGGGAATCGGGGGTCAGAGTTCACCTGGTTTAGAGGCAAATATATGAAATGAAAGGCAATATGGAGTAAGCATATTGGTATGTAATGAATGATGCTTTGCAGGGTTAAGGAAAGAGAAAAACGGTGTAAAAAGTGGAAAGATAGAGGTAATCTACATGAGACACAGCAACTTAGAAAGAGTAAAAATTTCGAGGTCTTAGAACAAAGGAAGGAAGTCAATATGTGTATATGTATGTAATGACTAGATTAGAATGATGATATGGGTTTATTTGTAGATGTGTGGTTTTTTTGGGGGGTTGTTCTTTTTTCTCTTGCATTTTTTTCCTTGTTTGTACTGTTTTATTTTGGATTCAATGTTTGTAATTTTTGTTGTAATGTTGCATTGAAAAGAAAAAAAAAAGAAAAAAAAGAAAAGGCAACTAGTCTCCACACAGCTTAAAGGTAAAGGGACCCCCCCCCCCGACCATTAGGTCCAGTCATGGCCGACTCTGGGGTTGCAGCGCTCATCTCGTTTTATTGGCCGAGGGAGCCGGTGTACAGCTTTTGGTTCATGTGGCCAGCAAGCCACTTCTGGTGAACCATAGCAGTGCACGGAAATGCCATTTACCTTCTCGTTGGAGCAGTACCTATTTATCTACTTGCACTTTGACGTGCTTTCGAAGCTAGGCTGGCAGGAGCAGGGACCGAGCAACAGGAGCTCACCCCGTCATGGGGATTTGAACCGCCGACCTTCGGATCGGCAAGTCCTAGGCTCTGTGGTTTAACCCACAGCGCCACCCGCGTCCCTCCACACAGCTTAGGTCCAGGCTATCTCCCTATGTAAGCTTTCCTGGGCTTTGCAATCTTCTGGGGGAGGCCTGTATCTCGGCCCTATCCCCTTCACAGGCCTGCTCAGTGAGGACAAAAGAGAGGGCCTGTGGAACTCCCTTCCACAGGAGGGTAGACTGTCTGCCGCACTGCTTTCCTTTCACCAGCAGGCAAATACTTTTTTTTTTGTTCCCACAAGTTTTAGGCCACTAACTGGCCGTTGTGGCGAGGTCTTTTGAGGATGGGTGTTCTACTTCATTTTTGTGTGCTTTTAAATGCTTTGAAGTGTTTTCACTTCTGTTTTTAATAGGGTTATTTATTTAATTGTCACACACACACACACACACACACACACACACACACACTTCTATGCATGGCACACCCAGTTACAAGAGTTGTCACTTTCCTCCTCCCTCCTAATAGGGCTACTCTGCCTCTTAGAAAGTTAGCAGCTGATAGTTTCACTATTATTACACATCCACCATGCTGGAAAATATTTAGTCTATCACAATTTTCCATATGCTGTGCTGATGCCACCCATTTTTTCAGAACATCAGAGAAACACCGCATCGTACTGGGGAGCACAGTCAGGGGAAAACCCATTTAGAGAGATGAATTATAATTTTTTAAGCACTCCAAGGATCTGTCTTCACTGCACATTTGAAGCAGCCTCGTGTCACTTTTAAGCAGCCATGTCTTTCCCCCAAAGAATCCTGGGAACTGTAGTTTGTTAAGGGTGCAGAGAGTTGTTAGGAGACCCTAAAAGTTCCTGGTGAAATGGACAGCTCTCTTTGGCTTTACTTACCTAAAAGGAGGGGGGGGGGGTTGGTGGGAGCGAGAGAAGGAACTGTTACAGACCAGGCATTGAAAATGGAAATAACTTTATTACAAGATTTAGGTGTTGGTTTATTTTAAAAAAATCAGACATTGGAATATTTTAAAAATAAAATACAGGAGAAGCAGTAGGATGGATAATTTTTTTTAATAGACAATGCGGATTCAAAATAAAATAAAATAAAAAATAGCATGGGAGGGAAATGAGAAACTATCAGGTTGAAGAGTTTAGATTATGGTGGAATTAAGACAGATGGATGGGCTTGGGAGGGGGCTTCTTGCAGGTGGAGCAGCCAGGCCCTGACCTTGGAGAACTGACAGCCCCATAGCTGTGTGGTCCCCAGCTGCAGGTTGCTGCATGCTCCCTTCCAAGAGGATTGTGTTGAAATGTTGTTCGCTGCCAGTTTGGATGGTCAGCAAATGTGTCATCAAGCTAAAGAAACCTGTGGGGAGAAAAGAAGGTCCATATTCCTTTTCTATTTTTTTAAGTTGAACTGAATTGATTTAGTTCCTCCTAGGAGCTCAGGGTAACAGGCACTTCCCAATTACTCCTCGCAGTGCATAACAGTAATAATGCAAGCCACACTGAAAGCATTTTGATCCCCAGGTTTGGAAATGGGAAACACACAGAGAGCTGTTAAATTATGGGGATCAAGGAAGCTCTCCTGCGTAAGCCAAACTAGAAAGAACATGAGCTCTGCAAAATGGCCTGTGTGGTTCCTGTTCATTTCAACAGGGCAGGGGTCACCAATGTGGTGCCCATGGGCACAGCGATGCCCCTGTGATCTTCCACTGCTGTCCACGAAGCCTCCTTGGTTATGAGATGGTGAGGATGGTTAGCTTTTTCTTTCTCAAAAAGTTCATAGAGTAAAAGGAAGGAGTTGGTAGAGTGACACTCTTCCCAACTTCCTTCTTTCAGCTCTAGGTCCTGTTCAAGGCAAGGCTCTGATTAATTCCACTGGATCTGACTTTGACCCACATACCCTGGGAAACCTAAACTTTAACTCTCTTTTAGTCCCCCAGAGGGGTGGCTGACCTGTAGGAGAAGGGAGAGAATTGATCAGAGGGGCTAGTGCCTCGGCACTCACTCAAAACTCCCAAGGAGGTCACAGGCCTAAGGAGACTGACCATGCCTGCCATAGGGCTTACATGAGAGGACGTCCTACTGGACTGTGCCCTAAGGCTCCGATCCACCTTCCACTTTGCTGTCCTAATAAGTGATGGCTTAATATAACATCCTGGCCTGTTAGCAGTACTTGAACCACGGTTTCCCAGTAGGGATGCCCCAAGAAACTGTGGCTTAACAAAGCTCACCATTCATGACATAGAGGGTGAACACCAGCCAGGCGAGGCAGAAACTCCATGTGAAGTGAAGGTGGCCGACAGAACTCAAATCTTTCTGGGTCATGTCGACTGTGTATGAGGCCATTGTGACAAAGCCGAAGATGCCTAACAAGGAGTAAAAGTGAGTTAGAGATGCCACCTGAGTAGGGATGGGGGATCCATCTGATCCAGGTTTTTTCATGAACCTGTTGAATGGAGGCTTTAAGCATGCAAAATAAGCCTTGTGAATGCACAGGAAGGTAGGAAGCTGTCATATACTGAGCCAAACCATTGGACAATCTGGTTTAGTACCGTCTACACCAGGGGTCAGCAAACTTTTTCAGCAGGGGGCCGGTCCACTGTCACTCAGACCTTGTGGGGGGCCGGACTATACAGTCATACCTCATGTTGCGTCCGCTTCAGGTTGCGTTTTTTTGGGTTGCGGACTGTCGAAACTCGGAAATACCAGAACAGGTTACTTCCAAGTTTTGGCAGGCGCGCATGTGCAGAAGCACTAAATTGTGCTTTCCGCATGCGCAGAAGTGCTGCATCGCAACCCGCGCGTGGGCAGATGAGCAGACGTGGCTTGCGAATGCTGCGGGTTGCGAACGTGCATCCTGCATGGATCACGTTCGCAACCCGAGCATTCACTGTATTTTGAAGGGGGGAAATGAACGAATTCCTATGCCCCACAAATAACCCAGAGATGCATTTTAAATAAAAGGGCACATTCTACTCATGTAAAAACACGCTGATTCCCAGACTGTCCGCGGGCCGGATTGAGAAGGCGATTGGGCCGGATCTGGCCCCCGGGCCTTAGTTTGCCTACCAATGGTCTCTACACTGACTGGCAGAGGCTCTCTCGGGTTCCCTCTCAGCCCTCCCTAGAGATTGAACCAAGGACCTTCTGCATGCAAAACAAATTCCTCTACCATGAAGCCACAGGCAACACAAGCTTAGTATTGTCTACACTGACTGGCAGCTGCCCTGCAAGGTTCCAGACAGAGGATTTCCCTAGCCAACCAGCAGATGCTGGGATTGAACGCTGGTGCAGAATTTGATGGCCAGGCTGCTCAATGGGGTGAGCATATTACACCAAATCTGGGCCGACTGAACTGGCTGCCGGTTAGTTTCTGGGCCCAATTCAAAGTGCTGGTTTTGACCTATGAAGCCTTAAACCTGAGACCTTTTGCATGTGAGCATTTGTTGTGCCACTGAGCCCTTCCGAAACTAGGGGGAGTCCTCTTCCTTACCTGTGGTGAAGCTTGCTGCTGAGGACACCAGCATGTTGGAAGGTCCCCCACAACGCCTCAAGCATTGGCAGGAGATGAGGAGGGAGATGGCTGCCACGAAGCCAGTGACCGTAGCGAGTGCCAGGAGGATTCTCGAAACTCTCATGAGACCTGCCAGGGAGAGAAAGATTAATACGGATTGTTCATGCTTTGTGTCCTGTCTGAAATGCTGGAGAATTCCTGCATACAGGTGGCTTACGTCCATTAGTTTCATAAAGGGTGAAAAGGGTAAAGAACCCCTGGATGGTTATTTTTTTAATAACATTTTTTTTTTGATTTTCCAAAAATAACAAAACCGGGGGGGGCGGCGGCAGAAAAAATAATAATAACCAAATTAAACCATAATTTTTGGTCGATTTCCCTCCACTCCCCCTTTTGGTTCCATTATAATATACTGGTTCATGCACGTCCATAAAACCTTATACAGTGGTACCTCGGGTTAAGAACTTAATTCGTTCTGGAGGTCCATTCTTAACCTGAAACTGTTCTTAACCTGAGGTACCACTTTAGCTAATGGTGCCTCCCGCTGCCGCCGCGCCACCTCCGCACAATTTCTGTTCTCATCCTGAAGCAAAGTTCTTAACCCGAGGTACTATTTCTGGGTTAGCGGAATCTGTAACCTGAAGCATCTGTAACCTGAAGTGTCTGTAACCCAAGATACTACTGTATACTTAACAGTATACTTAATTTTAAAACCTCCTTCATCTTATTACAAGTGAGTTTTAAAAGTTATACTTCTTAAGGAAAATTCTGGGTTGAGACAGCCCAGCTCGTTGAGGTACCAGTCCCCCGTGGGTCCATGTGGTCAGTAAAAGAAGGAAATTCCAGCCAAGCAATTTGGAGCAAAACAGCAGTAAGTAGACTTAGATCCTTTATTGTTGTGCAACAGGTTCAACAGCAGCGAGTGAACCCAGAGCATGGAGCGACATTGACTTTTAAAACTTCCCACCACATCCCAGAATACAGTTCACACAGCATCATTGATATATCATCTTTACATCACTGACATGTCACCAAAGGGGAGGGAAAGACAGTTCAACCTTAGCAAACATGTCCAGACAAGTTACAGGTAGGTAGCCATGCTGGTCTGCCGTAGTCGAAACAAAAATTTAAAAAATCCTTCCAGTAGCACCTTAGAGACCAACTAAGTTTGTTATTGGTATGAGCTTTTGTGTGCATGCACACTTCTTCAGATACACTGAAACAGAAGTCACCAGAGCCTTATATATAGTGAGAGGGTGGGGAGGGGTATTACTCAGAAGGGTGGTGGGAATGGGTGATTGGCTGATAGGTGTGGTAAACCTGTTGATGACTGTTAACGACTGCAATTGGTCTTACAGGAAAAAGCAATGGGTGAGATGGCTAAAAATAGCTTTATCATGTATAATGAGATAAGAATCCAATGTCTCTATTCAGACCAGGTCTCAAGTTTGGTAATAAGTTGCAATTCAGCAACTTCTCTTTCCAGTCTATTTCTGAAATTCTTTTGTAATAAGACAGCTATTTTGAGATCTTTGTATAGAATGTCCTGTACAGAATGTTTATTACTGGGGCATGGAACATAGGAAGCAAGAAGGATCATTGGTTTGTCTAAATTAGTTTTGTCAACACTGACCAGCAGCAGCACTCTGTCCTCCATCTAGAGAAGCTCAAATGGGGTTTCCCAAACTTGGGTCTCCAGCTGTTTTTGGACTACAACTCCCATCATCCCTAGTTAGCAGGACCAGTGGTCAGGGATGATGGGAATTGTAGTCCAAAAGCAGCTGGAGACCCAAGTTTGGGAAACCCTTAACCAGAGGCATGATCAGAGTTCAGGTACACAGTCAGACTAGGCAAAACAAAACAAAAACACTTTGGCCACATTGAATGGAGATCATTGCTAGGCCTGGATAGAGAGAATTTGGGTTCTCCCTTCCTGATCTACCGTATTTTTCGCTCTATAAGACACACTTTTTCCCCTCCAAAAATTAAGGGGAAATGTGTGTGCGTCTTATGGAGTGAATGCAGACTCCATGGCTTCAGCGAAAGCAACACGAAGCCTCCGGAGTGCAGCGGGAGCTCCCGCTGCACTCCGGAAGCTTTGCGTTGCTTTCACTGAAGCCAGGAAAGCAAGAGGGATCGGTGCACACCGATCCCTCTTGCTCTCCTGGCTTCGCTTCGCTGGAGAGGCGCTGCGCATCTTTCCCTCTCTGCGCAGCGCCCCTTCAGCGAAGCGGGAGGAGAAATGGAAGGGGCTCCACTTCTCCTGCTGCTTAGCTGAAGAGGTGCTGCGCAGAGAGGGAGAGATTTTTTTCCCTTGTTCTCCCCCTCTAAAACTAGGTGCGTCTTGTGGTCCGGAGCGCGTCCTAAAGAGCAAAAAATATGGACATACATAATTCCAATATCCATCAATCCCTAAACAGAAGATGCATTCTTAAAGATGTGGAACAGTTCAAATCCCTACTGGATCTCTTACTGGGTGTTGGGGTCACTATTTCTCACCCTAATCTACTTTGCAGAGCTGTTGTGAGGATGAAAATGGGTGAGGGAGAAAATTGCACATGCTGCCCCAGGCTCATTGGAAGAAAAGGGCACAGTTGAGGTGGGTGGGTGGGGAGGATTAGGGAAAAAAATCAAGCAAAGAGATGCATCATCAGTTGTGAATATCCCTACTTGCTTTAAACAACAATGCACCTGACCTCTGTTCCAGAGGGTAGGAGTGTTTATTTCTTAAAGCTGCCTCTTGACAGCTTAACAGCTCAACTCTCAGGAGGCAGCAAATGGGATGTGGTTTCCCCTTCTAAACATCACTCTTGACAGCTCTAGTTCTCAGGAGGCGCTGACGGTTGTAGACACTAGTACAAATCATCATTATCAGTAACTTTCCGACAGCTTGTAACAACAGTGCCAGAGCATCTGCACCAGCTGTCTGTCCCCAGGCCAGCTTCAAAGTTTGGGAGCTAGAGTTCAAAGCCCTAAATAATTTCGGACCAAGATACCTTAAGAGGGTCTTGCTCCCTATAGGCTGGCATGTTCAGGGGCTGAACTTTTGGAGGTGCCTTATCATGCCCCTGAGCATAGCTGTCAACTTTTCCCTTTTCTTGCGAGGAATCCTACTCGGGATTTTCCCTTTAAAAAAGTAAAATGTTGACAGCTATGCCCCGAGACAAAATCTCTCTATACTGTCTGGATTTTTAAAAATTCAATCACCTGACATTTGTTAACAATAATCAGCAAATCTCTGCTCCATATCAAATTGCTTCAGATCATGATATGGAGATGATAGATAAGTAGATAGATATATAGATATAGCCGAATATATATCTATATCTATATCTATAGTAATAGTTATGAGTTTGGAGGGACAGTGTTAGGTTGTTTGCAGACACCCCTCCTAATCCGTGGATCAAATAAGTGTTAAAAGCTAATCAAGCCTTCTAATTCTTGGGACAGTCAGGTTAGCGTCCTGTTAAGGCGATCGCTTGGGTGATGGGCCATTAAGGGGAACAAAGGAAGCAGCTCTGTGGGAGATGGCAATTGGGTGGAGTTCTACCCTCACTCAACTCTGAGTAGTTAAGAGGATAAAGCCAGGGCTGTGAACAGGAAGTAGAGTGATGTGAGCTAGAAGCTAAACAGAGAGAGAGCAAACAATGTTTGTTTTCTGTTTGAATCCAAGGCTGTAGCTATGGGGGAAGCAAGCTCTCTTGGGTTGTTAATTCTGTGAACCGTGGGCTCAGGTTGCATATATGTGTAAACAAACCATAAATCATAACGATACCACAGTCTCTGCTGTCCTTCATTCCAAAGGAAACACAAACCCTGGGCCCTGGAATCTCGCACTGCTTGGAGATTGGGGTTGCATGCAACAATAAAAAGGACCCCTGACCATTAGGTCCAGTCATGGCCGACTCTGGGGTTGTGGCGCTCATCTCGCTTTATTGGCCGAGGGAGCCGGCGTACAGCTTCTGGGTCATGTGGCCAGCATGACTAAGCTGCTTCTGGCGAATCAGAGCAGCACATGGAAATGGCATTTACCTTCCCGCCGGAGCAGCACCTATTTATCTACTTGTATTTTGACATGCTTTTGAACTGCTAGGTTGGCAGGAGCAGGGACCGAGCAACAGGAGCTCACCCCGTCTCAGGGATTTGAAGCAAATTGTTTATCTCCTCAGGAAATAATGAAATAAACATTTCAAAACACCTTGCTTCATTTGGGCTTACACATCCGTACATGTTGGCATGGGATCTCGCTGGAGATCCAAAAACTGACTTAAACATCTCCTGAAGGGCAGATCCCCCAGGACTGGAGCCATGCAGCCGTGGGGAAGAGGAGACAGTTGCTTGTGTTTGGGGTGGAGAGCCGGGAGGTGTAAGACTGAGATGAGCGGGCACCGGCGCATCTCCTTACCACTGCTCCTGCTTAGTTGAGTGCAGGCCACGTTGTTGCAGAGTTTTTTGGCCACGGGGTTAGGAGGCCCGTTCGTGTCTGGGACAATGATTTCCATCCAGGAGGGGCTAAGAAGGGAGATGGAGAGGAGGAGGAAACTTATGCAAGTAGAGGCGGCTGTGGTGGCTCGATAGGGCAAGCTCACACGGAGCCACTGGCAGGCATTGGCTGGGGGCATCTTCACTAGGGGGGAAAAGCAGCCACCGAGGACCACCGAGAACTTGTGGAGACACAGTGGTTCCTAGGGTCTTTGCACAGCAGTTAAGGCTCCTGCAGATACTTCTAGCTGGTCTCAACTGCCATGGAATCTTGACTTCCTTCATATCCTTGGGTTGAGGGGGTAGGAAGTGACCTGGCGCAGGGTTGATTTATTTACTGTGGCGGTGATTTGTTTAAACTGTTTTTGATCTTGAATATTAAATCTCTGTTAATCTGCCCTGGCCCCTATCAGTGAAGGGCAGGTCTTAAATGTAATGCTGGCATTATTGGTGATGATTGATGGTGGTGATGATCATGATAATTAATAATATAATAGGTGCCGCGGCAATGACTGAGAAGAGTAAGCTGATTTCTGCCTGTCTTTTTTGGCCCAATGGTCAATCATATCTTACGGGTTGTATCCAATGTTATTCCTGCTCAGAGTAGCCCCATTGAAATTAATAGCCAGGACTAACTAAGGTCCATTAATTTCAGTGTGGGCCTGCTTTGAGTAAAATGTACTCATGGTTTTCAGTTTTATTTCATTTTTCATCATCATCATCATAATTACAGTTTTTATACTGTGCTTCATCCAAGGGTCACAAGGCAGTTTAGAACATAAAACCACAATTTGTAGCATTTTACTTTGTAGTGTTTACAGAGGTTTAGTTATTTGATATGATTGTTTCCCCCTTATACCTGTTCTTGATTTTTAGAAGCAATTTGAATTTTGATTCCCCAAAGGATGCTTCATTCAATTGTCAACGCACCTGTGGTGCATGTTTTTGCAATGTTTTTGTATTTGCTGTTTGTTTTAACCTACGTTGCCTTGCTTTAATATAAGCAACATATCCACTATCCAAACAAACAAACAAACAAACAAACAAACAAACAAACAGACAGGCAGACAGACAGACAGACAGACAGACTGAAGACCAGACAGTGGCACTATTCATTTATTTAAGAATTTATAAAGCACACTTTCATCCCCCCCACCCCACCCCAACAAGGCAGCATACAATTTACAAATCTTTGTTTACATCCAAGAAGGCATCTCCTCTCTCCCCCCCACCCCCATCTCCCATACATGCACTGACAATTTCTGAACCACAAAGGATTGCTTGGAACCCATATGCCCCCGACAAACACAACACAGACAAGCACCCCTCTCCATTATTTATGAAGGGACCGCCTTGCTGATACAGACATCTTTCTTTCCTCTTCTGAATTCTCCAAATAGCTCGACGAGCTCGAGGTCCATTCTGAGGAGCTCGAAGTGATTGTGGAGCTTTCTCCATCTGAGAAACTGGATCCGTGCACCAGCAAACGTTGATGTGCCATCAGGCTGAACAAACCTACAGAAGGGGTGGGGGTAGGGGAGGGAGGTGGCGGTAGCAGCACAAAGTGGTGAAGCGGCACATTATTTCATTTAGATATTTCATTTAGAATTTATTTTCTTATTCCTTGATCCCTTGTTTCAGGGATCTACTCAATGGCTTGCCTTGATGTGGAAGGAGGCCTAAAACCTATTCAAGCAAAAAAAGATGATGGCACCAGCATAAGGTGCAAAAATCACTGAGTAGGATTGACAGTTTGGTAAGCCTGAGAATGAATCTGGCTCAAGTGAATTCTGCCCCAGACTTTGACATTCTGCATTTCCAGCACAGTTCCTGGATAGGAACTTGGCAGGGTGCAATCCAGATTAAAGACGAGAATTTCGGATTCCCCTTACCCCCCGGACCTTGGGGGAGGCTGAAATGCTAATATAGAATTTCTAACAAATGCCGTAAATGTATAGTTTTTTGTGTTCTGTTGGTGCGTCTGCATAATAAAGGGGGGGGGGGGAAGGCTAATGTAGTTTCAGTGGTGACCTCACACTTTTGCAACTTCCTCTCTAGGCTATATCATAGAATCATAAAGTTGGAATGGACCCTGAGGGTCATCTTGTTCAACCCCCTGCATTGCAGGAATATGCAGCTGTCCCTTACGGGAATCGAACCCGCAACCTTGGGATTACCAGCATTACCATGAGCCATGCCGGCTGTGTGTGTGTGTGTGTGTGTGTGTGTGTGTGTATGTATGTATATATATACACACACATACATACATACATATGAGAACTTTAACAGCATTACTTCCTGAGCACATTTTATGTATTTTAAGTGAACTACAGTCCCCAAAGGTACTTGGCGAAAGTAAAAGTGATCAGAGAGTGTTTTGCATGTATGTTGTGGATGTGGCCAAAGTATGCTTGGCTTTAAGATCAGGGTTTCTGATGGCAGGGAGGCTTCTAAGCATGTTTCTAGCTGAATGCACCAAGAAGTCCCCTTTGCCCCTTCATGCTCAATGTGCAGACAGTCTGAACTGGAACTGGTGCACACAGGGAAGGAGATCTTATGCCGTCTAGTGTCCAGAGGTGGGAAATGCAACTCATCAAGGCATATATGAGCCCTTCCAGTCCTGACTCCAGTCTGTTTCATGGGGAGGCCAGCTCAGGATACAGTCCAAGCCAAAGGCAACACGAAAGAGAAGGGAGGGGAAACACATTCACTGAAGAAGACAAAGCAAAGGGGGAGGGGAAGGCAGCAGGAACTGAATGACCTTAACTCTAAGAAATATACATCCATATTACAAAAAGAAGTAGATGCATGAAAACCATGGCCTTAGCATCAACAGGCATAAAAATGCTGAATTAGCATTAATAAAGAAAAGAAAAGGTAAAGGACCCCTGACAGTTAAGTCCAGTCGCAGATGACTCTGGGGTTGCGGCGCTCATCTCGCTTTACAAGCCGAGGGAGCTGGCCTTTGTCCACAGACAGTTTTTCCGGGTCATGTGGCCAGCATGACTAAGCCGCTTCGGGCGCAACAGAACACCGAAACCAGAGCAGCACACAGAAGCACCGTTTACCTTCCCGTCGGAGTGGTACCTATTTATCTACCTGCACTGGCGTGCTTTTGAACTGCTAGGTTGGCAGGAGCTGGGAACAAGCAACAGGAGCTCACCCCATCGCGGGGATTCGAGCCGCCAACCTTCTGATCGGCAAGCTCAAGAGGCTCAGTGGTTTAGACCACAGTGCCACCCGAGTCCCTTAAGAATTAGCATTAACAGGTAGCAAAATACAGAGGAATGTGCAGATACAGGTGTCTCAAAGTCCAAAAGCGAAAATGGCAGCGGCCCTGAATGCAATTGCACAAATTCTCAATAGGAACCATTTTTTGTCCGGCTAATGAACAATAATGTGATGTGACACCAACCATAAAAGGTAAATGATACCCGTTTGGGATAGAGACATCCATGTGCCTGACACACATTAGGATAATAGGAATAAACTGATGCTACCCCAAAATGGCCACCTTGCTGCCAGGCCTTTTTGTGAGGCTGGAACAGGGTTTTAGAACTGCCAAGACAGCAGGTCCACGAGACACAGGAGCTGGATGCATAGCTTGTGTTGGGTACAGAAACTTGCATGGCAACTCCTTCCCAGTTTAAGCACTCAGGTGTTCACTCAGAACAGCCATTTTCCTATTATTCCTCCCCAACGTACCACACCACAAGCAGCCTAAAACATTATCCTCTTCCCTCCCCACTAGGGATGGAAGCATCAGTCAACTTTGGTTTCTTCTCAGTTTCTCGTTTTTTCCAATGTGACATTCAGGTCTCCACATTTCTGCAGCAATTTGCAGTAAAAAATAAAATAAAAATCCTAATGCAAATTCTTCAATACTATAGGGCAAATTTATCTTAATGAACACATTTTGTATGCAGTTAACATGGTGCTGTTGTTGTTTGCAAGCATTTTCTCCTAATACAATGCCTTTTTTATGTATCGTTTTCACTAATATATCCATTTTAATGCACACTTTCCCCAAATATATATGCATTTTTTTTTATCAACGTTGTTTGGCTGAAGAACTGCGTCACAAAATTCTGACAAGAGTTGTCCTTAAATGCAAATCGGACAGAATATCTTCTCCCTCCTGACTCACCGCTTAAAATGAAGGAAGGGCAGGAGGTCCAGGCCATGTAAAAAGACCACAGGTACGTGATATTGCCTGTTCTGCTGATGGAGTGCGTGGAGATACGGATGGTGTAAATGCTCAGAGCTAAGAACACCAAGGCAGCTGGAGGGAAAACAGAAGGAGGAATTTAGTGTGTGGTCCCCTGTAAAGTTTTAACAGAGAGAGCAGAACTGCAACAATCTAGCTTCTACTTTTTAGGCCAGTTTTTGGTTTGTGCCCCCTGAACCAAACCAAACTGTGCCCTGAGGAACTTGGGCTTTGCCAGGAGCTTATCTGAGGTTCCCCAGCTAAAAGAGAGAGAGAGAAAGTGGGTGAGCTCCTTCGGGAGAGAGCTTGACTATTGATGTGCCCCAAGCCTAGTGCCAGTGGTCAGCTGAGTTGGGCACTGGCTGAGGGTCCCTGGAGTTCAGAAAGTCCTCTCACTGGCACATCTCTTGCTCTTCATTTCCCCCACCAGGAGGCAGAAGTCCTTGCTGCTCTGATGCAAATTATTATTATTATTATTATTATTATTATTATTATTATACCACCCTTAATTCTAAGATCTCAGGGCAGTTCACAGAATAAAATACAGGGGATGAAAACAAGCAAAACAAAGCAGCAAAACAATAATCCCCACCCCATTCCCACACAAATGACCTAGCATCCAACCTGCTGTCTGCCCACCCCCAAAACCAGGTTAGAGATGGACTGACTTAGTGTACGCTCATCCTGTATGTGCCCTGAAATGCAACATTCTTCTACTTCTTTATAAGTTTATTTATACCTGCAATCAAAGATCCCATTGCAGCAACCAGGTAGCGGTATATTGTGAAAGGGGAGGAGTAGCGGTAAGTGAACGTCATAAATGAGGCCCCAACAATTCCACAGAAAAGGGCTAAGACCAGGAGCGTCCGGGCACCATAGACATTGGCTGCAGTGGTGGGACAGAAAACAAAGGAAGACTTATTAGAGGTGGGGGAATAGCGAGGTTCTTCCATGGTCGCCTTCTCTCTCTCTCTCATACACACACACACACACACACACACACACTCCCATGCCTCTTCCCAAACCCAAATTCTCCATCAAGGAAATGTACCTTTTATAGAAGGAACCCTTTTTCAGACTGAGAGCTCACTCCCTTCTGAGCAACTATCTAAGTTTCACCTTTGCGCAGTTAGGCCAGCTTCCACACACAGGAAGACCAACAATCGCCCCTCTCCATCATAACAAGCAAGAGGTATTGCCACAGTTCAAGGACACGTTCCTGTCAGGTGAAAAACACTCGAGAGGCAGAGCAAGGCCACTGAGAGGTGTGTTCTAAGGATAGTGCTGAGGGCCAGACTGTGAGACTTAGAGGGCCACATTGGAAGGTATTGCAAGCCCCCCCCCCCACCTCTCTCTCATCTTTTCCCAAATCCAAATTCTGCATTTAGGAAATCCACTCTTCCCACCCCACACTAGTGCCATTATTTATCTTTCACAATTCAGCTGTGATATAGACAGGGCTTTTTCCCCAGCCAGAACTCCCAGGAGCTCAGCTGCAGTATCTCTCAGGTGGGCGCCATTGCCATTCTAAGAGAACAAAGGAGAAGTTTGTGGTGAGCTCTGGTGCCTCTTTTTCTAAAAAAAATAGCACAAGGTAGGATGGGGAAAAGGTGGTGTCAGGGGTTCAGGGAGAGAGGCACAGGGTAGGCAGGAGATGGAGAGCGATGGGGATGAATTCCAAGCCAGCGAGGAAGAGGATGACAATGACTCAAGAGATTCCATGAGTCTTTCCAGCGAATCAGAGGATTCCCAGAAGGGGGGCGCCGGTGGTCAAGGCCAGGGGAGCCCCAGGGGGGAGGTGTCAGGAGCAGGGGGCCAGCGGAGGATCCCAAAGTGGCAGCTGGGCGTCAGGACCAGCCTCCCCACCAGAGTGCAGCGAAGGGGGTGGAGTTTCCAGTGTGTCAGAGGAAGCAGCTCCGGCAGCAGAGAAAGGAGGGAGGTCAGAGCAAGCCGCCCTCCCGGAAGGGGAGCAGTGAAGGGAGTAGTGTAACTGTCAAAAGGAAAGTTAGAGGTTTGGCGCGCGCCTAGTTCAAATGTAGAGGCGCGCGGAAGTACAGGGAGCCCGGAGGAGGGGCCAGGTCCCAAAGCCCGCAGGAGGGGGGAAGAGCAGTCTGATTCCGCGTCAGAGGACTCCAGGAGGGCGAAACCCCAGCGGGCAGAAGGACCCTGCGGAAAGGAAGGAGAGAAAGAGGTGGAGCAGCGCAAGCCTCTTAAATTGGTGCAGGGGAGGGACGGATTCAGAGGGGACTTCAGCGGTCTAAGCGTAAGAGACGTAAGGCTGCGCGCCTAGGATGTCAAGCAAACAATGAACTGCAATAAACACCTTTGTATATAAGAAGACATAGGCGTTGGTCTTTTGTGAGCTGAGACTTGAGGCAGCTTTGACAGGTGGCTTTTTATATCCTTCCTTACAGGTGAACCTCTGAATGACCAATTCCTGAGGAAAAAAATCTGGGGCTGTCCACAGGTGTGGGAAACTTACGTGAAGCGGCAATGAGATCAGAGCACACCTGCTTGATACAGACTTTCCAAATGCCGCTGTAGTAATTCTGCATCTTGGTCTCGACTAGGATCCAGTGGTGATCCATAACAGCGCAGACAAGCAAAATGATAGTGAAGACTGTGAACCCTGTAGCCAAGACTTCGTTCCACCCCATAGCTCTGTCAGTAGGTCTGGGGGCTTCCCTCTATTTTGGCACTTGCTTTCTCTAAGCGGATCCCATTTTGAACAGTGGTTTCCTGACAGGATTTCTCGACATGGCCAGAAATGGCAATCTACCCCTGCTTCCTCTCGATTTATGAAAAGCTCACAACCTGGAATCCTCTTTAAAAGCCTTCTCTTTAGAGTCGAATCCCACTCCTAGTTCCATCGTTTGCTTCTTGGTTACCTTGACTACCGTGGAACATCCCATAGCCATCAGTAGGGTTTCTGTTGGCCAAGCATGTTAGGATATTTCCATTCCACCTTAAAAGGGAGCAGGCTTTGTGAGTCACAGAGTCTGCGCATTTCCTGTTCACAGGAAGTTTATGTTTTCTATTGCTTTCGTCTCTCTCTGTGTCTGGAGACACTGAAGCAGGCAGTCATGTTTTTCTTTGTTCTGATCAATGCTGAATAAAACTTGTAAATAATGCTCTCCTGAGTGCGACTTTTGCTGTACCATCCTCTGCTGACAGAGCGTGCATTGAGTTCTGGAATGTGGCAGGCTATTTCTGGAGCTCATGTCACTAATTGCTGATACTGCGTGTGTACGGGAGATCGATGGACGTCCGGACACGGCTTGGGGGCCATGATGGACTTTGTCTCCCTGGCAGTATCCCAACAAAGCAGGCCTGACTTGACTATCTAATGGGTGGGTGCATCTTCGCTGATAGGGCGCAAGGGCTTTTAGGCCATTTTCACACCATACATTTAAGGCACCACGATCGCACTTTAAAGTCATTGCTTCCCCCCAAAGAATTCTGGGAGCTGTAGTTTTTTTAAGGGTGCTGAGAGTTCTCAGGGGACTTCTACAGTGGTACCTCGGGTTACATACGCTTCAGGTTACATATGCTTCAGGTTACAGACTCCGCTAACCCAGAAATAGTGCTTCAGGTTAAGAACTTTGCTTCAGGATGAGAACAGAAATCGTGCTCCGGCGGCGCAGCAGCAGCTGGAGGCCCCATTAGCTAAAGTGGTGCTTCAGGTTAAGAATAGTTTCAGGTTAAGAACGGACCTCTGGAACGAATTAAGTACTTAACCTGAGGTACCACTGTATTTCTCTCACAGAGCTACAGTTCTCAGAATGGTTTAACAATCAATATCTCTTCACAGAGAGCTCTGGGAACGGTAGCTCTGTGAGGGGGGAGAATAACAACAACAACAACAACTCAATTTATATACCACCCTTTATCAAAAGATCCCAAGGCAGTGTACAACATTAAGAACGTATTTTATGGAGCACAGTAAAAAAGCATAATAAATAACAGACAGCATAATAATAAAATTACCATAATAGCTGGCCCCTCGCCTAGCTTTAACAGGCCAGAGATTATTTAATGACCAAAAGGCTTGGGTAAGGCTGAATGTTTTTGCCTGGCATGTAAATACATGTAATCATGATACCAGGTGAGCCTCTTGGGGGAGAGTATTCCAGTTGGAGAGCCACCACAGAAAAGGCCCAGTCTCCTGTTGCTACCATCTGAACCCCTTTGGGTGTGGGGACATAGAGAGGGGCCTTAGATAACAGATAATAGTTTGTATAGGGAAAGGTGGTTGTTTAGGTCCTGAGGTCCTGAACAGGGGTCTCCTGACAACTCTCAGATCCCTTAACAAACTACCACTCCCAGAATTCTTTGGCTGTTCTTCCCCGACTGCTTCAAGCGGTATCATAATGTTTTAAATATATCACGTGAGTGTGGTTTTCAGACTCACTGAACTCCTCCAACCCAACAGACCAGCAATATGCAAAGCCTCCTTCCACATGTCCCTTGCCTGCTCTAAATATGAATATTTCTATTTAGTGCTTGTTAGCACATGGAGAGTGACTTTCCTCATTAAGCAGTGTGCTGATCTTGCTTTCATCTCTCTCTCCCCCCACCCTCATGCCCATATATTTTAGATTGTAAACCCCTCAGGGCAGAGATATGTGTAACTCCCTGAAGTGGACTGCTGTATCAACAGATGTACAGTGGTACCTCGGGTTAAGAACTTAATTCATTCTGGAGGTGCGTTCTTAACCTGAAACTGTTCTTGACCTGAGGTACCACTTTAGCTAATGGGACCTCCTGCTGCCGCCGCATGATTTCTGTTCTCATCCTGAAGCAAAGTTCTTAACCTGAGGTACTATTTCTGGGTTAGCAGAGTCTGTAACCTGAAGCGTCTGTAACCTGAGGTACCACTGTAATAACAGAAATGACACATTCCACATGTCTGGAATGAAGGACTGATGCTTCTTTCCAGAGCACAGTGGCAGGTTGCCCAGGCTTGGTTAGGGATAGCCATCAGAGGTGAGCCAGAAGCCGGCAACCAGGAACTGTGGGACAAGCCAGGAATCAGTGAGCAAAGCACCAAAGCCAGGAGGCAGGATCAAGTGGCCAGGCCTAGCCAAGGATACAAAAAGACAATGATGCTCAAGCACAGCTCAATTGCAACAGGAAGCATTTCAGACCCGCTTCCTGTCCCAGAGGATCCAGTGGTCAGGCTGGGTGGACATAGCCAGTCTAGGGTCTGAAGGTGCCTCACTGGGGACCTGTCCCCTTCAGTTCAGTGCATCACCACACAGTGGAGCTGCACAGAGATCTGGCACAGATGGTGTACACATTTAAAGCACATGGCTTCTCCCAAATATTCCTGGGACCTGTAGTTTACCCCTTGCAGTACTGCATTTTCCAGCAACCTTAACACGCTGCCGTTCCCAGGATTCTTTACAGTGGTGGGGAAATCACACGCTTTAAATGTATGGCATGGATGTGGCCACAGACTTTCCTATCAGGCCTATTGCTGTGCTGTATCTCTTTGGTTAACAATCGCGCACACTGCCCTCGGTTAAGACAGTTTTGGGACCGCAAAGTTTCAAAACCGTGTGCCCTGAATGAGGGGCAGTGCATAGATATGGGCTCATCTGTCAGTTTTGGTGTCTCACCACATCACCGCTAAGCCTTACGTGGACACCCTGACCTTGCCATACCCACACTGGTGTGTTCCCACCGCTGCCACCATTAGGTGTCGCTGTAGCTTTGAAATCCATACAAAAGTTGAGGTGAAGTTTGGAAATGTTGAGTAAATCAGTTCACACACATGAATCCTCAACAGGCATATTGGGGAAATGGGAAAACTCAGCTGAAGGCTGCCCTGGGTCGGCCAATGTCTCCAAGGCAAACAGACAGATTGGGCCTCTTTCTTTGATGGTTGAAACCTTACGGTACAGATCAGAGGCGGGGTTGTGCCTTCAGGAGACAGTGTGTGGGCATGTCCACTTGTAGATTCTGTCCCATACCCCATATCTTCTTTTTTTCTTTTTTTGTCCTGTCCCCCACACTTCCCACACTTCCCAGAGATAACTGTGGCCTGATCCACAGAAGAATTAACCAGAGGCAGATTTAGGGCAGTGTTACTGGTTCCCCCACATGAAGCACTGAGCCCAGGGGGTGCAAAAACCACCCCAGAAATTTGTAAAGGAATGTGTCAAAGAACACTCTATAATCCCCCCCCCCCAAAATCCTGTTAAATATACTTGTTGTGTATTGCTGAAAAGGTGTAACATGGGGAAATGCCACTGGAGTATACTAAGTGATATCTGAACTTCTTGATGCATTGATAATTAACTGTTATTGTTCTCTGGTAGTTCTGACATGAGAGTTTAACCTTAGATCACATAAGAGGCTATTGAATTGCAAATTCTCAATCTTGGAAGGGTGGTGGCTGAGTCTGTTTGTCAGGCTCTGTGGGAGTAAGGATTTGTAAATGAGTCCTCTGAAGGGAGAGGAAATGGCTCCAGGCAAAATGGAGGCTGTAAGGAGAGAGACTTTTGGTTATAGAAGAAGAAGAAGAGTTTGGATTTGGTATCTCGCTTTATCACTACCCAAAGGAGTCTCAAAGCGGCTAACATTCTCCTTTCCCTTCCTCCCCCACAACAAACACTCTGTTAAGTGAGTGGGACTGAGAGACTTCAAAGAAGTATGACTAGCCCAAGGTCACCCAGCAGCTGCATGTGGAGGAGCGGGGAAGCGAACCCGGTTCACCAGATTACGAGTCTACCGATCTTAACCACTATACCACACTGGCTCTGTTTGGAATTATCCTTTTCCCCCTAAGATGCTGAACCTGTGCTCGACTTGTGCAAGATATTGTATGGAATTATTTTAATATATCATTTACTGTTTTTCTGTTCTGTTTTGAAGAAAGTTCTGCAAATAGAGTTTTGAGTAATATCTGATGGGTCTGGACAATGTTTCATTCCAAAAGGAGTCAGTTTTTATGCATCCAGTTGCTTCAAGCTGCACAATATTAGTATAAGCAATAAAGCTGCCCCCCCTTCAGATGGCTGAGATTTTCCTCGGGTGACTGGGCTACAAGAGCTGCAACCACGTCAGTCTTGGGCTGCAAATCTCCCCTCCACCATCTCCACCTATCTCTGGTTCAGAGATTTTAACCTTGCACAGGGTGCTACATTATCAAAGTTCGTCCCAAGAGAATGGAAAAAGTTAGGAGTTGGAACGTTAAAAAAGAGAAAGAAAGATGCACACACAAGTGTTTGCATTCCATGTTAGCATCTTTACCAAATCTAAATTTCATAGCAGTGGGTTTGTATGGAACAAATTTTCAAAGTAAATGCATCAAAATTAAGGGACCAAAGTTCAGGCTCATTGACACCTACCTCTCACCCTTGCACTGCCACTCTCCCCAGGTAAACTCAATCTTTACCACCAAATGGTAATTGTTTTCAGCAGCAAAGAGTGGGGTTTTCATGGGGAAAGCGCTGGGGCAAAAATAAACAAGCAAATAAAGCCCTTGAACTCAGACCCGGAAAGCCCAGACCTGTGCATAGAAATACAGAACACAAGACCCTTAGTCCCCACGTGGATGTTCGTTTCAATGGTTCAGCTCTCAGTAAAAAAAATATAGCTGAATGGCACGCTTGGGGTTTGAAGAAGTAGGCTGACCTCCTGGCGCTTTCCTGTTACAGTAAATTTCGGATCTTGTGACTCTGCTTTATGTTGGGATTCCCTGTTCACACCATTGTGGATTCAGGCAGGATGTGCAAGAAGCTCTTTGCACATGGTTATGCTTGCTTGGTTTTCTTTCTTGCACTCTGCATCCTTAATTTTTTAAAAATTAAATAAATAAAAATCTTTTTTTTTAGGAAAAAAAAACCTGCATTCTGATATAACAAGATTTTTTGGATATTCCTTCCAGGGTATTTCTTCACCGACGGGGGGAGAAAAAACTCCTGCATCAGAATCCTTAAATGTGGACATTCTAGATTGGTTCAAGTCCGATGCGCTTCCGCACTCTTCTATGTGACCAAGATCAGGCGACGTTGTTTTGGCTTGAGGTCATCATGCGTGCTGGTGTTTCCCTCAAGTTCTATCAGGATGAACAGGAGTACTGTTTGAGGCAGGGTGGGTGGGGGAGATTGGGGAGAACACAAGTTGTTGGTAGACTTAATTTATTATTTTATTAATCATCAGCATTTCTAAGCAAGAGACCAAACAGGGACCCAAAAAATAAAAATAAAAAGCTCTCATAAAACCAAACACTGCCTTAAAATGACTCCTGGAATAAGAAGCCCATTGCCACGGGCCTGAAGTTCAGCAAAGAGGGCTCTGTCTCTAATGTCAGGTGGGAGGGAGTTCCCCAGGTTTCGGCCCACAACACTGAATACATTGTTTGCAGTTAGTTTCAAGCTGTATATCTGAACCATGTCAGCCATGACAGAGACTCCTCAAAGATTTTAGTGATCAGGAAGGGGTATAAGGGATACTATACTATACTCAGGATGCTAGAGGCCTTGTAAATCAGTGCAAGTGTCTTGAAGCAGGCCCGGTCATCTATGCACGGCCAGTGCAAGCTTTTGAGCACCAGAGCTATGCGCTGGTGGTCATCGGCCCCCATCAACGTGTTCAAGGCCAGCTCTATCATCCTGAGGCAAAAGGAGGCAATGCCTAAGGTGGTGGGCATGGCTGGGTGTGAATTTGGCCCCCAGGCTCTCTACTCAATTGCTGGCTCTCGCACATGGCCAGGGCTGACCCAAGGCGTTTTGGCACCTGAGGCAAACCTGAGGTGCCCCCCCCCCCAGCCAGAGAAGAAGGGGTGAGTGAAGATTCACATCAAGAACAAGGGAGAAACAAAGGTCTACATCATCAACAAGGGTAAGAGGAGACCAGCCACGCCGCCTATTCATCAAGAGTGGCAGCAGATCTGGCCTCTAAGGAGTGTACCACAGCTGTTGCTGCCACTGTATTCCTTGGTGGTTGGATCTGCTGCCCCAGTGGATCCTGTTGCCTAAATTGCTTCATGGATATGCTGGCTCTGCACATGTCCCTCCAGAACCAACCCCTGTCCTCTTCCCCACTGCTCTGGCTCCTGTTTGCTCGTTCCCCTTGTTAACACTTTTGCAGCCACTAACATGTGGGTACCATTTGCCATGCCTTCAGCCTCAGGCTCCTCCCCCCCTCTGGCTCGCTCTGAGGCAAGGCTGGGGTCCTTCAGAGCAAGGCGGTTTGCGCAGGTCGGTCCAGGAGAGTGCCTGCTGCTGCTGCTGCAGTAGTTTTGTCGCCGCGGCTCTTGGGACTTCATGCCTATGCTTTTAAGCTGTTAAATATTTTTAAAGAATTTCTAGCCCCCTGGGATGCCAGCTCCTTCCCAATATTTTTGGGGTGGGGCTGAGTCCCTTCAACATCTAGAAAGCACAGCGGCAAAATGCAGAGCCAAGCATGGCGTGGCTTCAGCAGCCGGCTCCTTCTCTTTTCTCCTCTCCCTCCCCTCTGTCTCCCTCCTCCTTTCTGCATCCACCGTATATCAGGGCGCAAAAGGAAAACTCACTGTTTGTCAGGAACAGGAAGCTGGCCAAGCAGCCTATCCCAAAGGACCAGGAGAGATACTTTGGAGAGGTCGTATGAGGGATTGGACTGCCCAAGGTGCTGTTGGGTGAGATTGACGTGCCGTACAACACCATGGTGACCAGGGAAATGATTCCTGTGGGTACGAAAAGAGAGCACTCAGCAGAAAGCCCTGACAAAAACCCTTCTCCTGCAGGGAGTTGCTGTAGCCTGCAGTATGCTATTCAGTGCACCGAAGATCCTCGGCCCACATTTAACATTTCACTCAAACAAGAAGGGGAACCCCAGGCCTGGAAGCCAACAGCATCCCTCTAGGCCTCTCCATCTGCCCCCTCCCCAGGACACCACTTACTAACGCTGCTTCGCACCCTCCTTGAATGCAATTGCCTGTCTGGAATACATTTTTGAACTCTGACCGTGCTTCTTGCTTGTCTGGCTGGAGGATAGAGAATTGTGAGGGCGGATCTACACTCATGGTTTATAACGCTAAGGAAGCGTTAAGGAATGGGTTTCATAATGCAGACAGACACATTACGTTCTGCCTTTAACGTTCATAATGCGTCATTGAAATGTGACACCAGAGGGCAGTGCCCACCACTGGCATAGGGTTCCTGGAAGACTGCCCAGAAGCATAGGAGCTGTGGTCCCTTTCCCCCTCCCATAAAATATAGGAGGGGGACAGTCCCCCCGAAAATAAGTTGGTAGCCATTGCCATTCAAATGATGTGTGTATATATGTCTTGTGATTGATTTTGCAGCCAAGGCTTACCTGCCCTCCCAGCAATACTTTGGACCTCAGTGGCCTTTGAACTGAAAAAAGTTCTCTATCTCCTTGTTTCCTCTACAATAATTCTTTGCTTTCCCTCTGTCTGCTAATATCCTATTAAATTTCCTAATAGCCTAACTGCAACATCCTACTTACACTCTCACTAGCAGATCAAGTAAGGGGAGTCAAGCTGCGAACAAGCTAGACGTTTGCAACTTTTCCTCCCCTCTTTGCCTGCTGAAGAGGCTGGTGAAACTCTAAAGCCTTACTTGGGTGTTATATAAACTGGGAAATAAAACATAGAATCATGGAATTGTAGAATTGGAAGGGACCACGAGGGGCATCTAATCCAACCCTCTGCAATGAAGGAATATTTTGTCCAATGTGAGGCTGGAACCAATGGCCCTGAGACATTAGCCCTATCACATCCAAGGCTATGGGGAGTGCAGCAATTACGAGGCAATAAAACTGGGAGAGTCATCCCAGCACTGAATAATGCTCACTTACTTAACAGGGGAGCTGTAAAGATCACAATAATGCAACGTGGGCATAGTAGAACTGAAGTATTACACAAATGCTAAAGGCAAATAATCAGCCTTGCAGAGAGAGCGGTACCTGTGCATAAATTGGTGACAGCTGGCCACCTGGATAGCCTTAAGCTGGTGCTGGACAGCAATGAGCAGGCAGCTGCCACCAAGCCCAAGAATGTGCTGATTGACATCAAGATTCTGGTGACAAGGAGGATGTCTGGGGAGAATCAAAGGTGAGTGATGCTGAAAGACAGATGTGCGAGAGAATCGGTTCTTAGCATTACAGAACAGTAGGGAACAGGGGGGTCATTCAAATTTATTTGCATCTTAATGAGGAGCTCCCTCACGCACACTCCTCAAGCCAGCGTGGAATCTGAAACACAGCTGTCCTTTACACTCCCCACTCCTGTGAATTTTGCAGCACAGTTCTGCAACCAAAGAATGAGCACAGAAAAGCATTTTTTAAGGGAGATTGTGCAAGTACACAGGTGCCAGGGCTGGAGTCAGCCAAGCACATCAGCAGGAAGAGGCAGAGTCAATTGTCAGTGAAGTTAACTCTTTATTCAAGGAAACGGCAGACAACTCATCAACCCTTTCCAGCAGGTCTTGCCTCTATGGACAGTTGCCAGGGTTGAAGGGCCCTGCCTTTCACCCTTTCTAAGGCTCCTCTTTTCCCAGATGTTTCCCAAGCTGTCTCAAACTGTGTCTGCACACCTCTGGCCACTGTTTTGCTCTCATTATTCTGCATGTTCTTGGAGACCAGGGGGGGATAGGGGCTTGCTGCAGCAGGAGACGGCAATTCCTGGGATTCTTCAGCAGCCTCTGGACCCCCCTCCTCTGCTTCAGCCTTGGAGTCTGAACTTCTGCTTGTCACAGGCTCTCCCTGCTCACTAAACCCTGTTGCCCCCCTCAGCATCCAGCCCCTTCTCCCAGTTCCCTCCCTCTGACCTTTCCCCAGTGTTCCACCACTAACCTCCTGGCTCTGAGCACTCCTCTGGAGTTTCCCTTGGGAATTCCCTGGCTGAAGCCTCCAACCACTCCTCATCTTCCAGCCACTCCCTGACAATGGTGTTGGCCCAAGAAATTTTGCTACCTGAGGCAAAGGACAAGATGGCATCCCGCTCCTGTGTGCCAATCAGGCAGGCACCTCAATCTTCCTTCAACACTGGTAATAGGAAAGTGTTCCTCACTACCCCTTAGGGCAGAGCGGTCCAACTTTTCATACCAAGTGGGCCACAAGGGTACTTCAGACCTGCAGGCCACACACTGCCGTGTCACACGGCGGGTGGACTAATTGTGGTACCAGGCTTTGGGAAGGAAGTGGGAGACACTGGCAGGGTCCTAGAGACCTCCCACCTTGTTCCCAAAGTGGGGAAAACACTAAGCCAAGGGCATCAACTTGCGTCACGTTGCATGCGCTGCAGCAGCACCTGGGGCCCCCATTATAATGATATCTGGCAGGCAAGCAGCCTGTTAAGCAGTAAGGACTCTTCGTCAGTTTATTTACAAGAAAAACACATCCAGAGCATGGCGTTCTGCCTGCTCTCATTAACCTTAGTTGCTCAGTCTGACTCATCGTCTCTCCCCCAAAAGGAAGGATGCCAAAATCCCGCCTTTCTTCTCCTTCCCTTCTGTTGCTCTCTGATTCTTTCCAACCTCCTCATATGGGGACTGCACGACCGGCCTATCTCTTCCCCAGAAGACGCAGCCTCCGACTCTGGCTTATCTGCTGGTTGCCTGGCAACACTTGGGCCGACTTCCAGCTCTTCCTCTCTTTGGGAGCTAACAGCTTGTTCTCTGGAAGGGGTGGGGGCAGGCTGTCTTCTCTAACTCTGACAGACAGCTCTCATCCCCAGAGGCAGCCCCTTGCTCACTCAGCTCAATTTCTGAGGCTGACTCTTCCGCTGCGCTCGGGGGGGGGGCACATTCCTGACACCCATGAGGCCTCAGATGTGACATTTGGTGCTTTGCAAGGCACCGGAAGTCGCATTGGACACCCCACGGTGCTCAGGCACCCAAGGCCGTTTATAGTTGGTGCCGGTAAACTAAGCTTTTGCCGGCCTGCCAAAACAGGCCTTTAGGACTGCATAGTGGACCACCCTGACTTAGGGGGTGCAGGAGCACCCATAGCTCCACCCTACATCACTTTCCCACTCCACCTCCTCCCTTGCCATTCACTGGTAGGGTCGGACCTGGCAACACATTTCCCCAATCCTTGACATGGGTTGCCGAAATTCAAAGACCAACCCCCAGGTGCACTGCCGGGGTGGGGAAAGATGGAGGGAGGCAGGGAGGGAAGGGGGCTGCCTTACTTGAGTTCAGCCTAATTCTCTTGCATCTTCTGTTTATGCATATGTTCCAGAGGCCCAAATTGGTGACGAAATCCTTGTGGAAGATCTCAATCCAGGACGGAGAGAGAAGACTGATAAACAAACCGACCAGGCCAACGCAGCTGAATATTCTGATGAAGAACTTGTACCGGAAGGACAAATGGCTATCTTCAGAAAGGTGGACTTCTGCCGGGAGGTGGGATGGGAAGGGGTGATGGAAGTGAGATGTTTTAACCCCCGTCTAACAAGCCAGAAACACCAGCATCCATAAAACGTGGTTCGTGAAAACATTAAATTCCAAACATCCACATCAAAAACACAAGCAGGCAGCAGTATTCTAAATAGTGTGCTAACATCCAATGCCAGCATAGAATCCTATGCTAGGATGTTAGGCACCAGGCACCTTCATTATGGAAAAGAAGAGTCTTGCATCCTCTCTGGAAAGGTCTGCTCATATGATGACGATGATGATGTTCTATTTTTGACAGTGTGACTTGTGAACTGCTCTGGAATTTGTAAATATAAATCGAACTAATAAATAAATAAATAAATCTGTTGGGTCACCAGCCTCATATAACCAGCATGCTTGAGCAAAGGATCCAAACTGCAAACCCGATCCTTCACAGGGAGTGTAACCCTATCAAGAGCAAGCGACTTCCCATTCATCTGGTCTAGGGAACCACCCAGTAATGGTGCCTCAGTCTTATCTGGATTGAGCTTCAGTTTATTGGCTCTCATCCAGTCCATTACCAAGGCAAGACAAGGGTCCAAGTACCTGCAGATGTAAAGGATAAGCAGAGCTGTGTGTCATCAGCATACTCCATACCTCCAGATGACCCCACTTAGCAGTTTCATATAGATGTTAAAGAGCATAGGGGAATAAAATCAAACCCCGAAGAAGCCCAAATTGAAGGCTCTATGGGGCTGAACAGCTCTCCCCAAGCATCACCCTCTGAAAATGACCACTCAAGTAAGACTAGAACCACCACCAAGCAGTGGCTCCCAGGCCTAACTCAGACAGTTGCTCCAAAAGCCATTGAGAGGTTTGATGATAATTAACAGGAACACATCTCCCCTGTCTTTCTCCCAAGAGAGTTTATCGTAAAGGGCAAACAAAGCAGTTTCTGTGTCTAAACCAGGCCTAAATCTCGACTGAAATAGATCTAGAAAATCAGTTTCCTCCAAGAGCTCCCAGATATAGCCCCTGACCATCTGTTCATTTCTGTTCCATTGCTCTGGCCTCAGGTTGCTGCTGGTGAGGGGCTGAAACTGCTATATGGGCTGCTTCCTCCTGCTGTTTCCCACCAAGCTTTCCTCCAAGCTCAAGGGGGCCTACAACAAGAGCCTCATTTCCCCATAGACAATTCTCCAGGGACCACGTAGCAAAGGTGGACAGGAACTGAGGCAAAAGTAGGCAAAGCAACAGGTATTGTACTTAACTCTTTATAGGAGGCTGCGCTGCAGTCACCCAAGAGTCAGTGGTTTGCATATATACAAAGGCCATTCGCCTCTCTCCAGACAAATAAGAGGCATGGTCCCAGCTGAAGAGCACATTCCAGCCAGGCAAAAGCACTCAAGGACGGGCTGTAGATTAATGGCAGGATATCTGCTATGCATACATAAGGTGCTACTTCCCAGGGTTCTTTGGGGGGGGGGAGCCATTGCTGTTTAAAGTGTCATGGCACTGCTTTAAATGTATAACGCAGATGAAGTCATAGAGATAGGATAGACAGACAGACAGACAGACAGACAGACAGTGGCACTCTGCCCAGGGAGCACCCTCCCATCAAATGTCAAGGAGATAAAGAGCTACACAACTTTTAGAAGACATCTGAAGGCAGCCCTGTATTGGGAAGTTTTTAATGTTTAGCTTTTTAATTATGTTTTTTTATGTGCTGGAAGCTGCCCAGAGTGGCTGGGGAAACCCAGGCAGATGAGTGGGGTATAAATAATAAAATTATTATTATTTTATCATAAGATCTATTTCTTTCTACACTTCTGTATCTAACTCATATTAAATAGTAGGCACATTAAATAAATGGAGATGTCTCCGTCAAAATCTTTTGTGCTGTTCATACTTACTTTTCCTCGAAAAATGCATCTTTAAGTGGTGGGAAAGAGTCACAAACACAGCAGAGGCACTGTCAAGAGACACAACCAAAGGCAACTTGGGTTCAGCTTTCAGTGGAGAAATTTTAGCACTGGATAAAAACAGAGCAGAGGCCAAAGCTTTTCTTCCTGTGCAGATGATGAGTCCAGAATGAAGGCAGAGCAAGGACTTCCTTCTCCTGCCCTCGCTCTGACATCACATCCTGAAGCCAATTCTCATGCATAGTGGATTTTTGAGACAATATTTACCTTTCCCCACCTGTGGCAGCTGGTAATCCCTACTGTAGGGGTACCTGGGAAGACCTCTATGGGTACACGTGTGCCCATGGGCACCACATTGGCGACCAATGTAGAGGAGGGCTATTCTAAAATAGTATCTATCCTTGTCACACATCTGTTTCCCTCTGTGGCTATTTTTCTGGTTCCTCTCCACTTACCAGTCCTCTGTTTCCCATGTACGTGACTCAGGCTTGCTTTTTAGATGCTTGCTTTCACCCTCTGGGGTCAGCAGTTCCTCTGGCCACAGCAACAAGCTCAGTGGGACGCACCCCTTCTTCCGTAGAACATCCCCAGCTCAGCTCAGCTTTCTGGAATCTCCTAACCAGGTTCCAAATGTCTGTAACTGCCATAGAACCTTCTTCACCCACCTGGCTCTCAGAAGAACCTCTCTCCACAAGAGTAGGGGTGGGAGTCAGCGGCCCAGTTTTGACCCTCCAGGCCTCCTTATATGCCCCTGGGGACTCTTTCCAGGCCACACTCCCTCCTCAGCCCCCCCCGACCCAACTCTCAATATGACAGCTTTGCAGTGGAGGCTGGTCCAGTTGGGTAAATGGGCCACTGCCCTGCCAATCTCAGTGTGCCCTCAGCCATTCCCTGCCTGTCTACCTTTGTATTTGCAACCAGTCCAGGTGGGTGGAACTGCCTGTCAGCTTCCTCCCCCTCAAGCTCAGTTTTACCCTTGTACAACTTAGCAGGCAGAAAAATGGGAGCAAAATTAGAGTGAGTTGGCTCTGGCTGTCATTGGTTCTGGCGCCAACTAATGTCGGTCTCCTTGCCTTCTTCCCTACTAGACCCCACAGGCACCAGCCGGCCCTGTGTTTTAGTGGTGTGCGTGTGATGGAGCAGCTTGTGAATGGGGATCAAGCTTGGCTCCCATCGATGATGTCAAAACTGAAAACATGTGATGCCATATCTCAACCTTGCTTAATTAAGTATGGCCAGGAAATTCTCTCCATGGTGGTCCCATGCCACACCACATGTTCTGTAATGGTAGACATTACTAAGGGAAAGAGAGACTAGAGCCATAGCCTATGGCAAGGGTGTCCAGGTGTCCTACTTTTCAGCAGACGGTCCTCCATTTGAAGGTGCCGTCTATTTGAAGGACTGCCCAACCCAAGTCTGGTTTAGAGATAAAGAACCATCAAAAGGGGGAGATGCAGTAAAGACCTTGAAGTTTCAGACTGAGCAGGCACACAGATCACCTGGTCTTACTCACTGCAAAGGACACATTGTGACTCTACTTAATTGATAGCCATGATTTCTAAGTTTGCAGCTGTACATATAAATTGGTGCGTGCCATATTTCTGCCGATTTGTGTCCTCATTTGTCCTGGTGATATATTTCCTCTTTTGGGGGTGATCTGTGAACAAACGAACCCCCTGATGCTATGGGCGACATGGTCAGGTCCTGTAATGAGTGTTGCCAGAGCAGATATAGGGACACAGTTGGCATTATTTGTGTCCATGGCCGCTTAGATCCCTGGTCTAAGTAATGTAAGCATATGATTGCTTGATAAGCTTTATTATCCCCACATTGCCAGGGTGGGTGACAGCAAACACAAAATGCGATTTTAAAATGGATAAAAATCACTGCAATTTTAAAACACACAATACCGTTCCAGGATGGAACACAACAACATAAATTCAGGTGGGTCATGAAAAAAAATATATTAATTTTTAAACGGTTCATCTTAAGCATGTGCCAAAAACTGTATCCTGAAGCTGCTAGATGCCCCTCCAATAAGGGGGAATTCCACAATATAGGGGCTGTCATGGAGGACGTCCTCGTTGGGCTGCTATTCTTTGCCCTTCTGAGGGTGATGCAACTACCAACTAAGCTCCCACTGCAGAGCTTAATGCCTGAGACAGTCAGTAAGGGATGGATATGGCCAGTGTGATATAGTGGTTAAGAGCGATAGACTCGCAATCTGGGGAACTGGGTTCGCATCTCTGCTCCTCCACATGCAGCTGCTGGGCCAGTCACACTTCTTTGAAGTCTCTCAGCCCCCTCACCTCACAGAGTGTTTGTTGTGGGGGAGGAAGGGAAAGGAGAATGTTAGCCGCTTTGAGACTCCTTCGGGTAGTGATAAAGCAGGATATCAAATCCAAACTCTCTCTTAATTGCTACTTTAGATGTAACAAATGCACAAGCTGAGCAGCTCCTATGGCTCATGAGGCCTTTACAAGCACTCCCCAGACACCTGCGAGCATATATTCACAACAGGAAGGACTGGGAACCTGCCTGGTCCTTAAAACAGAAACCTGAGTTTCCTGCTGGTCTTCTCTGTGTCATTCCAGTAGGTGAGCACCAGAAACTGAGTTTTTCAAGATAGTGGATTATGCATCCAGCTCCATGTTTTTACGCTTTTGCAGAATTGCAGCAGCCTTGTAATCAAGTGGTTTATAAATGCATATAAACAAATAAATAGGTGGAGGTCACTTGGCACCACGTAGCTGTATGATGGCCAATGGGCTTGTGGAATAGCATAATATTATAACATAAATATTTAAAAAAATGACTTCAGTTGCTTTCATGGAAGCTGGGGAACGCCAGGAACAAGCAGGAAGAGAGGTGATGTGTGGAATGCAGTGGTGGGCTTCTTCAAATTTCAGCAGCGCCAAATGCAACACCAAAATTCAGAGTCCCCTGCCTCTCGCCTTCCATTCTAAGTCATTGTTGCGGCACCCCCTGTGGCACCTTCTCGGCTCAGCACCCAGTGTGGCAGAACCAGTTGTGCTCCCCTAAATCCGCTTCTGCGGAATGTGTGTGACATCACTGGAAACATCACAAAAGCAGGCGTGGAAACTTCAGGTGGTGGTCGCTAGGTGACCAGCACAGAGTGAAGGAGGCCTCAGACCAGTTTTTTATTCTCTGATGCCTAAGGTCCATAACAACTCCTAGCAGAGATGATAGTGACTAAGAAGTGTTTGACAATACATAGGATCCAAAGATCTATTGCCAGATTACCTGCTTTGTTGCCCCTGGTAAGCAGGACACAGTAGGCAAGGCTCGGACACAAACAAACGGTTCCTTTATCGTTCATGTATTCTTTCTTCCGCCTCTTGCTTCCTTTCGATCTCGCCTCCCTTCTCTTTCTCTCACCACCCTCTCATTCTTCCTATGGGGTCAGGAGTGAGGGACCTTTGGCACTCTGGATGTTGCTGAACGGCCACCACCCCTGGTCATAGGCCACACTTGCTGGGGCTGATGGGAGTTATAGTTCAGCAACTTCTGGAAAATGAAATGTTGCCCACACCTGTACTGCAGCTCTCAAGGGACACGTGTCTGAAATACAAAGTTGGAAAGGGCTATAGTAAGGATGCAACAGCAGCAGAGGGATATCATCATCATCATCTTGATATCCCTTCTTTATTCAGAAGGGACTCAAGGTGACTTACAGATAAAATAGAAACAGCTGAAAGCATATATTAAAAACAGTCATTCAGTCTGTCAGTCAGTCAGTCAGTCAACAAATTATTATTATTATTATTATTATTATTATTAGCCGCCCATCTGACTGGGTTGTCCCAGCCACTCTGTTTTGTTTTGTTTTTAATTTATTTATTTGGTTTTTCAAATTACAGTTTTACAATCACATATCCCACATACTACTTAAAAACAAGATTCCAAAGAATCTCCTGGACTTCCTTCCTCCGCTTTGTGGGTCCTGTTGTTAGTCATTTCCTCCTGCACCTTTTATAATAATCCAAATCTTTTACATCTCCGTTATCTCTAAAATTCACAATCTACAAGTGTTATTCCAATCCTACTAACAATTTTAACGATTTACAATGGTTTTATAAATTATAAATTTCCCCCATTCTTTCTTAAAATTTTGGTCTTCCTGATTTCTGATTCTTCAAGTCATTTTTGCCATTTCGGCATAATCCATCAACTTTATCTGCCAGAGTGGCCCCAGCCACTCTGGCTGCCTCCCATCAAAATAATAAAAGCTCTCCATCATTGTACCAATCACCACCATGAAAGCCTTACTGTTCTCTTAGGATGGCTTGATGTGGGCTTTCCTCTTTCCTCAGATCCTTGCCAAGATATGCTCGGCATCCTTCTACAGAAGCACCTACTGCACCTTGTGCTTTATCAACTTCATGCTGCTTGTGAATGTCATGGTGACTCCCTTATGGCTCCGACACGACTATGTGGATGGCTATTTTGTTTTCGGATTGTGGGCCATATGCAACCATCAGCTAGAGTGTGATGACGTTTTTCTCCCCGTCAATGGTGAGAGACACAAGACTGGTTTCCATTTTATTGAGTCCCAGGACAAATGAGTTAGGAATGATCGGGGCTGTATACATTCAGTTTCATGTAAATTGCAGGGGATTGAAGATGCGCTGTTCACAAGAAACTAGCTATCATGCCATAACAGTACTGATGCTCTTTGAGCTGGGGGTGGGGGGAGGTTTGCTGTGTTTTTGGACCTTCCTTGGGGGCGTGGCTACAGGGTCTCCCATTATTAGCTCCTGCCATTCAGAATTTACCAGTACAGTCATACCTCGGGTTACAGACACTTCAGGTTGCGTTTTTTCAGGTTGCGGACCTCCAAAAACCGGAAGTACCGGAACAGGTTACTTCCTGGTTTTGGCGGTCGTGCATGCGCAGAAGTGCTAAATTGCACTTTGAGCATGCACAGACGCGCCACTGAGGGTTGTGGAGGCTGCGGGTTGTGAACGTGCATCCCGCACGGGTCACGTTCACAACCTGAGCGTCCACTGTCCACCACAGGATATGTGAAATGAGCCAGTGAGAGAGCTTCATAGCTGAGTGTTGACTTGAACCCTCACCTGTCCACTCCTAGGCTATGTTCACACCACACATTAAACATACTATGACACCAGACTTTCCAAGTGTCCCTATTTTTCAGGGACAGTCCCAGGTTTATAGAAGCCATCCCAGGTTCTGATTTGATCCCAAAATATCCCGCTTTTCCTTAGGATATCCCCATTTTCATCAGAGAAGTGCTGGAGGGTAGGGAATAGGATATCCCTATTTTCATCGGAGAAACGTTTGGAGGGAACATCTCTCTTTTCATTGGAGAAGTGTTGGAGGGTATGTGACACCCTTTAAACAGTGATAACTTCCCCCAAAGAATTCTGGGAGCTCCAGTTTGTTAAGTGTCCTGAGCTGTCAGGAGAGACCCCTATTCCCCTCACAAAACTATAATTCCTGGATTTCCCTGGGCAGAGCAATTGCTCTGGGAATTGTAGCTTTGTGAGGGGAATAAGGGTCTCCTAACAACTTTTAGCACCCTTAACAAACAATGGCTCCCAAAATTCTCTCCCAGAAGCCATCACTGTTTATGATACTGCTTTAAATGTGTGCTTTGCATGTGGCCTAAAGCACTGCACTGCTCCAACTCTAAGTAACCTGATATGGTATAAGGCAGCTTTATATATCATTAATTCTTTTACCCTCCTTTCACTTCCTCTAGAATATCTGCATGTGGTTCGTCTCCTTTTGATACTAGCCTTAATCAGTGATTTCGTTGCCCTTTTTTTGTCATGGGAGCTTCTTGCTCGGGTCATGAGAAAGGTGGTATCCGAAAGCCTGCTTTCTTCTGTGGCCCACTTCAGCGCAGGTATTGTGTAAGCCATAATAGCAATACATGATAGAACAGCACTCCCGACCCCCCATCCCCCACAAACCAGCTAAAAATCACAGAGCAGTGAGCCTTGGAGGAGTGTTGATTCAGGATTGGAGAGAAAGGACCGACTGTGAACACTGCAAAAGGGAGCAAATGAGAGAGGGGACAGTAAGAGCTGTTTGACAGTGGAATTTGCTGCCAAGGAGTGTGGTGGAGTCTCCTTCTTTGGAGGTCTTTAAGCAGAGGCTTGACAACCATATGTCAGGAGTGCTCTGATGGTGTTTCCTGCTTGGCAGGGGGTTGGACTCGATGGCACTTGTGGTCTCTTCCAACTCTATGATTCTATGATTCTATGAATCCTGTGCCATACGGTGAGGCCTCCTCCCTGAGTGATAGTCTTTCCCTAGAGCAGGTGTGGGGAGCCTTTGTCCTTCCAGATACTGCTGAACTACAACTACCAACAGCCCCAGCAATCATGACCAATGAGCAGGGATGATGAGAATTTCAGTTTGGCAACATCTGGGTGGAGGGAACAAAGGTTCCCCACACTTGGCTTGGAAAGCAGGAGGCAAGTAGCCTCTAAATTCCCAGGGCGCATGAAGGCCGTTATGTCAAGCAAATTGGCTTTATAAATAACTGAACACTACTTTAGTAGGTGTTGTCCCTTGTTTAAGCCATATCTCTCTCTCTCTGTGTGAATTAAACAAATTGGGACAAGAAGGTCAAAAGTAAAAATGGATCTTATAAAAGAAAATAGTCCATACAATTCATTTCCTTTCTCTGTTTAAGCCCCAGCTTTGTACACCGAGTGCTGGCAGATATAAAAAATACATCTGTATGGACATGTCTGTATGTTACTTCTCCTGGTCAAATATCTTTAAACCCCTTTCACTTCCCCCCAACTTATGTGAAGACCTTGGGTTTCCTATTTCAGTCAGAAACTCACGCATGTGAATGAACAAGGCCAGGCTGAGCTGGTCATTTCTTATGTCAAGTGCCTTCCTCCTCCTCCTCCTCCTCCTCCTCCTCCTCCTCCTCCTCCTCTTCCCTTTATCACTGACAGGGATGCCCAGAGTAGCTGGGGCAACACAGCCAGATGGGCAGGGTATAAATAAGAAAGCTGTTGTTGTTGTTATACAGGTATGTGTATTGCTCATGCATTCATATTCATGTCTGCTGAGAATAATGCCTACTAAGGTCCATGGGACTTACTCTCAAGGAAGTGAGAGTAGGGCAAGGGTCAATTATCTGTGTCCACACATTGTTGGACTCCAGCTCCCATCGGCCCCAGCCAGCGTAGCCAGTGGTTGATGGAAGCTGCAGTCCAGAAACATCTGGAGGGCCAAAGGTTGCTCAGCCATGGAGTATAGGGCTGACTATGTGTGATTTTAAGTTGATCTTGGGTGTTTGGAAACCTCATGTCAACTATTGATGGATATGTATGTTTAAGGTGTCCATACCAGATAATTCTGAATAAAATTAAGGCATCCAGAAGAAGAGGGAAAGGAGAATGGGATCACCACAAAGCCTTCTCTTGTCCTCCTTCTGCCTGCAGGTTTCTTCCTGCTCTGTTCTTTAGTGGTTACATACAGCAAGCTTGCAATTGAGGTTGATTCAGATGGGACTCATGCAGCACCATACCTGGGATTCTTCGCAGGGTGCTTTGCCTGTTTCCTGTGTTTCCTCTTAGGTAAGTACAGCCCATACACAGGAGTGGCTCACCCATGCAGTGGGCACCCCACAGGTGGCAGAGAAATGGCAGTTACCCTGCAAGATCTCACAAGCCTGCTGCCACTGTTGTCATTGTGGGAACGCCGTGACACCTAGGTAAAGGGGGCAGCAGTGGGAGCAGCAGCAGCAGAAGAAGAGTTTGGATTTGATATCCCGCTTTATCGCTATGCGAAGGAGTCTCAAAGCGGTTAACATTCTCCTTTCCCTTCCTTCCCCACAACAAACACTCTGTGAGGTGAGTGGGGCTGAGAGTCTTCAGAGAAGTGTGACTGGCCCAAGGTCACCCAGCAGCTGCATGTGGAGGAGTGGGGAAGCGAACCCGGTTCACCAGATTACGAGTCCACCACTCTTAACCACTACACCACACTGGCTGCACCTTCCCATTTCACATTAGGCAGCAAAACAGGGCACTCCAACCCTGCCCAGGCACCTTACTTTTCAGAGGGCAACCCTCTCCTTGAAGAGTTGACTGGCACAAGCCCACTTTTAAGATTAGGAGCCGTCAGAAGGGAGAGCTGCAGGAGACTTGGCGTTGCCCACCACCAATGAGCAGCACAACAGCCATGGCACTCCTAGGGGATGAGGTCCCATCAATCCACCCCCACAATAAAATATTTGAGGAATCCAGAACCCTGCAAAGTTGGTGGCCCTTGCCATTCAAATGGTGTGTCATCTTGTGATTGATTATGTGGGGCGGGGCTTACCTGGGCCCCCATTATTTTATTCAAGTTGGCACCCCTGGTAAGCAACACCTGTTCAGCAGTGTAGTTTGTTAAGGGTGCTGGGAGTTGTAAGGAGACCCTTGCACAGTGCTGCAATTCCCAGAGTTCTCTGGGAAGAGGGATGGGCTTAAGCCGCTCTGAGAATTATAGCTCTGACACCTTTGCTAGCTAAATAAATCAAAATCATATAGCTGAAATTCTAAAATTATTGTTATTACTTGCTTAGTGGATTCTGAACAGCAGTCTTGTTGGACTAGTGATGGCTTTTTTATTTTCTACTTCCCCTGCACCCAGGAACCCTGAGTCTTCTGCAGCACAGGAGGTGGTTCTTTGGAAATAAAATAATGAAGATCTAAATAACACCAGCTGTGGGTTCAAAGGGCATTACTGTTGGATCACATGTGCAGTCTTTGGGCTGTACCCATCACTGCAGGCATTCTTCTCCATAAGCCACATACCAGTTCCTGGAGCCTGTCTGGAAAATGGAAATTCTGTGTGGTGATGTCACTTAACAGAGTCACTGGAGATGTTGAAGGACTTCAGCAAGATACACATAGCAGCATTAAAAATAAACTGTTTGTCAAATAGATGTTTCTCAATCTGATATGTAATGCTATGCGCACTCACTTTATTATTCAGTTTCTTGTGGCTAGTTTTGGCTCTGCGTTAATTTTATTCCAAAGCCCGCACCTCTCCAAATGTTCACTTCTGGCTAGGGATGAGGGAGAAAGTCAGTTCAGTTGTCAGCATGAAGAATTCACTTTCCAAATCAGTACATGAACTGAAACACAGCTATCCTTTGAAATTTGCACTTCTCTGAAGTTTGTAATATTACTCCAAACCCACAATGGGTACAGAAGTGTGTGTGTGTAGAGGGGTAAAGTGTACATCAAAATGCTTATGTTAGGTAGAATGGCAGAAGAACATGTATTATATAGTAGGAAGCTGCTTGAGATAATGTTACTAATTTGGCAAAATTGCAACTACGAAGAAACTATGAAGCAAACACAAATTTCAGGAGGATTTCCCATGTTTTCACGTTTCATGTGGAAACAATTTTTTTAAAATCACATTCTGATGTGAAAATGTGAATAAGAAATTGAGAGAAACTGGAATTGATAGATTCAGTAACCCATATTTCTGGACAACTTTGCAGTACTGGTGAACATGAGGGAGAAATTTGATTCAGTTCCTAGTTAGAGGCAAGCTTACCTCACTTGCCTTTTGCACAATGATATGTGAGCAGGAACACAGCCATCCTTTTAAAACATGCACTTATCTGAATTTTGTAGTACAATTCTGCAACCAAGCAATGGCTACAAGGGAGGCTTTTTCTGACATGGGGGGGAGAGGAGAGGAAGAGACGAGAAGAGTTTCCAGGCCCAATTCGAGGTGCTCACATGGATATTTAAAGTCCTAAATGAGGACCCAAATATCTGAAAGATTGCCAATAGACCCTTCTGAGTGCTAAAATCACCACCTTGGCTACCTGTGCTATGAAATCAAAGGTTTCTTTCATTCTAAAGAATGTAGGACAGCTAGTAAAAGGTAAAGGACCCCTGGACAGTTGAGTCCAGTCAAAGGCAACTATGGGGTTGCAGCACTCATTTCTCTTTCAGGCCAGGGGAGCCAGTGTTTGTCCACAGACACATTTCCGGGTCATGTGGCCAGCATGACTAAACCACTTCTAGCACAACTGAACACTGTGATGGAAACCAGAGCACATGGAAACACTGTTTACCTTCCCGCCGCAGTGGTACCTATTTATCTACTTGCACTGGTATACTTTCAAACTGCTAGGCTGGCAGGAGCTGGGACAGAGCAACAGGAGCTCACCCCGTTGCAGGGATTTGAACTGCCAACCTTCCGATCAGCAAGCACAAGAGGCTCAGTGGTTTAAACCACAGCGCCACCCACTCCCCTAGGACAGCTAGTACATTGTTATTAAAACATGACTTTCATTGTTCCCATGGGAGCTGGGGATTGTTAGGTCTAGGCAGAAAGAGGGGTGTGTGACATCATTGGAAATATCACAAAGGCAGACATGGAAACTACCCAGAATCATGCTTGCTAGATGAGCAGCACAGAGGAAAGAAGGCAGTGTTCCTGTGATCTGATGCTGAAGGACAGAACCAACTATTGGGAGAGATGATACTGAGCAATAAGGTACATCCCAATCCACAGACCCGAGAATATGCTACCAAATCACTTTGTATCTTGCATCTGGTCAAGAAGACAGAGTAGGCAAGACTCCGGCAAGCTGCTCCTTTCTTCACAAACTTTTTTTCAGCGGCAGTAATGCTTCTGAATACTAGTAGCTGGAAACTGTGGGAGAGGAGAGGGCTCTTGTTCTCGGGTCCTGTTTGAACGTTTCCCTCAGGTATCTGGTTGGCCACTGAGAGAACATTATGCTGGTCTAGATGAGATAGTGGCCTGATCCAAGAGGCTCTTCTTGTGTTCTTAAGTTCCATATAGTTCTTGCCCCTCTGCCTTCCAGTCTTTTGCCCCCCTTCTCCTTCCTCTTTACCCTTTTCTTCTAGGGACAAATGTGTGGAAAATGAACTGGGAAGCACAGGCAGTTGGCATCCTTTTCCAGGAGCTGAGGGTCCCACACTCTGCAGGGTTTAACAATCAATCCCTCTTTCAGGGAACTCTGAAAATGGTACCTCTGCATGGGGAGGAAAGGGGTTTTCCTAACATCTCTCAACACGCTTAGCAAACCACAGCTGTTGGATCCTTTGGAATAATAATAATAATAATAATAATAATAATAATAATAAATTTATTTATACCCCGCCCATCTGGCTGGGTTTCCCCAGCCACTCTGGGTGGCTTCCAACAGGATTTAAAAAAAATAAAAGATCAAACATTAAAAACTTCCCTAAACAGGGCTGCCTTCAGATGTCTTGTAAAAGTCAGACAGTTGTTTATTTCCTTGACATCTGAAGGGAGAGCGTTCCACAGTGTGGGTGCCACTACTGAGAAGGCCCTCTGCTTGGAGGACGCTGTGTCTGTTTAAGGCGGCATGATATTGCTTCAAATGTGTAGCGCAGGTAGGGCAGGTGGAACTCTGTTCAGAAGAATCCCAGAGCAGAGCAAACTAATGCTAGTTTTGTCCCCATCGGCTTTCCAAGTTATGTTCCACAAGGGTAAACACTAAAACTAAGGAAGGCCTGGAAACTGACAGATAGTTCTACCTCTCAACTGGTTTGAGGTAAGAAGGCAGGCATGTGAGGATTTTTTGAGGGCAGACTGAGGTTTCTTGGGCATTTCCCCATTCTTCCAAATGGACCATTCTCTACTGAGGTGGACCAAATAGTCTCATTCCGTATAAGGGAGCTTCCTTTGTTCCTATGAGCACCTCCCAAACCACCTTGCAAGTCCAATGGCACAGAGAACACATCTGGTAGGAGCCTATGGAGTGCAGGACATGTGCCAATCATCAGGCCAGAGGGCTGATCCTTTAAGAAACTCTAGTAGTTCAAAAGGAGACAGAGCCTAGACGAGGTGGGCTGGAGTGTCACCATACCAAGCCTTATTAGAGTGCATTGCTCACTAGGAGGTCTCCATGGTACTGAAACAAGCAACCTGTATTGTTTTATCACCTCCTTCCTGTTACCAGAACAGGACAGTTCCCCACACCTGCTCTGACATATCAATGTGATGTCTTACTATTTTAAGGATGCCTGATGATGCTGGACTCCCCCCCCCCTTTCTGCAGGTCCTCCTCAAGATCTGCCAGGCAACTTTCCGGGAAAAGACATACTTTACTTTGTGCTGCATCAACCTCACCTTGCTCGTAATTGTCATAGGATCTCCCTTAATGCTATGGCATCATTATGAAGATGCTCAATATTTAATGTTGGGATGGTGGACCATATGTGATCAGTTAGGATGCGATGCCATTTTTGTCATAAATGGTAAGTGGCATGCTTGGCTAATATTGGGGATGGGTGGGGAGTTCCTGGGCCAAATGGGTAATTGTTAATTGATTATCAGGGCTATAAATGGTGCAGTATGCTAAGCTGAAATTATGCATCCTATGTTAGCAACACTATCACCAGAAAAACAACAACCAACTGAGCAAATTAATGCACATTTCTACTACTTTGCCAAATTTAGGGTCGGACCATTGTAGGTAGGAGGCACACTGAGATTTTTCTCCCCTCCATCCAGCACTTCAACTAGCAGCAGGGTAACATGTGCCTCCATCATGAGCAAGATCCAGTTGATCTATTTTCTTAGAGATGATTCGTGGGGGCTCTGCTACCCAGTAGGCAGAAGTCAAAGGCCATCAACCCGGGAGGACAAAGAGAGAGAACAGAAAAATGCCACCTGGATAATTCTGGCTCTATAGAGACACATTGTTACTCCTCTTCTTGATACCAGACTTGAGTATGGTTTTGATCATGAAAATATTTTGAAAGCCATGTGAGAGCCTTTGGGGGCAATACAGATAAGATATAAGTATTCTAAATAAGTAAATAGATGTTGTGGGAAGAGCATCTCCCACCAGAGCCACAGCAAGCAGGCAGGGGAGGCCAGATTCATTCCTCTCCATCATGATCCCAACAAAAAACACCTCCATCTCCTCGGAATGAGGTGGAGCTCTCATTGAGCTATTGCTGGCAGGTTTATTGTTGCTTTTGATTGGTTATCTTTCACTATGCATTTACTTGTTTGCTGCTTTGCACATTTTATATGGAAAGGCAGAACATCCAGTTAGCAAAGACATTTTGCTCTTAATTGGTGTCCATCCTTTAGCTGGGCTGGGATCAGATGTGGCCTTTTTTAGTTGTTGCAGGATGAGTATTTTTAGGTATTTTTTAATTAAAAAAAAAATCTTTTGCGCATTTCAATTTGACATTCACTGCTTTTTTTTTTTTTAAATGTAATTCTCTCTGAGACAAGAGGAATTGCTTTACACGACAGATATTAATCATGAAATAATAAAACACTCTCCAGGGACATATCATTTGGGGGAAAGGCTCAGAACCTCAGCACGACGGTCAAAGCCAATGATCTGAAATGAGATGTGGGAGGGTGGCCCAAGACATTTTGGAACCTGAGGCGGTCCCCAAAATGGTGCTCGCCTCCCTGCCAGGGAAGAGGGGTGAGGCAAGATCTACATCAGGGGCAAGGTGGGAGGGGATTCTTCTGCCTGAGGCAGTCAGCTCACCTTGTCTCATGGGTGGGTTGGCTCTGGGTATTGGAAAGGAGTACCTTTCAGTATTACAATGGAGTGATACTGCTTGGAACAAATCTCCAAAAATCTAGGAAGGAGGATGCAGAAGGTCTTGGACACACAAAATTCTAGTTGGGGCAGAAATGGGGTGAGGAACATGTGGTCCTCCAGAGGTTGCTGGGCTACAGCTCTTATCATTCCTGGTCATTGCCCAGGGTGGCCGGGGCTGGTGGGAGTTGCAGTCCAATGACAACCAGAGGGCTACAGGTGAGTCACCAGTGGGTCAATAGCCTGAGTTAGTCTAAGGAAGCTTAATATTTAATAATTGTTTTGTGTGTTTTTAAAAAAAATCATTCCAGGATATATGGAGGCTACTCAGATCCTTTCAATATTAGCTGTCCTTATGAGTTTAATTGCTGTGGTTTCATCACGGGATCTCCTCTCTCACCTTGCAACCGTGCAGATATGTGAAGCCCTGATTTCTTCTCTGGCTAACTTCAGCACAGGTACGCTTGAAAGCATGTGGCACTGCCTCTGAAACCTCAGAAACCAGAGGTCTGGGGCCAGGGAGAGATGGACACCATTTACTGCAATGTACGCCTTCAGTGCCTCAAATAGCATCTTGCTCCTAACTAACAAAAAAAATAAAATAAAGCATACTAAATCAGAGGAAATATTCAATTCCGCACCATTGGCATAATATATAGAGGTGTGTGGGGGGGGGGTCATTTGAATCCTTGATCAGGATCAACTGAGCACAGAATTTCTATTTTTAATGAGACATTAAATAAACCTTGTTGATTTAATTGAGTCAATGTACACATTGGCAGATGTTCTTGATTATAGTGATAAAACACATTCTTATAATGTTTTTATTTTATTTATTTATTGTATTCATATCCCACTTTTTTTCCTCCAAGGAGCTCAAGGGGGTGTCCATGGTTCTTCCCAATCCTCATTTAATCCTCACAGCAACCCTGTAAGGTGGGTTAGGCCAAGAGACAGTGACTGGCCCAAGGGAACCCCGTGAGCTTCGTGGCTGAGTGGAGAATTGAACTCTGGTCTCCCAGGTCCCAGGCTGACACTTTAACCACTATACCACACTGGCTGTAAATGTACACAGTGCCTGATGTCCATAGTAATGATAATAGATCAAAGTACAGTCGTACCTTGGGTTAAGTACTTAATTCGTTCTGGAGGTCCGTTCTTAACCTGAAACTGTTCTTAACCTGAAGCACCACTTTAGCTAATGGGACCTGCTGCTGCTGCTGCACCGCTGGAGCATGATTTCTGTTCTCATCCTGAAGCAAAGTTCTTAACTCGAGGTACTATTTCTGGGCTAGTGGAGTCTGTAACCTAAAGCATATGTAACCTGAAGCGTATGTAACCTGAGGTACCTGAGGGATGCAGTACATTATGACGATTATATTTATATTGTGCTAGCTGCATACCTAGAACATCACAAACAACAAGTAAGACAGGTCTTTACTCCACTGGAATTTAGAATTTAAAACATTTGATGAGGAAACAGCAGTGGAAGGTGGGAATGGCGTCTTGGACAGACGTGTGATGATTTTGTTTACATGAACTTTGGAGTTGCATGCATATACGAAATCAGGTGTGCAGGTAAAGATGGTGCAGAGCCAACAGAGGATTTGCAAAGCACTGTGAACAGCACCCCACACAGCTCTTTACAAACTCTGACAACCAGCCAGTTGGGTGCTTGAAAAGAGTCCTGCATAGTGCTTTGAAATCCTGACAACCAGCAGCAACACGGCAGCATGGGATAATGGGTGGAATTGTTTAATGGCAAGGGAGACCCCTGGTCAGCTGAAGATGGTGGAATGTTGGAAGAGTGGAGGAGATGAACAGGGACAGAAAGAGAAACCAGGCTCCAAAGGCAAAGAGGGACACACATCACCCCAACGCTTCTTTCCCTTTGCCTGCAGGAATCATCCTGGTGTGCTCTCTGGTGATTACAGACATGAAGCTTAGAACCGAAGTAGATACAGATGGCACTCGCCTCACACCTTTCTGCGGTTTCTTCCTAGCTTGCTTTGTCTGCATCTTGTGCTTTCTCTTGGGTGAGTACACAGGTGGGAAGGAGTGGGATGCAGGTGAAGCTGGGAGACTAGGAGAGCTAGTCTACAATCTCACCTGACATGGTCATGAAGGTAGATTTCTCAGGGTGTGCAAGGGACTCCACATAATTTGTGGGAGTGAGAGACTGAATTTGTGCATTGATGTTGTTCTTTTTCATGTTGTTGTTATTGGAGTGCTAATCTAGACAAGGACACCATAATGAGACATGGCAAGGTGAAAAGGTATCTTGTTCTGTGAAAGTTCATGCAGATTTTCAGGCAGACTTCCTGAAGAAAAGTTCACAAAACTAATGTGGAAATTGGGGGTGTTGGGTGTACCTAACGGGGGGGGGCACTTAAGGCTGGGAAATTTAGAAACAGAGAGTATCTGAAACTGACCAGTCCCACATGACACTTGATACAAACAGCATGAAATACATAAAAAGAATAGAGATGAATTTACATACCAAAAGGAAGTTCTTGCTTTACCATCTGCTTCCTCATTGCTATTGAAGATAGAAGGGTTTTGGTTTGCCATGCCATTAATTTAAAGAGTAATCTATTACACAGAAAGAGGTCAAAGTTCCAAGGGGTCGTCTGCATAGAACTCTCAGTAGGGAAAAGCTCACCTTTCTCTAGGCTCCCTATAGAAACTGCAATATGAATGGAAGTGACTTGTAGATTCTGTTTCCCTGTTTCCACAAGAAGGTGTTCACTGAGCAAAATGTTACCACGCTGGCCAGTTAGAAGAGCAGAGATTTATGAGCATTAAAGCGGTCCTTGATTTGTTGAACCTTTCAAAACAAACACATCACCAGCAGTATCATTAGTATGGGATAAATAGGTTCCCATAACCTTTTTCAAAGCAAAGGTTGCTTTTTTCCAGCATTCCTAGGAAAGATGACAGGGACGCTGGTGGCACTGTGGGTTAAACCACAGAGCCTAGGACTTGCCGATCAGAAGGTCGGTGGTTTGAATCTCCATGACGGGGTGGGCTCCCGTTGCTCAGTCCCTGCTCCTGCCAACCTAGCAGTTTGAAAGCACGTCAAAGTGCAAGTAGATAAATAGGTACCACTCTGGTGGGAAGGTAAACGGCATTTCCATGCGCTGCTCTGGTTCGCCAGAAGCGGCTTAGTCATGCTGGCCACATGACCTGGAAGCTGTACGCCGGCTCCCTCGGCCAATAAAGCGAGATGAGCGCCAAAACCCCAGAGCTGGTCATGACTGGACCTAATGGTCAGGGGTCCCTTTACCTTTACCTTTAGGAAAGATGACACTATGCACAATAGGAACTCATAGCGACCTTATGCTGACTCAGTGCTTTTTCTCCCCTCGGACAGTGACTCTCAGTGGCTACAGACGGGACTTCCCCTCCACCAGTTTTCAGCTGGGGGTTGCTGAATATTTTTGCAGGATTGTTGAGTGTTTGCACACTGAGCTATGGCTCACCATTTCAGCATGGTAGTGTCCTTTAACATGGGCAGGTTGGCTGAAGTTGTTGGTGCTCACCTGAAACTACTTTGGTGACACTGTCACCTAGGCATCTTTGTTGTTGTTTAGTCGTTTAGTCATGTCCGACTCTTCGTGACCCCATGGACCAGAGCACGCCAGGCACTCCTGTCTTCTGGGCATCTTTACTAGTTACAAAAAAAAAAAAAAGCACCATGAAACAGCCAAGTTGCAGGACGATTCGTTATAATCCGCTCTTTCCCCCTTTTCCAGGCACACAGAGCCTGCTGCGGCACTTGGGCTTCACTTCAGCAGAGGAGAGGTTGTGCGTGGAAATATCCCCAGAGAAGAGTACACACCACCACACAGAGCTGCAATTGTAGACCATAGTCCATATCTACAACCACAGACGTTTCCCTATTGGAGCTAAACATGGGGCCCTGGAACACGATTGGATAATGGTTTAGGATGGTCTGCCTTGGCCAACTTGGTGGCCTCCACATCTTCCCGGAACAGCTGATTACTTTACTCTCAATTTTTACCCACATCACTTTTACTCAGCAACATTGAAAAATAAAATAAAATAAAATAATAAAAACAGTTGACATCTGAATGTTTCTCAGTCAGAGGCAAGACAACAGATGATCACATAATTCTCCAACACCTCATGGTTATTTTTTGTCTCTGTACTAATCAGTGCTACTCAGGGTTATTGGTTTTTCAGTCTTGCCTGTTGCCTCATATGTAGGCAGGGATTGAGTTGGCATCTCCAGGCTGCTCCCCCAACCATGCCTGCCTCATACCACCAGTCCCATCCATGCTTGCACCCGGTTTTGCTGGATGTAGTGACGTCTCATGGTCAGGACAGCCCCTAACTACCTCCCAACAGGAGGAATGTAGGAACCTGCCCATTCCAGTTATCTCAGTTTCCTCATATTTCCAAGCTTATAGCCAGTACGGCTTAGTGGTTGGAGTGTTCAACTAAGACCTGAAAGTTCATAATCCTCACTCAGCTATGAAGCTCACTGGTTGACATTGAGCCAGTCACTGTCTCTAAGTCTAACCTACCTTACAGGGTTGTTGCAGAGATTAAATGAGGAGGGGGAGAGCTACCTTGAGCTCCTTGGAGAAAACATTGGGGATGTAAACACAATAAATAAACAAATGAAAATTTCAGTTCTCCACTCTTCTGCTGCAATTGCACCCCCCCCCCCCGTTTTGTCGTTGTAGTTATTTTTAAAAGCCCTTATGTCAATTACCATTTTAGTGTGAATTTCTCCCGAGGAACAAAAGAGGATGTCTCCTAATGAAAAGCAGCTGCTCTGGTCTCTCTCCTCGAGACTGTTTTCCTGGATGGAGGGAAGATTCCATGGCAGTTGGAAGCCAAGACTCTTGGAAGCTGGGCGGCCATTTTGTTGTTAGGGTCATGACAAGACAGGAGTGCAAACAAAGAGGGTAGAGAGCATGGCTAGAATGGGAGATAGTTGAAGCCTTCTCTTTTCAGGCTCAATTGTGGTGAAGCCAAAAGCAAGAGTGTGTTGGGGGGGGGGGTTCTTTGTGCTTCTGCTCCTCCACTAACTGCAGCCCTGAGCCACAGGACATTTCCAGGATAACAAGAACCCTAGCAATATTAATGACAGCTTATACAGCATCTCTGCCCCACCTGGAAAGCAACATAATGGGTTATCAGAGAGGCCTTGTAAGTGCATTTGCCTGAACATATTCACAGCCTCTTTGCGATCAAGAAACCTGCCTTGCCAGGGAGTGGAATGGGCATTTCTGGTGTACACAGAGGCATTGGGTTGTGGGCTGTGGGCTGAAGACGCGAGATTGAAATTCTTGGGTTTAAAAAATAAAATTGCTTTCTATTTTAGAGCAGAGTTAAGAGCTTGGAAGCCGGATGTAGCCATCACCCTTTATGTTGTGTTTTATGTCTAATACACACACTGCTTTAAAAATATAAAATAAAACACACAGAGATCCCATTGGAAAAGGGGGAAGAAAGGTTCTTTACTCACAGCTTATTCTTACTTACAATGATGGCTTGGGATTCTAAACCTGCATGATGGCAGCTAGTTTCTCATGGCCGCTTCATGCAGGAGAGAGGAAGGGCCAGAGTTTGGTGTGAAACCACAAAGTGCATTTCCCCCCACTTGTTACTCTCAACCCCTTCCTCTGCTGACTAGAGGCATGTAAGGTTGCTTATAACCAGGGCTTTTTCCAGCTGGAACTTGCCATAACTCAGTTCCAGCACCTCTCAGGTGGGCACCACTGTCCTTATAACAAGGGAGGCATTTACGGTGAGTTCCAGCACCTCTTTTTCTAGAAAACCAGCACTAGTTATAACCCTGGTCACAGAGTGGGAGTGTGTTTTGAGGATGTGTTAGACTAGTAAGTTTGATGCGCATATGACCTGCCTACATGGAAAATATTTTTCAGCCTTTACTTTATGTGTGTGCAGTAGTGAGAAGGGGGAGAAATCCCTAAGGGGAAACAATCGATCATCTAAGATATTTGGAAGAGCAGGGGAAGAACCCTTCTAGATCCCTTTTGAAAGAAGCATGAAGAGAAAACCATGGAACAGGGAGTGGATTTGACATGGAAGCTGACACAACAGAAGAGGTAAGATTGCCAAGGCAGTGGGTTCCTGTTTACAGGTCACCTCAGTAAAGAAATGGCTGGAAGGGGCCTTGAATCTCACAGCACTTCTTGTGACAGCCCTTCATATATATATAATTTATTATTGAATTTATATACTGCCCTATACCCAGAGGTCTCAGGGTATCGTTTTTAAAGATGGCTATCATATCACTTCTCAGTCTTCTCAAGGCTAAGCATGTCCAAGTCCTTCAAACGTTCCTCATTGAAGGCCCTTCATCATCCTGGTCACCCTCCTCTGCACATGTCCCTCTCCATCACATATGTGGAGTGCTTTGAAGAACAAGTGCCAGTTACTATTCTGATGTTGAGCTTTCCTCTCCCTCCCTCTGCAGTTCTTCAAGCTCCGGCCTGGTTTCTACAAAAAACTACAGTATGGTGCCGGCTGTGTCAACTTCCTGGTGCTTATAATCATCACCATATCTCCCTACTGGCTGGAGTATTCTGCAGAGGCAAACAATTTTACTATGGGGGTTTGGACTTATTGCTTTCAGAAAAAATGTGGCCTCGTTTCTGCAAGGTCAGGTAAGAGACACGACTTGTGTTCACATCGCTTAGTGTCCTTGGCCAAATGAGTTACAATCGGGGATGTTGCAGTTATACAATCTGCCTAAATTATGCAATGTGGCAATCCAGTGGATTTCATGGCTAAGACAGGATTTGAATCCTGGTCTCCCAGATCCTAGTCCTACACCCTAACCACTACACCACACTGGCACCGGCCCTTTCTGAGCCAGGCTTCTTTCTAGAGGAGGGATCGCTGCTGACATTTTATAATATTTGCTAATATTAATATTTCAGGGACTGAACAACGTGAGCTCACCCCATCGTGGGGATTCAAACCTCTGACCTTCTGATCGGCAAGCCCTATGCTCTGTGGTTTAACCCACAGCGCCCCCCGCGTCCCCTCTTTACCCATAGGTCCGAGCAAAAAGAACCGTCTTTCTAGACAAAAGCCTGAACCGAATGAAAAACAAACAAATTCCTTGACTAGCCTGGCCAATGGCTGGTGTTCTTGTGGAACTGCAAATGCCCAGGTCAGGGCTATGGGGCTTTGTGGAGTTATCCCAGGAATGGCAAACCTTTGGCTTTCCAGATGTTGCTGAACAACAACTTCCATCATCGTGACGGGGAGTTGGGACACCACCAGCGGCTGGAGGACCAAAAATTCCCCCATCCTGACATAGTTGTTTCCACACTCCCCATTTTTAGCCTCACAAGGACCCTGTCAATGGGACAATGAGAGAGAGCACTGGCCCAAGGTCACTCAATGAGTTTTCATGACTGGGTGGAGACTGCAGCCCAGGTCATAGTCTGAAACTCTTTTCTCTCAGTAGAATGACTCATTATAGTAAGACAACTTTATATGTACTTGTTATTTTCTCTTTCCTTTAGTATATCTATTTGTTGTACGGGCCCTTTTCATAATAGCCATTGGCTGTGGTTTAACGGCCTTGATCACATCGTGGACTTCTTTTTCTCACTGTTTGAAAGAGAATACTGACAAAGCCATGATGTCGTTTGTGACTAACTTCATTGCAGGTATTATGTATATGCCATACACCTACGAAGGGTGGTAGAGTAACAGGATGCCTTTATATTACAGCTGTAGATTTTATTCATTATTGTTGCATTTGCATCCCACCTTTCCTCCAAAGAGCTCAGACCCTCCAAGTGTCCCTGTTCTCCAGGGACAGTCCCAGATTTACAGAAACCGTCTCGGTTTCTGATCTGATCCCAGAATGTCCCACATTTCCTTAGGACATCCTTATTTTCATTGCAGAAATGTTGGAGGGTATGGAGTTATGCAACCCCCCAAGCCAAGTAGACAAGTAACTCTACAACCTTTAGAAGACATCTGAAGGCAGCCCTGTATAGGGAAGATTTTTTAATATTTAACCTTTTATTATGTTTTTATATATATTGGAAGCCACCCAGAGTGACTGGGGCAACCCATTCAGATGAGTAGGGTATAAATAATAACATTATTGTTATTATGGAATAGGTTGTCCCTATTTTCATTGGAGAAATGTTGGAGGGTAGGGGAGCTCCTAGTTCTCAACTTTTGCATTTAATTATCACGGCAACCCTGTGAGGTAGTTTGGGCTGAGAGACAGTGACCTGATCCAAGGTCACCCAGCGGCCTTCATGGCTGAGGTAGGATTTGAACCCTTGCCTCTCAGGTCCTAGTCGAGCACTCTAATGACTACACCATATTGTGGGGGGCGGGAGGGGTGTGTGCGTGCACACACGTACAGTGAGTAAGTGTTTGAGCTTTAAAGACATTTTATTTAGGCTTGGCATTAAACAAAAACAAACCAAAAAATGCCCTGGAGAATCAGTGACGGTGCGGGGGGAAAGGAAAGGAAACCTTACAGTTGATAGAGGACGGTTGAGACCCAGTAACCAACAGGGTACTAGATGAATAATAGTCACCCATTAAAAACTTCCCTGAACAGGGCTGCCTTCAGATGTCTTCTAAATGTTAGGTAGTTGTTTATCTCTTTGACATCTGGTGGGAGGGCATTCCACAGTGTGGGCGCCACTACCGAGAAGGCCCTCTGCCTGGTTCCTTGTAGCTTGCTTCTTGCAATGAGGGAACCACCAGAAGTCTGCTTCTGTGCTCATTGCAAAAGAGCAGATCCCTCCAGTCTGAGCCAATTTTTGTTTTCAGGAATGGTGACCGAAGAACTCTCCCAATAATACTATCTTTTATTGGGGAGGAGGGGAGGTTTCTGGGAACAGAAAGGGGAGAGGTCAGGTGCCATTTCCCATTTTCTCCCTCCTGAAACTTCCCCTATATAATGCATGGAGGGGAATTTAAAGGCTTGTAATGCTCCCAGCATCCCCCAACCTGATGCCCCTCAGATGTGTTGGACTACGGATCCTATCATTATCTCCCTGACTACTGGCCATGCTGTCTGGGGCTGATGGGAGTTGTAGTCCAATGACATCTGGAGAGCCCTGGGTTGGGGAAGGCGGGGATAAGCTGTTAGGGGATCATGAAGAACACCACAACCCTAATACTCTCTTCTTTGCCTGCAGCAATCTGCATGCTGACTGCTCTAGTGATTATATACACAAAGCTCAGAACTTCAGTAGATGATGCTGTGCTCCTGTCGCCATGTCAGGATTTCTTCCTTGGTTGCTTTGTCTTTGTTCTGTTCTTCGCCTTAGGTAAATATACCCTGGCAGGCCAGGGGGTGTGGAGTCAGATGGTGAACTCAGTAGTCTGGCCCAACAATCTAAAGCAGAGCGATGTCTAATTTAAGCTAGAATCCAGAGCTGTGTAGTCGAGCAATGCCAGGTGGACAGGAATGTCAGGGCAAAATTCTGCAAGCTCCACATGCTAATGTGCACACAAAGTTAAATTGCCCTTAAACGAGGAGGGAGGGCAGAATATTTTCAAAGCATTTGTTGTGGCTTAAAAAAAGACCCATGCCAAAGGATCCCAAATAAATAAGCATTATCAGTGCAAGGGACAGGCTTTGGGATTTCTGCCTTTGGCATACACAGATAGTGTTTAGTCCACATCTGCACTGTACATTTAAAGCACTTGGGAGAAGCAGTTGTGACTTCTCCCAAAGAACCCTGGGAATTGTCGTTTGTTCAGGTTCCCGGGAGGAGGCCCCCTGTTCCCCTCACAGAGCTGCAATTCCCAGAATTCCCCGGGATGAAGGATTGGTTGTTAACCCACTCTGGGGAATTGTAGACAGGGATGATGGGGAGTGGTAGCTCAGCAACAGCTGGAGGGCAAAGGTTTTGCCACACCTGCTTTAAAGGAAGTAGGCAGGTGGTTAAAGGCCTCTACTTTTTCTGTTTCTTTTCTAGCTACAGTCAACCTATGGTGGTACATGCACTTGGTCTCAGCCCAGAAAAAGGCAGCCACCCAAATAACCCCAGCAGAAGAAGCACCATGACAACTGCAGAGCATATAAAGTTCCCTTGGTCCGTCACACCAGCAGATAGCAGGGTCTTGTAATGAGATATTTGCTGGGCCGTGCCCACCATAACAGGCATTCTGCTCTCTGAAACAAGCTCAACGGTCCTGGAGCCTGTTTGGACAATGCACAGTTTTGGAGAGGGAAGGGGCTCTAGGAGATGCCTGTTTCCACAAAGTCACTTCTGAAAAGCCGTCTTCTGGAACTGCCCTGCTTGAACTTCCCCAGGGGTGCGGCCTCTTCAGCGATATTTAACAACTAAGCATTTCTGCCAAACACAGAACACATCCCTTTCCGTGTCTAGGACAATTGCCCATGTCTCTCCACATTTTGGGGTATATTACTTGCAAAATTCACAATAAATAAATCAGATTTTTAAATATTTTTTTTAAAAAACCCTCTCTTGTCAAATGAATGGTGAGGGACTGGGGACCATCTGTTTGACCTGAAGATCTTGGACACTCTGAAGAGCTGGTGGTGTTTTGGACAAGACTTTTTTTTTTTAAAAAAAGGAATCCTTGCCTCCAATAGTATCTTTAATGTGGGGTTCATTGGTCATCTCACAGGCACTGATCAAGCACAGGCATTCTACTCTCTGGGGCAAATGTTGGGTCCTGGAGTCCAAATGGACAATAGACATTCATAATCTAAGCAGTCATGTCACCTCACCAGGACCCATTTGAGATGCGGAAGGGCGTTTGTGCAATACCAGTATGGTCCTACAGGAACGCTTGCATTATCCCAGCTGCAACTAGGTTATTTTCACATTCCCACTACTGAAAAGCAAAAGATCTTTCTTTTGCTCTGAAACAAAAGATCTTTCTTTCTTCTGTTTCCAAGATAATTCTTATGTCTCCATCTTAGTTCCACATAACACCTATAGCTATAGATAGAGATGAATGCATTTTTCTCAGTCATTCATGGGCATTTTTGCTGCCTGAGGCATTTTGCTGCCTGAGGCAAAGGGCAAGATGAGACGGGCCTCCTAATCCTACTGGGAAGACCCAGTTTTCTGAGTGCATGTTCTGGAAGTTGGGCAATAGGGGCAGTACAGGATTCCTTTTGGTGTACCGACCTCCCCGCTGCACCAAGGATTCCCTGTCCGAGCTGCTTCAGGTCGTGGCGGATGTTCTCCTGGAGACACCTAGTTTGGTTGTCCTAGGGGATTTTAACATCCACGCCAACCTTACAAGGGGCCACTCGGGACTTCGTGGAAAGCATGGCCTCCATGGGGCTGTCCCTGAATAAGTTGGGCCCAACTCATAGTCATGGACATGCCTTAGACCTGGTGTTCACCTCTAGTGACGTGGGTGATCTGACACTAAGTATAAGTGAAACCAAAGAAGTGCCATGGTCAGATCACTTCCTGGTGCAACTGGACTTCTCCGTGACCCTTCCCCTCTGCAGGGAGGTGGGACCAATTCAGATGGTCCGCCCCCGCCACTTAATGGATCCAAATGGTTTCCAGAGAGTGGTAGTGGATGCTTTATCCCATGTTGATGGCCTTTCAGCTGATTCCCTGGTGGCCCGCTGGAATGCGGAGTTAACCAGGGCTATCGACTGTCTGGCTCTGAAGTGCCCTCTCCGATTGCATGGAGCCCAGACAGCCCCGTGGTTTTCTTCGGAGCTGAGGGCGATGAAACAATCGCTGAGACAGCTAGAGCGTCGGTGGCAGAAAACTCACTCCGAATCTGACTGGACACAGGTTAGAGCTCAACGTCGAGCCTACCAAGTGGCGATAGCGACGGCGAAGAAGACTTTCTTCACCGCCTCTATTGCATCTGCAGAAAATAGTAGCAGGAGACTCTTTCAGATGGTCCGCAACGGAACCACCTTTACCACCGGGGCCTTGTAAAGACCCCAAGATCTCCTGCAACGATTTTGCAAAGTTTTTTGCAGATAAAATCACTCATATTCGGAAGGAGCTAGACACCACCGTGGGAGCAGGGCTGGGGTGGGAGAGTGCTAGAGCCCTGTCTGGTCAAGTTGCATGGAATCAATTTCAATCCGTTACCCCCGAGGATGTGGACAGGCTGCTTGGACAAGTGAAACCAACCACCTGTCATCTTGATCCTTGCCCATCCTGGCTAATAAAAGCAAGCCGGGAAGGGCTGGGCGATGGGCTCTGTGGGGTGGTGAATGCTTCCCTCTGTGAGGGAACATTCCCAGATCTGCTGAAAGAGGCGGTCATTAAACCGCTTCTTAAAAACCATCTTTAGACCCGGCCAGTATGGCCAACTATCGCCCAGTCTCAAATCTTCCATTCTTGGGCAAGGTGATTGAGCGTGTGGTTGCTGAACAACTCCAGGCACGCCTGGAGGATGCGGACCATTTGGATCCCTTCCAATCAGGGTTCAGGCCTCATCATGGGACTGAAACTGCCTTGGTCGCACTGGCTGATGATCTCCGGTGAGCTAGGGACAAAGGTGAGAGTTGTTTCCTAGTTCTGCTGGATCTCTCAGCGGCCTTTGATACAATCGACCATAACATCCTTCTGGACCGTCTAGAGGGGCTGGGAGCTGGGGGCACTGTTATACAGTGGTTTCGCTCCTTCCTCCTGGGCCGTGTTCAGAAAGTGGTGGTTGGGGATGAGTGTTCAGACCCTTGGGCCCTCACTTGTGGGGTGCCTCAGGGTTCCGTCCTCTCCCCATGCTTTTAACATCTATATGAAGCCGCTGGGAGAGATGATCAGGGGGTTTGGACTGGGTGTCCATCAATATGCCGATGATACCCAGCTCTACCTCTCTTTCAAATCAGAACCAGTGAAGGCGGTGAAGGTCCTGTGTGAGTGCCTGGAGGCGGTTGGAGGATGGATGGCGGCTAATGGATTGAAGTTGAATCCTGACAAGACAGAAGTACTGGGGCGGGCTGGTGTGGAGGACTCCCTGGTCCTGAATAGGGTAACTGTGCCCCTGAAGGACCAGGTGCATAGCCTGGGAGTCATTTTGGACTCACAGCTGTCCATGGAGGCGCAGGTCAATTCTGTATCCAGGGCAGCTGTCTACCAACTCCACCTGGTACGCAGGTTGAGACCCTACCTGCCCGCGGACTGTCTCGCCAGAGTGGTGCATGCTCTAGTTATCTCCCGCTTGGACTACTGCAATGCGCTCTACCTGGGGCTACCTTTGAAGGTGACTCGGAAACTACAGCTAATCCAGAATGCGGCAGCTAGACTGGTGACTGGGGGCGGCCGCCGAGACCACATAACACCGGTCTTGAAAGACCTACATTGGCTCCCAGTACGTTTCCGAGCACAATTCAAAGTGCTGGTGCTGACCTTTAAAGCCCTAAACGGCCTCGGCCCAGTATACCTGAAGGAGCGTCTCCACCCCCATCGTTCTGCCCGGACGCTGAGGTCCAGCGCCGAGGGCCTTCTGGCGGTTCCCTCATTGCGAGAAGCAAAGCTACAGGGAACCAGGCAGAGGGCCTTCTCAGTAGTGGCGCCCACCCTGTGGAACGCCCTCCCATCAGATGTCAAAATGATAAACAACTACCTGACATTCAGAAGACATCTTAAGGCAGCCCTGTTCAGGGAAGTTTTTAACGTGTGGTATTTTAGTGTTTTTGGTTTCTATGGAAGCCGCCCAGAGTGGCTGGGGAAACCCAGCCAGATGGGCGGGGTACAAATAAATTATTATTATTATTATTATTATTATTATTATGTACAAAAGTTGACTGACAGTTGACTCTTACATCAACACCGGCAACAGGGCAGTGTCTTCCATTGTACCCAAGGGTGCCAGGCAATTTTGAGTCAACATGACTGCTGAGGGATTTCTTTTCTGGAAACCATTATCATGGAGATTAGTGCTAAATTAGTGCTAAACATCTGCTAGATTCCACTAGATCTGGCTTTTATGTTGTGTGAAAGATCACTTAAAATGCAAAAATTAACAGATGATAAGGAAATATTGGGAAAAGGAAAAGAAGCGTCATTTGAGTGTAGCCTTTGGGTTGCACCTGATGCAATGCTAGTTTGGTCATCTTATTTTTTGCTGTCCATTTCATATACCGTATTTTTCACTCTATAGGACGCACCCGACCATAGGACGCACCTTGTTTTGGAGGGGGAGAACAAGGAAAAAAAATCTCCCCCACTCTGTGCAGCGACCCTTCAGTGAAGCGGCAGGAGAAATGGAGCCCCTTCCATTTCTCCTCCCGCTTAGCTGAAGGGGCACCTACCAGGCTTCAGCGCTTTGGAGGCTTCGCGTTGCTATCGCTGAAGCCAAGGAGCCTGCATTCGCTCCATAGGACGCACACACATTTCCCCTTAATTTTTGGAGGGAAAAAAGTGCGTCCTATAGAGCGAAAAATACGGTAGTTTAAAACCAATAGTTTTAAAGCCCACTCCACTTTTGTTGGAACTGTGCATACAAAATTCTGGCTGCAATGGTAGTATACATAAACAATATAACCAACTTTTTAAGGACCATACCTTTCTTTCAACAAGGGGTTCAGCTCTTTGGCTATGTCTGCAAGCCCTGCTTTTCAAGCAGCAATTCAGAGTGGTTTTCAAAAAATCCCAGTTGTTTCGCTGTAGCAGTGAATTTACGTGCCACATATCTGATGTAGTAGAATGTCAGTTGAAGGCAAGTGATTTGGAATTGGTAAAAGGGTGAAATTAGGCCAACTGCTAGGTTTAATTTTGCTCACAGGGTAAGGTTTCTAAGGCATGCACCAGGGATATCTGGCAGCCATATTAATCATACAGTGGGTTGGTTCTAAGCACAATGAGTTTAAATAACCATCATAGTAGAAACTCAGGCAAACCTTATGTTTTTAATTTCCCAGATTGGACGTTCACATGGAAACTGACATTCTAAGCTGTGCATCTGAAGACTTGTGTGCCTTTCAAGGAAAACTTTTAAAATATAAAATAATTATATCAAAAGAATACGAAGCCAAATGCTACGATCCTGAGAACTCCTCAAAGCAGAATGACCATGAAAGGTAGATAAGGGAAAGGGAAATTCTCCTCCTTTTGAATTCCACAGCAGAATATTGGAGCCTAGTGATGAGAGTAGATTCTTTGGCCTCCTGGGTTTTCTTTTTCACAGTTGGTGAAATTCATGATAAAAATAAACTGTTTTGGCACATCTGCATTAATATATTTGTATGTTTTATAGGTGTAGAATGTGTGGAGTGAAGAGAATGGGTGTTTGATAGTCAATTCAGTTCCATCCAAGTTTTGTTGTTGTTGTTGCAACCATCTTGGTCATTACAACCAAAAAGCAGATAAAAAATATTCTATGGATACTGCAGAATATGCATAGATGCACATTTAAAGTACAGTGATAACCAACTGATACATGTATACCTTAAAATACAGACCTGCCCATTAAGTTTGTATAGTACATTCCCAATCAGACTTTACAGTTCTCTTAGAATGGCAATGGTGCTCACCTGAGAGATGCCAAAACTGATTTATGGTGAGTTCCAGCTGAAAAAAGCCCTGATCCAGACATTGTTCTCCTGCAGGAGACACATCAGTGCAAGAACCAAAAAGCTGCCTATCTCAAAGGATGCTGGCTAGGCAAGCAACTACAAATTCCTGGTTCTGGGAAAACTTTGGGAGTTGCTATCCTGATAAGCAAGCACAGCCCTCTGAGTGTTGGGGGAAGTTTGGAAGTCCCAAAGGGGAGATACCTCTTTGTTTGTGGTGTCACAAGCAGCCATCCATTCACCATCACCTGTCTATATTCACCAAACTCAGCACAATAATGCTTTCTCTGGAAGATGCTCACAGAATTAGAACAATTTTTAAAGAAGACAAACTACAGTAGGTGGAAACTTGGAGTAGGTGGAGTAAGATGATGCAGAGGTACAGAGATGAAACCAAGGACCAAATTAGGCACCAATCTGTGAACAAAATCTGCAACCCAAATGTGGCAGAAATATTAACTGAATGGGACCTGGTGGACATGTGGCGGAAAGATGTAGGCGTTTACACAATCCATTGTCTCTTTCCCAAAGCAATCTCCAAAGAGGAACTGCAAGGTCAATTAAAAGGCATTCATACTACAGTGGTACCTCAGGTTACATACGCTTCAGGTTACATACACTTCAGGTTACAGACTCTGCTAACCCAGAAATATTACCTCAGGTTAAGAACTTTGCTTCAGGATGAGAACAGAACTCGTGCTCCAGCGGCACAGTGGCAGCGGGAGGCCCCATTAAGCTAAAGTGGTGCTTCAGGTTAAGAACAGTTTCAGGTTAAGAATAGACCTCCAGAACTAATTAAGTTCTTAACCCGAGGTACCACTGTATTATTATTATTACATTTATATGCCACCTTCATCTTCCAAGGATCTCAAGGTGGTGTACCTCCTTCTCTTCATTTCATCCTCACAGCAACCCTGTGAGGGAGGTTAGGCTGAGAGATGGTGACTGGCCCAAGGTCACCCAGTGAGCTTCATGACTGAGTGGAAATTCAAACCCTGCTCTCCGAGGTCCCAGTCCAGCACTCTAGCCATTATGCCACACTGGTTTTGGATTAAGTGGTATGAGGATTGTGACCCAAGGGTGCAGTCAGCATATACACAAGCACTGGGGGAAGCTACTCTGAACTCTGCCCGAGGTACCACTGTACCTGGTTTCAAGTCAGGCACATTCTTTTGCATACATACACTTGCATACATACACCTACATACACTTAACTTGTTTGAATCCTTATGCAGAAATCTAGCATATGACGTGAAGGGTGCCACCTCCCTAATACACAGCAATCTAGTAGATCATGAAGCGGGGAATGCTAGAGGCCTTGAAATTGTATGGGAATCAGAATTAGACCACATAACTGAATAGCACAAATGGGAGGGTACCTGGACCCTCCCCTCCTTAAATGATCTCTGCTCACTTACAGGAAACCACACTCAAGGTCATCTTCCACTGGCAGTGGATGCCAGTCTGGTTGGCAAAAGTTAAACCCTCCCTTTCCCCTTCATGTTCAAACAGCTGCGGAAAACTTGGTTCATTTATCCATATGGGGTGGTCATGCCCCCATGTTAAAAACCTTTGGAAGAGAGTGTTCTCCATTTTATCTGCAAGTAAAAGCCAACCAATCCCTCCAAATTCTGTTTTAGACATATGCATAAGGATGGCACTGAAGATGGGATTTGAAGGAGGCATAAACGACAAGCTTGGTTCAATTCAGTACAGTCTCACCAAACAGATCAGATGACTCAAAGTATCCTGTCTCCTTCAAAACAATCTGATGCAATTGGAACAAGGAGAAACAACGTTCCACATAATGTTCCACAATGTTCCACATAATAGTGATTTTAATAGGTCTCAGTAATAACTTTGGCTCCATTGTCCAATATTCAGTGCATACCATGGTGTTCCTATCCCTGTCCAATTCCCTCGAGCTCTATCTAGCTTGGCTACTTAAGCAGGCACCCGTGCCATACCTTGAGTCTTTAGCTGTTCTTTGATTTGGGTCATGGAAGTTTTTTATTGTGTGGGGTTTTTTTTAATGCTTCTGTGAACCAAATTAGAGCTCACACCAAGTTATAGGAAAGGCAGCAATGGTATTTCATAGCCAGTATATTGCTTTGTCCACCAAGGACCCTGTAACTTCATATAGTCCCTTGGACATTCAAGTAATACATAAATGGCATAGAGTTGCAGGGCAATGGTCCATATTGCTTCTGAAAAGAACCAATGTGTCGCAGAGCTTTTAGTTAGAGGGAGCCATGCTTGTGGCAGGGCTGTCCAAAAATAGAACTTTTGGGGTGGGTGGAAATACATTCAGAAATGTATTCTGTTGTGTATATAAGGTTGTATGGGAACAATCAACCCCCATCAATTTGTTAGTTTTACAAAAGGTCTTGAAGGGTTATCCAGACCCAAATGATATTACTTACAATTTGAAAGGTTTTAGGATCCTGTGTCATATATACACATATTAGTCTGAGAGTTTTTCAGTTTAGCCAAAGCTTGAAATCAGTGAAACAGATGGAGGTCATTATTTTAAAAAGATTGCTAAGGAAGTTGGTACGGGTAGAGAACTAGGTCCATTCCTCACTCCTTGCATGCCTTCCCCCTGGTCAAATCCCTGCTATTTTTGGTCCTGAAAACAGTATAGAGCAAATTTATATTCATGCATCTTTGATCCTTCCCAAAATGTGGTTCAGTCAAGATGTGCACCTGTGCTTATTGCACTGTGTGTCCTTTGACAGTGCAGTGGGGTTGCTGCCCAGGTGTGGCATACGAACCCAGATGGGCAAGGTTGTTGTAGAACAATCTAAGGGCCATATTTCCACTTTTAGTTGGAGTACTATTAAGTGGCTAAATTTTGGGAAATAGTCTTTTAGCAAAATAATTCAGTTACTCTGCAGGATTTCTTGCTATTACTTTCTCTAGCACTGAGAACAGTCAGGAGCACTCACTGTATTCTGCTCAGCATCTACTAAAAACATTCTTGTTTAGACAAGCCTACTGAGATGCTTAGAAGGTTTTTGCAATTTTAATCTGTTTAAGTATTTTAACCCTTGTATATTCTGATTTTTCTCAAATTTAAATTTAAAATTTGAAGGATAAATCTGAAATATATTTGACATACTTGCATGTGGGGCTTTCATGTTTTCTATAGACTTACTGTTCCATCTCCATCCAATATACCATTAAGTTCATAACTATCTCACAAAAACTCCTGCATCGACTTCTATCATGTTAATGCAGTGACAACTCTGAAATGCTCCTACTGTCATCGTAATGCAACCCCATGTGAAGGCGATACACCTGAGGCCTGCAGTTCCACCCTCCCCTGTGCAGTGAGTACTGTGTGGCGCAATAGAATGAACTTACACAGACAATGATGTGGATTAAAAATAGTGTAGGTGGAATTTGGGCTCAGGCATTGGCTGTATATCCATTTCAGTGCATCCATGTAATATAAAACTAACATGAGTTACGAGTAAATTGAAAAAGAATTATATAGAAAAAGAATTCTGAGAAGTGTCTGGCAACAGCTAATGGAACTCAAAGATGAATAAATCAGCCAATTTTGGCACAGAGCTTTGAATTTCTTGGCAAACACACAGTATCCACTCCCAGACCTCACTGAACCATTTATTCCCAAGAGTTGCCCACATCATGTCTATAGCCTTTAAATATCTCCATGTAAGACTCTACCAGCATCAGTTCTCTGCCTTGGTACATCTCTGCTCTGAGTCGCCAAATCTTTCAAGAATGGAGAAAGCACTTCTGAGCACCTGCCTCCTCTTGGCCCTGCTTTCTCCAGGTAAGTAGAAACAAGCAGAATTGGATTCTTTTAATCATCTTTCAATGGCACTGAAAATATTTACTCCTGGGGATGGAAGGAGAGTGAGTAAAATATATGAGCATAATGGAGTGTAAGGACACCTGTGTTACAAGGAAAGTAGGAGAGAGTCAACTCAAAGGTTTAAGCACTTAAGCCATAACAGCCAAATATAGTCTGTTCCAAACATGTATTTATGTGATGGAGGAATCTGACTAACCATAATATGGCTGCCCTGTTTAGGGAAGCTTTTAATGTTTGATGCATTACTGTATTTTAATATTGTGTTGGAAGCCGCCCAGAGTGGCTGGGGAAACCCAGCCAAATGGGCAGGGTATGTATGTATGTATGTATATATATATATATATATATATATATATATATATATATATAAATAAATTATTATTATTATTATTATTATTATTATATAAGTATATAAGGTCAATGCAGAGGTCAGGTCTGGAAAAGAGTAGTAATCTGAACTGAGTGCAAGCAGCTCTTGCGTTATTGGTTGGCCGCCTGGATACTGTACAAATAAGAACTGTTGATATTACTGATGGGAAAGGGTTTAGCTTCAAAAAATGTTTTATTCAATACCACAGAGCATTTTAGTAAGCACTTTGCTACCAAATATCTTTAGGACACGTTCATTCAGCTGCCCTCCCTTATTGTGATAGAACTTCATCAATTCCACTATGGTTTTCTGTGTTTGAATTTCATTGTGTCCATTTGACACTTCCAAGATGGGTTTAACCAAACAGGATACATAGGGATTTCATGAGTAAGTTTGTTCTATAGCTTGCTGATCTAAACTCCATTTATACCTAGGACTGCTTTTGCCAAAACTCTTGTTGTTGTTGTTGTTGAGCTGTTTAGTCGTGTCCAACTCTTCATGACCCCATGAACCAGAGCACGCCAGGCACTCCTGTCTTCCACTGCCTCCCGCAGTTTGGTCAAACTCATGCTGGTAGCTTGGAGAACACTGTCTAACCATCTCGTCCTCTGTCGTCCCCTTCTCCTTGTGCCCTCAATCTTTCCCAACATCAGGGTCTTTTCCAGGGAGTCTTCTCTTCTCATGAGGTGGCCAAAGTATTGGAGCCTCAGCTTCAGGATCTGTCCTTCCAGTGAGCACTCAGGGCTGATTTCCTTAAGAATGGAGAGGTTTGATGTTCTTGCAGTCCATGCCATGGCGAAGGGACTTGAATAACTCAGAGAAGCTATGAGCTATGCCGTGCAAGGCCACCCAAGATGGACAGGTCATAGTGGAGAGTTTTGACCAAACGTGATCCACCTGGAGCAGGATCCGGCAAGCCACTCCAGTATCCCTGCCAAGAAAACTCCATGGACAAAGACAACAGCCAAAATCTTAATCTTGCTTAATCTTTCTCTTAGAGTAATTTATAGATAGGTTTTCTTATTGACAGTATGTACTGAACACCTCCAAATAATTTTTGAGGCCCCATTGTGAAAGAGAGAAGAGCACAAAATTTACTTATTTATTTATTACTTATTAATTTGTATACCGCCCTTCATTCAAAAATCACAGGGCAGTTCACTACATAAAACAATCAACACGCATCAAGATTCTGTTCCTAATTACTGGGATGGGAATGTTGCATTGGCACCCAGTCATTACTATCAAAGTGACAGCCTTCCAGTTTAAAACATATTTACCCGCTTGTCTGCCACCTCCTTAGGAAGAAGGACACCTTCTCCCACTTTAAAGTATTTTGGCTTGTTTGTAAAACAGCACTAGGGTGATCAACATGCATTTGCCTTCATAAATTTAATGTATAAATCTGAAATATATTTGATATACCATATTTTTCGCCCTATAGGGCTCACTGGCCCATAGGGCGCACCTAGTTTTCGGGGGGCGGGAATCAAGGAAAAAAATATGATTCCCCCCCCCCCCCCGCAGCTCTGGGAGCAGCTTACAGGCCGCACGCAGCCTGTGCGCTACTCCAAGACCTTCTCCCTGCTTTTGCAGGAGGTGGCGGAATTCCCGCATCTCCCGCAAAAGCCCACAGGAGGGAGAAGGGACTGACTCGGCCAGTCAGTCCCTTCTCCCTCCTTGGGAAAAAGTCCCCAAGTGCGGCATGCTCTTTAAAGGCTGCGCGGATCCTGCGGGCTTTTCGACCCAGCTTGTGGGGCTGGCGCTGGGGGGAAGCGCTGCTTTCCCCCACCGACAGCCTCCAAACCAGGTCAGAGAGTAGCGGGAAGGCATCACATGCCTTCCCGCTGCCCCCCCGATACTCTGGGGCTGGCACTTCCCCCACCGACAGCCGCAAAGAGCAGACTCTCCTGGCTTCAGCGAAAGCAACGCGAAGCCTCCAGAGCGCAGGCTTCGGAGGCTTCATATTGCTATCGCTGAAGCCAAGGAGCCTGCACTCGCCCCATAGGACGCACACACATTTCCCTTTCATTTTTGGAGGGGAAAAAGTGCGTCCTATAGGGCGAAAAATACGGTACTTGCATGTGGGGTTCTCATGTTTTATATCGACTTACTTTCCATCTCCATCCAATGTACCATTAAGCTCATTACCATCTCAGGAAATCTGCACCAACCTCTATCTCCTTTATACAGTGACATCTCTGGAATGTTCCGACTGTCATAGTAGGGCAACTTCATGCGAAAACGATGGATCTACGATCTGTTACTCTAATAAAATCTGTGTTTCTGGTGTTCTGGATAACAATATAGGTGAGCTGAAACTTTTCAATTACTCTTGTTCACCCCATGTTCATGTGTAAATTAATATAATTTTTTAAATTATAACTTGCATTTAAATACCAGCTTTTTTCTAAAGAGCACAATGTGCTGTACATGGTTTTTGGTACCAGTCGCAGTGCCACCCTCCTCTGTGTGAGGTGTGATTTAATGAACTCACACAGAAAATGATCTAGATTAAAAATGGCCGCAACTTTATTGATTACAGGTGTAGGTAGAATTTTGGCTCAGGCATTGGTTGTAAATCCATTCCAATCTCCTGCTGGAGGGCTGAAATCGCTTCAGGGTCATGTCATGAAATATGGCCTCTCACAAGGCGTCAGTCTACCCAGATTGAATTGACTTGCTGGGAATTGCTGGGACTTCCATCGAGACCCTTCTAATGGGGTACCCTGATTATGCTGCTGGTTCAGGGCAGTGTGATTAGGTTCATCTATTGATTCAGGAACTTTGCATTATGTAGTTTCACATTGAAGAGTAAACAATTTAGTTAATGGGAAGCATCATTAAAAATAAATACATTTCGAGGGAATTAATCAGAATTCTCACAGATCTTGTGATTTGTTTCCTTTTGTTCTTTGCAGAATCAAAGTATAAAGTGGCAACTTTCCAGGGATGTAGTAAGTCCGAACGTTGCCACTCAGGTGATTACAGTTTAACTTCAGCCAATGGTAAATACCTCCAGATGAAGGTCTTCTGCTGCGGAACAGAAGATTGTAATAAGGAACCTCTCTATGGTGAGTATCTGCATCTCTGTAAGTTGGCTTATTAACACGTCATATAACTTCCATCCAGTTACAGGCAAAGGAGAGCATCTTTGTCTTTCAGTCCATTCAGACACTAGGTGCAAGGGTCTGATAAGTATCTACAACTGATCCTTGAATCATTCAAGTTACAAGAAAGGAGATTCCAATTAAACTTCAGGTAAAACTTTCTGACATTAAGAGCTGCTTTACAGTGGAATGGTCTCAATCAGGACAGTGTGGAATCACCTTATTGGAGGTTTTGAAGCAGATTGGATGGCCATCTGTTCTGGATGCTTTAGCTGGGTATCCTGCATTACAGGGGGTGGACTAGATGACCCTTAGGGTCCCTTCCAGCTCAACAGTTCCATGATTCTACGATGAATCTGGAATGGATGAAGTAGATGATCAGTCAAACTTCACACATGTAAGGGCTGGGGCTGGAGGCATGGATGTGGAAATTCTGGGCATAGCTCTACCAAATTTGGGTTCTGGGTCTGCCGACTACTTGCTTGCACCCATAGACAGAGATGAGATTACTTCTAAGAGAATGCAGCTGACTGTAGCTTCAAATAGCTTGCTAGATCACCATATACAGTGGTACCTTGGTTTAAGAACTTAATTCATTCTGGAGGTCCGTTCTTAAGCTGAGGTACCACTTTAGTGAATGGGGCCTCCCACTGCCGTCACGCCTCTGGAGCACGATTTCTGTTCTCATCCTGAAGCAAAGTTCTTAACCCGAGGTACTATTTCTGGGTTAGCGGAGTCTGTAACCTGAGGTGTCTGGAACCTAAAGCGTCTGTAACCCGAGGTACCACTGTACAAAGTAAGAACTCCAGAAAAAAGAATGAAAATGAGCATACCTGACAAAAGGTGTAACACAAAATCATTATTTATGGACGCTCAGCAGATGTTACTATTCTGCAAAGCTGATGGCAAATATAGAGTACAATATGGAGATAGCACTTCCAGCTTTGGTTAGAAGTTACTAGAAACCATGAAATAAATGAAATAAAGTTAACAACAAAGAGAAGGGGGGATGAAGTGCATCCATATACTGACTGTAGGTTTTTACTTTGATAGTTCCACCTCGTGAGGATCTTTCCCCCAATGGTTTAGAGTGCCCAGCCTGCTTTGACCTCACCTATTTGTGATTTAATTTCAATTGCGAAAGTAAGGGGACTGTCAGCTGCCTTGGCAATGAGACCAAGTGCATTGACTATACTTCCCTGGCTTCATGTGAGTATTATTTCCAATCAGCCAAGAAAATCTGCTCCTCTGTCTCTTTGTCACTGCCAAAAAAGCAATGACTAATCTTTGTTTGCTTTTTATATGTGTTATGTGTATATAGCTTTGATTTCTTTCTCTGAGGAAAAGGAGGATGCTCTAGTCCTGTTTTGTGTTCCAATCTACCCCCGCTAAAATTATGTAAGAACTAGAGGGGACAGACTCACTCATGGGCAGGGTTTTGCATTGTGTGGGGTGTTTACGAAGGTACAGTAGGCTCCTCAAGGGATACAAGGGAGGGTGTAGGACCAGATAGCACTGTCCTGCCTTGCATTTCTGAAGTACAGAAAGCATTGGTTTAATGTGTAGAAATCATTTATAGTCTGGCTTCTAGTAGAAGGTTTTGGTAATTTCTACGTATTTCTAATACAAGCTAGTGCAAGCTTGGATTTTCCAGCTGACAAGTAAGTTTCTATTCTGTTTTGGGTTCCAATCTACACCTGTTATAATTAGGTAAGAACTAGAGGGGACAGACTCACTCAGGGACAGGGTTTTGCATTGTGCGGGGAACATAAACAAGTACAACAGGCTCCTTACAGCACACCCTTTCCCTCTAATGCACAAGGGGCATCAGGGCAGAGGGATACAAGGGAAGGTGCAGAACCAGCCGGCACATGACTGCTCCTCCGCACAGCAGTATGAACCATTGAGTGCTGGTCCAGGAGGACTGTGTCTTACCACACACCTTGGCCAAAAGTTTTTTTAAAAGGAGGCTGGGAGAAAGAAACATTCTGCCAGTGCACAACTATTCATTTTTCCTCAGAAATTAGTTGCTTTGAGTTCTTGGATCCTGATGCCAGCACAGCTTCCTGTTGGTGCCGCTCAGCTGATTTGCATTGACAGCAACAAGGAGTTCAGCCTATTGACTGTGACTGCAAGCCCTGCTTCTCAAGCAGCAATTCAGAGTGGCTTTCAAGGCTCCCGGTTGTTCTGCAGCAGCAGCAGATCTACCTGACACATATCATATGTGATGTGTTGTTGGTGTAAGGCAATTGGGTATAGCTTTGGTAAAAGCGACAAATTTAGCCACCTGCTGGGCTTCATTGGCTAACAGGTTAAGGTTCCTAAGGCATGCACTAGTGATAGTTTGCTGACAGATTAATCATACCATGTGTTGGTTCCAAACACATTAAGCTTTTATAATCATGTTCTTCCCTATCCCCAAGGACCTAATAAAGAACTCATGCAAATCTTATGCTTTTTATTTCCCAGATTCAGTAATTAAGAAATTGAAACTCAAAGGCTGTGCAACTGAAGACGTCTGTGCCCTTAATGGAAAAAAGATTACACTTGGCCGTTTTAATTTGGATAAGATTGTAACCCAATGCTCTGATGCCACAAAGCAGATTGAGCTCGAAGGGTAGGTAGGAGAGAGGAAAGATCTCCTCCTTGTCAATTCACCGTTCATGGTACCAGCAGAATATATTAACAGCTTATGGTGAGAGGAGGGGCTCACGCCTCCTGGGTTTTCTTTTTCACTATAGGTGGAATTCATGATCAAAATAAACTCTTCTGACACATAGAATCTGTATTCTGTATCTGTCTGTTTTGTATATGCAGAATGTGTGGAATGATGAGAAAGGGTATTTGACGGGAAGTGTGAGAACTGACATAGTATTTTGTTCAAACCTACTTCCTTATAGGGACACGGATGATGCTGTGGCCTAAACCACTGCGCCTAGGGGTTGCCGATTGGAAGGTCGGCGGTTCGAATCCCTGCGAGGGGGTGAGCTCCCATTGCTTGGTCCCAGCTCCTGCCAACCTAGCAGTTCGAAAGCACATCAAAGTCCAAGTATATAAATAGGTACCACTCTGGCGGGAAGGTAAACAGTGTTTCCATGCACTGCTCTGGTTTCACCAGAAGCGGTTTAGTCATGCTGGCCACATGACCCGGAGAAACTGTCTGTGGAGAAACGTCGGCTCCCTTGACCAGTAAAGCGAGATGAGCGGCGCAACCCCAGAGTCGTTGGCGACACTTCCTTCTACTGCTAAATTTACATGGTAGCATGAACACACACAAACCCAAATGCAAGTGCCTCTGTCCTAATCAGCCAGATCTGTCTTCCATTCTCAGCATGTACTCTCATTATTTACCCCTTGTCGATGCTAACTAGGGCTGCAGTGCTCATCAGAATCATATGAAGCCTAAACCAATGTCTGTGCCAGAGGGGTGCAATTAAGGCCTGGCTGTCACAAATAGGTATTAAATGCCCCCCCTCCATTGCACTAAATTGTGGAATCCACAAGGCAGGAGGTTATTCTACATCCTATTCTCAAAATAACAGTGGCAGCCAGGGTAGAAGCAAGGGGACTACGTTCTCTCTTCCATACATTTCGGAAACTAAAGACTTTATGATCAGTTAGACGAGGACAAAGTAAAATAAAGCCAATGATTAATATTTCCATTCTCAACATGTACTCTCATTATTAACCCCTGTTGATGCTGACTAGGGCTGCAGTGCACATCAGAGTCATATGAAGCCCAAATGTGTGTGTGTGTGTGTGTGTGTGTGTGTGTGTGTGTTGATATTGGCATTCAAAGAAGAAGAAGAAAGGTCCCATCTTACTTTTCTGGCAACATAAAAGAGGGAGGGAGAGACAGAAAGAGGTGGGCGTGCTTTTGCCATGGAATTTGCAGGATTTGTTTCCTGGCTCAGTAAAAATCTTACTTCTTAACATACAAGCTTCAAATATCAACACACTGATTTTCATTCCCATGGCAGTCAATGATCTCATCACTCAGACAATTTTTGTCTTTGTAAGTGAAGCAGGCTGGGCACTGCAAACCATTCGGGGTAAGAGCGTTGTGATCTGGAAGCGCCAAAATCAAACTTACACTTGGCATATATTATTGTTTGATCTGTCTTTCTATTTGCATGTTATATGGTTGTCATGCTTCCAAGGGCATTTTGGTTTTGTAGGGGCAGCTGCAAGCATTCTTAAATGAGAAGAATGTTCTAAACTCATTCCAACATGGGTTCACATGTGGTTATGGGACAGGTGCACCCTTGGTCATCAGAATGTAGGACATTTACCAGAAGTGAGGCAGGAGGAGTGTGACTGACATATTTCCACTGTTAGTTGGAGTACCATTAAATGGCTGAATTTTGGGAAATAGTCTTTCAGTAAATTAATTCAGTTGCTACGCAGGATCTCTTGCCAGTACCTTCTCTAGCACTGAGAACAGTCAGGGGCACTCACTGTACTCTAAAAACATGCTTGTTTAGACAAGCCTACTCAGATGCTTAGAAAGTTATTGCCATTTTAATCTGTTTTAGTATTTTAACTCTTGCATATTCTGATTTTTTTTCTCATATTGATCTGGTTGTAACTGCTTCCTCTTCTTCTTCTTTTACAATCAAGCCGTGTATAAATATTAGGAAATAATGTATAAATAAAAGAGCATTGCTGGGTAGCTGGGATGCAGAAAGGGAAAACTGAGCAGATAAAGGGTTGGTTTTTCTTAGCTTGACCTTAGAAAAAAACATTACTACAATTTTGGGAGGAATAAATAAAGAAGCTCCGTTTGACTACCGTAGTATTTGAATGTTGTTGTTATTAAATACGTATATACAATTTGTTGCACCTCGAGGTCCCCCAGGCCACCCCAATAACTCACACTTCACACATTTTTTTTTTTGTTTAAGGTTTTTGGCATGAATTTGGCCACAACTTTATTTAAATACACACACGTGAGTGGTTGCTTAGGCATTGGTTACGACTATCTGTCCTTGCCCCAGGGACAGAACTGACTTCCGGATTCTAGCGGAAGCCAGTCAGGGGGGACAGAACTGACTTCCGGATTCCAGCGGAAACCAGTGAGGGAAACAATTTGGGGGAGAAAATGAAGCTGGACCTCAGTTCCTCACTTCTCACCCTCATGCTCCTGGTGGCTTGCACGGCCCAAGTCTGATGCCAGGGACAAGGACGAAAAGAATGGCAAGCCCCTGGATTCCTTTAACAGAATTCCCTTTCCGCATCACCATTGGAGGGGTAGGCACTTACCCCTCCACCAACCAATTTGAACCAATGCCTAACTGCCAACCTTACAAGTTGTGATGATTTGCTACGCAGTAGGCAAAAACCAAATGGCAACAGCCAATCAGCCAAATGGACAAAATTCCTACCAGGCCTCTGCCCCAAGGCAGACAACCCCATGACAGGCATAGCAAGGTCAGAGGACAATGACCCCCCCACTTTTCAGGGAGGGTGGGCGGGTGATCCGGTGCACACAGCCCAAGAGAAGGCCCCAGGCTGCGAGCCCTGTATTTAAGACCTCTGACCCCTCCCACACTTTAGCAACATAACATTCTCCCCAGCAACACTCCTTGCCCAATCACAGCATGTGGCCAATTTGCCCAACAACAGTGGGGTGGCCCTTCTGGCCCCCACCGCAACACGTGCTCTCTATTATGGAGAACACGCTTAATCAGATAATATATTTTTCAGAAACACAGAGTAATTTTGACAGATAGTACATGTCTTCCATATCTAACGTGGCATCAGGACCACATGAGCCTCAAGGCAATAGCTAGGAACAACTGCTTCAAATGGAGATGTGAGTTTCTCAGAAACCTCACATTTAACATGAGAATTCAAAGTTCATTCATGTTCTGCATTCCCAATGCTTTCCTTACTGTCAGAACGGCCATTCAGTATGTCAGTGCAAGTATAAGGAAAGAAACAACTGGTGCATTCTTTGACATTTTATGGCCATTTACTTCATATCCTAGCTAAAAGCATCTAAGCAATGTGTTATCAGTAGAATGACAACAAATCTGGATGTCGTCACCTTCTTGATTCTTTAGTTCAAGATGACCACACTCTGGATGGATGCTTCCATACAACGCTGATGAAATAACGTAGGATAATTTTGCAGCAAATCTAAAAGAAGAAGAAATGTTAGGAAAATATGAATACTTATGTGGTAGCTGGAGAGATTGCAGAAAAGGTGGCATACTTCAATTGTGTGCAGCTGTTTAGTGATTGTTATACGTTTATGAAAACCAATAAAATATACACTTAAAAAATGGCCCAGGTACCAGAGAATAAGGAAGGTTTCCAGACGATAGAGAAATAGAATACATTTAGATGAGGTTGTTATGTGTAAAGAACAAGCTTAGTTCAATTGAAGACAACGTGGCTGAAGGCAAGCATATCAGATGACCCTATGTATCTTCACTCTTTCCCAGCAATGTGGTGCAATTGGAACAAGGAGGAATGAAACTGCAGAACCTGATTTCCTCAGCTCTTGGTAATCCCTTTCGAATCATTGCACAATATTCACTGAATATCACTTTGTCCCTGGGACCTGTCAATAACCCTGAACAATGTCTAGCTTTGCCACCTCAGCAGTGCTTTTCTCTGGGGCCTGGAAGATGATAAAAATATATATGCTCTTTTGAACCAAGTTAGACACCACATAAAACAAAAGCAAAGACAAAGGCAATGGCTCATGTTAAATATACCCTGTTTTCCAATAAAAACCCATGATCCTTAAAAAAGAGAGTATCAATATTCAGTAGCCCTGCTGCATGAAAACAATAATGTCTCGAAGGAGCACATTGTATGTTTCTATATCCATCACATTAGGAGAATGGAAATGAGGCAAGACAAAAAAAGGGGGGGGGGATTTCAGTAGGGCATCTTTATAAATGATAATTTAAGAACCATGAATCGCACAGGGGAAAACAAATCATATGTGGAAAATGTACTCTAAGATTTTTAATCCTGATGTGACTGCAAAAGCCTGCCTTCCGAGGAGTAATGTAGGCCTTAAGTTGGCCTTATATCTACCTCCTGGAGGAACTGCATACCAAAATAAATTTAATAAAGAAACTACAGGCAGTTGAAGATTTTATACAGCACTGCTAGGGAAGCATTTCCCCAGACCCCCAGGCTTGTAAGGCAGCCACAAACTGTGGCTCCCAACAATGGAAGTAGAAGAACCAACTCCCTCCTTCCTGGGAGAGATTGGCTGTAAACCCAACAAAGGCACCTTGGTCCCACTGTCCAGCGTTCACCTGAAATACGCTTGTGAGATCTAAAGTGTGGGTTTTGAAGCAGCTGTAACCCATTAGCAACCACTTTGCTCATGCAACCACTTTGCCCTTGAACACATCCCTGGCAGATTCTACCCACTGTGTATAGAATATCTCAACTATCTCTAAATTCCAAACTGTGGCATTCAAACAAACATATTGATTGATCTTCTAATTTCATTTTCAATCCTTTCCCACACATGCTTAGGTCGTGGGTCTTCGCCTTAAAACATTTATCAATATCTCTACATTCCAACCATGGAAGTTTGCTCTGTGGGGTGGGGTTCTGGTCGGGGCTGTCTTAAGCATATGCGGTGCCAGGGTGCAAAGATCCACCCAGCGCCCCTCCCCAGGTTGCCCAAACCCAGGCGTGCAGGTATCATAAAACTAAACAAAAAATCAAGTTACTAGTCAGCAAATTCTGTTCCTGTTTGTCATCCTGGAATTCACTGATTTGGCAGCTGGTAGCAAGAGTTATGGTTATGATCCATCAACAAACTCTCGGGCCCCAGACTCTTGGCCTGGCACCCCTGAGAGCCCGGCGCCTGGGTGTTCAGCACCCCTAGCACCTATGGGTAAGACGGCCCTGGTTCTGGTAGGCTGTCTCATTGTGCAACACTGTGTTTTAGCAACATCAGTTAGGCTTTGGACATCTTAATAGCAGTGGTAGTAGTTCACAGGTGTGTAACAAATGAGGGCTGGCAGGCTCTGGAGAACATTGGTGTGGGTCTTAGCATTGTGGGACGAGACTAAACCTATTCAGGCTATTCAAGCATTGATTTTTTTGTTTCTTTTTTTTCAGCAGAAGAATGAAAATACCAGATTGGATGTTCTATTTTGGTGGTGGGCATAGTCAGAAAGCTTCGGGTTGGATGGCCACCTGATTTAATTGAGAATGCGACATTGCAGCGGGTTTGACAAGATGACCTCCAGGGTCCCTTTACACATAAGCCACTTTACTTTTAACCTCAACATTAAAGGTAAAGGTAAAGGTACCCCTGCCCGTACGGGCCAGTCTTGACAGACTCTAGGGTTGTGCGTTCATCTCACTCTATAGGCCGGGAGCCAGCGCTGTCCGCAGACACTTCCGGGTCACGTGGCCAGCGTGACAAGCTGCATCTGGCGAGCCAGCACAGCACACGGAACGCCGTTTACCTTCCCGCTGGTAAGCGGTCCCTATTTATCTACTTGCACCCGGGGGTGCTTTCGAACTGCTAGGTTGGCAGGCGCTGGGACCGAACGATGGGAGCGCACCCCGCCACGGGGATTCGAACCGCCGACCATGCGATCGGCAAGTCCTAGGCGCTGAGGTTTTACCCACAGCGCCACCCGCGTCCCTGTTAACCTCAACATTACTTCCCTATAACCCAGATGAATGCTTCATTGAATGCTCATCCCACTTCTGGGCTGCATTAATGGCCTTTAGGTCATTTTCAGCTGGACCAACAGTGTCTCCCTCAACTGCCCTTTGTACATTGCCTGGTGCCTTAAACATAACTAGTAGAGAGTGGTTGACGGTATGACCTGGTTTGTGGAGACAGATGGCTCCATGCTCTGTGAGTTCTTGGTTCTCTCTTTAGCACTGAGATGAGTCAGGGGCACTCACTGTACTCTGCTCAGCACCTGCTAAAAACATTCCTGTTTAGACAAGTCTATTTAGATGCTTAGAAACTTGTTGCAATTTTAATCTGTTTTAGCATTTTAACTCTTGCATATTCTGATGTTTTCTCATATTTATCTGCTTGTAACTGCTGCTTCTTTTTTTTATAATCAAGCCGTGTATAAATCTTTGGAAATAAATAATGTATAAATAAAAGAGCATTGCTGCGTATCTGGGATGAAGAAAGGGGAAAACGGAGCAGATAAAGGGCTTGTTTGGTTTTTCTTAGCTTGACCTTAGAAAAAACATTACTACAAATTTTGTGGGAGTAGGTAAAGAAGCTCAGTTTAACTATGCTAGTATCTGGGCAGCTGACAATGTTTTCTTTTCTTTTTTCCAAACTTATAATCAACATTTCCCTTCATAAGTGTAAGAGAAATAGAGAAATAGAGAAATATAACATGTATAGATGAGGTTGTTACTGAAGATGGGTAGCGAAGCAGGTGTAAAGAACAAGCTTGGTTCAATTCAAGACAACATGGTTAAAGGCAAGCAAATCAGATAACTCAAAGTATCTTCACTCTTTCCCAACAATGTGATACAATTGGAACAAGGAGGAATGAAACTGCAGAAGCTGATTTCCTCAGCTCTTGATAATCCCTTTGGAACCATTTTACAATATTCACTGAATATCACTCCTGAAGGAACTGAAAACCAAATTTAATTTAATTCAGAAACTATATGCAGTTGAAGACTTTATATAGCTCTGGTAGAGAAGCATTCCCCCAGACACCCATGCTCGTAAGACAGCCACAGACTGTGGCCCCCCAACAACCGAGCTTTAATAACCACAGTCATCCCTATCCCTAAGGCCCAAATAAAGAACTCATGCAAAGCTTATTCTTTTTATTACACAGATCGTTCTGGAAATTTGAGACTCTCAAATTCAAAGGCTGTGCAGCTGAAGACTGGTGTGCCCTTAATGGAAGAAGCTTAGAATATGGTGAGCTGACACCCCATAGAATTACATGCTGAGATATCCTCAAAGCATATCAACCTTGAAGGGTAGATACAAGACAGCAAAGCACTCCTTCTTGTTGATTCACCCTTTTATGGTAGTGGCAGAAGATATTGGGAGCCTAGTGGTGAGAGGAGGAGCTTAGGCCTCATGGGTTTTCTTTTTCACAATTGGTGAAATTCATCATGAAAACTAAATTTCTGGCAAATTGAATCTGTATTCTATATCTTTGTTTTATATGTGCAGAATGTGTAGAATGATGATAAAGGGTATTTGAAGTAAAACATGAGATTTTGCATCTTATTTTGTTCAGCCCCACTTCCTTCTACTGCTAAAGTTAGATGATACCAAGAGTTCAGCTGGCAGGCTCCACAGTGGGTGAGCGATGTCAGGGATATTTCTTTATGCATGTGCAGCTTTTACCACTAGCACATTTTCAATTCTGGGCAGTCATTAAGGTGGCACTGTACAACTTGGGCTTGGATCCAGATTCATTTGGGACCCCTTTTTCATATTGGTGCAGCATCTACCACGACTCACCTAGGTTTTTCTGATCAACACTTCCAAGTGGTGGGGCAGTGGCACTGCAGGCTAGTTTAAATTTACTGATGTCCCCTAGGGGGCAAGCTGGGACCTAATGCTTGAAATGTGTTATGTCTGGAGGGAGAGATAGAGGGTCCTTATCTGCGGTCACAGCACGTGTTTCGGGGCCAGTCGGAGGGCCACCCCTTACAACTTTGACACGCAACTGGGATTGAGTCAGTTGACCTCAGTTTGGTGGTTGGGCCACAGCGGCATGTGTTTCAACTGGTTGCTCCCTTTGTTGACACCTGGGCAATAATGATCTGGGTCTGCTGAAAGTAAAGGTTCTGAGCCTGCAGGCTATATTGGATTTTCAAGTTATCTGGCAACAGTGGTTGGCAGTTACACGTGATTTATACAAAATATTGCCAAGAAGAGCTCAGTAGGTTTCTTGGGATCCCAGGTGAATTAACAGGGCAAGAAAAAAAGTCAACAGGTAAGTTTGGCTCGCAGTTCAGAACCTGGCAGGTCAAGTAATCTTCCATAAAGGCATTGAGGTTGGTGGGGTTTAACTGTATAGGCCACATGGAGTCCATTTGATGGATGTCAGCTATGACATCTTCCTACCGACCTGTGGAGGGAGATGCAGGAGTACCTCTCATGGAAAGGGACTAAATGAGGAAAGGGGACTAAACAGAGATTTCTCCCCTTTCAGGGGTGGTTTAGGTGCAGGAAAAGAAATAGTTTGGTTTAGCCTGGTGAGACTCTTTAGGCACTTTTCAGGTGATGGATTGTTCCCAAGGCTCACTTCTCGGCTCACATCTCCCACCCCATTGTAACCCCCCCTGGTTGATTTTTATTTAAGGTCAAAACAAAAAGTGGCTCAGTTCAACCCCAGCTTATGGGTCTGCGCAATCAGTTTTACGAGTTGAAGCTTCCAGTGCATCCATGCAATACAAAGCCAAGATGGGTTAAGACTGCATTGTAAATTAGTTACATAGAAAATGACTTCTGAAAAGTGTCTGGCACTCAAAAAGGACTAATTTAGCCAATTTCGAAATGGAGCTTAGGATTTCACTATGTCCCTCAGTGTCTTCTTGGCAAACACACAGCCCCCACTCCTGGACTTCACTGAACCATTTGTTCCTAAGTGTTGCCCACAGCATGAATCCTTGGTCTATAAATATCTCGTTGTAAGACTTCACCTGCATCAGTTCTCTTTCCTGGTCCATCTCTGCTCCGAATCGCCTCATCTTTCGAAAATGATGAAATCACTTCTGAGCACATGCCTCCTCTTGGCCCTGCTTTCTTCAGGTAAGTAGGGACCAGTAGAATGGGAATCTTTTCATCTTTAGATGACACTGAAAAGACTTGCTCCTTGGGAGGGAAGGACAGTGAGGAAAGGAGATCAGCATAATAGAGAACAAATATTGCTGGGTTACCAAGGAGAAGTAGGGGAGAGTCAACTCAAGAATTTAAGCACTTAAGCCTCGACAGCCAAGTATATGTTCCAAACATGTATTTATGCAATGGAGGAATCTGATTAACCACACTCAGGCCCAATAAGTGAAAGCTACAGTTTCTGGGATACTTGGCCTTGCTATGGACCTCGGTTGGTCGCCATTGAAGGGCCTGGTAGGAATTTTTCCACTTAGCAAATTGGCATTTGTCATTTGGTTTTCGCCTACCTTGTAGCAATTGTCACAATTTGGTAAGGTTTGGCGGTTAGGCATTGGTTGATCTTATGATGGGGGAGGGGAGGTGTGGCCACCACCTGCCCCTTCAAGCTTAAGGGTATTCCGTTAAAGGAATCTGGTGTGGATCTTGCCCGAAGTCCGGGGTTGGGCTAGGGCCATGACACAACCCTGTCGGGAACCCAGGGGGAGCTTGAGTTGGTTTGCATCGACGGGGCTCCCCCTACTGGTGGTTGACCCTTACTGGACTCCCTGCATGATGGGCAGGAGTCAGATATAGTCGGGTCAATTCCAATGCCTAAGCCAATGCCGCTCACATTCTGTAACCAATAAAGTTGTGGCCTAAATTTGCCCAATAACATTAACCTAATATCTGTGTCCTTGTGTCTTATTCATCAACAAGGGGATGGTCTCAGGGTCTCGACACGCAATGGAGGAATCTGATTAATCACACTCAGGCCCAATAAGTGAAAGCTACAGTTTCTGGGATACTTGGGTATAGCAAATCTATCTAGATTATACCACTATTAATTAATAAATTATTCACCTCTAAATTGATTCTACATCATTTACTAAAAACAAATGAACAAATCTGCATTTTTGTTAAAATCCAGAATGATTAAGATATACACCATAGTTAAAATATGCAATAAAAACACTTTAAAATATAAACCACCATGATTAAAATGTTCAATTCAACAATTCCCATTAAACAGCTCAGCAGTTATGCTCCACCAGCTTAGTCGGCATCCAATACCTTACATTCAACTAGGAATTTAACTTTCACTCTTTCCCCCAAAGCAGTCGCAGAAGTGTAGCAGCTTGGTGGTGCAGAGAACTGTGGGTGAGAGATCCACTTTCCCCCAGTTGCTTTTGACATTTGACATACTTGCACGCAAGGTTTCCCCATTACCATCTCATTACCATTTCAAGAAATCTCCTTCACCCACCTCTATCTCCTTTCTGCAGTGACATCTCTGATATGTTCCTCCTGTCATAAGAACGAAACCTCATGTAAAGGGAATGAAAAAACTACCTGTAATTCTAATGAAACCTGTGCCTCTATGGTTCTGCATAACAATATAGGTGAGCTGAATCTTTTCGTTTGCACTTTGTCATCCCAAGGAACGACTTTTGTGTGTAAATTAACACTATTTATTCTTTATGAATTGTATTTATATCCCATCTTCTCTCCATGGAGCACAAGGTGGTGTACATGGTTCTTACCCTTGGCATGCAACCTTGTGAGTGGAAGTGTCCAAGGTCACTGAGTGAGCTTCATGGCTGAGTGGAGAGTTGAACCCTGGCAGCCTAGGTTCTAATCCATCACACAGCAGCTATCCTCTGTCTCATAAATTTATTCCAGTGTGGTGTAGTGGTTGAGAGCTATAGACTCGTAATCTGGGGAACCGGGTTTGCGTCTCCGCTCCTCCACATGCAGCTGCTGGGTGACCTTGGGCCAGTCACACTTCTTTGAAGTTTCTCACCTCACTCACCTCACAGAGTGTTTGTTGTGGGGGAGGAAGGGAAAGGAGAATGTTAGCCGCTTTGAGACTCCTTCGGGTAGTGATAAAGCGGGATATCAAATCCAAATCCAAACTCTTCTTATTCCATCATTGCTTCTCTCTTTGCATCACATGAAGGTTTCAGCATAAAGATCCTGGCATGCATCAGCTATGCTATGGCCCTCTAGAAGTTGATGGACTACCGCTCCCATCCACCTCAGCCAGCATGACCAATGGATCGAGATGATGGAAACTGTAGTTCAGAAAATAATTGAGGGCTACAGCATAGCCACCCATGCTTTAACCAGAAAGAGTGAGCTCTAGTTTGATTGTGGTGAGCTTTCCATCATAAGGCAAGGTATTCAGTTAAATAAATAAATTAAATAAATTATTAGAAATTCAATGCAGGCATCATTTGGGGCAGCTGGAGTTTCCCTGTTTGCTGCTACCCCTGCTGGTCCAGATTACATTTTACAAAGAAAGAAAGAAAATTGTCCTGAAAGGCTATTTTTCCTTCTTGCATTATTCCAACTAACATCTTGAGGAAGACAATGTGTGCCGTGATGTTGTTCTGCCCAGAGATCCAGGTCCCCTTCAGTTTCTTGCAATGGTTGCGAAACTCAGAGTGCAATGACACTTTTATCCTGCTCTGGTTTGCCAGAAAGCAGCTTAGTCATGCTGGCCACATGACCTGGAAGCTGTACACCGGCTCCCTCAGCCAGTAAAGCGAGATGAGCGCCACAACCCCAGAGTCATCCGTGCCTGGACCTAACGGTCAGGGGTCCCTTTACCTTTACCTTTATGCACTGATTTTAGAACACAAGGAAGGACTATATGGCCTCAGCTTCACAATGGCCCCTGGCATGTTGGATATCTCTCAGTTTCAGCATCCAGTTATCTCATTGCCTGCAGGCCCTGGAATAATGACCTGAGATAACAGATTGTGGTAAAAAAGTTAGACATCATTTGTCGCAATTGGTGAGTCTTCAGCAGTAACAAAGTACACAAAGGCTGACTGGTGACAACTGTGCATAATGTGAGGGCAGTTTTTAGCATGCAGGGGTGATTTCCCTGGGCACAAAATTGTTGGGCTGCAAAATTTCAACACCCAGTGCTGCCTCAATACAGCTGTGTGCTTCCGTTGCTTGGCTCCATTGAAAACGGCTTTTCTATGTAAACCAGGAAGTGACCTTTGCAGACAGTGGAATGACTTATCTCTGTGGCTGCAATCTCCTGGGTGATGTAGACACTGTTAGACGTTCCCTCTGTATGGCCCCAGGTGATGGCAACCAATGATATGCCACTGAGTCAGGGAAACCTTCCTCCATCATCAGAACGCTGCAAATTCACCCTCATCTGATAAATGAGATGCCCTTTCCATCTGCTACGTCTTTCAATTAGAGCCTTCCAGACAGATACATCTATTACAGTCTCGGGGGGGGGGGGGGGGTTTGAATCTGTCAATATTGTTTTCTCTCACCTTTTCATTTTTTCCAAACTTACATTGAATTCTACACAGTAGGTAAATAAATAACTCATAAAATGTGCCAGCATTTAAGAGCAATTTTCTCCTAGTACAACATTCTCCTGCAGTTTTGACTAATATAAAGGTATTTGCAAACCATTTCTCTTAATACATTTTTTGAACTACTATAGCTGGATTGCATTCAACTAAGTCCGACTCAGAGAAAGCAACTGAAATTAATGACCCTAAGTTAGCTACACTCATTAATCGTTGTGGGTCTATTGTGAGTTGGGCTAGCATTGAATGCCACCTGTTTCTATGCACATATTCTTTAATATTTGCATTTTTGTATGCACAGTTTGGTTGGAGAACTACTTAGCGATATCAGAGAATAGTGGAATTTGAAGGAAATTGTGTTTTGGTTTATCTATTGGTTCAAGAACTTTGAATTGCTTACTTTCTCACTGAAGGGTGAATAATTTACTTAATGGGAAATATCATTAAAAATAAATACATTTGGTAGGAATTAACCAGAATCTTTGCAGATCTTGTGATTTATTTCCTTTTGTTCTTTACAGATCCAAGGCGTACAATGGCAACTGTCCGGGGTTGTGCTCTTTCTAACGGTTGCCACACAGGAGATTTCAGTATCAGTTCAGCCTATGGGAAATTCCTCCAGATGAAGGTCTTTTGCTGCCATACCGAACAGTGCAATGAGGAACCTGTCCACAGTAAGTATATTTATCTCTGAAGTTTAAAGGCTTATAAAGCCATTGCACGAAGTGCCACCTAGTTACAGGTAAAGTGTAGCATTTCTGTTATTCGGTCCATTAAGACACTGGGTTCAATTGTTCTAAGGAGTATCTATAGTTTATCCTTGAATCTGGGATATATAGAGTAGATGATGTCCTCTTAGGAAGCAGAATACTTTTGTCCTCTCTACTTACACCGGTCAAATTTCTAACTGGGTGGGGAGGGGGGTAGGCTGGAGTAAATGAAATAGAAATGAAATAGAAAGAAATATGGAAACTGTTGGCTTAGTTCTGCCCAATTTGGGTTCTGGGCCTGCCCACTCCTTGCTTGCATTGAGAGAGAGAGAGAGAGAGAGAGAGAGAGAGAGAGTGGGGAGGGGAGGGGATTACCTCCAGGAGAACTCAACTATCTGTACGCTCACATATGGAGTTTTAGAAACAGAGAGTAGATAGCTTGCCTGTTGCCCTTACACCAAGTGAGAACTTCAGAAAACCCACAGAGAAAGAAAATGCGTGACAGAAAGTGAAACACAAAAACATTATTTAGAGCAAGCACAGCAGACATGTCTGATCTGCCAAGTTGATGGCAATTGTAGGACACAATGGGGACATTCCAAGTCCAGCTATGGTCAGACATTACTAGAAGGCGTGAAAACTACTGAAGTAAAGTTAAGAGAGAGAGGAGGGAATGTATTGCATTCATAGGCCGACACTGCATTTTTACTTTGGTAGTTCCGACACGTGAGGATCTTTCTCCCAATGGTCGACAGTGTCCAGCCTGCTTCCGTCGCACCTATTTTAAAGGGAAACTTAATTGCAAAACTCAGGGGAATGTCAGCTGCCTTGCCAATGAGACCAAGTGTATTGACTTCTATAGTCAAGCTGGAGGTGAGTAATATTGCCATTCAGCCAGAAAATTGACTCTCTGTCCCTTTCTCACTGCCAGAAAAGCAATGACTGATCTTTCTTTCCTTTTTATGTATGTTATATGTGTATAGTTTTGATTTTTTTTCTCCCGGGGAAAGGAGGGTGCTCTAGTCAGATTTTGGATTCCAAACTATCCCCCATATGAATTGCATAAGGACTAGAGGGGGCAGACTCACTCACGTGCAGGGTTTTAACATTGCATGGAGAGCCTACAAATGTACAGGGGGCTCCTCGCAGCACACCTTTGTCCTCTAATGCACAAGGGGCAGCAAAGGTGAGGGATACAAGGGAGGGTGGAGGACTGGTCAGCATAGCTGTCAACCGTCCCTTATTTGGCGGGAAAGTCCCTTATCCCAGCACTGTGTCCCGCTGCTGTCCCTTATTGATAATGCCCCTTAAATTTCCTGGGTTTCAAAGGAAGCAGCTCCTCTCCCTCCCTCCCTGCCTGCCAGCCAGGGAGGAAGGAGGCTACAATTATGTTGCTTGGCTGCGTTGCTCACCCAATAAGGAGTCTAAGAACAACTGGGTGGTGGAGCTTGCATGCCTTGTGCCGATCAAATCGGCCGTGTTGCTGGGGATTCGCCTTTGCTCAGTGCTTCCTAGCGGAGAGGTGACGGTGGTTTTCCTTGCTGCATCCCCTTTGCCGGGTTGCTGTGCTGTGGGAACCACCGCTTGAGGCTTTGTTTGGCTGCTGGCTGGGCTTTCTGCCTTTGGCTTGGAGGGGCTCAGAAGTTGAACATACCTGTGTTTGGAAAATCCCTTATTTTGGCTGCTGATCCCTTATTTTTGAGGCTGCCGGTCCCTTATTTTCAAATCTGTAACTTGACAGCTATGCTGGTCAGCACATCATTTCCTCAGAAATATGTTGCATTGAGTTCTGGATCCTGATGCCAGCACAGCTTCCTATGTGACATGTGGGTGATTGACACAGGGAGCAGATTTTGCTTTCAACAAGTTCAGCCTATTGACTGTGACTCCAAGCCCTGCTCCTCAAGCTGCAATTCAGAGTGGTTATCACAGCTACCAACTGTTCTGCTGCAGCAGCAGCAGATTGACCTGACACATATTATATGTAATATGTAAGGCAAGTGGGTGTAGCTTTGGTAAAATAGTCAAATTTGGCCACCTGCTGGGTTTAATTTGGTACACAGGGTAAGGTTCCAAAGGCATGCGCTCATGATATCTGACTGCCAGAAAAATAATACAATTTGTTGGTTCTAAGAACACTGAGCTTTCATAGCAATACCATCATGCAAACTCATTCAAACCTTATGTCTTTTATTTCCCAGTTGCTGCTGAATATTGGGAAATGAGAATAAAAGGCTGTGCAACTGAAGACGTTTGTGCCCTTAATGGAAAAGGTGTTGGCTTTCAAGAATTTCCATTATTTCATATTAAAACCAAATGCTACGATGCTGAGGAATCCTAAAAGTAGCAGCAGAAGAAATTGGGAGCCTAGTGGTGAAAGGAAGAGCTCAGGCCTCATGGTGAAATTCACCATGAAAAATAAACTCTTCTGGCACATGTAATCTGTCTTCTTTTTTCTGTTTTTATTTTTTATTTTGAAAAAGTACTAATCATAAATAAATAAGAATAAAAATGTGCACCCCACCACTGAGACCATTCCATTGTAGCTATCCAACATCCCAAAATTTCAAAACCTCTTGCAATGGTTTGACCCCTTTCCATTTTAACAGTACAAATTCTACAAACACCTTCCGTATCTCCTCAGAATCATTTCTCCTGCGCATTCCCATCTTACCTTAACAACACATGTTAATTTATCATTAATAGCTATGGTATATCCCACATCTCTTCGTGCCATTTTCCCACTTTATATTCTGCTTGCCCCTTCCTAGGGTATCATAATTCGTGCAGCTGTCAATAAATTTGTGAGCAAGTCCTTCATAGCCAGTGAACCTTCCACCCCATGGTAAACTTGAGAATAATGCTACCTCTGGACTTTCAGTCAGCTTTAACCCAGTAATTAAACACGCTTTGCCAGAAAAATTGTGCATATTTACACCCCCACCACATGTGAACATAATTCCCAATTTCCTGGCATCCCCTCCAACATAGCACTGAATATTCGTTCAGCTGAAAGAATTTTTAAGTGTGCAGATTAAGCTTTTAGGAACTGCACTTAACCTCAGAGGCTACATTTAAGTACAGTGGTGCCCCGCAAGATGAATGCCTCGCAAGACGAAAAACTCGCTAGACGAAAGGGTTTTTCGGTTTTGCGTTGCTTCGCTAGACGAATTTCCCTATGGGCTTGCTTCGCAAGATGAAAACGTCTTGCGCTTTTTTCTTAAAGCCGCTTGAAGAGGCGCAGTTGCGACGGACCGTGCTTCGCAAGACGAAAAACATCGCAAGACGAAAAGACTCGCGGAACGAATTATTTTCGTCTTGCGAGGCACCACTGTATGGCAACATTTAAGTTCCTGCATAATGCACATTGTAGTTATTAAATACATATATTCAGTGTTGTAGTCAGATAATATATTTTTCAGAAACACAAAGTAATTTTCACAGATAGCACACGTCTTCCATATCCAACTTGGCATCGGAGCAACATGAGACTCAGGGAACATAGGAACAAGTGTTGTAGTGGAGCATTGGAAGGGATACAAACAGAGACTTGACATTCTTAAAAACCACACATTCTGACCCTCCCCCCATCACATTCTTTGCTGTTGTTCTGAGCCAGTAAAACAGCACCAGCTTTTTCTGCTTGGGCAGGCAGGCAGGCTGAAAGTTGCAGGGCCATTAGGCAAGCATTGTGGAAGCAGAGGTACGCAACTCATCAGGTGGATTGAGCAGGGGAAAGGCATCTGTGAGTATTCTGATTTGAGTTCTGCAGGCCACTATGCTCAGGTTCAGTATCAGGAACTTAGTCCAGTTCCCAGCAAATGGTGTATACCTCTCACATTCAGCTAGGTCATCTTGCCCTCACAGTGAAATGGAGACCAGAAACATGGCGACTGGGCTCTCTTTCTCTTCAAGTTGCTTCTTCCCAGTATGCCACCAACAATGCCTTTAAGAAATCCCACTGACTGTGCATGGAGGCAGAGTGGAAAGATACCTTGGTCATGAATACTGTAGGTTTCATGTAGGTTCATGCATTGACCTGTTTATGTGGCACATGCCTGTGTTGTTGCTGCCACAATGAAGAAGCTTCACTAAAACAGTTTTTTAAACAGACAGCAAACAGGCTCAAGGTGGAACAGTGTGAGCAAGCTAGCCTGCTACTCTCAGGTGCAGTGGAGCCCAAACTGTAGTGACAAGAGAAGGAAACTAGGGAAACTTTCCCAGCCGACTCTTCCTGGTGCCAACCTTGAACTCAGAGTCAGAGCAGATGAATTGGTTGAGTCACATGCTAGTAAGCTAGCAAGTGACTGGGAAACTGAACCACTGCAAGACACTGGAGCTTAGAAGAACCCAACTCCCAGGGACCAAGGTCCCTTCAGCCCCCAAATAAAACAATGAGGGGGTTGGGTTCCCCCAAAGCTTATGGGCATTGCAAGTCAAATGGTGATTGATTATGTGGGATGGGCTTATCTGCCCCCCAATATTCAAGTTAGCAGCCCTTGGCTAGTGACCTAGCGAGTGACTGGGAAACCGGAGCACTACAAGACACTGGAGCTTAGCAGAACCCAACCCAATTGCTTATGGATTCTTTTTTCTTCACTCAATTACCTGAGGGGCCAGGCATGAGATCACAAGAAAGAGGACACACACTCGATACGCAGTCATTTTCAGGCTTCTGGTTGGTACTTAAAGGATTGATCTTCTCAAGGTCTCTAATTACTTATGTATTTACCTTGGGTTATTATGATTTAAGTATAGTTCTTCTTCCTGGGTTTCAGGTAGGGTTGCCTTTGATAGGGAAAAATTCCAGGGTGAGAGACTACTCAACAGCCCAGCTCGTCGGGGTGCAAGTCCCCCATGGGTCCATGCGGTCAGTAAAAGAAGGAAGTTCCAGCCAAGTAATTTGGAGCAAAACAGCAGTCAGTAGACCGTGATCTTTATTCTTGCGCAACATGGAAAAAACTTAAAATTCGCCATGTGCTATCTGATAAAAGAAAATTTTATGAAAATGATATACAGATGGTACTTGACCCCATCTAAATGAGCAAAAATATATAAAATAATAATAATATGTGTTAGAGATGTAAACAAAATGAAGGAATCTTATTCCATATGTGGTGGACATGTCCCCAAATAAAAAAAAATTGGGACATGATCTATGAGGAACTAAATGAATGCTAAAACTCACATTCCTAAAGAAACCTGAAGCAATTCCTATTAGGCATTCTAACGATAAGCATCCCAAATAATAAAAAGAATGTTTCTCTCTGTGACAACAGTGGCCAGAGTGCTAATTGTGAAATACTGGAAAAGTGAGTTAATACCAACAAAAGATGAGTGGCAATTAAAGTTGTGCGAGTACCTCGAACTAGTCAAAATGACAGAACTAGTAAGAAACCACTCAGGTGAAAAGGTTAAAACAAGAGAGGATTGCTTCAAAAACTACCTGATAAAATATGGTTCCAAAAATAATACTTGGTTGTGCTTAGATTAATTTCACAGATATACAGGAAAAACTGAGATTAATAAATGAATTCAGAACACTTACTACTTAAGGAAAGTATTGAAACCGCAAAGAGATAGAGGGAAGTCAACTAACATAGAAGGGATTTAAAATAGTTTTCCAGAACAGAAAGGTGACTGCAAAGAAAGAAAAGGAGTACAAATGTAATTTCTTTCTGGGAACTTGGCGTATAGATAAATAAAATCACTGTTTGTATCCCTTGAATAATTTGGTATACTTGTTTATCCCCACCCCCAGATGTAATGTTTAATGTATGCTATCATTGTATTTTTTTAAAAAAGAAAAATGCAATAAAATAAATAAAATAAAATAAGCAGCCTTATAAATCTTAAAGTTTAAATAGATCAAAATGTCAACATTCAGACAAGAACTTGACAACCTAGCTTTTCACCAAAAGCCAGTAATACAAATTTGGTCAAATTAAATTCTTAATGGATCATGTTTCCTGCATTAAACAGATATATCTGCAACCCAGGCAAAGAAAATTGGGAGCTAGATGCCTCCTTTATCTACAGGAGATTGGGGTACAGACCTCTTTTCAAATGATTCTCAAATATCATTTTGATATCACTTTGAGAAATATTTGGAATTTATGAACCCAGACTACTTAGAAAAGACCCATTAAAATGAATGGACCTGACTAAGTCCATTCATTTCAACCAGTCTATTCTGAGTAGAACTTAGTTGGAGACAACCCTCTGTTCATGGAAGGAGGGAAAATTCCATGACAGTTGAAGAACAAGAATCTCGGAAGCTGGGTGGCCATTCTGTTTTTGTTGTTGTTGTTGTTTGGGTTGCAACAGAGAGGAGCAACAACAAAGAAGAGGGTATGGTGCATGCCTGGAATGTGGGGTGGTCACAGCTTTCACGTTTCAAGTTGAATTATGGTGAGCCCAAAAGCAAGAGTGACGGCCCTTGTGCCTCCCTTTCTCCACTTACTGAGGCCCTAAGCCACAAGGAAATTAGACATAGCCAGAAGAAGAACATCAATAATAGAAATAATAGAATAGAAATGTAAATAGTATTCTTCTCTACCCCACACAGTAGGGCCCAAGACAAGTTGCAATATGATTTGCCAAAACAACTGTAAACAATATTGAAAACATTTTTAAGAACCTCCCTCAAATATTCCTCCAAGGGAGGGATATTCAAGGGAAGGTAAAATACTCAGTTGAAAGAAGGGATGACTGAGAACCTTAGATATGCTTTTAAAAAGGCAACAGATGATCAGGCACAAATAATCAGCAGGAAAAAAATTGAGTTTTCCATGGAGGGCTCTGCTAAACCTATGATGGACCTGGGGTAGCTCAGTTGGTAGAGCGTGAGACTCTCAATCTCAAGGTGATGGGTTCGAGCCCCATGTTGGGCAAAAGACTCCTGTATTGCAGAGGGTTGAATTAGATGACACTCAGTGTCCCTTTCAACTCTGCAATTCTGTGATTCTATGCTTGCCAACTTAAGTTACAATGGTATGAGTTCCACATTGCAGGGGAAGTCTGGTCCCTGTTTTGATATAGCATTATATATATATATATAGCCAAGGCGATGTTGTTTGGGGACTTGAGGACCAAGGCCGGTAGACCTGAGTCTAAACTTGAGGGTTGCCAAGAATGGCTGGTTCCATTTTGTGTCCCTGGATGCCTAATGGTTAGGAAGACAATACTATGCTGAAGCTTGACTAAAGGTTGCTGGGAAATGCATGGCCCCTATGGAAAACAGAAGCTTCAGGTCTATTTCATTGGTCAGACCTGCCTTGTGGCACATCTGCCTTCTCAGTCTTAATCCTGCTGCAGTTACAACTGACCTGGTTGCTGCTGTTGTTCAGCTCTGGGGAGGAAAGGGCAGAGGATTGTAAGGTTCTGTACCCCAAACTTCTCCTTTGTTTACCCCATGACCATCGCCTTGGAAAATTATGAAACAGGGGAGGACTCTTGGGAGACTCAGAACAGATAAATTAAAGTCCTTTGACATGCAATTCATTGCACTCACTTCCACGGAAGGCAGTGTAAGCCACCCACTTAGATGGCCTTAAAAGAAGATAGGACAAATTCATGGACGTGAAGGCTAAGAGTGGCTTCTAGCCATCATGGCTATGCTCTGCCTTCACAGTCGGAGGCAGCAGTGTTTCTGGGTACCAGTTGCTGGAAACTGCGGGAAGGGAGAATTGTCTTGGACTCTGGTCCTGCTAGAGGGTTTCCCACATGCATCTGGTTGGCCCCTGTGGCCCCAGAGAGTGGATACCACCATAGAAAAGGACTTCTTTCTAGTTGAGTTTTTTCAGGTTGTAGCCAAGGCATGCCCTGTCACCGGAAGCCACATAACTGGAGGCCGTGATGATGTTGGGGTAGAACAGACCACCAAGCTGGCAAATGATCCCCTCCAGCACACCCCTCATACCTAGATTCCAAGTATCATTCTTAGAGCTTCTGAATGTTGGCCTTTCCTCTTTCTGCAGATCCTTGCCAAAGTCCGGCCAATGCCTTTTGTCAGAAAAACATACAGCGTCATGTGCTGCGTCAATATCGTCTTGCTCATCATCTGCATAGCATCTCCCAAGTGGCTGGTCCATCACTGTGTGAAATCCAATGTTCATTTGGGGTTGTGGCTTTTTTGCTTTGAGAAGGACTGTAAACCACACCCGTACAGCATCGGTTAGGAGGCACAACTGGTTTGCTGTTCTTTCTTGGGTTAAGGGTCATGGGCCAAACGGACTTCTGGGTAGGAGTTTTATTTCCATGCAGTGGAGGCTAGGACGAGTTGACTTGAATGACGGTCTTACCCCTTAGGTACCCACTCAGTAGCTTTTGTCTGCAGAAGTAGCATTTTTTTCAGACCTCAGCTATACATTCAAAGCAATATAAGACCACTTTAAACAATCATGGCTTCCCACACATAATTTTGGCAACTATAGTGTGTTAAGTATGCTGAGAGTTGCTAAGAGTCTCCACAATTTCCAGAGTTTCCTGGGGAGAGGTTGACTGTTAAACCACTTTGAGAATTGTAGCTCTGGGGCAGAGGGAGATAGAGGTCTTCTAATAACTCTCAGCTCCCTTAACAAACTGCAGTCCCCATGATTCTTTGGAGGAAGACATGGCTGTTTAAAATAGTATGATATTGCTTTAAATGTACAGGGTAGATGGAGTTATAGTGTGGCAGCATCTATGCTCTGGAACTTAATATTAGGCCACACCTTGGTTGTAGCCAATTCGTGTTTACCCAGAGTAGGGTCACTGAAATTAAAGACCATAGCTTACTTAGGTCCATTACTTTTAATGGGTCCACTATGAGTAAAAGTTAGTGAAGAACCGGCCCGTTGTTTTCAACACTTGCTAAAAACTTTTTTGTTTAGACAAGCCTAGAGGAACGTGCAATTTTTGTTTGTTTTGCATATTTGTTTGTAAAACTGTTGGTTTTATCTAAATTTTGGTGATGTTGTTATGTCTTCTTGTTTTTTAAACTCTGTTGATTTTAGGGGTTGTTTTCTTATGTTTTATATTATTTAACGTAAACTTCTTCTTCATATGATTAAATACATAAATCATACAGCAGCCTTGCACTGTAGTTCACTATTACTATTAGAAGCCAGAGATGAAGCTGTGACTGGTTTGGATTCCAAGCCAAAAAAACCCCTCCACACCTCTTAGATTTCAGCAATCTCCTTGGTTTGCCCCCCAGCCTTCCTACCAAAGCAAACAGAGTTCTAATTTGTTATAAGAATGAATGTACAATGCATGCACAAATGTCCTCCCTCCCCCATTGTTAAACAATGCAGAGCCAGAAATCCTTGTTGGGGTGTTCGAAATCTCTGAGAGTTCTGCTCTGATAGATTTGATCTGCTTTCTGCTCACTGCTGATATTGAACCTTTACTGGCCATTTTCCTCTTTAAGAGAGGGCCAACAATGGGAAGAAGCTATTGCCCTCATGCCCTGCTTCTGGGCTGCCTGGAATCATCCACTCTGTACTGCAATCTCGCCACCACCGAGAAGGCCCTCTGCCTGGTTCCCTGTAACCTCACTTCTCAGAGTGAGGGAACCACCAGAAGGCCCTCGGTGCTGGACCTCAGTGTCCGGGCTGAACGATGGGGGTGGAGACGCTCTTTCAGGTATACTGGGCCGAGGCCGGTTAGGGCTTTAAAGGTCAGCACCAACACTTTGAATTGTGCTCAGAAACATACTGGGATCCAATGTAGGTCTTTCAGGACTGGTGTTATATGGTCTCAGAAGCCACTCCCAGTCACCAGTCTAGCTGTCGCATTGTGGATTAATTGCAGTTTCCGGGTCACCTTCAAAGGTAGCCCCACATAGAGCGCATTGCAGTAGTCCAAGTGGGAGATAACCAGAGCATGCACCACTCTGGCAAGACAGTCTGCGGGCAGGTAGGGTCTCAGCCAGAGTTGAGACGAAGTTCATCTTTGAAGTGAACTGTTTCACTCCCTTCTTTCTCATGCTCCTTTTCTCTGCGTCTGGTCAGGCCAATACATTTGCTGCTATACATGGATCAAAGCACGTACCTAAGAATAACGGTTAAATAGACACAGGAGCACCACTTGTTCCCTGGCACTACATTAACTAAACATGTAATTGCCACCCTGGCTGCATGTGGACCCTCCCATTCATATATACACTGACTAGGAATACACTACAAATCTGTTCTTAGAAGCACTGGCATACTGCCACAAATGCACTTACAATGGGACTGTTTTTCTTTCTTTTTTTCTAGAGAGTCTGGAGGCTGTCCGAGGCCTTATGATAATAGCCCTCATTTTTACTTGCTTTGCCTTGCTATGCGGACAGAACCTTTTAAGCCGCATCACAAAGAGGAAGATTCCCGACTGTATGATTTCTTCCATTGCTAACTACTGCGCAGGTATTGTGTCAGGGCACTTCATCATCTAGCATAACAGTGAGTTTAGTTCTCCATGTGGAGCAGAAACAGTGCCAGCCATGGGCAAGAGTGGAGTATGCTCAGAGGAACTCAGTTCTCTGGGAAGAGGGCTTGACTGTTTGCATGCTCTGGGCATTGTAGCTCTGTGAAAGGAATAGGGAGTTTCCTAGCAACTCTCAGCACTACATTTCCCAGGGTCCTTTGGGGGAGGCCATGACTGTTGAAAACAGCATGATGCAGCAGCGGGTTGCCAATCTTTTTTGGACCAGAGGGCAATATTGAGAGTGCCGAGGGTTCCAGTCACAAAATGGCTGCCGTGGAAGGGACATGGTGTAAGACAAAATGGCTGCTGTGGGCAGCATGGCATAACGTTAGAGTACAGCCACTGCTGTTTCATTGTTCCTGCCCCTGGTTAACCCCATACTAACTATAGAAAGTTGTGAAGATACAGCTCTAAATGGGACAAGAACTCTGTTTTCCTTAATGCCAATCCTGTACCTACTTGTCAGGAAGAAAGCCCCATTAAACACAAAGAGACTTACTTCAGAAATAGGCATGTGTGACTGGACATTATTAATGAGTGCCTGGACATCAGCTCCTGCATAACAGGAAACATGCCCAAGTCTCTTTCCCAAGTTTTCATATTTAATTTTTCTATATTTTTTTGGGGGGTGGGGAACAGCATTCTTTAACATCCACACACAATTTTTGTTGAGTGGTATTTGAAGATAATAACCTTTAGCAAGTAGCCAATCTCAGACAAATGCATCATAGGAAAGATGCCTGCTGGTTGGCAAGGGACAAAGAAAGGACAAAATGCAGAGATTCTAAGGACTACTTGAAAATAAGACAAAAGTAGGAACACTAATGGGAATGGGAAAAACAGAAGCACTTTAGGACTCCAGGGATTCCTGTTGCCTGGTGTCCAAACAACCTACTTGTCAATCACAGTTCTGACTTCACTCATTGGCTATAAACACTGATAGGTGAGAACCAGGCTGTCTCATTTCACAGAAATTGCTTAGAAGGCTGCCTGCACATTTTGCTTTATAACTTTCTTTCTAGGAGAGCTAGAGAGGTACTCATTTTTTTTAATGGAAGCTCAGAGTCTGGGGCATTTGCCTGGGAGCAGTAGTGAAAACCTTCCTGGGCACTGTGGCACCTATGGGCTTGGTGGCCCCTGAGACACAGCTTGAAATGCATAGTGCTGGTGAGACCTTAGATTCATTTTCCAGTAAGGGTTGTGTGTTGGAGGGGATTCATTTAGTTCACATTCTAATGCAATGTTCTCAAATCAGTATACAAACCAAAACATACCTCTCTTTTGAAATTTGCCCTTCTCTGAATTTTGCAATTTTGAATGGTGGTTGGCCTCCAACCGAGGAATGATTACAAAAATGTGCATATTACTGAAAACAGCCTAAAGAAACACATTCGACTTGTGGGATTGGTGAGGGGTAAATTACTTGCAAAAATGCTTATACTAGGCAAAACTGTGTAAGAAAGTGCACCTATTTTTGAAAATGTGCCCAAAAACACATACAAATTTCCACTTCAGATAAACGAATTGCAATGGGTTAAACCAAACTGTAACTGACAGGTCCATCCACATCGAGTTGCCAGTCTCGTAGGGCTTAGTACATGTCATGTGGGGGGTTGTAGGTAAAGTGGAAGATTTACCATCTTGTCCTTTGTCTCAGGCAGCAAAATGTTTTGGGACATCCCTGTCTAATAAGAGTTTCTTGCTTGTTTGCAGGACTCTGCACTGTCAGTTCTCTAATGATTGTGTTGTTTGAGGTCCGTGTTGTCATAGATGCAGATGTTATACACCTGGCACCAGACTGGGCTTTCTGCATAGCTTGCGTCTCCTTCTCTCTCAGCTTAGTGTTGGGTGAGTACATCCTATTCTGAGTCAGATAAAAATCTTGGTAAACTGGGGTCAGCTTTGTTTTCTCTCATATATATGAATGAATATATATATGAGAAAATGAGCTTCAATTTCATATACAAGCTTCATTTTCTCACACTTCCAGGATTAGTCTTCTCATTTCCCAATTTCTCTTCCAGGTACACAAAACCTGCTATGGGACAGGAAGTTCCACAAAAAAGTAAAACCATCCCAAGAGGAAGAGCCATCAACACCCAGTGACCCTTGAGTATAGCCCACGGACTATGACACCTGTCACAGGTGTTCCCCAGTCAGGTGGGGCCTTGAAACCTGACTGGCCAATGGGCGTTCTGTTTGGTGATGTCACTTAACCAAGAGCCATTTGGAATAAGCCTGGATTGCAGAAAAGATGCCCACTTTCATCTCTGCAACATCACTTTTGAGAAGCCTTCTTACCCAAGTGCCCTGCTGGAATCATTAAAATTATCTCATCCATTACCGGGATACCTTTTATTCAGCAATCGCTTTTGCCTCGGGTGGAATATCCCTCTTGCTTTCCAAGACTGCCCCATTTCCCCACTTGCTTCTAATTGTTGCTGCTGTTGTTTTTATTACAATATATGTATATATTGTGAGGACTGGCCATGTCTCAGTCAGATGTGATGCTATGGATGAACACTTAATTATTAAATGTCTTATAGCAACTTTCGCTTCTCATATTATTACTGGAAATTCACGAATCGCTTGAAATCAGGGCCAGTCCTACTATTAGGAAGAGTGAATAGGCTCCCTCATGCCTCATATGCTAAGGAAAAGGGAGCAACTGTGAGGGGGTGGAGGACAGAGCCAGTTGTGCTTATGTAGGGATAGGGGAGAAAAATGATTTTGTTTGTATTTTTATCAGAAACTATCTAATTCACACTTCTGATACCAATATGCAAAGCGAAATACAATTATCCTGCAATATTTACACATCTCTGAATTTTGCAATGTGGTTCTCTGTAACTAAACATTTGGTATAGAAAAGCATATATTAGGCAAAAGTGAGCATGGAATTATTCATATCTATTACTGAAGACAGCATACAAAAAAATCATTGTGGTAATGGAAATTGTTTGCAAAATTGTGAAGATTAGTTAAAAGCGTCATATAAAGACACATATATTGTGTTAAATTTGCCCTGAAATGTTGACAAATGTTTGTAGTATTATTATTGTTATTGTTGTTGTTGTTGTTGTTGTTGTTGTTATCATCATTATTATCATTATTATCACAAATTGCTGTGGAAATGTGAACTGAATTTAAGATGGCAAAAATGAGAAGCTGAGGGGAACCAAAATTCATAGATTCTCACCCCCCTTGTGCTGTGTGGTCTTCTCTGTGTGCCCCCTACACAACAGAGTGCTGCTCTTGAGAATGGTAAGGACGGGCGTTGGAGTCCAGCAACATTCAGAGGGCACCAGATCCCCCATCCCTGCAATGAACAGTATCTTCACCCATAGCATTCTTTCGTAATGGCAGCTCCACCACCAAGGAATGAGCTATTTGCTTTGAACTGCTATCAGAATAATAGAATTGTAGAGTCAACCGAGTCCAACTCCCCTGCGATGCAGGAATCACAGCTAACCAATCCCTGTGTCGTCACATGATCATCTGTAACTTGTTGCTTTGGCCTTCGTTTGATCAAGGAGGTGGAGAGGGCTATCAATCTTCCATACAAACCAATGATTTAATAGCAGGACAAGGCATTCAAGCAGGAAGAAAAGAAAGGAAGAAAAAAATTGTCTAAATACCCATCAAATGGGATGCAATGAAGAAGAGACCTGGGAAAGGGTCGTTTCTTCTTCAGTGCTGCTGAAACGCAGTAAGCTGCATGTGGGTTGTTCAAAGATTCTCACTAAGGTTCAAGGTTCAAAGATCTCACTAAGTCCAGTGGGTATGTACTTGAAGGTGTGCTGGCAGGATGATATCCGATGCAAACAGTGAATCTTGTGGCCCGGTTGTGGACATCTCCATTTAAAAATGCACATGGTCAATGTAGATTCCAAGGATCCAGTGCCACTTCAAAAATGGGGGAAGCATACAATGCTATCTTCCTTCTAGACTTTTGGCCTTTGGTGTCTGATTACCCTTTGGGAGCCACCTGTGAGGAATAAGCTGTTGGTTTCCAGAGGGAGAGCTGGTACAGCACCAGGCTGAATATCCCTGGGAGAGAAAGAGAGAGGTACAGAGATGAGTGGGCATTGGCATGGGTTGTCAGCATGGTGCCTGTGGACACACATGGACTCTCAGGAAGGGGGGAGGAGAAATATGGTTCAGTACATACAGTGGTATCTTGGTTCTCAAACTTAATCTGTTCCGAAAGTCCATTCCAAAACCAAAGTGTTCCAAAACCAAGGCACGCTTTCCCATAGAAAGTAATGCAAAATGGATTAATCAGTTCCAGACTCTTAAAAACAACCCCCAAAACAGCAGTTTAACATGAATTTTGCTATCTAATGAGACCATTGATCCATAAAAAGAAAGCAATAAACAATGTACTGCAGTCACACAATCAATCAATCAATCAATCAATCCGTAGCTAAACTGGGTTCCACACAGTCACAAAAACAAAGAGCCGCAAAAACAAAAAAGCAAAATAAATAGCAAAAACAGACAGACCACAACGTTAACACTCAAAACGGAAGTGTGGCACTCAAATTGGAAGTGTAACACTCAAAATGGAGCACGTTTGGCTTCTGAAAATAGTTCACAAGCTGGAACACTAACTTCCAGGTTTGCAGTGTTTGAGTTTCAATTTGTTTCAGTACCAAGTCATTTGAGAACCAAGGTACCACTGTATTTAAAGTAAAAATCTATCAAATTCACACTTTCTATAGCAGTATGCTAACCCAAACACCACCACCCTCCAAAATTCGCACGTATCCAAATTTTGAAATGCAGTTCTGCCACCGAAACATATTTGCATATCCTTAAGCATCTCCACTTTTCTTTCAGCAGAGGGAAGGGCAGGGGGTGGGACCCTGCAGGCACCAGAAAAAGCCTCAGGGCTTGAGGTGTGGAAGGCCTATCAATTTCAGTTCTCTCGGTTTCTTGTTTTCCAGTCATAAATTTGGTTATTCACATTTCGCAGCAGTTTGAAATTTTCGAAAAGAAAGAGAATTTCTCCTTCTGAAAACCCACTTTGCATTTTAGTACAGTTTTCTTGCAAGGTAACGCATTGTTCTATGCAGGTTTGACTAGGCCATTTCCCCTAATATAAGGCATTTGCGTAAGTTCCTTCTACCATCTAGTCCAGCACCTTGTTCTCCCAGTGGCTGACCAGATGCCTTTGGGAATCCTGTAAGCAGGACCTGAGCTCAAAAGTTCTTCCCCCGCATTTGTGATTCCCAGCAACCAGCATTCAGAGGCATACAGTGGTGATACAACATAGCTATTGTGACTAACCACCACTGATAGACATTTCCTCCATCAATTGGTCTGATCCTACTTTAAAGCCGTCTAGGTTTGTGGCCATCCCTATGTTTTGTCAGAGCAAATTCCATAGTCAATGAGAGAGGGGGAGCCTCCCTTGTTTCTGACTTTTCAGCATGACAAGCCCCTCCCAAGATGCTGAAACTCTGAGTCAAAAAATGAGAACTGGCTACTCTGAATGTCTCCTTTCAGATACCTGAAAGACCACCTCTGTCCCTCCAGATCCTCTCAGATACTAAGACTGGCAGAGTTAACCCTCAGATTCGCAGGGGGCGGTGACTGGGAAAGGGCCTTCTCTGTGGCTATCCTTCCCCACCGAAGTGCATCTGGCCACCTTCACTACATGGACCTTATTTTTAGGACCCACCTGCTTTCTCCAATTGTGATTTTTTTGTTGTTTTTAAAACTGTTTTCAATACTGTGTTTTAATGGTTGTAACCCAACCTGAGATCTTAGGGAGAAAGTTGGAACCTCTATCTCTATATGAATTGTGGCCAGTTCTTCTTAGAGCAGACCCACTGGAATAAATTAACATGGCTAATGTAAGGCCATTAATTTCAATGGGTCTACTCTAAAGTGTAATTGGCTATAGGCCATTATAGACATTATAGCCTTTGCATTTACCTGTCCCCAAGCAAAGGGCGCAGACAACACAGCTTAGGAAATAAGCCCATTTAGCAGAAAGGTCCTGCAGTTCAGGCTCTGTTGTCTCGCGGACGGAGTTATCAAATACCGCCACAGCGACCAGCACACAGATCCCTACAAGAAACAGTGGATTAAGGTCCATCCAAATGTTTGGTTAGTCCTGCAAATGCAACGGTGCTCGTGGTGAATGGATGGTCTTCACACACTCTTCTCCCTGGTGTGCTGCGGTTCTTTATTTAGCTATCCAATTTATACCCCTCCCTTCCTTCTAACGGAGCCCAGGATGGCAGGTTAGCATTTATGTATTCATTTATTGCATCTCTATCCCACCATTTTCCTCCAAGGAGCTCAAGATGGAATACATGGTCCTCCCTCTCCTCATATACTCTTCACAACAACCCCATGTGGTAGGTTCGACTGAGAGGCAGGGAATAATAATAATAATAATAATAATAATAATAATAATAAATGGGTGAGGGGGCCGAAACAGCCTCGGCCCCTAGGAGCTAGCAGTTATGGCATTTAGCAGTTTGCTTTTGCCTTCTCCCTCCCATTCCCCATTTCCTCATGTGTTGTGTCTTTTTAGATCAAGTGTCTGAGGGAACCGGCCATCGTAGAACTGGTGTTTGTAAGCCACCCTTGAGAAATTTTTTGGCTGAAAGACAGGCACAAATGCTATAAACAGACAAACAAATGTCCTGTTTTCGGAAGGCAGTTCTCGAGTACTTGTACTCCCCCTGCTCCCTGCCAGTTTCCTTGCTTTTGTCCCCAAAGCAGCTACATCCCAGTTGGACACAAATGATTCATCTCCAAATTGGTACCTGAGGCCAAGCTGAAGACACCCGCAACAGGGCCATCCATGAAAAAGTCCTCGGTGCAGTTCATCCAGTACTTTGATTCCACAGAGCACAGTATGGCCAGAAAGGAAAAAAAGAGAGCCACGAGCATAAAGCTCCGGACGACGTCCAGTTTCACTAAAGTGGAATAAGAGACTTGTAAAAATAGCTGAGGGTAGTCCCAGGTAGCTCTTCCCCACCCGAACGATGGCACTCAGGAAACACAGAGAAAGTCTCTCCTTTCTGCAATCCAAATTCTGTGACTGGGAATAAAAGGATATGAAATTTATGGGTGCCTCAAGATTATCAGTGTTTTTGCAGGAGGGACTCAAGAGTGTGCCACAATGTTAAAGGTAAAGGGACCCCTGACCATTAGGTCCAGTCATGGCAGACTCTGGGGTTGCGGCGCTCATCTCGCTTTACTGGCCGAGGGAGCCGGCGTACAGCTTCCAGGTCATGTGGCCAGCATGACTAAGCCGCTTCTGGTGAACCAGAGCAGCGCACAGAAACACTGTTTACCTTACCTTATCTACTTGCACTTTGACGTGCTTTCGAACTGCTAGGTTGGCAGGAGCAGGGACCGAGCAACAGAAGCTCACCCCGGGGATTTGAACCACCGACCTTCTGATTGGCAAGTTCTAGGCTCTGTGGTTTAACCACAGCCACAATGTTAGGTTGCGACAATTAAAATATAGGGCCACATTCACGCCATACTTTTAAAGTACAATGAAAACACTTTAAACAGTCATGGCTTCTCTCCCCACCCCCCGCTCAGATTTCTGGGAGCTGTAGTTGGAAGGGTGTTGGAAGTTGTTTGGAGCCCTTATTCCCCTCGCAGAGCTGCACTCGTTCAGCTGCTATGGTTGTAGAGAAAAATGAATAGTGGAATAATAATGGCAACAGTGATTTGAAATGACATAGTAAAGCACTTTCTGCAATAAATGCACCTTCGTGATTGTATAATAATAGCAAATGTCGATCATATCAGTTAGTCAGAATAAACATGGGCAGGATCCAGTCAGGGATGTATAGGGAATGATCTTAATCCAGTTTATGTGCTTTGAACATGAATAGACTGGCCAGCCCATTCTGTTGAATGGCAGAATTTCCTTCAGAAATGTTTGATTCTGCATTGTTTTATTGATGTTTAATATGCTGTAAACCACTTTGAGATTTTTCTGAAAAATATAAAGCGGAATAATAATAATAATAATAATAATAATAATAATATCCTAAAAAATCTGTACAAAAAACCCCAGGCAACTATAAAACCCATAGAGTCAGCCTAAGAGCCTTCTGGGTTTTCCTTTTCTGTTTGTTTGTTTGTTTGTTTGTTTGTTTGTTCTTTAAAACAAATAACGAAAACATTTTTAGCTGTATCTATGAGGGAAGCCATCTTTTTTTTTTCTGTCACAAGTCACTAGTAGCAGCACCCATAGTATGTGTGCATGTGGAAAGAGGAATTCAAAGCCCGAGGGAAACAGCAGCAGCAATGTCTGTTGAACCCAACCTCACCCAGCCCAACCCAGGCATACAGTACTTTCTCTGATGGCCAAGAAACTGCAGCCGTCTTCTGTGCAGGTGGTCCATAAACCAGTGTATGAGGCTTCCAGAATATCTGTTTCGTGCACTGCCCACCCAGAGGATACTTGAGCAACCAAGAGAAGCACAAAACTGATGCAGGAAAGGATGCAGCTAATTCCCCTGTAGAGAAGCATGGTGGGGTTCCTTCTCCTGATCTTTTGCGCTGGCAGCAGCCTGAAGAAGCCGGGAGGGTAGTGGTGGTGCTAGCGAGGTCACCCCAGGAGGCTCCAAGGAGATCACTGAAATCCAGTTTTTGCCGGACAAAGTGCTCCTCAAACGGTTTCTACTGGATTCCTCTGTTCCGTTCCTTCAACTGAAATGGAACCTTTGAACTGGGTGGGAGAGAACCTTCCTCTGGGAGTAGCTAGAAGTTCAGTATTGGATAAATCTGTCCATTTCAGTTCCCCTTGGCTTCTCGTTTCCTCTGAGCTTAAGTTCAGTTCTCCACAATTCAATGGATCAGTTTGTGACTCATTTACTGGACTATAGTTCTCTTGAAAATTCAACCAGGCACTTTCATGTGAAAGGCTCAGGATATATAGCCACCCCCCTTTTTTTGCAAACACATTTCCCTGAACATAATGCATTTCTTGGTATGTTATTTTCACACTTTCCCCTAAGGTATCCATTTTTAAAAATTATTATTATTATTGGATTGGAGAACTGCATTGCAGCAGTTGGAAAAGTGAGAATTTTGAAGGAGGTTGTATTTCTGGTTACATATTGTTGTAGGGTTTGTTAATTATGGGTTTCCACAATAAAATGGGAACCAACTGAATCCACTCATCCATACTTTTTTGTTGCATTTATATCTCATCTTTTCCTTCAAGGAGCTTAAGGTCGTACACATGGTTCTCCCCCTCCTCAAGTAATCCCCACAAAAATCCTGCAAGGTAGGTTAGACTAAAAGGCAGGAACTGGCCCAAGGTGACCCAGAGAGCTTCATGGCCAAGTGGGGATTTGAACCCTGCTTTCCCAGGTCCTAATTCAACACTTACTGAAGGTGTGAAGGCACCACAGCCCTTAGGAGTTGGCTCCTATGGGTAGATAGACTGCATGGGAACTGGCAAAGTGGTTGCACTAGTGACGTGGTGTTTGCATGTTAATTGTGAATTTCAAAATAACACACCATTAAAAATTGAAACTGCACATACATGAACCATACAATAAACCACATGCCTGAGAATTATATTTATAAAATATAATGCAATCTAAACATTAGAAATATGTGTCCATATGAGTTCTGCCAAGAGAAATATATTGATTGATTTTAACAAAGAGGAGTTCAGGTGGGAGAGGGGTATTTCACTGAAGAGGAAAAATATCTCCCCAAGTAATGCTCTTTCCAGGATTACTGAGCAGCACTGAGACACAAAGGGATTACTCAGCAGTGTCCAAAGTGTTGTAGGCAAAAAGAAGTTTTTCTGATGGATTGCCATCTCAAAATGAGTCCAGGCAGAGGAGATCTCAAAGGAGATGAAGATTGTGACCTGCCCTGCTTGAGGTCACTTCACAGCCTCACATGTCCATGGAGCAAATAGGTCTGGGGGTTTAGAGTCCACTTTCTTCGGAGAGCGATGGAGCTCACAGGCCTTGGCTTCTAGGCTGTCTCATCCGGCTTTTGCGTATCTTCAACACGGCCTGAGCTTGCAACCTCCCAGAGTGAAAACTTGTGGACCAAACCATTGTAAACAGCTGGAAGAGAAAGCAGCAAAAAGAAATTGGAAATTGTTTCTTTTGCTTTCTTTTATTACATAAAGAACAAAAAAACCAGCATTACTATAAAACCCAACCTCCTATGTAGTGGTCGAATTACATCAGAACTTACTTCTCCTTAAGTTGCCGTATTCCAGTTAACGTGGCAGCTCCCATTACCACATGCAAACACAGCAACCGAAATATTTTATAACGTAGAGGAGGTCTCACATTCTCCTCTTTTGCGCTGTGTATAATAATGTATTTCCGTTAGAAATTGTGAGGAACACTCAGGGCACTTCCAAATGAACTGTGTATTGAGCATAAGGAAGTAAGAAAAGGTGTGCTGGATCAGTCCAGAGGCCCATGTAGCCCACCATCCTGTTCTGAGAGTGGCCAACCAAAGGCCTAGGAGAAACCATCAAGCACAAGAGCACACTCCCCACTTGATATTCCCAGCAACTGGAGGTAGGACATTCATCGAGATTTGTTTTCAGGGAGATCAGGTGATGTTGGCTACTGAGTTAGCATTTATGCTGATTTGTTTGCAGGGAGCTGAGATGATGTTTATGCTGCATTTTGCCCATCAATTTTCTTATCACTAAAAGTCTGGTCTTTGGGAGAAGCTGGTTTGTTGCAAAAGACGACCAGACCAGCTTTTACTGAACTTGTTAGTATGTGATTGAATCCCATCCTAAAATAGCAACCGCTTGGAAACATCAGCAGAAGCTGTTCTTCACGTGTAGCAGGGGTGCCATCTGGGGGAAGGGCAGGGGAGCTGAGGCTGCCCCCGAAAAAAATTCAAGGAGGTGACCGGGCCCCCTCAATATTCTGCAGCAACCTTGTGCATGCCATGTGTGCAGGCAGTGCTGTGTGTTCATGTCCCTTGTGCACGACATGTCAGCACATTGCACGGCAAGTGTGAGTGTACCGCATGCATGCATGGCATGAGCACATCACATGGCACTGGCCCCCGCAATCGCCAGGGCAGCAGCCAGAGGTAGATGCAAAAATGAGACAGCAGTCATTGGCAGATGATACAACTCAGATGGCAGAAAGTGAGGAGGAATTAAAGAACCTCTGAATGAAGGTGAAAGAGGAGAGTGCAAAATATGGTCTGAAGCTCAACATCAAAAAAACTAAGATCATGGCCACTGCTCCCATCACCTCCTGGCAAATAGAGAGGGAAGAAAGGGAGGCAGTGTGAGATTTTACTTTCTTGGGCTCCATGATCACTGCAGATGGTGACAGCAGTCACAAAATTAAAAGACACCGGCTTCTTGGGAGAAAAGTGATGACAAACCTAGACAGCATCTTAAAAAGCAGAGACATCGCCTTGCCAACAAAGGTCCATATTGTTAAAGCTATGGTTTTCCCCGTAGTGATGTATGGTGAGAGCTGGACCATAAAGAAGGCTGATTGCCAAAGAATTGATGCTTTTGAATTATGGTGCTGGAGGAGACTCTTGAGAGCCCCACAGACTGCAAGAAGATCAAGCCTATCCATTCTGAAGGAAATCAGGCCTGAGTGCTCACTGGAAAGACAGATCCTGAAGCTGAGGCTCCAATACTTTGGCCACCTCATGAGAAGAGAAGACTCCCTGGAAAAGACCCTGATGCTGGGAAAGACTGAGGGTACAAGGAGCAGGGGACGAAAGAGGATGAGATGGTTGGACAGTGTTCTCGAAGCTACAAACATGAGTTTGCCCAAACTGCGGGAGGCAGTGGAAGACAGGAGTGCCTGGCGGGCTCTGGTCCATGGGGTCACGAAGAGTCGGACACGACTAAACAACTAAACAACAACAAGGGAACCACATAGCAGACCAATAAGCCTGCAAGATTGGCAGCAATCCATTAGGAAAATCTCCTGCTCAAGCCCCACTAAAATAAAGATGATCTGCACAAGTACATTTCACCATTTCAGAACACTTATGCCCAAGGAAAGAGCCCCCTGTGAGTTATAAATAGGTACAGTGTCAAAGGTATACAATGGGCTCCTTGTTATGTTCAAGGCCACATTCACACCATCTATTTAAAGCAGTATCATACCATTGTAAATAGGCATGGCTTCTCCCAAAGGATTCATAGAATCATAGAATAGAATCATAGAATCATAGAGTTGGAAGAGACCACAAGGGCCATCGAGTTCAACCCCCTGCCAAGCAGGAAACACCATCAGAGCACTCCTGACATATGGTTGTCAAGCCTCTGCTTAAAGACCTCCAAAGAAGGAGACTCCACCACACTCCTTGGCAGCAAATTCCACTGTTGAACAGCTCTTACTGTCAGGAAGTTCTTCCTAATGTTTAGGTGGAATCTTCTTTCTTGTAGTTTGGATCCATTGCTCCGTGTCCGCTTCTCTGGAGCAGCAGAAAACAACCTTTCTCCCTCCTCTATGTGACATCCTTTTATATATTTGAACATGGCTATCATATCACCCCTTAACCTCCTCTTCTCCAGGCTAAACATGCCCAGCTCCCTTAGCTGTTCCTCATAAGGCATCGTTTCCAGGCCTTTGACCATTTTGGTTGCCCTCCTCTGGACACGTTCCAGTTTGTCAGTGTCCTTCTTGAACTGTGGTGCCCAGAACTGGACACAGTACTCCAGGTGAGGTCTGACCAGAGCAGAATACAGTGGCACTATTACTTCCCTTGATCTAGATGCTATACTCCTATTGATGCAGCCCAGAATTGCATTGGCTTTTTAGCTGCCGCGTCACACTGTTGGCTCATGTCAAGTTTGTGCTCAACCAAGACTCCTAGATCCTTTTCACATGTACTGCTCTCAAGCCAGGTGTCACCCATCTTGTATTTGTGCCTCTCCTTTTTTTGCCCAAGTGCAATACTTTACATTTCTCCTGTTAAAATTCATCTTGTTTGTTTTGGCCCAGTTCTCTAATCTGTCAAGGTCGTTTTGAAGTGTGATCCTGTCCTCTGGGGTGTTAGCCACCCCTCCCAGTTTGGTGTCATCTGCAAATTTGATCAGGATGCCCTTGAGTCCATCATCCAAGTCGTTGATAAAGATGTTGAATAAGACCGGGCCCAAGACAGAACCCTGTGGCACCCCACTAGTCACTCTTCTCCAGGATGAAGAGGAACCATTGATGAGCACCCTTTGGGTTCGGTCAGTCAGCTACAGTCAGTTACAAATCCACTGAGTGGTAGCATAGTCAAGACCGCATTTTACCAGCTTCTTTACAAGAATATCATGGGGCACCTTGTCAAATGCCTTGCTGAAATCAAGGTAGGCTACATCCACTGCGTTCCCTTCATCTACCAGGCTTGTAATTCTGTCAAAAAACGAGATCAGGTTAGTCTGACATGACGTATTTTTCAGAAATCCATGCTGACTATTGGTATCACAGCATTCCTTTCTAGGTGCTCACAGACTGTTTGCTTAATGATCTGCTCCAGAATCTTCCCTGGTATTGATGTCAGACTGACTGGGCGGTAATTATTTGGGTCCTCTCTTTTCCCCTTTTTGAAAATAGGGACAACATTTGCCCTCCTCCAGTCTGCCGGGACTTCGCCTGTTCTCCAGGAATTCTCAAAGATGACTGCCAGTGGTTCTGAGATCACATCTGCCAGTTCTTTTAATACTCTTGGATGCAGTTCATCTGGCCCTGGAGACTTGAATACATCTAGACTAGCCAAGTATTCTTGTACTATCTCCTTAGTTATTCTGGGCTGTGTTTCCTGTGCTGAATCACTTGCTCCAAATTCTTCAGGTTGGGCATTGTTTTCTTCATCGGAGAAGACTGAGGCAAAGAAGGCATTGAGGAGTTCAGCCCTTTCTGTGTCCCCTGTTTGCATTTCACCATCTTCTCCTCTGAGTGACCCCACTGTTTCTTTGTTCTTCCTTTTGCTACAAACATACCCATAAAAGCCTTTTTGTTGCTTTTAACCTCTCTAGCAAGCCTGAGTTCATTCTGTGCTTTAGCTTTTCTGACTTTGTGTCTACACATGCTGGCTATTTGTTTGAATTCCTCTTCGGTGGTTTCCCCCCTTTTCCATTTTTTTGTACACATCCTTTTTAATCTTAACTCAGTTAAAAGTTCTTTAGATAGCCACCCTGGCTTCTTTAGGCACCTTCCATGTTTCCGTCTCATTGGTATTGCCTGAAGTTGTGCTTTTACTATCTCCCTCTTAACAAACTCCCAGCCATCATGAACTCCCTTTCCTTTTAGTATTACTGTCCATGGGATCTCACCCAGCACTTCCCTAAGTTTTATGAAGTCGGCTTTCTTAAAGTCAAGAAATTGAGTCCTAGTATGCTTGGCTGCTCCTTTCCGCTGTATAGTAAACTTCAGAAGAGCATGATCACTCGTGCCTAATGATCCTTCCACTTCTACCCCACTAACCAGGTCATCAACATTGGTTAGGACCAGATCTAAAATGGCTTTTCCTCTTGTTGCTTCTCCCACTTTCTGGACAATGAAGTTGTCTGCAAGGCCAGTGAGGAATCTGTTTGACCTTATGCTCTTGGCTGAGTTTGACATCCAACAAATATCCGGGTAATTGAAGTCCCCCATTACTATTATCTCCCTTCCTTTTGCATGCTTGGCCATCTGTTCCAGGAAGGCATCATCTATGTCCTCCGTTTGGCTTGGGGATCTATAGTAAACTCCCACAATGAGGTCACTGTTATTCTTCTCTCCCTTAATTTTGACCCAAATGCTCTCACTTTGGCTTTGAGGTTCTAAATCTTGGATCTCTTCACAGGTATACACATCCCTGACATATAACGCCACTCCTCCTCCTTTCTTGTCTGGTCTGTTTCTCTGAAATAGATTGTATCCCTCCATTATTACATTCCAATCGTGGGACTTATCCCACCAGGTTTCAGTGATGCCTATTATGTCATATTTAGTTTGCTGTACCAAGAGCTCAAGCTCATCTTGTTTATTTCCCATGCTTTGCACATTAGTGTACAGACATTGAAGTCCATTAATCATTCCCCGTGTCTCTTATTTAAGGATTTTTCCTCCCACCACTAGGTCTGTGTGCTGTTTGCTCCATTTGGTCTATGACATTTGGATGATCATCTTCATCAATTGATAGACTCCTACCTTCAGGAGCACTGTCTCCCTCCCCCACATTAGTCAGTTTAAAGCCCTCCTGATGGGGTTTCTGAGATTTTTGGCAAAAAACATTCCTCCCAACTGTTGTGAGGTGCAGCCCATCGCTTGCCAGAAGTCCATCTTCAAGAAACTGCAGTCCGTGATCTAAGAATCCAAACCGTTCCTGTTTACACCATTTGCGAAGCCAGCTGTTCACTTCCACTATTTTTCCCTCTCTCCCTGGGCCACGTCGTTCAACTAGGAGGACAGATGAGATGACAATTTGTGCATTTAATTGCTTCAATTTCCTGCCCAGAGCCTCGTAGTCTCTTTTGATCTTCTGGAGGCTATTGCTTGCAGTGTCATTGGTTCCCACATGAACCAAGAGGAAGGGGTATTTGTCAGTGGGTTTTATGATTCCTTGCAGTCGTTCAGTTACATCTTGGATCTTAGCCCTGGGAGACAGCACACTTCCCGAGACATCTTGTCAGGCCCACAGATCACTGCTTCTGTTCCCCTCAGTAGGGAATCCCCTATCACCACTACACGCCTCCTCTTAGGTTTGGTCAGGGTTCTTCCGTGAGCTGTCCATTCCAAGGTCGCCTGCACATTCCCTGAGGACTGACTTTGCTGCTCATCTTCATATACCTGATCGACTGTAATGAGGGAGAGATCCTCAAATGGAGTCTGCTCTTCGTCTTCCATGCTAGGGGAGAGGACCTCAAAGTGATTGTGTATTTCTAAACAATCAGAGTGAACCCTGGGCCTCCTACTTCTTTGAGTCACGTTTCTCCATATATCTGGCTCCTGTGTTGGTGAACTAGCCTCCTTCTCAGGGAGTCCCCTGCCTCCTCCTTGGTGGAGACGGTGTGCTCTGTTGCTTCCAAGAAGAGCTCCAGCTCTCTAATTCTTTGGAGCATAGCTACACGTTCCTCCAGTTGCTGGACTTTGTCTTCTAAGAGGGCAATCAACATGCACTTGCTGCAGGTAAAGCTGCCTGCAACCTTTGGCAAGATGGCAAACATTGCACAGGAACCACAGGCGACTGCAGCTGTTCCCCCCCTCCATCTTGAGAACGTGTTGTTGGGGGTGGCTACAGCAGTCCTCCATCATAAAAAGCGTGAAGACAGGACAAATAACTCCCCCCCCAAAAACCCTAGGTCTCCCCCAACAAACGTTTGAGACTAGCTCCCCTAAATCTAAAAGATCGATCAAACTGCGCACGCCGCTGCCCTGCAAGCTCTGATAAGCTCCTCCCACAGCTAATCACCTGCCTCAACAGAAACCCTGCCCCCTCTGACCTTTGCACAGGGAGAGCAGCTAATCAGCCACAAAGAAACACACACACAAGAAAACCCTTTTTTGCTCCTTCTTCAGCTGCTGCCCTGCAAGCTCTGATAAGCTCCTCCCACAGCTAATCACCTGCCTCAACAGAATCCCTGCCCCCTCTGACCTTTGCACAGGGAGAGCAGCTAATCAGCCACAAAGAAACACACACACAAGATTCTGGGAGCTGTAGTTTGTTAAGGGTGCTGAGAGCTGCTAGGAGACCCTCTATTCCCCTCCCAGAGCTACAGCTCCCAGAGTAGTTAAACAATCAATCCTTCTTCATGGGGAACGCTGAAACTAGAAGCACAGGAAAGAGAAGGCATAGATAAAGCAAAAAGTCAAAATCTTAGACTTCTCAACCACCACAGTGATCAACACAGTTTCCTACAAGGAAAGGAATATAATTGATGGTGAGGTCTATGATTTATATTGTGATTTTATTCTGTGAACTGCCCTGAGACCTCCGGGTCTAGTGCAGTATATAAATTTGAAGAAGGAGAAGGAGAAGAAGACGAAGAAGAAGAAGCCCCCCACTGATACTTACCTGCCAAGAAGGAAAAAGCAGAGGTGAAACAGCTTAAGTAAAAAGCAAATTTCCCAGAAGGATGTGCGGAGTCTGACTTCCGATCAACTTGGACCCCAAATACCACCACAGCAATTAGCGAACAGATTGCTACAAAACACAAAGGAGATACTTAGAATTCCATTTTGATAAGTGATGGAGAAATCTGTTGTTTGACTCCAGCTCCCATAATCCTTGACTGTGGGCCATGCTGGCTGGAGCTGGTGGGGGCTGAAGTCCAACAAAATCTGGAGAGCCACAGGTTCCCCACCTCTGGCCTCTGTATGATATTATTAGAAACCTGAAAGAGGGGGAATTCTTAAACTCTAATGCATGGTCCCTAAGTAGTTTTGAGGCAGAGTGTGCATGAATAATAATAATAATTTATTATTTGTACCCCGCCCATCTGGCTGGGTTTCCCCAGCCACTCTGGGTGGCTTCCAACAAAGATGAAAAATACACTAAAAGTGCTTGTATTAATGGAAGGGGCAGAAAATACCCAAATGTGTTATGTTTGGGGATTTTTTTTTGCCAAAAATGTTTGCTCATGAATTTTCATGATTAAAAAAACAGCAACACAAGCTGATATAGAAATGGGGTGAACTGAAAGATTGGAAAAATGTGAATCTGACAGACAGGACCTTCTTACTGATGGCCCCTTGGCTCAAATTGAGCCTCTCAGGGGGCTAATTTCACATTTCCTCTGCCAACATTAAAAAAATTATCAAAACTGTTCTGTTTAAGATGTGCTTTATATTATACATGACCCTTAGAATGCTGCTTTTTCAAAAAGGTAAGGCTGCAATTCAACCCTTTGCTGCAACTGGGGTGAGGTGGAGATTGGATGGGACATAGGTCTCCCCACCCCTGCCAGCCCAACAGAGCTCTGCTGGCCTCTATCCATGGAGTGATGCTGACATCACGCCTCTGGCACTGAATTTCCAGATCTACACAATAAAATCTAACCTGTGGCAGCCTGGCAAAAGCCCTCAGTGAGATTATGCTGTGTTCTGGTCTGATGACAGGACCAATGTGGGGTGGGGTGTGTGGATTTCTGGATCACGGACAGCTCCATGTGAGCAACTTAATCCAACAAACCCAACAAAGGCACAAAGCTACACCTGCAGCAACTGCAAGCTGTCTTCCTCGTTGGAAGAGAAGGTACAGCACCTTGAGGTCCACCTATTCACATTTCAAGCTACTGGCCAAGATGTGGAATTTCTCAACACAGCAGAGTCAACTGTCCTGGAACAGTGGCACAGGCAAGCTGCCCCCAGGGAGGAGGAAGATTCCCCATTGCAGGTGATGAAGCCCTGGAGGAAAGTGGCACATGGAAGCAGGACTGCCAGGAGCCATGCTGTGTCACTGGAGCTGCAAAATTGGTTCCATGCTGTCACGTCGGACCAATTCTGGGCCAAAGGGGCAAGGACAGCAGTTGCAGACCTCAGAATACACTGAGGTGGTTGTGGAAGCCATAGTGCACAGAACTATTCCTGCCACTCCCCAGAGGAGGAAGAGACGTTTCACTGCTCTTCCCTAAAAACAGCTGCATCTCCAGCTAGACTGGTGACTGCGAGCGGCCCCTGAGACCACATAACGCCGGTCCTGAAAGACCTACGTTGGCTCCCAGTACATTTCTGAGCACAATTCAAACTGTTGGTGCTGACCTTGAAAGCCCTAAACGACCTTGGTCCTGTATACCTGAAGGAGCATCTCCACCCCCATTGTTTTGCCCGGACACCGAGGTCCAGCTCCAAGGCCTTCTGGCGGTTCCCTCACTGCAAGTTTACAGGGAACCAGGCAGAGCACCTTCTTGGTAGCGGCGCCCACCCTGTGGAATGCCCTCCAACCAGATGTCAAGGAAATAAACAACTATATGACTTTTAAAAGGCATCTGAAGGAAGCCCTGTTTAGGGAAGTTTTTAATGTTTGGTGTTTTTAATATTCTGTTGGGAGCTGCCCAGAGTGGCTGGGGAAACTCAGCCAGATATTTATACCCCGTCCATCTGGCTGGGTTTCCCCAGCCACTCTGGGTGGCTCCCAGGAGAATATTAAAAACACGATAATAAATTTAATTTAATAAATTGTTATTAAAGTAATATTATTATGTGGTACAATTTTGGCCACATCCACACCTTGCATTTGTTATACCATATCAATCCCTCTTCCCAGGGAACTCTGGGAATTGCAGCTCCTTGAGGGGAACAGGGAGGCTCCTTTCAACTCACAGTGCCTGTCACAAATTACAGCTTTGTCCTATGTATATTTATGCACTTTCCATGATACCTGCAATGAAGCTGAAGATGGAAATAAGCAGAGGCCTGCTAAGAAAAGGAGAGGAGCAGCGAACAATCCACTCCCATGGCATTGATAATGCCAAAGCTACGAAGGACATAATGAGAGCAAGTATCATGAAGATCCGGGTGATATTCAGGGATACTATAAAGAGAGAGAGATAAAAAGGAGAGATATTGTGAAAACGGAGGCTAATTCTGAGCCTTTTCTTCCCCCTTGCAAGAGCCTGGTCACAGCCACATCAGTTTGTACTCATGGGAAAATTGGTCAGATCTATCATTTGGCCTTTACACTCGCTTGTTCCTTTGGTGCTACTTCAAACAGAACAAATTCAGTGACTTCACATGGAATATACAATTGATTTGCAGTTGAAAAGTATGAGTTACATCCCAGTGCTGACCCTACTAAGAGCAGACCCATTGAAACGGATTCATCTTTGTAAGAACCCATCTACACTATACATTTAAACTACCGTGACACCATTTTAAACTGTCATGGCTTCCCACAGAGCATCCTGGGAAGTGTAGTTCATTTAGGATGGTGAAAGTTGTTAGGAGACTCCGATTCTCCCACAGAGCTATAAATGGCAGTGTGCTTTAACCAATGGTCCCTCTTCCCAGGGAACACTCAGAAGTTACCGTGCCCATTGTATAATGTGCAATAGAATAACTTGTGTACCTTTCTTATTTGGAGACGCGTATGATTCAAATGTATGCACTCCTATTTCAAGTTCTAGATGGTTTGCCAGCTACAGACAGAAATGACTGGGTAACTGCATTCTATTCCTGGTAAATTCCAGATTGGACTACTGCAATGCACTCTATGTGGGGCTCCCCTTGAAGATGGCTCAGAGGCTGCAACTTGTGCCAAATGTCATCTGGGATGCCTGCGAGGACCCATATTACACCTATCCTGAAGCATCTGCACTGGCATCCCATTTGCTTCTGAGCCCAATTCAAGGTGCTTACATCAATGCAGGGGCAGCCAATATCTTGCCCTCCAGATGTTGTTAGAATCCAGGTCCTATTCATCTCTGACTGTTGGCCTGCTATGCTGTTTGGGGCTGATGGGAAATCGAGTTCAGTTCAATGACATGGCTGCTCCAACATTAATGCAGAAAGGGTAAACAACTTGGGCCCCAGATTGCATTTGAGTTTTAAAAGTAGGAACGAGCTGCTCAGGACCAGAGTATTTGTACATGCATTGGCAAAGTCCCATGAAATCCAAGAGTTGTGCCCCCAACATCCTTTGGGACATTGCAAGGGATGCTGGGAGGACAGACCATATACTGCAGCTAATTAGAGTAGCAAAACATTTGAGGACAGACCTCTAGAGCAAGTGTGGGGAACCGTCATACCTCCAGAAGTTGCTTAACTCCCACCATCCCTAGTCATTGGCCATGCTTGTTGGGGCTGTTCCCCACACCTGATCAAGACCTTTATTTTGCAAAGGAAAATGCTGCCTCCATTCTCTCTCATACTTTCAAATGCATGCTCAAATGACACAGGTCTACTTTCATATGTTAATAAAACAACAGTTTTGGTTTTCGTTGCACCTTATATATTGGGGCAGGGTTTGAAATGTCAAGCCCAGGGGCAAAATATGGCCCTTCAACTCTTTCCATCTGGCCTTCAGATTCTCTTCACAGGTCAGCATCCTGCTGGGTCCTGGTTTGCATTTTTCTTGGATATCCCACCCCCACCCCCGGCTGCAATTTGTCATTGAACACGGATAACACCTTTTTGCATGCCTGGATGGAGGTCAGAGAGGGATGTGCAGGTGTCTGTAGAAGCTAGGCTCTTGTACAAAGATAACATGGTGCCCCACCCACTTTTGCCTCTGGCCCCACCCACATGTGCCATCCCCCAAGGTTGCTGAAAAGGTTGAGCTAACAACAGTTCCCTAACCCCGCCATATACCATACCATCACGAGTTCCTGTGGGTTGGCATCCATATTTGTCTGAGCAGAGGAGCCAGAGTCCTATAACAAAATGGTCCACATCTGCAATATACGAAGTCCAGGTGGGAGATGCATGGGCAATGACAAGTTGCAGAAAATTAATCATGGAAAAGAGAATGCTGGTGCTTCTGTAGAAAGGACCCGAGGCCACGAATGGCATCTCCTCAATTTCCTTCCAAGCTAATCTTCCTTTTGCCTCAACTGCAGCCTTAGACAGATAGAGGGGAGCTGGCAAGGGAGGTCTGGAACAGGAGGGACACACTCCACCCCACCACGGGGATAGCAGCACCCAGTTCTTGCCAAGGGTGGTAGTTTTATACACCTCCCTCCACTCTGGCCTCCAACTGCCATGGAACTTCCATTCTAGTCTGGAACACCTAGAACAGGGGGTGGAGATTCTGTGAATCCCCCACGTCAGGTGGAAGGACACCGAGTTATACTTGGTCAATTGGCTGTTTACGGTTCCCTTAAGTCAGCCTTTCTCAACCTGTGGGTCCCCAGATGTTGTTGAACTACGACTCCCATCACCCCTAGCTAGCAAGGCCAGAGCTCAGGGATGATGGGAGTTATAGTCCAACAACATCTGGGGACCCACAGGTTGAGAACCCCTGCCTTAAGTGGAGCTGAGACAGTCTCAACACAGATGCACACTCTTCTCTTCCCTTGTCCTAAGAGAAAGCCTCCTGTAGGCTTATCTAAAGCAGTCCTGCCAGGGTGTTCCATGGAATGCTGTCAATGAATCAGCTGAATCACCAGTACTTGTGTGGAGCTGGAATTCAATCACCAAAGGTTCAATGGGCAATAAGGATGCAGGTCTGGTCTGTGCATAATGCTAAGCCATCTTTCACCAACTTGGCCCCTTTCACCAACAGGGCTCTTTGCTCAACCCTTAGGCCAGGTGTGGGAGAACCTTTGGTTCTCCAGGTGTTTCTGAACTACAACTCCCATCATCCCTGGCCATTAGGCATGCTTACTGGGGCTGGTGGGAATTGTAGTTTAGGTTTCCTCTTAGGTCAAGGAAAGAGAGGAGAGTGTGTCTCTGGGAAGAGCGGTTGAGCTCCACTTAAGGGAACCGTGAAGAGCTCATTCACCATGACTGAATACAACTCAGTGTCCTTCCAGCTGAAGCAGTGGAGGGAGAACTTGAGAGAAGAAGAGGGTGATAGTTACATAGCTTACCCTCAAAGCTCATCAAGACCCAGGCTAGGTGCACACGGTTACTTATCTGCAAACCGAAGATCAAAAGGGAAAGATAACAAGAGGTATACATCCTGTGCTGTGCTTACAAAGTACCCTGGTGCTGTTAACAAAGTACCCTTAAAATACAGCTTTTTCTGTGGGTAGCAGCTACCTGCCTCTTGCTTTTTTGGGGGGGCACTCAGGGGAGTGAGGGGCTAAACCAGCCCTCCAGCTATTGTTGGACTCCAACTCCCATCAGCCACTGCAAGAATGGCCATCGGTCAGAGATGACAGGAGCTGTGGTCCCACCATATCTGGAAGGCCCCAGATTCTGCTTCCCTCCACTAAACAGCTGAAGAGGAACTGTGAGTGAAAAACTGTTTTATTTGGGGTTGATTTGGATGCGGAATTATTTAAGTACCATTACCTCCACAACCGATTTGGTTTTCTTGTTGGTACTGTACTTGTTTTGGGGGTTTATTTTTTTGGGGGGGCAGATTTTATATTGGTTTTTGGGGGGGTATATATTGTATTATGCTTTGTTATGTGATTCACTCACTTTGTAAATATTATTTTCCCATACTTCTGTGAATTTCAAGAATCCCCCAGGCATGCTTCAAACTTCCTCATATTCCTCAGTCGCCCCATTTTGGCTACAAATGTACAGCCCTCTTCACCCAAGTTTGATATTAGAAGGAGAGATGTTTTTATCTACCTGCCTAAAGGTACTCCTGACCCTTAGGTCTAGTCGCGGACAACTCTGGGGTTGCATCACTCATCATGCTCTGTAGGCTGAGGGAGCCAGTGTTTGTTCGCAGACAGCTTCCGGGTCATGTGGCCAGCATGACTAAGCCGTTTCTGGCAAACCAGAGCAGTGCATGGAAACGCTGTTTACCTTCCCGCCACAGCGGTACCTATTTATCTACTTGCACTTTGACATGCTTTCAAACTGCTAGGTGGGCAGGAGCAGGGACCAAGCAACGGGAACTCACCTCGTCACGGGGATTCGAACCGCCGACCTTCCGATTGGCTAGCCCTAGGCTCTGTGGTTTAGACCACAGCACCACCCGCGGTCCTATCTATCTGCCTAGTTATTTATAAATATAAATATACCCTTCACACACACACCATCACACAGACAAAACAGAGAGGATCCCAGTGGCATAACAAGAAACCATCCTGGTCAGTAAAGGGATATTTAATAGCAATAGATGGGGTGGGAGGTACATGTCTATCCATTGAAGTACAGTCAGCAGAAACCTATTGAGTGAATGGATGTTGAACATATCGGACGAGAGTCCAGGTAACAAAAGGAATATTTCATTGATCAAGAAGAGTGCTCCTGAAGTAAAATGTTCTCCAGTGTTGCTGAGTAGCACAAAGCAAAGAAGGGAGATCTTCAGTAGTTCCCAAGTGTTCAGAAAATCAAAGAGTCCTCCCAGCTGGATGGCAGAGGACATCTCAAAGAAGCTGGTGCAGATGGTGAACTGCCCTGCAAGGATGAGGCTTCTCCACTGAGCATGCGCACACGATGAGATGAATTTGGACATTAAGAACCTGGTTCGTTCAGAGCAGAGAAGGCCGCACTGCATTATGTCTTTCTGGAAGCAGCACAGGTGTTTCGATATCCGGGCCAACGTGAGTGGTTGATGTTCCTGTCCCCCACACTGAGAACTTGTAGCACAAGAAGTTGTAAATACCTGGGAGAGAAGTGGTGGAAAGAGGCTTAAAATTGTGAGGAGCACTCCCCAGGTGTTTAGCACCAGCAGACAGTGGCTGCCTCCATTGTGAGATGAAGGGGCACCACTCTGGCAGCCAACTAGCCATGATGGCATTGCGCTGCCTCCACTGTCGCAGGCAGCCATGCATCTGAATAGCCATGCAGGAAACCACAGGAGGGGAAAGGGCTCTTGTGCTCAAATCCTGCTTGCGGGTTCCCTGCAGGCCTCTGGTTGGCCCCTGTGGGAACAGGATGCTGAACTAGATGAAATGAAATGAAATACTTTATTGTCACTTGTACAACTTGTATACAGTGAGATTACACAAGCACCCCCCACTCAGCTCTCTTAGTCTTAATTCCCCTTACTGACGCACACCCACCAAACCCGAAACAAGCCCTGTTGTTATCTTTTCATTCAGCAGCCTAACAGCCCACAGATAGAAGCTGTTCTTTACCCTGTTGGGGCGACTAATCATGCCTCCATATCTTCTGCCTGAGGGCAGGAGATCAAGAAAGTGCCGGCCAGGGTGTGAATCATCCCTGAGAATTTTCCTCACTCTCCTGAGGCAACGTTCTTCCGCTGTTTCATCCAGGGGATTCACGGGACAGCCCATAATATCTTGTGCTGTATTCACCACCCTCTGTAGGCACTTCCTATCAGTTGATGTCAAACCAGCATAGCACACCGTGATGCAGTATGAAAGGACACTTTCTATTATGGACCAGTTGAAGGAGATCATCAAATGTTGATTGACATTGTTCTTTCGCAATACTCTGAGGAGATGGAGCCTCTGTTGGGCTTTCTTAACCACCTGGGTTGTATTGATTTTCCAAGTAAGGTCTTCACTGAGATAAACTCCTAGGAATTTAAAGGAAGAGACTCTCTCCACACAGCTCTCCCTGATGTACAGCAGGGCTAGTTTTCCACTGGCCTCACCCAGCAGGTTCTTATGTTAACTTGAGGTGCCTGGAGAGCGGCAGACCTCAGACAGATGGGAACCTCAGCATAGCTGCATATTACATATTAAGCCTGGGGCGGGCAAACCTTTTCAGACAGAGGGCCACAGTCCTTTCTGAGCAACATGCCGGTGGTGGGCTGGACCAGAGGCAAAAGAGGCAGAGCAACTACAGTCAAACCTCGGTTTTTCAATGTCTCGTCTGCTTTGGAAGCCGAATGCTGAAAACCGTGAAGTGAATGCTTCTGTTTTCGAATGCACCTCAGAAGTCGAATGGCTTTCTCAATTTGCCCCATTGAACTTGCTGACAGCCCTTTGATCCTTGGTTTTCAAATGTTTTGGAAGTCGAACTTCTGGACTTCCGGAATGGATTATGTTCGCAAAGTGAGGTTCTACTGTACAGTGGTACCTCAGGTTAAGAACTTAATTTGTTTTGGAGGACTGTTGTTAACCTGAGGTACCACTTTAGCTAATGGGGCCTCCCGCTGCTGCCGCCCTGCCGTCGCTGCATGATTTCTGTTCTCATCATAGTTGTCAACTTTCAGATTTGAAAATAAGGGATCAGCAGCCTCACCTGTCCCAGGGACAGTCTACAGGCTATCTAACAATCCGGGATAGCAGCAGGAAGCAGCGGGAAACGGCACTGGAATAAGGGAATTTCCCATAAAAAAGGGAATGTTGACAGCTATGGTTCTCATCCTGAAGCAAAGTTCTTAACCCGAGGTACTATTTCTGGGTTAGCGGAGTCTGTAACCTGAAGCATCTGTAACCTGAAGCGTCTGTAACCTGAGGTACCACTGTAATGTAAATTTTACCTTTGTAAAGGAGGCAGGTTCCACACACACTCAAATACCCCTCTCTGTCTTGCACTGAGGCAAGCAAGAGGCATTCTCAAGGCCAATTCAAGGACACCTTCCAACCAGGCAAAAACCCTTGGAAGGAGAAGCAGGGGCTGTGAAGGGTGTAGCCTTGGGAGAGGGGATGTGTCTGAGGAGGAGGAGATGTAGCCCCAGTGCCAATGAGAGATGCCTGGGGCCCACATTTGGCCCTGAACCTGACATTCCCCATTCCTCTCTTTCTTTCATCCTCTGACGAAAAAGAGGTGTGTATTGCCAGCCTAGTGAAGGGCATCTTTCTCTAAATACGCATTTGACCTCACCCGCGGTTTCCTATAGGTGTTATATGATCTCTCAAGCACGCACACAAATATGGCAGTACAGTGGTACCTCGGGTTAAGAACTTAATTCATTCCGGAGGTCTGTTCTTAACCTGAAACTGTTCTTAACCTGAGGTATCACTTTAGCTAATGGGGCCTCCTGCTACCACTGCGCCGCCACTGCGTGATTTCTGTTCTCATCCTGAAGCAAAGTTCTTAACCCGAGGTACTATTTCTGGGTTAGCAGAGCCTGTAACCTGAAGCATCTGTAACCTGAAGCATCTGTACCCAGAGGTACCACAGTACTGTCATGAGCTCTGTGGTGGTGTCTTGGAGAGAGTGGTCATATCAGGAGGAGTGTTGAGAGGAGCTTGGATGTGAGAACCATACAACCCTGAAAAAAGGTCCCAGCGGGGTTTGGAAGGCAATGCCTGTGAAACTGTTTCAGTGGCAGAGGAGAAGGTCTGCAGGCAGGGAAGCAAGGATGTGGCTCCTAGAGAAGGGCTGCCTCACCCGCGGTTGCCCATAAATCACCCCCGAGTTCGAAAGAAGGAGGGGGTGGGGGCACTGCGCGGAAACCCCTTGTGCGAGCTCTGGAGCTCCTGGACGCCGCTTTCAAGAGCGAAACTAGCTGCGTTGCTTAAGATAAAAAAAAATTGGAGAAGTAAATGCACATGTTTCGAGCGAGGTCAGGAGTGTATTATCTGCTAAATAAATCTACCACTGAGAAGATAGAGTGATGGGACAGAATGAACAGAGGACTGCATCAAAGAATCACAGCCATGTCGGTATGTTGAATGGAACGGAAAGAGGGGGAAACTTTCTTCTTTTTCAATATGATTTACCTAACAAACCCCCCCTCCCTTAGAAGAACCGTCACAATGACTGATAGCAAGTGAGACTGAAAAATAAACTGTGTGGAAATAAAAAATACTAATAAAAAGGTTTTACTCTGGGAAAGATCTGGAAAGAAGGGAGGCTTTCTTGTGGCGTAGTTACAAAAGCGATCCGCCATTAAGAGGCAGACCTTGTTGCAAGATTTGCAGTCTTGGGGGGGGGGGTGAGCCACTGTTCTGTTATCAGGTTTGGATCGTAAATTTGAAAGGGCAATAACCCTTCTGGAAAGACTGATTTATGGTGCAACTGGTCTGGGAAAATTAAGGAGCGGACGCCTAGATTGTATTTCATCGGAACTGACTAAAATGGGAACTGCCGCTTGAACAGGACTTTTGGATTCTTGGATCTATGTGAGATGAATTATGGGAGAGCATTACAAAGTTCACACAGAAATATAAACAAGGCTGTTTCTTTCAACTCGCTTGTGGAGACAACTCGAAGGTTATTAAGAAGAAAAAGGATAACGACAAGGAGATGAGAAGATGGGACTGTGAACATCAAAGCAGCAGAAATATAAGATGATTGGACTCCTACCGAACTCGAAGCATGGGTACCCCCCACAAAAAAAATTAAAATTTGGTTTAATATTTGGACTTTGTGATATGTATTGATATAATTTGGAATAATTAATATGATATGATTGGTTTGGTAAATGGAAATTTAATAAAAATTATTTACCAAAAAAAAAGAGAAAGGTCCCAGCGGGGTTTGGAAGGCAATGCCTGTGAAACAGTTTCAGTGGCAGAGGAGAAGGTCTGCAGGCAGGGAAGCAAGGATGTAGCTCCTAGAGAAGGGCCAAGTCGGTTGTGAGGGAAAGATTGCACCCCTGTGTTATATCAGACACTCTTTTTTTGGGCTCCTCCTGCTACAGAGCCACCCCGAGCACCATGCTAGCAGTGAGCCTTTCTCCTCCTCAGAGGTGCCTGGTGACAAATTGGAGACTGTGTGGTACCCCTCCATTGCATAGACCATGGAGATGCCAGTACCGATGTAAACAGACTGCCCAATCCATTAAAAAAGTGTGTGTTGGATTGTCCCATCTCTGAACTCATAGAATAATAGTTCATAGTCCACCTTGTAAGTAAATGGGCTGAGCTCTTGAGAGCAGGTGGGCAACTAGGGACTCAGCTACATTAGTAAAGGAACAATGATTTGAATGTGCTATAAATATAATTTATACACGTTTTTCCATATATTTTTTAAACGATCTAATTTCTGACTTATTTATAGTGGGGTTGTTTCCTGTGTACCCTAGCAGCCTACAGAGCCGATTTGGCTCCCTTTCCTTTCTTTGGCCGCCAGAGAGTGACATACCAACACAGGAGATTTCACAATATTAATGTTAGCCTTTCAGGAATAATGTTCACCCCTTCACACTCACCTGCCAAGAAACACAGGATGCAGATGCCACAGCTTAAGTAGAAAGCCCATTTCTTAGAAGGAGGCACAGTTGTTGATAACTGGTTGACTTTGATGTGAAACACCACCACAGCAACCAGCACAAAGATTCCTGTGGAATTAATTGATTGTTTGATTAATAGAGGTATTCCTGTCTCGTTAAATATCAAGGCACCTTTAAAACATAAAAGCACCATATATACATAGAGATTGTCGGGATCTCCGCTCGGCCAAGCTGATAAAGCTCATTTTCTTCCCCCGAGCCGTTCAGAATTGCCTCCCGACGAATAACGACCTGAGCCTTTGATAAGGCCTCAGGCACATTCTTCATCCAGCAGAGTTTCCAGCACAGGTTGTAAGCAAAGCACGAAGCACTTGCAATTGAAGCTGCAACATGCTAGAGAATGTGTTCAGAAAGGACTCGTAACGGTGTCCTACATGCCAGGTAATGAAATTCCTGCTGATTTATTGTCCAAGGTTGTTCCAAGGGATCAACACTGTACCTATGTACAGAAACTGGGTTTGTACTGAGATTGTACTGACACGCTGCCCAGTGGTGTTCACAGAAACTAACAGAGATGGTCATTAAGGGGATGGACTAAACAAAAATCAAATTGCTGTAAAGGCCTTGCTGGCACAAAAACATATTCAAGAGACACCTGAAAGTCAAAAATGAGGATGCTTGCCAGATCTCTGCTAGAAGAGTGTTCCACAGCATGAGACTAGCGACACTAAATGACCGCCATCTAGCTGAATCCACTTGGACCTCCATAGCATGGGAGACAGCCTTGACTGAGTTGGGAAGTAAGGTCTCAAACCGTCTTTAAGGTATCCTGGAGCCCAGCTTTCAGCACAAGAACCAGGAAGCTGACCCCATACCATACCGCTGGTGTCTTAGCCAAAGTGTCAAATGCTACTGGTCAATGGCCATCTGCCCCAATCAGCAGTCCAGCCACTGCACTCTCCAGTTATAGCCATAGCTGGCATGCCAGATGAAGCTGGCAAAAGACACGCCCAGCCACAGGGGTCATTTGGGCCTCTAATGGCAGGTATGTATACAGGAGAGTATCCTCCAGCTCTGTACCTGCTTCCTTAGAGGGATGGAAACCATGTCAGAACAGGCGATGGGCCCATCTTGCAGACCCAGGAACCACCCACCCGCAGGGTCTATTGACCCTCATCCAGTCCACCGCTGCAATATGCACCAGTGCAGGGCTTGCACAACCTCTGCTGATTCAGAAATTGTGGAGAAATAGAGATGTGCACTCCAAAATGCCAAATTGCTGCTCCAAAAAGCTTCATATACTGCAGACAAAATGGTGGCCTACAGGAACGTGTAGTCCACACCCTTCAACTGTCTCGTTTTGAGCAGGACATCCTGGAATTACAGAAGCCATCCCAGCTTCTGATTGGATCCTGGAATATCCCCCTTTTTTTTCTGCCATCACGACAGAGTGACCGACCAAAAAACGGGGGGTGTTTCGTGCTCTCACACGAATCATTGGCTTGCACCAGAGCACCAGACCAGACCAAACTCCACGCAAAAAGCGATAGGATGCAAACAACGGCCACCTAAAATTTATTCAGTTCACAATAGTACCTGCAAGGAAGTTGAAGATGGAAGTAATCAGGGATTTGGGAGGAAAGCAATAGTTGCAGTGGATGATGTGGTCCCATTCCACTGTCCATAGCATAGCTGAGACAGATGCAAGTGTTGCTAGCACCATGAAGCTTCGCATGAGGTCCAGGTGCACTAAAAGAAAAAGAGGGAATTTTGTGAAAGTTATTCTTCTCTTCCATCATCCAAAGGTGGGGAAGAGTGGAGCTTTGGCTAATTGGATAGGTGGGGCAACAAAGATTTTATTCTATGGCTCTCTAGTTGTGAGGTGTGGTCGGCAATGGGTCTGAATCAATTCATAACGACACAGATTAAACAAATATATTTCCCAGGGTTCCTGCCCCCCCTCCCCCAAGAAAACCTTGTGGGAGCTTGTCATTATACAAAGCAGTTCCCTTTCCTACGAAATTTAGACCTGCAACACTCAAAACGAGGTGTGGTATTTGAAATAATGTGGTATAAAGGGAGAACCTGTGCATCTCCCATGCAAAAACATGTAGGACTTAGATGCACATCTCTCCACAGAGGTGGGGAGGGGGGCAAGGGGGCTGGCAAAGGATGAACCATAATCCACAGATTGCCAGCTTTAAGAGAGAGGGAGGATTTCTAACATTTGTAGCGCCTGAGATTTAAGACAGGATATTCTCAGAGTGGTTTAACAATCAGTCACTCTTCTCAGGAAACTCCAGGAACTGCAAGTCTGGGAGGGGAAGAGGGAGTCTCCTAACAGCACTCAGCACCCATAATAACAAACCACAGCTCCCAGAATTATTTGGGGGAAGCCATGGCTTTTGAAAGCGGCACCACAGTGCTTCAAATGTACGGTGAATACGGCGTTGTGTCACGCCTGTGTCGTTTTCCGATAAGCGGCTAGGACCTTTGGGCAAGCTTTTTGCTGCTTTGGGTGAGACGGAGTCCTGGGCATCGTGGTAAGTGATGCAGCAACAAACAAGCATGAAGCCAAAACCAAGGCAACGGTATAAGATGGAGACATTAGTTGCACAGGCACGAACCAGCAGATGGCACTAGGCAGAGAAGTTAGAGGATGCAAGCTGGAAAACACAGCTAGTTATGTTTTACCTCTCCCAATACAGTGGCTTGGCTCTCTGTCAATCCTACATGATGTCAGAGTGGGGACTATGTCTGCTATAGTGTTCAGACACCCCCAAAAAGCAAAAAGCAGGGCACAGGTTAATGCTCAAGGAATCCAATCTAGACAGCCCAGCTCCTTCAACCACAGTGTTTGGGTGCATTCAGATGTGGGGAATATTGTATTAGTTTTCCCAATTATAACCCTAGCACCACCATTTTCTAACATTCTTTTCACATTGCAGTACTGTGGCATTATGGAGCCATAACTTTTTGACCAATATACCTGCAGGTCATGCTAAATTTCTCTTGCACCAGTGGACATGGTTTGACACAGCAACAAATGTCACTGCACTCCCCCTTTAACAGCCAACCCCTTTTCCCAGCGAACTCTTGGGCTAGTAACTTTCGTACACAGCAGCCAGTTGAAGAGGCAAAATATTTTGCTCTGGCCCTGCAGATTATAGGTGAAGAACTGATAGCTCTTCAGAAGTTGTTGGGGCCTTCAGCTACCACCAGCCCCAACCAGCATGGCCAGTGGTCAAGGATGATGGGAGCTATAGTCCAACAAAACCTGGAATGCTATCAGTTTTTCATCCCTGCTGTGGATAATTTGGCTACTTTGCAACAGAGTTCTTTCTTTTCTTTCTTCTTTCTAAAGGGTGCTTCAAATCACAATAAATCACCGTATTTTTCGCTCTATAAGACGCACCAGACCACAAGACGCACCTAGTTTTTGGAGGAGGAAAACAAGAAAAAAAATATTCTGAATCTCAGAAGCCAGAACAGCAAGAGGGATCGCTGCGCAGTGAAAGCAGCAATCGCTCTTGCTGTTCTGGCTTCTGGGATAGTTGTGCAGCCTGCACTTGCTCCATAAGACGCGCACACATTTCACCTTACTTTCTAGGAGGGAAAAAGTGAGTCTTATAGAGCAAAAAATATGGTATATTCTACATTCATATGTCAAACAAAACCACAATACTGATTTTTGTTTAGCCTCATCTACCATACCATCATGAGGTCTCAGGGGCTTGCATCCAAATTTTTCTGAGCAGATGGTCCAGAGGCCAGCATGATACTCGTCTACTTGAGAATCAGTCATCATCCAGCCATGAGATGCATGGACAATGAAGAGCAGCACAATGTGGATGAAGGAAAGTGAAAAACCTATGGCCCTGTGCAGAGACATTGGGCCTAAGTTAGGACAGGCTTTGCTTGTATTTCCCTTTAACCCAATCTTTGCCTTGCCCTAGAATTACACAGGAGGTGGGGGCAGGTAAAGTACAGTGCAAGAAGGGTCCTGGGATAATGTTTATTTCCCGTTACTTCTATCATTCTAAGACTCCAACTGCCATGGAACTTCCATGCTCTTGGTAAAACAGAACCTGGGCAGGTTCATATGAGCATATCTGCAATGCTTCACTCAAGTTAAGGCCAAAGAGAGGTTGGGGGGTGGAAACAAGGAACGGGCCTTTTCTGTGGTGGCTCTTCAATTGTGGAATGCTCTCCCCAAGGGAGGCTCGCCTGGTGCCATCATTACATGTCTTTAGACATCAGGCAAAAACATTCCTCTTTACCCAGGCCCATGGCTATTAAATAATCTATGTCCTGTAGAAGTGTGGGTATTACTATAATTTCACCATTATGCTGTCTGTCAATATGCTTTTTACTGTGTTTTTATCACTGAGGTCTTGTAATGTGTTTTGAATGTTGTACACCACCCTGAGATCTTTTGATAAAGGGTGGTATATAAATTGGACAAAGAAGGAGGAGGTAGGAACTGTAACTACTAGCCTGGGTGTAAGGGGGTATTATATAGGTAAAGGTAAAGGGACCCCTGACCATTAGGTGCAGTCGTGGCCAACTCTGGGGTTGCGGCACTCATCTTGCTTTATTGGCCAAGGGAGCTGGTGTACAGCTTCCGGGTCATATGGCCAGCATGACTAAGCCGCTTCTGGTGAACCAGAGCAGCGCACGGAAACGCCGTTTACCTTCCCGCCGGAGCGGTGCCTATTTATCTACTTGCACTTTGACGTGCTTTCGAACTGCTAGGTTGGCAGGAGCAAGGACCGAGCAATGGGAGCTCACCCCGTTGCGGGGATTTGAACCGCCGATCTTCTGATCGGCAAGTTCTAGGCTCTGTGGTTTAACCCACAGCGCCACCCGCGTCCTGTAGTTCATTTCATGCAGTGATAGAGAAACTTTCCCCTCCACCAGCAGACCAAAACTGTTTCTGACCTGCCCATCCTGGGTTTAATTTAACAGTTGGGTGGATGACAAATTCCATCACCTGATGGCACAATGACCCTCTTCCAGCACACCTTCGCAGAGGGTTGCTTCAAGATCAGGAAGGTGGTGGCACTGAAACCCTTGCTGAAACAGAGCTTCCCCCCTCCATTTTAGAAGGAGTTTCCATGCAAACTCTTTTCTGATTCTGGAGCAGAATCAGACTCCTACTTGTGGGAAGGCTCAGGGTGGCAGGAGATGATATAATGTTTATTAATATCCTTCCTAACTTGCGCCAGCAAGTTCCTTTACTTAGCAGAGTGCATTGCCCCTTTACACAGCAGAAAACTAGTTGCACACTCGCTTGTGTTGCTTAAGACAATACACAATTCAATCGGGCGGGTCTGGGTTGAAATTGAAGGAAAGGTGAAGACAGGTGACCCCACCTAGGCCTGAAGTCACCCCCCCCCAAGCAGGCTCAAAGCTTTTCAAAATCATTTTCTCAGCAGCTAAGCATCTGCTCATTTGCTCTGCTGTTGCAAGGCAAAACCGTTACTTTTATCAGCACGAGAAGGCTTCAAAAGGCTAATGAATAGACTCTGTCATTGCCAAGAATACTCAGGCCTGAGAAACGAATCTTATCTCATTCTAGTTGCAACACATCTGAACAAGCTGAATGCAAGGCTTCTCACCCCCCCCCCTTCCCTGGGAAGAGTCCAATAGTCCCACGACAGCTTTCTGTTCATGCTCAGAGGAACTCATGGGGCAGGACTCCTGAGGGAGGAGAAAGGGGGAGGGAACTAGAAAGGGGTATATAGAATCATAGAATCATAGAATCATAGAGTTGGAAGAGACCACAAGGGCCATCGAGTCCAACCCCCTGCCAAGCAGGAAACACCATCAGAGCACTCCTGACATATGGTTGCCAAGCCTCTGCTTAAAGACCTCCAAAGAAGGAGACTCCACCACACTCCTTGGCAGCAAATTCCACTGTCGAACAGCTCTTACTGTCAGGAAGTTCTTCCTAATGTTTAGGTGGAATCTTCTTTCTTGTAGTTTGGATCCATATATGCTTGTGCACATGACTGTGAACTTCATGCATGCTTTTTGTGCCTTATCACACTTGCTCCTTCTACCAGTTCATGGATGGTAGAAATAAAACCTTTTTCTCCGAAACTATTCCTTGAGTGTCTGTTGACTCCCACTTCCCTTTCCCAGGCGCAATATTTTTCCCACCCGAGGGCAAAGCCTCATAAGGCTACAAAATGTCTTCTAATATTTTCCTGGTAAGACCCCTTGAATCCATCCTAAAAGAATAAAGACACCACAGTCTTATTCATAAGCAATAAAAATAAAGTTTACTCACAATCAGGCAAAGCACAGTGTGATCCCTGAAGGCAGGCTTTAGGCTTAAAGTTACAAATGTATAAAAACAGGTTTACCCCATAAGGGAGATGACCTGGGGGACTGCTTGGCTGGCAGCCAGCAGTTCAATCCAGGAAGTTCGCAGGACGAAAGGAAGATGGAAAAGAGAGAGAGAGAGAGGCAGCATGCCTTGTCCTTTCACCAGGTCTGGAAAGGTCACGCCCACCCATTAGTCATATGCAAGGAAGGATGCTCCAGGCCAGGAAGAACAGGAAGTTTCAACTGGCTGTACCAAACATTCCCTTGCATGTCCACTCTAGGAAAACAAGGAATGTTGTATTTGACTGCTCCCAGTGGAAAACATTCCACACCACTGCCCATGTGCTGATGGCTGGGGGGGAGTGCACCTTGTTCCAGCAAATGAGCAAGAGGCCCCACTTTAAGCTCCTTATTGCTCCTTTCAAGCCATGTGGGTACCTGCCCCCATACACATAATCACATTGGATGACAAATTCTGCCACCTGATGTTTTGCAGCCACATTGGGGAGCTTGGACCCTAAGGCCAGCATCAGCAAGGGCTCCCCGAAGTCTCCATAATGTTATATGTGCATATAATATATACATGTGTTTAAGAGAGATGCAAAGGAGCTGAAACCTGCTGCAAAGTCTACAAAATTTGGATCTATGAACAGAATGACAGAGAATTCCTATGCATATTTAATTCAGGGAAGAAGAAGAATGCAAGGAGTAAGTAACTTTAAACTTCCAAATCTTCGGTGGCGGTGTGGGGGGGCGAGAATAAATTCCAAATCATTCTGGATGCATTCCATATCCATGCTGAGAAAGCTCAGCCTTTAGCCCCTTCCGTTTCCAAGGAATAGCTGCCGTTTGGCATCCCTTGGGGTACAACATTGTCCTCAAGCTGTTCTTCTTCTATTTCTTGGAACACTTGATAAAACAGGATTCCTATAGCTGTGGGAGAGAGAGAAATGTTTGTCAGAATGTCAGGGGGGAGAGGAAATAATTTCCTCCAGTTCCAAAGTTCAGGCAGTAAGCATTTATCCTTATGCCACCGAAATAGCCCTAGGGATGTAAGAAGGCGCCATTTTCCTTCCACCCAGTATTCATCGCATGTGGTACACTTTCTTCTCTGCTGCAGTTCATCTCCCACCAGAAACTATTTTATTCAGTGTGCCCAGTGTGTGGCGAAATGCGGTAACTTACAAAATATACATATTTGACTATGCCATCATCGGGGGACTGAAAGCTACAGTAGCAGCAGATACAAAATGTATTCCCGGGACTGATTCCTGTTCCAGACATAGGGTGAGTAAGAGAAGCTCACAAGGTCTGGTTCTGTTTCCATTTTTGTCACAATTCTCTAACCACCCTGAACAACCCCTGCATGCAAGAGAGAGGCGTCACTTGACTAGGCGGAACCCCAAATTTGCAAAAGCTCAAGAGGTAACGGCATCCAGGGAATGCCTATCTTTTCCTTGCAACCAACAAGAAGGCCCTCTCAAGAGATGCCACCACCTCCAGAAAGAAGCCATGGTCTCCATGCCCCTTGCAAGAGATGCAAGTCTAAGTCCCACCCCCCACCCCCCAATAGCTCTATCTTTTTTTAACTTACCGGCAATGAAGAAAAGCAGAAAGCAAGACCAAGCCATGAAGAAGGACCACCCACGGTTATTCACAGGAACTTGTGGAGTGTATTTCCCAGTATATACAGACATTCCTATCAACGTAGTGACCACTAGGAAGGAGTAAATAGAGGAGTATTCATAATACCCCTTAGTTTACACAGTTGCCCTGCCCCACTCTGTCCCTGTTGGGAAATGCTGACCATTGCCCCGTGTGGCGAACTGCATCACTGCAGTTTCTCAGTACAGCAGCTGCTGGGCTGACGCCTTCCAAGATGGCTACCGATTTCTCCTGGGAAGGAAAGAGTATAAGGAGGCTAAGGGACTCTGCATGAGTGACCAAGTTCTACCTGAGATCTGGTGGGTCAGGTCTTGCTCTTGGGGCTTGGTTTCTAATCTGACGCCTCCTGAATCCTGCCTCGTCCTCTGGTCCTCATTGCTTTTTTGGTTCCTCCTGACTCACTACAGACTGCTGCCCTGTTGTCCTGTCCAGTCAACCAATGATGCAGATATAGGTGAAGTTGGACATTCCAATTGTCATTTGTGGATAAACCAGAAAGGCTTGTTACCAGAAAATTGGGGAAGGTCCGCACAGGTACACATGGTCAGAGGTAGCACACTTCGGAGGTTTGCTTTTAAAGCAGGCAAGTGCCCAAATGACCTGTCCCAAGAGGAAGCTCAACCTGCCCTGGTTTTGCACAAGTCATGGTCCTGGGTGAACCTTCCAGTTGAAAGCAGGAAGTCCAGTGACTCACACCGAGACACAAAAGACATCTCCTCTGAATGGTTGCCTCTCTTCACTGGAAGTGATGGAGTCCAAGCTGATGCTCAGATAAGGCAACTCATGAGATTGAAGCATTGGGATCCTCCTAGAAGTGGCACTGTACACTTTGGGCAGGAGGGGGATGGCGTTGTTCTGAGAGTTGTTCTGGGTTGCCAGCAGCAGCCACATTGGGGTGTGTGCACAATGGTGGGGCTGCTGCCCCCACCTGCCGTCTTCTTACCCTGCTCTTCCCCATCCCCATCCCAACATTGGGAGCTGCTTGAAGGGAGTCAAGGCCAAAGCAACCAACTATGCAGAAGCGCTGCAAATAAGCTTATACGGTGGATGAGTACTTAGGACCCACAGGAGCCTATAATCATTTCTTCCCTTTTTTTAATAGCACAGGGTGGTTGGTATTCAACTAACATTTACTCAGAGCAGAGCCATAGAAATTACTGGACCTATTTAAAGAAATATTACAGTACGATGAATTCGCAAGTAGGATTTGAACTATGAGCATCAGAAGGAATTAGAGATTATTGTATGATTGTTATAAGAGAGGGAAGACAGGGTGCAGCAAGGGGGAGTAATAAAAAAAACACCATGGGAAATAGGGTGGGAAGTCAACCAAGCAAAAGAAAAAAATATTATGCATTGGAATGTATATGTGAAATTTTTGAAAATTTATTAAATGTAATTAGAAATACAACTAAAAGCTGAAATTAATGGACCTAGGTTAGTCTTTTATTTGTTTGTTTATTTATTTATTTGAATTTATACACTGCTTTGTTGTAGTAGTTGTTGTTTTAAAAAAGTGGTTTACAACTCGGAGTTAATTTCAATGGGTCTACTCTTGAGTAAAGGTTTGTTGAATACAACCCACAACGATTCTCACATAATACACCCAAGTTGCTCCACTATCAATCTGGACATTACTGTTTGTGCCAATCTTCAGAGTGTAATTAGTGCTTTAAAAAAGAAGAAAAAGAGCAATAATAATCAGGCATCACAGATTAGGAGATTATGCATTAGGGTTTTGTTCTGGGATTTTTGCAAGCATTATCAGATCAGGAAAATTTGTTGGAGCCATCCTCCACCCCCAACATGGCAGAAGTATACAACTTGCAATGCTAACATTAAGTATGTAAGACGAGCCCGCTGGATCAGGCCGATGACAAATCCAATTCAGCATCCTGTTCTCATCATGGCCAACTAGATGACAAAACCCACAAATAGGATGTGAGATCAAATAGGCACTTCCATGGTTGCCAGCAACTGGTGTTCAGAAGCAGGTCACCTCCAACAGTGGAGGTACAGTTCAGGCCCACCTAGAAACTTCCTGAACGTGACAGGTCAGGAAAGTCAACCCCGAACTGGGCAGAAGGGGACATTCAGTGACTGAAATACCTGGCACGGCGCCATGTTTATCCATTAACTTGTTCACCGTCTTGCTTTTCTTGCAGATGGAGAACCACATGAAAGCAACAACCAGAATGGCTCCATTAGCTGCCCCAAGCCCAAGGAATCCTATGACAAAGAGATTGTACACTGCAAAAGAGAAACACCAGTAATCATCGTCATCATGTGGCACCAATGCTCTGGAATTTCTTGGGAGGGGGAGTTTGTTTTTGTCCTTCCCTTTTGCAAGGTTAATTTATGAGTCTAGTATGCTACAGCATCATGTACATTTAAAGCACTTTAACCGTTGTGGCTTCCCCCTGCCCCAAAGAATCCTGGGAACTGTAGTTTGTTACGAGTGCTTTAAATGTATGGTGTGGGTGTGACTACCTTTCATCTCCAGAGTCAGTTGCTTCCAGGCATTGCCTCTCCCCTTATACCGAGGACTGAGCATGTGCATAGCCCACTCAACACCCCTTCACACCTCCTGAAATTAGCCACAGGATTAGATTTATCTCACATGAAAAAGGGAGGTTCTGCGTTAGCTCAAACCCAGGAAGAAGAAACAGGAGGAGAAGGCTAAAAATTGATTGTGTGCATTTGAGAGGAGCTTTATATGCAGGAATTATTAGCAAAGGGCGCTCTGTTTGACATGGAGATGAGATATATAGTGGTACCTCTGGACATACACACCTCCGGTTGTGTATCCTTCAGGATGTGAACGTGGCAAACCCAGAAGTATTTTATGCACAGAGGCGCTCTACGCACCATGCGCAGAAGCAGCACCTCCAGTTGCGGATTCCTCGGGATCCAACTGGAGCTCCAAAACGGATCCCATGCACAACCGGAGCGACCATTGTAAATAATAATAATAATAAAAAAAATAAAAATAATAAAAAATTATTTGTAACCCGCCCATCTGGCTGGGTTTCCCCAGCCGCTCTGGGCAGCTTCCAACAAAGATTAAAAATACATTAAAATGTCACACATTAAAAACTTCCCTGAACAGGGATATAAGATAAGATCTAGATCTAGCTGCTGTTAAAAAAACAGAGGAGCAGCGACTGGCAAGAAGAGAAGAAAAGTTGGCCACCCCAGACCCCCAAGTGTCCCCATTTTCCAAAGATAGTAATCCGATTTACAGAAGCCATCCTAGTTTCTAATTTGATCCTGGAATGTCCTGCTTTTCTTTGGACGTCCCTATTTTAATCGGATAAATGCTGGAGGGTTTGGAGTTATGTGACCCCCCCCCCCCCCGCCACCAAACCAAGAAGATAAGTAACTATACAACCTATAGAAGACATCCGAAGGCAGCCCTGTATAGGAAAGATTTTATATATATATATATTTAATGTTTTATTATGTTTTTATGTATGTTGGAAGCCACCCAGAGTGGCTGGGGCAACTCAGTCAGGTAGGTGGGGTCTCTATTTTCATCAGAGAAACGTTGGAGTGCATGCTGCCCTAGATGGGGGCATTTCATCCAAGGTGTTTGGAGTGATTGTCGCCAACCAGCCACTTACCCCAGCCTCGCTCCAGGGACACACAGGTTGATAGGAAACACTGCTTTAAGAGGTCTTCATAAGCAGGTCCGAAAATGGAAGGCCAAACAACCCAGGGCCCAGTAAACATAGCAGTAAATAGCATCGCCGTGCTGAGTGTTAGAAGACCCAGGCAGCCAAATCTGAGAAAAGGGACTTGCCACATTGCCGGCGGTCTTCTTAAGCTGGATCTTTAGGCGGAAGAACTGCAGAACTAGTCAAAGCTCTTCGGTGCTATCGCATAGGAACACCGCAGGCAAGAGGGAGGAAAAGGGAATATCCTTTTAATAACAGGGAATATTCCTGGCGTGTGTGATGCAAGCTATCATTAGCTGCGTACAAAGTGCAAAGTTTTTCAAAGTCAGACATACGTACGGTCGGCCCATATGGTGCAAAGGGAAGTCATTGGAACGATATGAAATGGGACTTTCCTTCATGTTCCCTCCTCCTTTCCTTAAACCACTGTGTGTTGGTAGCAGGGCAGACATCATCATCATCATAAATTATTAAACATGATTAACCTCCAGTCCATGAGACAAATTAGACCCGGCAGGAGTGCTAAACTCGACCCACGAGGCTGTTTTCTACAAGCTGCCCCCAGCTGCCCCACATCTGTCAGGTCTGGGGCATATAAAAACATGGCTATAAAGGAACAGCACTGACAGCGATCCCCATTGGGATCTGCTGTGCTAGGGAACACCATAGTACAGCTGGGGGGGGAGGCTTGCTGTCAGTTTCAACCTCCTGATCAATGCAATTTCCACCTGGTATCGTGATATTGAGCACTAGACAGGTGGTTGATCTGGCTCCCACCTGTCAAAGCAGCCAGCCAGGGATGGGAAGCTTGGGATCCAGCCAGAAAAGTCCCCCCACCCCTTATCAGATCTTTATAGCAGAAGGCATCTTGCCAACAAAACGGGCTCCAAGCAGTTTGGCAGCAGGGTTCACAGCCCTTGGATTGCCTAATGTACTGCTCTTGCTTTCTGGCAGTTGTTATCACCTATTTAATGGTTACGCCACCCAGTCAGCTTGATACATCACACAAGGGAGAGAGAAGCTGGGAAGCCATTGGCCCCACCTGCACACACCTGTCGCTGCAGCCTCTCACGTGTTGGGGGGTTGAAAGTCTCCAGCAAAGAGTTGAGCCTTGTTGATAAGACTCTCCACTTAGATAGTCGAGAACTGAGTGCTGCTGGGTGTGACACATTTTCTCAGGCTGGCATTAGCAGCTGTCAATATCTTGTTGACCTTTCACTCATTTATGAAATGGTGTTCCAAGCTGACAAGTACCATTGTTCCCTTAGGCCCTTATCTTTTCATTAGACAAATGATGCATACCCTTCAACTGTCCCAATTTCCCCAGGACACTCCCAGAATTACAGAAGCCATCCCAGCTTCTGATTCAATCAAGGAATGTCATGATTTTCCCCTCTAGCACAGCCACCGCTGAGCACTTGTCCTGAGCTTCTCAATGGCTGCTGTCGCTGGCCTCCTCCAGAACTCTCCTTTTGTTTTGTTTTTTATAAGATATTTATTAAGATTTTTAAAAATATTACAATAAAAATGAAGAAAAACAAAATACAAAATAAAAATAGTTAAAAACACACAGATTTTCCATTACTTATTTTCCTTTGACTTATTTCCCGGAACTCCTCATACCTCCCTTTTTTGTATTCCACTTCAATCTGTTGGTTCAGCAAATCCTTTATAAGTAATAATATTAGATTTTTACCTATTTATAACCCGTTTTTTCATATTCCCTTAAAGCATTGCAGCTGGAAACCACTTAATTACTATCCAACATCATTCTAACATTCATTAATTTTACAATATTTCTGTAGATAATCTTTGAATTTCTTCCAATCTTCTTTCACCGACTCTTCTCCCTGGTCTCGGATTCTGCCAGTCATTTCTGCTAGTTCCATATAGTCCATCAGCTTCATCTGCCATTCTTCCACAGTGGGTAAATCTTGTGTCTTCCAATACTTTGCAATGAGTATTCTTGCTGCTCTTGTGGCATACATAAAAAAAGTTCTGTCCTTCTTTGGCACCAATTGGCCGACCAGAACTCTCCTTTTGAATCCACTAGTGCTCATCCCTGGAATATCTAAAGTTATAAGAAATACTCTGTCTGAGCATGTGCAGATTGTGTTCTTCTTACCGCTGATGGGTCATTCTCTGGGATCAGAAGGAAGGGCTTGTCACACTGTGTTAGGGTCTAGCCTCTACCCTTCCTAAGCTTGGAGCAAATCCACTGTGAAGGGTAGTAGGAGATGAGTGATTGGCTCAATGTGTATGGTACCGTAAATTCATCAACTTCTCTTTCAAGTCTATTTCTGAAATTCTTTTGTAATAAGACAGCTGCTTTGAGATCTTGTATTGAATGTCCTGGGAGACTGAAGTGTTCTCCTACTGGTTTCTCTGTCTTGTGATTTCTGATGTCAGATTTATGTCCATTTATCCTTTGGCGTAGGGTTTGGCCTGTTTATCCAATATACAGAGCTGAAGGGCACTGCTGGCATATGATGGCATACACAATGTTGCTGAATTACAAATTATTACCAAACTGAAAACAATGGAGAGACCTGGTCTGAATAGAGATATTGGATTCTATTTTTGGTCATCTGCATACTATCCCTTGCTTTTTCCTGTAGGACTAATTGCAGTCATTAACAGTCGTCAACAAGTTTACCATACCCATTGAGTCAATCACCCATCTCCCACTACCCTTCTGAGAAATACCCCACCCCACCCTCCCACTATATACAAGGGTCTGGTGACTTCTGTTTCTGTGTATCTGAAGAAGTGTGCATGCACACGAAAGCTTATACCCAGAACAAACTTAGCTGGTCTATAAGGTGCTACTGGACAATTTTTATTTTATTTTATTTATTTCCAAATCCTGTTAGCTGTGTTTCTTTTGGTGGTAGGGGCAGGATTGCTGCATGTCCTACGTCACAGAATACAGTTGCTCTGTTTGAAGATATACTCTGTTTTGAAGGCTGACCAGTTCAAGATGGCTTTAAATTTAAAGAACACTATTATTGTTATTGTATGGATTTAATTTATTTGCTTCAATTTTTTTTAAAGAACACTATGAAAGGAAAGTGAGGAGGAGGGCTTGAAGCTGCCCACTCACAGTGAGTGCTTTCAACAGTAAATTGAGCAAGTTTACACAGCTCATCTGGTCACTGCCCTCCTCACTGTGGTCAGATATATTGTATTTCTATTTACTATGTAAATCTTAAAAAGCAGAGACATCACCTTGCCAACAAAGGTCCGTATAGTAAAAGCCATGGTTTTCCCAGTAGTGATGTATGGAAGTGAGAGCTGGACCATAAAGAAGGCTGATCGCCGAAGAATTGATGCTTTTGAATTATGGTGCTGGAGGAGACTCTTGAGAGTCCCATGGACTGCAAGAAGATCAAACCTCTCTATTCTGAAGGAAATCAGCCCTGAGTGCTCACTGGAAGGACAGATCCTGAAGCTGAGGCTCCAATACTTTGGCCACCTCATGAGAAGAGAAGACTCCCTGGAAAAGACCCTGATGTTGGGAAAGATGGAGGGCACAAGGAGAAGGGGACGACAGAGAATGAGATGGTTGGATGGTGTTCTTGAAGCTACCAGCATGAGTCTGACCAAACTGCGGGAGGCAGTAGAAGACAGAAGTGCCTGGCGTGCTCTGGTCCATGGGGTCACGAAGAGTCGGACACGACTAAACGACTAAACAACAACAACATTTACTATGTAGTGGCTATTTCTCCACTTGCATCTATAGAACACCAGTGCAGTTGTGCCGTATTACTTCTGGAACAGTATCAACATGGTGCAGAGATTGCAATCCTACCACCACTTGCGGTGGGGCTGCCCAACCGTCAGTCGTCAGTGGATCCAACCCCCAAGGCAGGTCGCCAGGAACAGATAAGACAAACAAAAGTTCTTATCAATTGCTTTTTATTCAATATTCACAGAGAGAGGATTGGAAATGCTGCCTCTTGGAATAATGGTGTTGTCCTGGGTAAATCTCCCCTTCTCCCCACTTCCTCATTTGTCATCCTTTCTATGGGTGGCACTGAGGGCCATCTGTGTTTGAGCTCCTTGCTCTCCTACTTTTAAGGCTCGCCAGGTTCTGGGAGATGGTGGGTCTGGAATGCTTTCTAGTGATAACATGTCAACCAACTGCTCCGGCTCTGTCTCCTCCTCGTCTGCCATTATTTCCCAACTTTCCCCTTCATCTTCACCTGAGCTGTGACCTCCCTCAAAACCCTGTTGTAATTCTGAACTGTCATCTTCTTCTCTGGAAGGGTCAGGCTGGGGAGGCTGTCTCCACCATTCCTCCTCTGCCCAGTCCCTGACATCAACAATACAATTTTTTTGAGGGGGATATAGTCAGAAATTTCTCATATTTCACAGGAAGAAATTGATTTACCCCACAGTTGTGTTCATTGTCAATTTCTGAAGGTCCAATATGTCCATTAAAACAAGAGAACTCCTGAAATTTTGCTTGTTGCAGCAAGGCTATCCATTGCCAAAACGTGTTGAAATCTACAGGATTTGGGAGTAGACCTGTGGTGTAGAAATGTATGGAAGCTGGCCATAGCTTAGAAAATTACCGATAATGTAATAGTGCTGAAAGGAAAACGGGAAAATGAATCCTTTTATTCCATCTGGTGGCCACTTATTTTATATATGAACCAAAAGGGTCTACGTGGAAGATATTTTATCAACCTCATTACTACAAATCTTGTTGTCGTGACCGTTGGTAATTGCTGATACTTCAGTTGGAGGAGATGACTTCTGGAAGATGGAGGTATCCACACAACCCTGATGGAACAACAAGGGAGAAACCCGAAGGAAAGCTAAAAAAGGAACAAATATTATAAAGACATGAAAACTGGTCACTGGGGAGATTATGTTAAGCTTAGTTATCTAGTTGCATTTTGTTGCACATCTATGAAAACCAATAAAAATTACTTTAAAAATGAAAGCATCTATTATTATTTATTCGATTTCTTACACTCCTTTTTACCATACCTTCCCCCTCCCTTGCCATATATTCACACATGTAATTTTTATTCAAATCTGGGCCATGTTTTATTCCATTTTTGGAAATGCAGACTCTCTCTCTTCCCTCCCCCAACATAAGCAGCTATTGGGGGCTATTGAATCTGGGACATTTTGCATACACAGTGGGTGTTTCGCCGCTGATCTCTCTTCCGTTCTTCTAACAGAAAATAAATTGGCAGCCTCATCCACAGCATATTTACTCCAAAGTAAACGCAGTTGACGTCAAGTGATATGCTTACCACCATAATCTGTTTCTATCTTTCCCTGTGCTGCCTTTCCCATGACTCCACATAACAAGCAAATAAGAGAACCAAGTTTGTTTATAGCTGAAGTAGCTGTTGTAGTGCCACCCAGAGGATTTGGACTATAACTCCCATCAGACCCAGGCATCATGCCAGACCATCAGGGATGATGGGAGTTGAAGTCCACAACCTATGGAGGCCTCCATGTTGGTTCCTCCTGGGATACAGCAATCGAGCATCCCAGAAAACAATAACAGATGCAATGCTGGGGGGTGGGGTGGGGAGGAACTCCTGCTATTGGAACGGAAGCAAACCTCAGTCTCCTGGCTATTTCTGCTAGTTGCACTCACCAGCAACAAGGTAAAGGGAGAAGCTACACCAGGCCAAGATGAAGGACCACCCACGGTATTCCAGAGGTGTACTCCGAGTGTATTTTCCTGTGTACACACTCATTCCAATCAACGTAGTAACCACTAGGAACGAGCAAACGGAAGCATGTCAATAGTGACTCTTGCCAAAGCCAGCTGTCAGATGCACTGTTACCTACCCCCCCCCACTACCTCACCCTGTTGAGCCAATCTCACCTGAAAAGCTGGGTAGAAATATTTAGCAGACTCCTAAAAACTTTTCTGCTTAGGGAAGCCTACCCAGGCATGTCGATGTGCATTTTGATCTGTGGTTCTAGCTTAGAAGGTATTCTTACAGCTGTTGATGTTATTCACTTGGGTCTTTTGATCAATTTGTTTTTAACAGTGTAACTGAGCTATACTGAGCCTGGTGGGCTCATCGTAGAATTGTAGAGTTGGAAAGGACCCCAAGAGCCATTTAGTCCAAACTCCTGCAATGCAGGAATCTCAACTAAAACCATCCAACCTCTGCTTAAAATCCTCCAGGGAATGAGAGTCCACAACTTCCCAAGGGAGTCTGTTCCACTGTCAAACACCTGTTACTGTCCCCCCCAAATTTAAATTAGCGAAACTAGAAGATACTTGACTTCCCAAATGCCACACATAGCTAATCTCGAAATACCAAAACAACGAAGGGCTTTCACTTTGTCAGGCCGTCCCTTCAGCAGTTCAGGAAAGCCGCTATAGGAAGATCCCATATGAGGAGAAGAAATGCCCATGTGGGTCAGGGCAGCCGGAAACAACGCAGCATGCCCTCCTTCATTGCCAGTATTATATAGACATTCGAACTAGGTTTATCCAACCCATTTTATATAAATTTCCTGGGCATTCAGAACAACACAACATCTCCCTATTACTACAGGACAAGACCCTAGAAGTCACATTGTGCTGGTCCTGGGAGCTACTGAGAGGCAAGGTCCGAGTCCAGTCCGAAGTCAATGGTGTGGTATGGAGGCTGTCCATCAAAGCTGCAGCTGGGTCCAAGGCAGGGAGTCAGGTGGGGTCAGGAACTCTGGCAGAAGAGCAGGACAGGGTGCAGGCAGGAACAGACTAGCGACCACGTTGCTCCTGCAACCTGGGACTGGGGCTGACTGCCTTTTATCTGCCCCGAGGCATAGGGCGGCCCCGGTCCGCAGGTGACTCGCCTCTCCTGGCCTGGAGGCGAGCACTCCTCCAGCGGGAACGTAGTTCCCTCTGCCTCTCTGCCCTGAGCCTCTGCAGCTCAGGAGAGGCTGGAGGGTTACCAGACCCAGAGGCAACCTCCTCTTCCCCTGACGGGGCTGAGAGTGAAGCACCTGCAGGCAATGGGCCCTCCATCACCTCAGGGGCCAGAGCAGACTCAGCTGGTGCCTGCACCTGAGGATCCAGCACAGGTGAGGACCCTTCAGGCTCGGGCCCCAGCCCCGGCTCAGCTGGTTCTGGAGGCAGGGACTCCTGTGCAGGCTGGGATTCCTCAGATTCCACGTCTGAGTCCGAATCCCAGGCCATCACACACATATTTAGTCACCAGATTTTGTGCTGCCATGATAGATGATAGATAAACTTTATTCACATTAGCCAATGGCCATAGCAATATAAAACAAGCAATATATACAATTAAAAAGACAGCAATGGGTAAAAAGGGCAATCAAATGCCCAAGATAGTGGCCTTTAATCTCATTGCACCCTCGATAAACCTAGCAACCTTCGCTGTTGTCTGATCATTTTGATCTGATGAAAGAAAGAACAATGTGGCCGCAGATGGGCGGCCTGGGATGGTAAGTAAGAGTGGGGTGATGATCTCATTCCCCAGATCTTTATAAAGGGGACAGGACAGGAGAACATGAGCCACTGTTTCCAGATTGCCATGATAGATATCTGACAAAGAATGGTCTATGCTACAACTCAGTCCTAAACTGAAGGCCCATATTGTTAGACACGCACTTCTGAAGCCCACCCCATATAGCTGTGTTGACTGATCTTTTAGTTTTTCTTATCAGTTTTTACTCACTCATTATCTATGCTTAATTAAGGATTCTATGTATATGTTTAAATCTATGTATGGTTCTTGCTCCCATTTATTTAATAATTATTTGCTTAGATTGATACTGTTATGCTATTTATTTAGATGTTTTTCTTATGCTGGTCTATGACCGTAATAAAGTAAATTCATTCATTCACTCTTACTGTCAGAAAGTTTTTCCTGGTGTTTAGCTGGAATCTCCTTTCTTGTAACTTGAAGCCATTGGTTTGGGTCCTGCCCTCCAGTGCAGGGCAAAACAGGAACAATTTTATGGATCTGGTTTGAGCTTAGTGGCTCTTAAGTATCATATTCTTGATACTTAAAGACCCGTGGCTATATTAAAAGAATCGGAGTAGTTGGAGAGGGGGGTGTTCTGTATCTGCAGTACCTGACAGGAAAGTTGAGTTGAAGGTAGCCCTTCAGTATCTGCTCCTTCTTTCCACACACCCACAAGAGTGGAGAAAGAAGGTTGCACAAGAATCCAGAAAATGTTCCCACGTTCAGGAATCCTAAAACAAACACTTTGTACGCTGCAAAGAGAAGCAACAGTGAATTAGTAATACTGGAAGATCAGATATGCTTGCCTTCTACCATTACCCCTGTGTAGAGAAATCTCTGTATATGGATATGTATTTGGTATTGTTATAACTTTTGTTGTTGTTTAGTTGTTTAGTCGTGTCCAACTCTTCAGGACTCAATGGACCAGAGCACACCAGGCAGTCCTGTTTTCCACTGCCTCCCGCAGTTTCGTCAGATTCATGTTGGTAGCTTAGAGAACACTGTTTAACCATTGTCGTCCCCTTCTCCTTGTGTCCTCAATCTTTCCCAACATCAGGGTCTTGTTGACCCCATGGACCAGAGCACGCCAGGCACTCCTGTCTTCCACTGCCTCCCGCAGTTTGGGCAAACTCATGTTTGTAGCTTCGAGAACACTGTCCAACCATCTCATCCTCTGTCGTCCCCTTCTCCTTGTACCCTCAGTCTTTCCCAGCATCAGGGTCTTTCCCAGGGGGTCTTCTCATGATGTGGCCAAAGTATTGGAGCCTCAGCTTCAGGATCTGTCCTTCCTGTGAGCACTCGGGGCTGATTTCCTTCAGAATGGATAGGTTTGATCTTCTTGTAGTCCATGGGACCCTCAAGAGTCTGCTCCAGCACCATAATTCAAAATAATAATTTATTATTTATACCGCACAGATCTGGCTGGGTTCCCCCACGGGATGGGAACCCGTGGCTCTCCAGATGTTGATGGGCCACAACTCTCATCATCCCTGATCGTTGTCCATGCTGGCTGGAGTCCACAACATCTGGAGGGCCAGAGGCTCGCCACATCTGAGTTAACAAGCAATGTCTTTTTCACAGGCTAGAGATAATAATATAATAATAATAATAAATTTTATTTATATCCCGCCCTCCCCAGCCAAAGCCAGGCTCAGGGCGTTATGGACTCTGGATGCATATAGATTAAGCTGCTCTCCAAAGCACAGGAACAGTATCTGGTACAGGGATGGAAGTGGCAGGGTGGCAGGTGGAGGCGAGGTGGGTGCCACCTCTTTGCTTCTGCACCCAAGGTGGGCACCTTGCCTTGCCTCATCAGTGAGCCGGCCTTGATCTGGTAACAACAGCCCAGCCACATTCGTTGAGAGTTTAGCATACTGGCCACCAGAGAAAGACTTACCCCAATCTCGATGCAGACTCATACATTTTTCTGCTATACAGAAGTTCCAGAGCCCTTCATAGTAATAGCCGAGCATGGTGGGCTGAATAATCCAGTTAGTGGTACACACAGAAGCAATTAGCATTGTGGAACCAAGCAAGCAGCAGCCTAGACTGCTGAGCAGGAGAAGGATCTGCCACATTGCTGGAGGTCTCTGGAAGCTGAGCTGGGCTCTGGAGAAAAGCTCTTCGATGCAAATGCATCATTACAGATGGACCACACCCCTTGCAAACAAGCAGCCATTACGTTGGTGCAAAGTGCAAGTTTTTCATTAACCAGACTAAGGAGAAATGGCAATGTGGGTATGCAATGTGAAATTCTGTGTGATGTCAGAATCAGGCCTTTAGTGAGTGGCCCCATACCCTTTTGAATTCCCCTTACACATCAGGCTGGCCCTGTTGCTGCCACACCTTTTCTCGTTTGTTGTTCATGTTGTTATCCTATTAAAAGCTACCTTAAGTAGTTTCTGTATAAAAATGGGATATATCAGCTTGATCTTATTGTGAACCTTCCCCACCCGATGGCCTGTGCAAAGGGTGGGCATGTTAGATCAGATAAACAAACAAACAAGCAAACACATTATATTTTTAATGCTTACACTACAAGCCATCATCAGGCTCTGCTGCAAAATGTGGAGTAGAAAGACCTTAAATGAAATAAATTCGCAGTTTATTTTTCACAGTGTTTTAATTAATGCAAACAGGTGTGCTAGTAGCGCAGCTGTCCTGGAAGTCACAAATAATCGAAAGGGACTCAATGTGCGTACACCATACTCTCCAAAATATAATGGTAGAGGATTCCCAGTGGCTTTATTCCAGCTTGGAAACAGCACCGAGTAATTTGGAATGCCACAAATCTCCAGGGAAATTCAGATGCGGATGCTGTGTTTGTAGTCCATGCTGTAAGAGGTCAGGTTTTCGGCCTTATTCCCTCTTGCCGAGTTCAAAGACATTCACGCTAGGTTTCTGACAGAGTTTGCTGCAAGGCTCTCTTCTCGTTCTTCGGTTTTGTGCAACTTCTGGTACAACACTGTCACGATTGCTGTGGGAGAGAAAGAGAGGACAAATGAACGAAGAGAAGCAGAATCCGAGGGAGATTGGACACTGTCCCCAAATATAGGAAAGCATTTACACCAGAGATGGGAGAACCCCAGGCCACTGGCTAAATAATAATAAAATAATAATAATAATAATAATAATAATAATAATAATAATTTATTACATGTACCCAGCCCATCTGACTTGGTTGCCCCAGCCACTCTGGGAGGCTTCTAACAGAATGTGACAGAACACAGCAAAACATCGGACATTACAAACTTCCTGATACAGGCTGCCTTCAGATGTCTATGGAAAGCTGTATAATTGTTTCTCTCTTTGACATCTGATGGGAGGGTGTTCCACAGGGCAAGGTGCCACTACTGAGAAGGCCCCTTTAATTTCCCCCCTCAATATTTTTTATACTTCTGTCAAAGTTACCCCCCCCCAAAAAAAGTGTTTTTTTGGCTACATAAGCAACAGCATTTGCACCTCAAAATTATATACAGTGGTACCTCTAGATGCGAACAGGATCCGTTCTGGAGCCCCATTCGCATCCTGAAAGGAACGTAAGATGTGACTGCGTGACTGCATGTGCGCAGGTCGCGTTTTGCCACTTCTGCGCATGCACGTGACGTCATTTTGAGCGTCTGTGCATGCGCGAGCAGCGAAACCTGGAAGTAACACATTCCGTTACTTCTGGTTGCCACAGAGTGCAACCCGAAAACGCTCAACCTGAAGCATATTCATCCCGAGGTATGACTGTAAAGGGAATGCGGTTGTTGATTATATTTGGTAAATGTCAAAGTAAGGAACTTTTTCAAGCTTTTTGTTAGCAATTTGAACTTTATACATCCATCTAACCTTAGTCCGTTCACTGTGTGTGGGTTCCAGCTTGGTTTGTGACACTACTGTTCCCAAACCTTGCCTACTTCTCCATATTTAGCATTGCAGGAGAGGTCAGTTGTGGAACAGGTAGAAGAATGGCTGGATCGGTCACTGCAGGAAGCAGGTATGAAACCACCACCCCTCCACCAGCTGTGAAGTCACCCCATCACCGCAGGGGAGTCAAATGCACAGCCAATCCTTGCAGACATCAGGTTTCCAGTCACCACCCATTGGCTGGTAGGTGTTGACTTCAAGCTTGTGGATCTCCATTCATGAAAGAACCGTGAAGGCCCCACCCACTTGTCCATTTTTTATTGCAAGGGGTTGGAGATTTCAAACCCACAACTTCAAAGTCAACAGAGGTCCAAACTCTACACAGTCCATCCTAAATCCACAAGCATCCACCCCTTTGGTTTGAACTCACCAGCACTGAGGAAAAGTGGGAAGCTAGCCCAGGCAAAGTAGAAGGACCAGCCACAGAACTCTAGAGGAACATCGCTAGGATATTTCCCTGTATACACAGACATTGCGATCATTGTAGTGAGTGCTAGGAAGAAGCATATGAAGAAGAATTAATGCCCCTTTGTTGCAGTGTGTGACTCTCCTTCTGCTCCAACCCAGCCAAGGTTCATTCATTCATTCATTCATTCATTCATTCATTATTTGGTTCACAGCCTGCCCTTCCTCCCAAAGGGTGGCAAACACTTTTGAGATTTAAAAAAAGACAGATAAAATGAAATATAACCCTATTTAAAATGTCTAAAAGCAATAAAACACAACCAAACATCAAAAACAAATTTAAGAACAGATGTAAGCAGATCATGCAAATGAGCGTACCCCACAAGTGTCCTGGAAAAACCAGGACTATCATATTTTTTTTTAACATAAGAGAATGGCGGCCATTTTGGTTGTTTTGATCTTGCATGATTTTCCCATGGAAAAAGTGCATCTTTCAGGGCCACGATCTCACTGGGAAAAGTAGCCACCTGTCAGGGAACTGTCATCAGCTCAGAGGCAAGAGGTGGAAGAGCAGTTGTGTTACAGGGAGCCTCCGAAGAGCAAAGCAGCTCTTCAGCCGGTGAGGAGGGAAGCCACACCTCCAGTGGGGAAGGGATGCAGGAGTTGGAGGATGCTAGAGAGAGCCGCAACACTGAGCCTGAGTAAAGCGAGGGGGAGGCAGGTCCCCCTTTGCCCACGCCCTCTCTGCGCAGTCAGTTTAAGCACAGAGAGGGAGGCGTAGGATGGGGGTCAAAAGACTGCTATGCTGTGAAGGGAAGTTTTCTTTCTGCAGTTTCTCTCATAACTGTTGCATTATGGGAAGTCTTACTATGAAATCTTTCTATGCTTACTATGAGCACTATTGCTTCTTTTCTCTCTTACATTCTGGGAAGTTTTTGCCTCTGCACATAAGTCTGAGAATGTTCTGAACAGTTCCCATTGAGTTCATGAAACAGTGTATCCTGACCTGTTCTTAATGCTTTGCTGACCACATTTACGGAACGTGATTGTTGTATTCCTTCATGTTATGTTCTCTCAATATCAATCTTTAGTTATAATTTAATTAGGAGGATTCATGCCTGTCTAGTTCCAGCTCCGTTCCCAGTCTTTTGAACTATCAGTGATTAATGTAATATGTTATTCCCGCCTTGTACCTATGTTAACCAATCAGCAACAAGATGCTTTGTGTTTGTATCAGCCAATCAGCCACAAGCACACCTGTGGCAATGTTTGTAATATTCAATAAAAGAGAGTTCCTGGTACTTGCCCCGGGCAGACGTCTCTCCTTTGACACCCACCATTCGTCTGTCGTGATTTCAACCCAACATCTGGTGACCCCTGACGTGCCAGATCCCTTACGCAGCCAAACCTCATACTTCACCCGACTGGAAAAGTCTCAGCGCGCTACTTTCGTGAGTATGGGAGGGGGATTGACTAAATTCCAGAATGAGCATGCTAAAGAGTTGCTTTATTTAGTTAGACAGCGGGAGGTGGGTGTTAATATTTCCTTAAAAGAAATTGAACAATTGCTATGTGAGATTTCTTGCCAATTTCCCTCCTATCCTGAAAAAGGATCTTTGGACGTAGAGACTTGGCAAAAGATCGGAAAGACCCTTTTTGCAGAACCTAGGGCTCCGATTCATTGTCTGCTCACTTGGCAGAAATGTGCTGATGCCGTCGCTAAATTACCACAGGCGTCTCGCCCGCCACCAGCACTTTTCGCCATCGCAGACAATCCCCCCCCTTACCCGAAACGTTACCTCCTTCTCCTTTGCAGCCCAGCCAATCCCTCCCTGCGTCTCACCCTCCTCGGCCTGCATCCTCCCCCCATCCCTCCGCCTCAGCCTGATTCCTCCCCCATCCCTCCTCCTCCTGCCACAGCCCCTGTTTGCTCTATAGGAGCTGTGCGTGCTGCGCTCTCTCTGGCAAGGCAAAAAGGGCTCCTGTCCTTAGAGGAGGAGTCTGAGTGGCCAGGTGAAATGCCGTCTGCTTTCCTTATCTCTTATTCAAACCCTGGAACTGCTCAACAGCAGATTTATTATGAATCGCTTCCTTATTCTGTAATGAGGGAATTAAGGAAAGCCATTGCTGATTCTGGTCTGAAATCCTCTTATGTGACAGGGATGCTAGAAGGCATAGCAACTGGTTACATTATGCTACCTCAGGACTGGAAAGACCTGATGCGCATGCTTTTGTCCCCTGCTCAGTATGTGGTGTTTGAGAGTGAATTTAAACATAGCGCTTCAGCCCTGTCTGATCCTCAACATACTGCCAATGAACTTTATGGTGCTGGTCAGTTTGCTGATATAACTGCCCAAGCAACACTGACACCTGTACATTTTGTTCGCACCTGCTGACCTGTGTACAACGCGCCTTTCGGAAAGTCCCTGTTTCTGGGCAACCGCTGAGCTCCTTTGTAAATATTAAGCAACAGCATTCGGAGCCATACCATCAGTTTATAGATAGATTGAAAGAATCAGTCACTAGGCAGATTGATAACACCACTGCTCAAAATGAATTGATGAAAAAATTGGCCTTTGAAAACGCAAACACTGATTGCAAGAAAGCCTTGCAGTCAGTCATACATCGCCCTAAATATGAACTGGCCGATATGATT